GACTCGGGAAGCAGAGAACGGGATTGTTCTTCTGTGCTAGGGTTTGAGCCAGATAAGCCGAACCGTTTCGACAGATTGGCGAACATGCGTTGCACCGGTATTCTCTGTGGAGGAGCGACATGTGGTTCTTCCGGCAGGTTCTTGTCATTTTTCGGTGACTCTGGGAAAACGCCAGGCATCGAATTCTGTGCCTGTGTCTCGGCGCTCTCATCGTCGGCCCGCTGAGAGTCACGCTGGGCTTGACCTGCCGCCCAGGCAGCTTCTCTTTCCTGCAAGACCCGCCTCTCCTGCTCTACCTGTTTTTGGCGCTTATCTTCCGCGATCCGAGCTTCTTGGGCTTTTTGCCTGAGAATACGTTCCACGTTGTAACCTCGAGCCCGGAGTTCTAAGAGATCGGTCTTCAACAGCATTTCCAGTGTGAGTGTCGAGTGCAGCTTCGGTCGCTTCAAAAGCAACTGCACCAAGGACTGACTGATTTCGTAAAGGTCGTATCGATCCGGACATATGCACATGCCCACACCCGAGGCCAGCTGTGCGACAATTGCATTTTTCTTCTGCGTGTGCGACACCTTTCGTCCCTTCAGCGATCTCGTAAGGCTGATCGAGGTCACAACATGGACTTTGAAGGAATTCTCCAACCATCGGGATCCGTGTAGAACGTAGTCTGCGGGTTGATCATGCAAGAAAAGCCGCGTACGCTCTAGGATCAACTTCTCCAGTTTGTATGCAGGGGCTTGATCAGGGGCGATGTTTCCAATTCGGGCTTGTTCTTCGACAATTTCACTTAAGGGTATAGCCCCAAGAGCAGTGTAGAAGTCCTCCAAAGCCTCTTCTTGCGGGGCAGCGAATATGTGTTCTTTGAAGAGGTTGAAACTCTGGAAATCGTCTACCACGACAATGTCCTTGGCAGAGGCGAGACTCCATTCTTTGATATCCATATCGTCCTCCTCATCGTGGAATTCCTTGACAGACGACTTTTCTTTGCCACCATGCTCTGATGCAGTGGGCGGGATATCTCGACTGGCAAGAAGGAATCTTGCTCTCCGCATCTCAGCGAAAAGATCCCTATCTTTCTTCAGCATTGGGAGCACCTCCGCGAGGGTTCTGAGAAGCATGAGGTATTTCTCAGAACTTTGGAATGCAGCAGATATGCGCGCGGGCTCTTTGACCAGCATCCGTGCAATTTCAATCTTGGTTGGTTCCTGTTTTGAGCCGATAGCCATCAGGAAGAGATTCGCCTCCTGTCCGAAATTGACAAAGTCAAATATGTTCTTGTAGTCCTCTCCATCCCCAAGATAGCATAGCCTAGGGGCCACAAGCCGGTATTTGGCTCCTTTCTCTGATCGCTCGTGGATGGGGATTGGGATGATAGGAGTTTGGCTAATGCGGTTTATATCTTGCTGTCTTAGATCGGCCACCCTTCCTGCCAGGTATTTAAACACAATTCGCGCATCCCTTTCATTGGTTGGGGGCTGCTTCGCGAGGGTTTGAAGACAGTCCGTCATGGGAGGATGGGCCTTGACTCCCAGCCTAGAGGCATGGGGGTGGAGATTGTTTCTGAGAAGTTTGAAACCGAATAAGGCAGCACCTTGATCGGTAAAGCACTGGCTCGGAGCGCTTAAGCTATCGGACCCTTCGATGGGAAGGAATGGCACTGTCACCGCACTTATCTCAAACGAAACATACTCATTTGTGTAATACTCGCCGAGGAAATATGATAGAGCCTTGCTTGCTCGACTATCTTTCGCTGTGCTCCCGGCTGACATGAGCATAACGAGTTCAACAGCTGGTGGGTAACTCTTGAGTCCCATCATCGTAAGGAATTTACCCTCATTGCTGTTGCGGTTGTAATTACCTGGCCATTCAATAATCGGCAAGCCGAGAGCTCGGAGTGCATCCTTCGGCTCATAAAGCTCGGAGATCTTGTGACGTGTAACCTCGGTGCCACTTCCACTTTCGGCAGTACAGATGCTGGTCCCCTTTAGTCTCTGGATGTCGCTCGCAGGGATATCCTCTCGTACAGAGGCGAGATATCGGATAAGATCAACGTGGCTCCATTTCCTGGATGCAGGACCTTTCACGTCATTAGAGACTGGGGTATTGATCAGACGATCAAAAATCACACCAAGCTCCACGGTTTTGCGAACTCCAAGTTGGACCAAGATTTTCTCCTTGACGCCATTCAGGCCATGAACCACAGGCAGGTCGTCAAAGAGACGTACAGAAGCAAAGTATGTCTGCTCAGGTTGCCTCATTCCAAGTTTTGTGGGGATCACAGTCTGGGGTTGAAGTTTTGCGACAATACTTTGCTTTGAGGTTGGACTTAGGGTTTCCCACTGCTTTGACAAAACGGGTAATACCTGGCCCGCAAAGGTTGCGGACTGCGTGATATCTTGATCTATTGAGAAAATATTGCGGTCTCCGCAATTTTTGACGATCCAGCTAAGCCAGGAAACAATTTGCAGCTCGACCCAGCCAAGTGCCTCTAGTTGATGCTTGTCCAACGACTTAGTGAACCTGAAAGGCATCACGCTGGGTGGTATGGGCAGTTCCGCTGGAATGCGCTGAGGGTTCAAAAAGCAGGTGATGTCCGCAAAGATAATCAAACGAGTGGGAACCCCTTCTTTGTCCTCGTCATTGGCCACTGCTACGCGTAGTAGACTCTGGACCGAAGACCTATCAAGCTGGCCAGCGGCTGTTTTACGGCCAAGCCATGAAATAAATTCAAGGACTTGGTTTGATCGCAAGGTATTCGACTCTAATTCACGCTTGATGTCTGATACCGTTACTTCTGTGACCAACCCGAAGTCCGTCAGCCGTTTGACAAAATCTTTGGCGCCCTGCACAAACTCCTCAGGCAAAGCAGGAATTGTATCCATGAAGCTGAGGTCTTTGGGTGCAATGCGTGTTTGATGACTGGGAATGACACCGCAGGTGGAAAGGACCTCGATGGAAGCATTCTTATTGCACATCCAAAATGCATCTTCGATTGTCTGTCCCAGAACAGAAGATGGGGTAGATTCACGGAATGCAAATTGATTTGCAGTATGGACAGCCTCTGGCAATACATCCACAATGTCTTCTTTTCGAATCTTAGACACACGCGATGGTCCAACTCTAGATGCGAGTTTCGATTTTATGGCAGCCATCTCTGCAGACCAAGCAATTCGACAAACAATTCCAACTGCGCGCAGCATCTCGAGATTCCATTTGCTGATGTACCGAGTGTTTAAATCTATGCTCTCTCGCTCCACAGTGGGAATGACAGATGGGGCAGAGACATGGGCATTCAAGCCAGTCGTCTGCTGTGTAGGGAAACCAATGAAGACTCTTCCACCTTTCGAGGGTAGGATTGATGAAAGAACTTCTGACTGCGACGAGGACGTTCCAGTGGTTATGTTGGCATCGTAAGAAGGTGTCAGGATTGCGAGGGTTGCTCTCTTAGGCGGGGGGTTTCCGTGTAGCCCGTTCCAATTCTTTGCTCAGATCCCTACTAATAGATGGTTGGAGCGATGCCGTGTTGATATGCAAAAAGACCGACGCTGAGAGCATATTATTCATGTTTCCTGAGTCTTCCTGGCGCTCGGCCTCCAGGTTCTGCGCGTTAGATTGTTTCTCGGGCGTACTCTGCGTGAACTTAGAGAAGAAACTCTTTAGCGAACTGGTTGTATCTCGAAGATTATCAAGGCGGAACAAGCTTGCATTGGGGTTCCATTCCACAATTCGCATCCACGAAGCGTCGACCTGCGCAATTTCCCGAGTGACATTAACAATTTTCATCAAACCTTCTGCAGTCTTAGTATCAATGTCTCTCGGAATCGGGACATCGACACTGGGAGCCGTCTTTTTTGATAGCCGCAGAAGGTTCCAATCATCCAACCAAAGTTCAATCTCTTGCAATGAGACAAACGTCAGGCTGCTCGACAAAAATTGGCAGAGCTGCAGCAACGATGGGACTGGGGAAGAATCATTGCGGTAGTCCAAAACAAAAGTGGTGTCTTGGCTTGCGGCGTCGCCGAGGTCCAGTCGACGGGTAAACAGCGCATTCCCCTTCCAGTAGAAGGCCATGGCTTGGTTACCAGAGGACACAAACGGCTCCTCGCAATCATCAAAAACACTGTAAAAGCCTACTCCAAATGCGCCAATCTTAGTTTCATCTGGATTTCCGTCTGCAATCCGCTTCAATCTTCCCCAGTCCTTTTCACTGAATGCAGCGCCGTTGTTTGAGATCAGAACACGTCGAAGAGTGTGGTTGGTGATGGTATGTTTCAGATGTGCGGTGGGGTCATTTGATAAAGGTGATGGTACTGTGGTTGATGGAAGAGTCTCAAATTTGATCGTAACCTTCGTTGCAGAGGCATCGGCGGCGTTTTGGATCATTTCTCGGAGGACCGTCCTAGTCACAGCAAAGGTAGGTTAATATTTGGATGTCAAGATAGAAGATCGACCAGTTCACACCATTTCCCGGAATATCGAGCAAGCACTTTCGAGATCAATCCTCTTGTGTCGACTGTCACAGCTTCCTCATCGGCTCCAGACCCCATGGTCCGCGCCTTCAATGCATTGAAATCCACATTCAAAGCCATCTTGTTCTGTACGTATTCTTCTATCTGAGTATGTCCAAGCCTTTTATCTTAATCAGGCAGTGAAGTTCATGTACACCTCCGTTCTGGAAGCAGATGAGTATTGACAAAGAAGGTCGAGGTTGCCTAGGCAGCCGTAGATTGTGAACTCGTGCACACCGTTCGCATATATCGTGAAAGGCACAGTCGAGACCGAGAAAGCAAAACGTTAGAACGCCAAGAAGAGGTTAAATTCCGATAAAAACAAAGAAACGACAAAACAAAGGAAGGTCATTCGATGGGAGGAGGGTAGATAGTTTGGAGACTGCGGAGTTTACGTCGGGCTTATCCTTATCAGTTGTATAATTGCCATCACTCTCCGCCTTCGTCCCGAGCATGATCTCCGTGTGTACACACATTCATAGGGGACCCCGGACCCGCTTCTCGTCCAGTCTCTCGCAATCTCCCCTATCGCATGACGCTCGGAAGCTTGCCTTGATAATAGTGTGGATGTGGGCTTAATATCATCAATCGCTCTCAACTGACAGGATGGGTGTTGACCCTCTGTCCCCAATTGCGCCCGTGCGCCTCAGGGCGCTCCTCCTTCCCATAGGCAAGATCAAGCGCTCGCGCTTTTTGAGCTTCGCCGCCCGACTACAAGCTGAAAATGTAGTCCGACTAGGGGATATTAGTCCGGATGCGCGGCCAAACAGAAGTATGCCCTACTCGTTATCGCAAGAAGCTTGTGGATATTGCTACCATATATACTAACATATTGTTGTCTAGACATGTTCTCACCGCTGGCATTTCCTACCGGCTTGATTCTTTATGACCTTTCCTTCTCGGTCCCCCCGACCTCGCATCTCGAGCTATTTCCTTTTGAACTATATAGAGAGCCATTGGTAATTATTGCGATCGCAGATGGGTCTGAACTCCCCGAAAGCACTGGCGCAGAGCAAAAGCACCCCACTCCTGAGGGGCTATATCAATTATTGGAAGAGCTTGATGGAGTGAAGGAGATAAACCCACGGGCTTTGGTACACCAGCTCTTGGTATTTGATCACCATGGCTTGGACAAGATTACGAATGGACCGGATAATGTCCTTTGGGTTCCTCCGCCCCAGGTCTCGAAGGCCACGACAATGAAGACAGTTCTATGCGATATTACTTCTGTTTTACTCTCCGAATTGGATGGATTTGCAAAGACCATACAAACCATACCGACAATCGAGTCACCTAAAGCATCTTCATGGGGCCCGCACCGGAACCCAGAACTACGGCCACGGCCAGTGGATCGACTTCTGAACCGTATGACTCTGCCCGCACAGTTACCATCGAGTCCCCACGGTACACGAGATGGCACCCCATTGAGCTCCAACGGCAGCTCCCCAGCTCCTAGCGATCATGAGACTCCTACAACCTTTGATGAGATCACTCGGGCAATTCACCTATCCAGTCGTACAAATTCACGGAGCAGAGCACCTTCAACGGCATCCCCGAAGGAGCATAGTCGTGATCGGATGTCTGTTAGTGGCATGAGTGCTACTGACAGAACCAAGAACCGGATCAAGGGTCGAGCCGGGGTGATAATCGGAACTCTTTTCCTGCAGGCGGGAAGGTGGCCCGATGCCCTCAAGGAACTGACCGAAGCCGTGAATAACGCTCGAGCAAGCAGCGACTACATCTGGCATGCTAAGGCTCTCGAAACGATTCTTCTTTGTCTACTGATGTTTGGGTGGGCAGGAATGGACTTCCAGGTATGTAAATGGATAACAGCGCCATCGAATACCCTGGGTACTTGTGCCAGGTTGCTTACTTTCTTACTAGATACCATCAGTCCTGTACCCTGTTGCGGACAAATCCTCCAAACCTTCCCGCGACTCAACGACTCCTAGTGGCGCTGGGAATAGGATAATCTCTTTGCATAACCTAGCCAATCTCCTGCCAGATCTCTCTAACAACATCTTAAACCTTTATACACGCGCTGCAAATATCACAGATGAGCCTCTTCCGCAGTTGGTGTTCTCGGAGACGGTGATTCGATTAGCGCGGCTGATGGTGTCGGCTCGTGTTCGTGATGGGGCTTTGGATGACAATGCTTTGAAGCACATCGTGATGAATGAACAATTGGTTCCATTGCTACAGCTGGAGCTTCCTCGAGGAACTGTTTTGCTCCGCAAGTCCGAGATTGCTAACTTCTTGTACCGGGCTTTGCCGCTTTCCCCTGGTGCGGACCTACCTGCAACTGATGCCGTTCCCATCATTGTTGGCGTTGTTGCTGTTCTTAATATCCTTGACCTGCCTAGAAAGAAAGCCTTCATTTTGCGTGAGCTTCTTTCAGTAATGGTACCAAGTCTAGTGCAAGCACGCAAAATTGGTGCCGCGGAGGTAGGCATTCATCCTGCTGCTGGGTTGGCATCTCTCAGCGACACAGCATTTGATGTGAATGCCCTGGACACAGGGTCTGGGAATATGGAGTCAAGCGTGCGTCTCCTTCTTGCGACTATTGGAGAAATATACGGTGTCCAACCTTCGTCGTTCTACGAATGGGAGAAGAGGCAAAGCAAATCATCTGGTGTCAGCGGGCAGCAGGAAAGCTCTGGATATGATTCAGTTGCTAGTATTGCCGAGCGAGCATTCCGACATGTAGTTCTCGATCGTTATGGTGATCTGAACTTGAAAATTGATGTCTTGAAAGCATGTATAAACTGCTGCGAAGCCCTTCCAGATTTCAATGGAGTTCTTCGTTTCACGGTTGAGCTTCTACAAACTATTCGGGGAGATATGATGCTGGGTGAAGCAATCAGATCCCCGCCGTATCTACCGCAAGACGAACAAGTCCGTCTTTTGAACAACATTAAGCGTACTGTGGGCGCAGGCACCAGACTAGGTGTTTCCGATCTGGTTGCAGAGTACTGGGATGACTTCCTAGTACGTGATGTCCAGTTATTGTCACTTGCGGATCCAAAAAAGCCTGTTCGGCGGTCCAAAACTGAACTGGATGCGGTCACCACAAGTTCGGACAAGGCGAAAAAGGATCCGTTTTTGTACAACCCCTTCGCCAAGCCTACCAGCAAGGCATTGGAAATGCTCACTGTCGCAGATGAACCTGCGCCGTTCCAAGTAACTCTGCAAAACCCTTACGAATTTGAGATCGAGATTGAACATTTACGCTTAGAGAGCACCGGAGTGTCGTTTGATGCTGTGGCAGAGAATTTTGTCATCGCTCCCCTTTCTGTGCAGGATATCACTGTTTTTGGTGTCGCCCATGGGGAAGGTAGCCTTCAGATTACAGGATGTATCGTGAAAGTGCGACACTGTCGTACGCGAAGGTTCCCCATCTTCAAGACATTTTGGAAACCCGAGCCTGAGGTCAAGTTTAAGCGAACGGGTCTGGGGGCAAAGAAGCCTCTTACAGAGCGCCCGGTTTCCTGGAGCTCAACGACATCGAAGGATGGCAAGGTTGATGTCAAGAAAGGTCCTGAAACATCAACATGTGAAGTCAAGGTCATCGCCAAACAGCCGTCACTTGTGATCGAATCTATGTCTCTATCGCAGTCTGCGATGATGGTCCTTGAAGGTGAAGTCAAAAGCTTCACCATTACACTTCAAAATGCCTCTTCGTGCCCCGTGGACTTTGTACTATTCACCTTCCAAGATTCAACCACCAGACAGCTACAGTCTGCATTGAGTAACAGGGATCTATTGCCGGTTGAGATCTACGAGCTGGAGCTCAAATTAGCAACCAAGCCCGCTTTGCGATGGCGCCGGCAGGGCGAGGATCCCAATGATTGTTCGATTGCAGCAGGCCAGAAGGCAACCTTCACCGTTGACGTTCTCGGAAAGCCTGGTTTGCAGGATACGACAGTCCAGATCGATTATTCCTGCGTTGGGGCAGCCCCGGGGTGAATTGCCGGATATATTCTATACCCGACAGCTGTTTGTGCCGTTGACAGTCACGGTCAACGCGAGCGTTGAGGTTGCCCGCTGTGACATTCTTCCGTTTAGTGGTGATTTCGCCTGGAAGAACAATATTGATTCATCTGCCGGCATCGATTCTATACAAAAGCCGGATGCGTTGCTCTCCACCACTGACAACGACCCCTTCTCGCAAGTCCTCGGGCGTCTCGGTAACGGGGCTTATGGGCCTGATCACTGTGTCGTATTGCTTGACCTGCGCAACGCATGGCCGAGTCCTCTATCGGTGTGGTTGCGCGTAAGTGAACAAACGATGGCAATTCTCCCACCGGATGCAACAACCGAGGATGATCCTGAGGGCAAATACTCTGTCGACGGGGAGCTCCAACCCGGGCAAGTTTGTCGGTTTGTTCTGGTTTTGCCTCGCATCTACTTAGATAACCCACATGCCTCTATCCCCGTCGTCAACACCGGCACTCGGAGACAATTCGTCGTCAGTGCCAACAAACTCTCTTTCGAAGCCGAGGCGGCGTCGCGCGAGGCCTTCTGGTTCCGGGAAGAGCTCCTCAAGAGAGTCCTGGGAGGCTGGAAAGAACATGCCACCGGCCGCGAGGGATCCATCGATCTCCGAAACGTCCGATTGAACAACCGTATGGTCGAAGCCATGCGTCTCGAAGACGTCGAAATGCAATTCTCTCTGACCTCGCCATCATCTTCACCCGAGACCTCCGACGCAGTGGAACAAACCGGCCGCTCACGCTTCCGCGTCAAGACAGACGATCTCCTCACCTTAAATGTCACCGTCCACAACCGCTCCTCCCGCCCCATCCACCCTCTCCTCCGTCTCCAACCCAGTCTCCGCCACCAACCAAACAACATCGCCCTAGACTTAACCCGTCGTCTCGTGTGGACCGGAATGCTGCAGCAAGCACTCCCTATCCTGGCCAGCGGCGAGTCCACCAATGCCTCCATTGGTGTTACGGTCCTCTGCCGTGGCGAATACGAGTTTGGTGCAAGCGTTGAGGAAGCCAGACTCTTACGTCCGTCTCTCGACGATGATGGTGATTCCGCTGCTCGCTACAACGACGATGGTATCATGGATACCTTTGGTGCGGATGTTGTGCGACGGCGACGCATTTGGCATGCAAAGGAGCTGTGTATCATCCATGCCAGCGACTCATGATCATGATTTTGATGTATGATTTTGTTTCTGGTCTATTCTCGTGTCATTTGAACGTGACAATAGACATCACATACATTAGATCTTGTCTAGCTTCTTTGTTTTTTTTTTTTCTTTTAGCTTAATTCGATGATGACCATGTAGCATACCCTCAACACCATTCTGTACAAACTTCAGATAGATATTTCAAACGTGATCAGTTTCTCATTGATAAATTGCAAATATTTCAATCTGTGGAAAGATGACATTGATGAAGTCCAATGTTTTAATTGGACCAATGGGTTCGGGTGGACCTCCCAAGGTCGGCATTTCCTCCGCTTTCTATTGGCTGGGAGTTTACCCCACGATCCCACCTGGGCACTCCAAGGTAAATTGCCGTATGATCCATGTCTCGTTGAAAAGGGAAGCATATACGATCTCTAGGGACATGTATATATATCACGGGATATACCTCAATCGGATATGTTCCCATAGAATTGGTATAGATAGCATCTATATGGATACGGAAATCATGTTGCCAAGTTCCTAGATAACCTGTGATTTACTAAACAGATAAGAACTGCAATATAGGTAACTAGGTAAATATATCGAGATATCGGACTTCGCTGCGGGGCTTTATCGTGTGCAGAGGTAACATTACGGCTTTTCCCCGCACTTCCCCCGTTTACATAAATAGCCCCCATATCCCTTGACTTGAACATTCAACTTCAAGACTCTATCTACTTGCAGTCATGGCCCAAACTCACCTCCTTACTTTAAACTATAAAGGCGACCACAACAAGCCTGATACAATCTATGACACTCAAAACTTCATCGACAATGAATTCCTTGCCTCCAGAACAACAACATGGATCGACGTCCACGACCCCGCAACAAACAATGTAGTCTCCCGAGTCCCCGAAACAACCCTCGACGAGCTCAAAGCCGCAGTACTCTCAGCCCAAAATGCCTTCCCCGCCTGGCGAGACACCAGCATCATGAAGCGACAAGAAATGATCTTCAAGCTAACCAACCTGGTCCGCGAGAACATGGATTCCCTAGCAATCTCCATCGTCACAGAACAAGGCAAGACCTTCGCCGACGCAAAGGGTGACGTTCTCCGCGGACTACAAGTCTGCGAAACTGCCTGCGGAATCACCACCCAGCTTCCCGGCGAGGTCCTTGAGGTAGCAAAGGATATGGAAACCCGTTCCTACCGTCTCCCGCTTGGAGTCGTTGCGGCTATCTGTCCATTCAACTTTCCCGCCATGATCCCTCTCTGGAGTCTCCCGATTGCCATCGTGACTGGTAACTGTCTGATTCTCAAGCCGACTGAGCGCGCACCTGGTGCTTCGATGATTATCGCTGAGCTGTGTAAGAAAGCGGGCTTCCCGCCGGGTGTTGTGAATGTCATTCATGGATCCAAACCTTCTGTGGACTTTATCTTGGACGCCCCGGAGATCAAAGCTATTTCGTTCGTTGGGTCCAATAAGGTTGGCGAATATATCTACAACCGTGGCACCGCGAATGGAAAGCGTGTACAGGCGAATCTGGGGGCTAAGAATCACGCGGCCCTTTTGCCGGATAGTAATAAGAAGCATGCTTTGAATGCTATCGCCGGTGCTGCATTTGGAGCAGCTGGTCAGCGTTGCATGGCACTAAGCGTCTTGATTACGGTTGGTAAGGCTCGCGAATGGCTCCCGGAATTGATTGAGAGTGCCAAGGGGTACCAGGCTGGAAGTGGATTCAACGCACGATCTGATCTGGGTCCATTAATTACACCCCAGAGTCGGGATCGCTGTGTAGACCTGATCTCGAGTGCGGAGAAGGAGGGTGCTACTATCGCCTTGGATGGTCGGGACCAGAAACCGGAGGGTTTCCCTAATGGAAACTGGGTATGGAAGTCCCAAGTCCCTGTGTTAATTTCAATTCCTACGAACCAGAACCATATTACTAATACGTCAATTTAATAGGTCGGTCCGACTATTATCACCGGAGTGAAACCTGAAATGAGATGCTACCAAGAGGAGATCTTCGGCCCTGTGTTGCTTTGCATTGATGCGGATACAATCAACGGTGCAATTGATATTATCAACAGCAACGAATGGGGTAACGGCGCAGTCATCTTCACACAGTCTGGATCTAGCGCGACGCACTTCCAGAAGCGTGTCGAATCCGGTCAGGTTGGAATTAACGTTCCTATCCCTGTCCCCCTTCCCATGTTCTCCTTCACTGGTAACAAGCGAAGTGTTGCTGGAACGGGAATGCTTAATTTCTATGGAAAGGATGGCATCCGGTTCTATACACAGTGGAAGACTGTTACGTCGCTTTGGAGAACTGAGGATGCTACTGAGCTTGAGAAGCCAACTTCGATGACTTGATTTGTGGTCAGTAAATTGCATATGGCGGACTTGGGAAGCATATCTTGGGATTGGTTTGGAAGGTCCGTGATGGGCGTAGGCATGTTGGGCATTTTTGGCTCTGGGGATTATTTCATGTGAACAAGATACATAGAGTATGTCGGAGCATCCGTGGAAATCTTTCTAGATGTCTTTTCAACTGTCTTTTTCCTTCCTGGTATCATAGCTAGAGAAGTAATAATCAGGGATGTGGAAAAATACCGGAATAGGAATAACATTACGCATGATAGTGCGGAGCAGAAAGGCGGTATGTACAATATACCAGGCGGTAAAAAGCATAAAAAATCGAGGGGCGTCTCTACATATGTACATATGTGTAACAAGGGAATAATGTGGACAAAGGTTGATGATATGGCTGGCAGTCCGTTGACCGTTGCCATCAGGATGAATCGTTGACTCGAAAAAAAAAAACATTCCAATCTACCTTGTATGTATTAACTCACACCACCGCCTATTAACTAGGCACAAGATGTCTTCATCTGTTTTTGCCAATTTAACCAGACGTTGGTCACCTTATCATCAACCAGGGCCCAAGCCCCAGATCTCAAAAATTCCCATCGATGGCGAGAAAAGTGCGGAGGAAATTGCACTCGAAGAAGCCGGCGATCTAAACGCCCTCCAACGATATCGTCATGAAGTCCACCAAATCACCATGTATGAACATCACCCTCCAATAACCGAGCTTCTCGAGACCGAGGAAGACTTCCCCCGTCACTTTCAACTAGAGCTATCCTTACGCGAAGGAAACGACCAATCAGAAGAGGTGCAAGAGAATCTTAAAGCCCAGCGCAGGCTTCTTTGGATGCTATCGCGCGAATGGTGGATGCTGAAGAATGAATTTGGAGAAGGTATTGTGAAGAGGGCATTCGATCTATGGCGCTCACATCCTAGATGGTACATGGATCAGGTTCTTGTCGAGTACTGTTAGGGACGCAAGGATGTTGTTCTCGTTATTGCGGATGCTGTGTTACGCGTCCAGTTGATCCAACGCGTAGGGTTGGGGCGGGATATTGTACTCTTGCTTGTGAGTGCTGTCGTGAAGGGAGGGGATTCTATCTCTCGAAAGAATATCATGAGCTTATTCAGGGTTATTATGATTATCGGAATACACGGAATGCGTATGATCGGATTGAATTGGCTGCTTTCTGGGGACTACGTGTGGATAGTTGTGAAAGGATAATTGTGAATGTCCGTTTGATATGATCGATGAATCGCCAGTCTTCCGTTTGATAGTAGGAAAGCTGAGATATTAGGCTTGTATGAAAAGGATAATGAGTCCACGTCAATGAAAGACTCAGAATTGACTCTCACTTGAGTCGGATTGTATGTGGATGGTATCTAGTGTCTTTGATTTGCTCAATGACAGTTCATCCTGTTCTGTGTTTAATTGATTGAAGCTCTTTTCTGCAATCAGAGATAGACTTTGTTTTACTATGGGCGAGGTCAAATCCGACCCTTCACGGGAATTTTCAGGAAAATATGTATTGCCTTTACCTATATGTGTGCATCTAGACTGACTTTTTTCCACTCTAGTCAAAGTCGATCAATCAGAGGCCGGCATTGATGGTCGAGTCATCGTACCTTCCAGTTTCTATTTTATTTCATCCCAATAACGTCGTCTCGATGGTACCGGTATCCAGAGGACAATATATATATATTTCCAGACACAAAACTTCTCTGTGCAACCGAGATTGGGAGAGCCTCTATCCAGCAATTAAGAATATAGCCTGTGTCTAGGTTCTTATCGACACCGGGGCTATTATCTTATGTAAAACAAACTTGAATGCCCTCTTGGGTATTTTATTAGCCCGATATCTGACTAAAGGCGTAGAGTAATGGTGGTGAGAACTACGGTAGCTTTGGGGGACCACCATGACAACACAGTTCTCATCTGGTGGCAAAAGAGTTATTGGCATGTGATTACTTCTGTTGCTATTCATGATGCTATGCATTCTGAATTATCAGTGAACATATAAATTGGAGGAGATATACGAAGGTCGCACTATATATATATATATATATATACAAGGTTAAAGAACCATAACATTGTGGGAATAGGCCGGACTTATGTAACTAAAACAAGCAACGCTGGAAGAATATATGATTAAACGACTGCTCTCACAAGTGATACTAACAAACAAGGGAGCGCTATAATTTGTAATGCGAAGGGGTATATAAAAATTTGTCCACAATATGAGTTTGGTAGATACTAGCATTGTGGTTTTTATCGACTGAGCTCATTCAAATATCATTAAAACTCTCCTCTTTCAACAGCCCAGCCGGGCTAGCTCAATCGGTAGAGCGTAAGACTCTTAATCTTAAGGCTGCGGGTTCGACCCCCGCGTTCGGCTATTCCTAAAAACCAAACCTGAGATTTCTTTTTTTGCTCTTTTCAAAATTCTTTCTGCATGAGAATTGGATGAGTTTTCAAAGGTCCACTTAGGGCTGCCGGTTCCGGCAAAACCTTGGTTGGAGTCTTGGCGTCATGTGTTACATAAGCCTAATTAAGCTCCTCCAAAGATTCTGAGCAATATCTATACTTCAAGCATCCCAGTCAATGTCGATCACATCTCTTCCAGTCGAGCTAGTGCATGAAATCTGCAGCTATCTGCAGCTACCACAGTTGCACTCAGATTAACAGACCGTAAATTATACCGACAATCGCTTCATAAATTCGGATCGGTATTTCAAGAGCTTTCGATTTCTTGCGACAAGCGACGGTCTTCGTAACCTAGAAGAGATCGCGAAAATAGGATTTGTCCGCGAACGAGTCTAGGGACTATGGAGGATACCAACCGTCTCCGAGAGTACTAGACGAAATAAAAGAGAATGTGCGATTACGCTGTCTCATCAAAAAGCTGCGAAAGGCTACAGGGTGTTGTTATGTTTAGACTTCGGTATGCCAAATATCAAACTATGATCGAAGACAATCGCAATTTTCTGCTGTCTAGAACATTCAACACTAGACTTCGGAAATGCGTTGCATGCTTCAAGAAGCTTGACATGATTGGACTCGCGCATTATACGACTCCGTTTTTACTTGATCCACGACAGCAGAATGTTCGATTTCTGGGTTGGCGCCGTCTTAGAGACCAAATAGACTTTCGATTCCAGCTCATTGGCACCATTAAGGCCTTTCCAAGCACTTGGGTCTCGGAAAATCAGAAAATTGCATACATGTGGTACTGATAACTATGATGTTCTCTCCGAGATCAATATCCCACAATCGCAATATGATTCTCTTCTTTCTGCTCTGGAGCATCTAGAAGATCCTCGCATATGGACATACTTCGAGAAGCCTATAACTAGCCTCTGATGATTCATTCATAGTATTTATTAATTATAAAAAAATAATAAAACAAAAACATACAACAGTGAGGATTCGCTGGTGGTCACCCACCCAACTACTAACTCACCGGCGTGTGGCTTAAGTACGGCTGAGCGGACGGGAAGCCCTGTTTTCCACACCCTATGGTCGTATGTGCTAGGTTACGTGTGGTCAAGGAATATAAGATGAAGAAATAAAAGTTGCGCTGTTGCAAGGAGAGCGTTCCCCAACTAGAGGTGAGTGCGCTATAGGCAGGGTGAGGTTGATTGGTGACTTCATTAGGTCGCGAGCCCTCACTGGAAACCCGGCCAACGTTGATCGGCCGTATAGTTTCTGGTTTGCAAGCAACATCAAAAGCTACATTCGATAAACAATACCTGGCAATGGTACTCATCGACAGAGATTTCAAAATATTCACAAAAAAAGGGAACCATTCAATTTAAGCCTAGAACCATCGTTGCGATACCCAACTAATCAAAGAACACCGCTATACCAGCTTTCAAGCCATAACGCTTCTTCCACCATCTTCAGTGAGTCTACTTCTGACTCGCACTTCTAGGAATCCAGGTCCCAATTTTTGGACTATTCCATCCATGTCACTTCCTGCAGGGGTTCCGATCACAGCACTTGGGGAGAAAAGCAAAGCCTCACCAACTCGAAGTCGGACTATTCTGTCAAACAGCGATTTCTGGGAAACACTTCTGCATTCTTTGTGCGTACTGGATTCTCTCGAGACGTCTTCGCCTATCGCAACAGCCGCTATATGGTGCTTCAAAACGCGAAGCCACTCCGGTGACGAAAATCGATGAACAACGGTGATAGAGCAGAGGCCAAGAAGAGCGGTCGATATTGTCGGCTCTTGGGTTGAAATCACAATGCGGACTCCAAGGTGGCGCTGGAGTCTCACAGCAGATAGAAGAGATTCGGTGAAAGATCGTGCTTCAACAGAACTGTCCATATACTAGCGTAATAATTAGCGAAATCATTAGTGTGTGGAACGAAACTAACTTTGTGGGCCTCATCCAGCGCCACTATGCGACCGACATCTGTGTTTTGTTCTAAAAATATTCCTAAGCATATGTTGAAAAGGGAACAAGCCGTATCAGAAGAGATGCACGGGCAGGAAAGGTCGACTATGGTCAGTTGACTCGGCTAGTATTCTTAGCCGATATAGCATACAATGCGTAGGATAGGAGTAGCGTACCCGTGGCGTCCAATCAGAGCCCCTTCTTTTTGCTTTGACCTTTGCCCCAATATGTGGAAATGCCTGTTTTGAAGGCATGAAACTCTCCAAAGTATCGAGACGTTGCTTTAATGGCTCGAGTTGGCCTGGAGTAAGTCCAGAAACAAGTATTCTGGTCTTAAACCCAGCATAATCAAAACCAGTCCCACGACTTTGCTGTTCAACTCGCATTTCACGAAGAATTCGCTGAACAGTGTGCATATATAATGGAAGTGGGCCATTATTATGACCAACAGCCATCAGATCTAGCATGCGTTTGGTGTTAAGATCTGCTTGATCAATCTTCAATGCTTCGACTTTGATATTGAATCTTGAGTATGTCCCCTAAACAAATAAGCAAAGCGATCAAAAGCAAGTACGAGGAGAATGCATTACCTTTATAGTTCGGAGGTTTGTGGGAGCACACAGGACCCTGATTTCGATATCCGAATTTGAAGCAAGAAAGGCCGCTTCACAAGGGGATCCTCCGCTGTCGCAGATGAAGGTATCATAATGAAACACAACAGCTGTAAGAGGGCTTGAAAGGTTCCCTGATTTCGAGGGAATCAAGCAGCCTTCCAGAATACATGACAAGGTATGACTTTTCCCTGACCCTTGAGAACCACATATGAAGGTACTAGAAGGGGAGGAAACGTTGAAAAAAAGCCTAGGATCTTTTTCCCAAGTGCTCCGATCATTAAGAACCTCAGAATCCGACACACTTGCCTTCGTGATTCCAGCCAATAATCCATACTGCGAAATTTCTCCAGCGGGCTTCGACGGAGATTGATCGCAGCAACGACTGAGAACGTGGCTCGTGAACACTGGCGCAAGTGAATTTTCTTCAAGTTGCTCTTCTTGACTCTCGAGCTTTAGCAGACTAAGATGGTATTCCAATTGACGATCTTGAACAAGAGGTTAACAATGTCGCTGAAACCGAAGGAAGAAGAATACACACCGTTAGGGCCGGTCTTGCATACAGAGCGTTCAGACATAATTGGAGAAACTTTGAATCTTTGGGAAGATACTTATCTGGGGTTTTTGGCGGGCATTTCGGTGTCTTTTATAAGACTTCCAGGAATCTCGTTGACTTCTTTGACCTACTAATCGAGGGTTTACCACACTATGCTGAACTAAAGATTTGCCTCGATAAAGTCTACTGTTGCACACGTGATTCGCACTGCCTGTCTTTCTAGGCCAAGAAGTCTGGTGTCGATTATACGGTCAAGGTATCAGTCGACAAGAAATCTCCAGGAATAGAAGTTTGAACAACGTACTATCCAAATTTGGATATTACGACGTTAGGTGGTCGATAGTCCCTATTTCGGCGGAATCGAGCGACAACTCAAGCTTGAGGCGCTGCTGCTATACGGCAAGGGACACTAGAGCTACAGAGCTGCCGAGTTCGCATCATGGAATGTTGGCCCTCTGTGACTGATCATATGCGTGTTCTCTTCACCACCCATAACCTATGCAATCAAGACCAACAACGTGTCCGATGCGATGCATACATACAGCCAATCGCAAGCCACTCAACACTTCGCAGTTAAACCCCAATATGTGAGCGTGCTAGATTCGAAGGATTTCAATTATATTTAAACACTTTTAATCCCTCAAACTTCAGCATATGCTCACTCTTAACAATACAATACTTTTTTACTTCATCCAAAATGTCCTTTCAACTCGAGATTCAGAGAATTCGGGATACGATTGGGTATCAACAATTATCGGAATCTGGGACCTTAGAAGCTCTAACAGCTGCTGGTGTTGACAAAAATAACCCCGATGGAAACAAAAGACTTTCTCAAATGGGGGTTTCCCTTATAGAATTTCATATCATCGAGATGGGATACAGAACAAGGTTCAACAGAGGTATTTTTTTATCTCGGAGTTAAAGCATAAGTCATTAACATCGAAAAGGAAAAGTAGATCGCATTCGATCCACCCTGACAACAGCGGATTATCGAGCGCTAGTAGCCAGACATAGTGGCATTGACCAACACATCAAGTACAACCCTGCTTCTGGAAGCCAAGCTGCCGGTGTTCTTGGTCAAGCAGTGAGCGCTCTTATAGCTGTTTTACATCTTGAAGCCAAGGACCCGGACATTTCTCGAGATGGAATGTTGCGCCTGGGGTACTACAAATCACAGTCCACAAAATTGAAAAAGACTATGGCTGACTTCCTAGATTCTTGAGCGTTGGGGAATACAATGCCGACCATAGCGAGTTATTAAACCAACACAGGGCAATGATCCTGCCTCAACAGCCAGCACAAAACCCATCACCTGCAATCCTTGACTTTGAAGATACATTTTTGAACCCAATCAGCCCGTCTGAGCTCCGATTTTTGGCATCCCTTCCAACTTTGAGCAGGGGCCATTCAGTACACACAAGTCAGACGATGATAGATGACGTGTTGAATGGTTCTCTGGAATTCGAAAACTCAAACGCGTCGTCAACTAATGCGAAGAGAACCATTGATATCGTTGAAGCAGTTGAACAGCCAAACAGGAAACGACAAGAGATTGGTGAATATTGTCGGGCGACGATCCTCAGGGACACGGAGAAATGTAAAGCTCAAAATTTGCCCCTTCCAAGAGAAACATTCTTCAACCCGCACATTGAGGCTCGTGTGCTAGAGCTAAACTGCAAGGTTACCGATGCCTCTTACACCATCCTGGCTCAAATTGCCGGCTCTAGCTCTATCGTCGCCTTGAAAGAAGCGTTGGAGTGCTCAAGGTCATGGCCTCAAATTCAGAATTGGAGAGTCTCGGAACATGCCACACGACACGAGAGATTCGCAATCATTGGAGATCTAGAGGTTCGGGAAATGTATTGCGCTCTTCTCAAAAGGTATCATGTAATGGAGCTGTTCAGAAACTGTGGTGGATCTGATAGCCGGATTACAACAAAGGTGGTCATGTGCACAGGAAGAGAGATCTTACACGGTAGTGGCAGGATAGGTAATCCTAGCCATATCGATGAAGCCAATGTGACGGACAGAATGATGAAAGAGGTATTTCCGAGCCTTCAGCCTGGATGCAGAGACTATGAATCTAGAAGAAGATCCATGTCTCGCCTTCGAGTACTCGGAAGACGGCTTCAAATGTTCGCAGACAAGTTCGGCAACAGCAGTCTCGCGTTCATGCAACCGTGCAAAGTTACTGGAGATCCGGAAAAGCCAATATCCGACCACATGTGAGTGAACATAGTAATTTGGGTTCCGCAAAATAGCGTTGCTAATGATAGGCAGGATCCTCGCACCAAGCGATGCCGACTTTAAGCTATTCCTCGACATACTTGAGGAGTCGCAGGGCGGCCTGCTTCGTCGATTTAGCACCGCTGCTGAGAAAATCGTTCGTCATTTAATTTATGAGAACATGGAACATCCTGAAGCTTTTCATTTGGAAACCGTGGATTCTAAAGAAATAATGGAGCATCCCAAGGGCTCGCCGGGCCTTTTGAGGATGCTGGATTAAGAAAAATGTTGTTATTGATTTCAAGTTCTTCGATGGATGGCAGTCGCGCTGTTTTTTGTGTTTGTGAATGTTTAAAAATACAACTTTCTACTTTAGAATAGAGCTGAAACGGACTACACCACCAAGTTCTTTAATATTCGTGTCATTTTATATAGACCCAGTTTAGTATGATGCAGGGGTATGTCATGTAGATGAGTCTAGCAAACAAAGAGAACTGCGAACACGGATGTGAAAGGAAACAGATGTTGACCACGAACGATCGAAGTATTTTGTTTTCCCTAATTCTTGGATGTACACTCAAAATACCAAGGCCCTTCACCATTTTGTAAACCTTTGTAATGTTTTGACCAAGTATATGTGGGTCAGAATCTCAGAGACGTCCGGACCAGTACTATTCTTCCTGTGCAAGCTAGCGTCAAAAATTTTGACGACACGAGCTTAGCTATGGAACAGTTTCTTGTCTTTTGCTTGTTTGGAAGCCTTGTTGGGCTTACTATTTCTTCGGCCACTTTCAACAATGTTTTCTCGGCATCAATTTCCAATACTACCATTCAGCTGACGGGGGCTTCGGTACCTCTGAAAGACGCCTCCAATGCTTTGAACTTCATTGACGAGTTGAGATAACTAGATGTATCTTTTACAATGCTACACCAGGTTTTGCGAGTCTATCTGAAGTGCTTCCGGACGACCTTTTATACGATGACCGGCCTGAGTAGACTGGGATTGCTGACCTCGCTATTTTTCGATGAAATTAATCTCAAGGGGCAGGATCTTGGGAACCAGCGCTTCCAGGAATAGTCAAAGTCAGCGATGGGTCATTCCTTGGTTATTACTTACTTACACATTAATATATTGAGATATTTTGAGAGATATCCTAGAAATAATCGCTGCAATTGCATTCCGGACTTGGTTTACTGCAGCTCTTCCCCTCCCTTTGTTTCAAAGTATCGCCTGAAATATAAATATTACAGACATGCTCACACCTCTAGGGCTTGGTGACCCATGTTATCCCTGACGGCCAGCATTTAGCATCCATCGAGCCAGTCCCCCTCGTCAATGAGGCTCAACCCTTGCTTGCCTCTATCCCGATACTGTTACACTTTTCCTTCAGCACACTACTCAGCATTCTCAATTTAGAGTTGAGGTGGCTACTGCCATAAGTGATCCACTCTCGATCGGAGATGGAACTGCCGAATTCCCCTCACTTAGATTCAATTTATGCAAACCTTTACTTAATCTCTACCTCCTTTAGATATATGTAGGTAGTTAGGATCACTCACATCTCACCCCCGTTTAATTTTTGCACTCTATGATTCCTTCCCCCATGCAAGATGATACATACGACCATAGGGTGTGGAAAACAGGGCTTCCCGTCCGCTCAGCCGTACTTAAGCCACACGCCGGTGAGTTAGTAGTTGGGTGGGTGACCACCAGCGAATCCTCACTGTTGTATGTTTTTGCTATTTTTTTTGGTTCCGAATCATTCATTCATAATAAATAATTATTAGTCTATATATGTTTGTATCCAGAGGCCCGATTGGGAGCCCAAATAGTATTGATATGAAAGGCAATGCACTAGCCGGAAGAACTCAGCCAATCACCTGTAAGAGAGTTCCCTAGGAGACCTATCCGCTCCTATAAAGTTATTCCATTAATCCGTGTGGTATAACTTTCAGATCTCTAACAAATGGGAATCCTAGGATAGCAAATGCGGGGATCAATCAGTGCCATTCCCCTAGTTTTTTTTGTTCCTTTCATATTTAAGTAGAAAGCGCTGAATGCCGGCGGCCCTGATAGGACCCAGCCTTCTCTCTTCCATTTCTCTCTACACCTCCGAAATCACCATTTCTAGATAATATCTCAGCTTCAACCCAGCTGCCCATAGTTTGATGCGACAAGCAATTACCATGATTCAAGAAACTGTAGCACTTCTAAAGGCCCACTGGGTCTTGGTGCTTCTCTTGGCAGTTATCACGCACCTTGTCTACAATTACGCCAAGGGGGGACTTTGGAGGATACCAGGTCCGTGGTTGCGAGGGGTTTCTTCCCTTCCCCGCATCCTCTCAGTTTATAACAACAAGTCCCACGATGAAGACATCCAGCTGCATCGAAAATATGGCAACATCGTACGTCTGGCGCCAAATCTACTCTCGATAGCCGACCCTGCCGAGATCAACCAAATATACGGCATTGGGACGAAATTCTATAAATCTCGGTTCTACAACCTCTCTACGACATACGATGACGAGGGCTTAGTTCCGGACACGTTTGTTCTGACCGACAAAGTAAAACTCCATCACGTGTACCTGATGATCCATACTAACTGCTAAGACTCTACACACGAGAATGAAAAGGAACGCGTCTAACGCGTACTCGACAAACGGCCTAGTGCAGATGGAATCATGGATCAATCCAGTCACCGAGCGACTGGTGAGTAAATTACATCGCCAAGCAGGGGAGCCCATTGAGATGTCAAGCGTATTGAAAGACTACGCCATGGATGCCGTCTTTGCTGTCACATTTGGGAGAGACTTTAACTACATTGAAAAAGGCGACATCCTGAAGATGTATAGCATCTTGGAAACTGTCGCTGACTACATGGCAGTCGTAAGTCTCAGTCCTCTCTTTGCACCCCTTTCGCCCCAAGTGCTACAGCTCTGGCCTGACCTGCAACAGTTTGGACAAATCCCCTGGATTCATAAATTTCTCCTGGGTCGGCCAATTATCGCCAAGCTCATGTTTGGTAGCGGCGGCGGCGATAAGGAAATGATGCAGCTCGCCGTGTCCCAGATCGAGTCCGCCAAGCAGAATTCATCCGAGGGCGGACCTTTGACCTTTCTCCAGCGATTGCTCCTAAACCAAGCCAAGGATCCCTCATCTATCAACGACAGAGAGATCATGACACATGCATTTGGTAACATTTCCGCAGGGAGCGATACCACTGCCATTGCTCTGCGTTCCATCCTCTACCACATCCTAAAAGACCGCCGCGTTTATGATAAGCTCTACGATGAATTCCGTGTTCTGGATACTCCCGTTCAATTCACCGACGCTAACAAGCTGCCCTATTTCGCTGCTGTCATTCAAGAGGCTCTCCGGCTACATCCTTCAGTCGGCATGATGCTCGCCCGCCTCGTCCCTGCAGGAGGTGCAGATTTGTGCGGGTTCCATATCGCCGAGGGCACGGAAGTTGGCATCAACCCGTGGGTATTGCAACGCGACCCGGAAGTGTTTCCCGATCCTGATAGCTTTCGTCCTGAACGGTGGCTGCCAGAGGAGACGGATGATAACCAGCGTAAGCTTATGAACAGGTCGTTTTTCACCTTTGGTCATGGTGCGCACACCTGCAGCGGACGTTGGATCAGTTTGATGGAGATGAAAAAGGTGATTCCGTCTCTAATGCTGAGATTTGAGATGACGTTGGTAAGTGAGGAGAAGTATGGGTTTAAGAATCGTTGGTTTACGCCGCAGCATGGTCTATGTGTGAAGTTTATCGAGAAGGCTCCATAGAAAGTTCTTCTGAAAAAATCCAAGTTGCATGTTCAGTCGACGAGCTAAGGGTGGAATTGGCATTGATTATGAAAGTCCTGCTCATATGATGTAAACTCCTCATCCCTGTTAAATTGGCTGTCGTTTGACCAAAAGTCTGTCGGACATACAGTTTCTCTGGTTGTTGATTGGTCCTAGTACGACGAAAAATTATGTACATTGCATATAGGGGTCACGCATGGCCTAGCTCAAGCTTGAAATCACCCGACGTGCCATCTCAATATAAAAAAAGGAATTGTGACTGTGCCAACTCATCCTATAGCTACATAGTCCGTATGTAGTAATTTCAGTCTCCAAACTTTCCAAATCCTGATCGAATATTTACAACATATACTTTTCACAAATTTATACAGAATTGAAGTTAACCAGGCCGATTCCGACACATTTCAACATCCCCACTATAGTGGGGTTAGATCCGTTTAAATATAGAATATATGACGTACACAAGTCCAATAATGCCTGTCTAAGTGGCTCCATGTCTTACTTAGTATGCTATCGTCCCAGAAATGGCTAGGATCGCCGGAACCCAGTTGCATGGCTCTCTCCTTTTGACTTTGACAAAATCGTTCGAAACGATATTAGGAACTCACAGTACACAACATGGTGGATTCACAATACGGACAAGGCTCTTTACGCTATTTTTTCTTTCACGGAAACCACGGGGACATACCCATTCCACCTCACATGTCCGTTGAGGCCAAAATTCTGGTGTTTAACGGTGAAGGTCAAATGTAGGCTATGTTTGCCTACTTCCGCTGGCGTTGAAAGGATGTTCTAATAAATAAGCTTATTGGGCGAGAATTTTGAAGATAGTCCATCCCGATATCACTTCAACAATGGAATATACGATAGCATGGATGGCCCAAACGAGAGGCCTCTTCCAGCAAAGCCATTGGTTGAAAGACTTTTGAAGAATGTCTCGGTGCCTTCCCTTGTTGCAGCTGAAGTCCCTAGGTAGGTGTTAGTACACACTACGCACGATGGTTACTGATACCAATGGGCAGCCATCAAATGGGGATCGGACTTCAAACACTAGATCCGTTTCTTTATGTGTAAGTCTTTTTTCCATGAGTGTCCTCGATACATCTGACAGTCTGTCTTACAGCGCAATTTTGGTTCTCGGAAGAGACGACATCCGCCCCTGCACTGCCGATGACAGAGAATACTTAGCCGTTATGATGCAAGCTTTTGTCCCTCGGCTTTTAACCTCAATGGCTCCGACGGCTAGCGAGTACCTTCCAGGCGATGCTCGTAACTTGTGTATCGAGGTCGCCAATCGCATGGAACTCATTGAAGATGACTCCAATTTCCAGACTTTCATCGCAATGTACCGGGGACGTTATGTCCAAAAGCCATTGCCGCAAAGAGCTGTGGTTGAGCTATGCTTGCTTCATGTTTTGAAAATGCCCTTCGAGCTGAATTCCGCCATCCAGAACTCGCTCATACGTTACTGATATGACTTTCATACTTGCCAATTGCCATATATATGGAGTGGGTGTGGTGTGGTGCCCACTCGCTCTCCTTCCAGATAGAAATCGGCCTCACATTCGTCGTACTTAATATATTGGAACGTTTCACAAGCAATAGTGAAAAATAATTAATATAATAAAAAATAGACCGATTAATCCATAATGAACAGAGAATGGAGAATTGCTCCCATTGTTTCATCTTTGGATTCGAAAGCAGATCAGTAATCATTTTCAAACCAGCGAGCCCCCCGAGGTCGGGTGGGCGTCTGGATTGCGCATAGGGAATTTGTTCAGTCATCATTTAAAGCTGATAGAGTTAATTACATATACATAGGATGGATTTATAATCTGTCTAAAGACTTCCAGAATTTGTTTGAGGTTATATAAGTAATAGAAATTTCTACACCTCCTTATACTAGTTGTCAAGACCTATAAACTACTTTGCTACAAATCCTTCCTTTAGTCCTTTTTTTACATCATGTCCTCATCGACTATCAAATCTGTGTTGGTCATTGGACCAGGTGGAAATGTAGGCAGATCAACCGTCAAGGCCTTGTTGGACGAGAAATTCGAGGTCACTGGGCTCACTCGACAATCATCTGAGGCCATTTTGCCTCCAGGTGTGAAACACATCAAGTCCGACTACTCCGAGGCATCACTACGCGATGCATTCAAAGGCCAAGATGCAGTCATAAGCACCATTTCTAGCATCGTCCCAGGAGATGCCTTGACCCTCCAGAAGTCTCTTGTTGACTCCGCCATATCTGCCGGCGTGAAGGTCTTCTTCCCATCGGAGTTCGGTATTGACACTTCGGATGGTTCGGCCTCTGAGTACATTCCATTCCTCGTGGATAAGATCCAGACCGTCGACTATCTCAAGGCTCAACAAGACAAAATCTCTTGGACAGCAGTGATCACGGGATCCCTATTCGACTGGAGCTTGAACATCCCCGGATTTGGGGGTTTGGATGTACCTGCGCGTACAGCCACGGTCTTTGATGGTGGCGATATTTCCTACGAAGCCACAAGTCTTGATCAGGTCGGAAGAGCAATCGCTCGGTCTTTGAAAAATCCCGACCTGACCAAGAATCAATATGTCTATGTGAATAGTTTCACTGTCACGCAGGATAAAGTTTTGTCTGCCCTTGAGCGAGCGACGAACGAGAAATTCACACTTTCCAAAGACACCGTTGAAAATCTTTGGCAGGATGGGGCTACCAAAGTGAAGGATGGACAACTACTTGGTACCTTGTCTATGATTGCTGGATCCATACTTGGGAAAGGAGGATTGGCGAACTATTCCAAGACTAAAGGGCTATGGAATGAGATCCTGGAGTTGCCGCAAGAGGACTTGGATGGGTTCGTGAGAGAATACTTGACAGGAGGAACTGTTTGATCGAGAGACAGGGGGGGAGATCACCCAGTGCTGTATTGTCGTTGGCTTAGAATAGTATCAATGAAAGTTTTGGCTGAAAAATAATATTAGTGATCAGATCCCCAGTGCCATATGCGAATAAAATGCCGGTTTTCTGCTGAGTATCAGTCGGGCGCCTCGTATCGGCATTCCGGCTGAAATGAAAGTGGATCGATGATCACTAAACAAAAATCCACGTGCAAATCAGATCTCAATTTTCTTACCGTTCTTGATCGTTGATAAACACCGCACACGGGCTCATTAAGCCGAGGTAACTATATCCGAGGGAAATGGCAGATAAGTTTATATTCTCATCGATATAACAAATAGTTAAATTTTAGATCGTCATCTGTTTAGCACCTTATCTTTTCCGCCCGTCAACGGTGTCTTTCAACACCTCTGTCAATCCAACCATCGGTCACAACCATGGCAACTACTTTAGCTGAACATGTATCGCTGCAGAAGTTACATGATCATTATGTTTCCACGCATCTTCCCCAAAAGATGGGGAATTTAGCACCCATCGCGTACGGAGGCTATGCTATCGCTCTCGCGATACACGCTGCGTATAAAACCACCCCAGATGGATTTCACTTGCACTCGGCGCTTGGACATTACCTCCGGCCAGTAAGCACTGAAATCAATTTGATATGCACGCCTGTCAAACTCCGCCAATCGAAGAGCTTTGTCACCTACCGCGTTGCCGTTGAACAAAATAACCCCTCGACTGGCCAACCAAACCTATGTATGGAGCTCCTAGCCGATTTCCACAGGGATGAGCCGTCTGTCCTCACATTTTCGAGCAAACCCACTCGGAGTTACAGTCACTGGCAGGATTGTGTGCCCTGGGACCGCCTTGTGGAGGACTGGGTCAAAGCCGAGAAAATATCAGAGCCGCAATTCAAAGCTTTCAATACGCTATTCGGACTATCCCGGAACCTCTACGAAGGTCGCCCCTGTCCGGAAGGAATCACGGCTCAGAATCTTATGGGAATGGCCAAGACCATCAAAACCAGCCAGGAAGAATTGTCTCCGACAGAAAAGTCGTCAGGGGACTGGTTTCGGGTCAAACACCCTCTGCAGACAGAAGGGGAGCAAATTGCCAGCTTGGGGTTCGTTATGGATGGTGTTTTGTCATTTTTGCCGTTGTCACATAATCACTTATTCTTCGATGATGCTGGCGCGTGTTCGAGCTTAGATTTTGCTCTACGGATCTTTACGCCGCGACCTAAAATGGATGAGTGGCACCTGAGGGAGATAATCAATCACCATGCTGGCAATGGTCGCACATACAGTGAGAGTAAATTGTGGGATGAGAGAGGAAATTTAGTCGCTTCTATGACACAGCAGTCGATTTTGCGGGTTCCTGCCAAAGCCGCAAGGATTTAAAGTAGCTATTGGTCCCTCCTTAGATTTTCTGTTTGCTCTATAGAATATGAGATGTTTTGATAGGACTGTATTTATCTACTAAATAGTAGAATTGCTTGAGTGACTTTCTCTCCATACTCTATCTAATTCTAGTTTGGAAATTTCCTATTGTAAAACTACCGGGGTTCGTTTGCTGGATGTGAGTCCAACCGGCGCCTTGCAGGGTCGTCACACGCTGGTCGCCTTTGAGGCGGTGGATTTTGGCGTTGACAGCAGACAAACTGATGTAGATATGGGCCTTGCGGTGCCTTTATAGATAACTAGAACAATCTTCTTCGGCGTTTAAGGGCTCTAGTCTGACCACCAAGGGGGAAAAATGGGTTCACATGCTGAGCCAGGTGGCAAAGATTCTTATGGGGGAAAAGGCCCCTAGAACCTGAGATAATCTATTGCTCGTGGATCCGCGGATCAGAATACTCCGAGATAATCGCGAGGTAGGCACCTTTCCCATCGTTTCCATCGCATTTTTTTCGGGAACTGCCCGAGGGGCAAAGGTTTTCTCGTATAAATTCATAATTTGTAGTGGCTTGCCGTCATCAAAACGACGAGCCACAAACCCTAGACCGTAAGGTTTACCATCTCTGTACTTCCCAAGAGGTACGGTGGCAGTTGGGGCTTCTTTAAACTCGTTAGCACTCCACTATATGGTTCAACTTTGGTACCACAGAGAAGGGGACTTACGAGCCCATGCGGCATAGATGCCCATTTCCGTCCAAGCAGGAAGAACAAGGGCATCCAAATTATACGAAACTAGAGTTTCAATAATACCTTCTTCGATGGCGATTTTTCTAGCCTCCAATAATGCATCCTGGTACTCTTCCAGGGTCATTTTCTGATCAAGAGCCGATTCAAGGTATTTTTGAGCGGGGGGTTCTAATAGGTCTAGTCAGTTTTATTATTTCATCGGCCGAGTCCAATACCTACCCTCTGAGTACGAGCGTTCAGGGAATTTCTGATTGAACTCCACGAGATCGGCCAAAGTCTTCGTTTCGGTCCCTTTTAGGCCCGCAACGTGCTGGGCAAACCCTGGTCCCATCTCGTAGCCTATAGTTGTGTTTAGAAAGGCAGGTGGAAAATTAGATCATCATCATCTCATGTATGATCTTCCCAATTAGATTTGCCACGTAGTTAGTAGAGAGGTAGGCGCTTCGAATCTTGGTGTCTGCAATAATAGTGGCTCCCCGTCGTTCCATTTCTCGGACGACATCAAAGCCAGCCGAGAACATCTAAAACTAGGTTAGCAGATAAAATTTATACTGGAGTATACAGGTCAAAATACTCTCTGTTCATCATCTATATCTTCTTGACCTCCCACAAATCCCGGGAGGATGGACCAAAACCACTCTTTATCGGCCACTCCGATGCGGAAATCGGCCCAGTTAGCGTCTAAAGAATTTGTGAAATTAACAAGTAATCCTCCTGAATCAGATGTAATGGGATCTCGGGCGTCAAATCCACTGATCTCGGTTAAAAGAGCCACAATATCCCAAGCTGACTTGGCGAGAATTCCAGGTGAATCAAATGTGGTCGACGACTGCAGAATGCCACTTCTGGATAGAACGCTGGTGGAGACCTTTAGGCCATAAAGAGCAGTGAATGATGCAGGGCAGCTGATTGATCCCTGTGTTTCTGTACCCAGGGCTAATGGGGAAAACCCCGCGGCTACAGGCGCCACAGATCCAGCCGACGATCCACATGGATGCTTTGAACTATCAGCTAAGTTTTGTCTAAAAGATTCGGATGCCGACCTTTAGATCGTATGGTGAAAGGGTTTCGTCGCCGAGGGCTGACCAGCCCGGGCTCAAAGAGTTATCCCAAGTGGAAATAATTAATTGATGCTCAAGCGCAGAAATGTATATTCATCACTTGAAGCTCACTTGAAGCCATTTAACTCCTGTATCCCATTTCAGTTTTCCGCATATCGCGTCCTGTCACGTACGTAACATACCGCAGGGTTACTTTTACCAAGAATAATCATTCCAGCTTCACGAGCCTTGGCGACAATGTGCGCATCCTGACTCGCAGTGGCATTTTGGAGTGCAAAGGCTCCCGAGGACGTCGACATACCAAGGGACTGATCTGTGGCCATATTGCCCTTGCGGGGTCCATGTTAATGATGTTGATATTTTGAACGAGAGGGTTAAAACTCACTTTCACAATCAGTGGTACACCGTGCAAGGGACTACGAGTCAAGCCCTTTTGTCGCTCTAGATCGCGCTCCTTTGCGATGCTAATAACATTTTGTATAGGTGTCAACTCCAACATTGTACGAGGCCCAAGTCCCGATCTATCATCCAGTTTGATACGCCGAAGGTATTCTTCGGTAATCTGGAGTGAGGTTATGGTGCTATTTCTGAGAATATCGGTGATATCACGTGCGCTAAGTGTTAGTAGATCCAAAGAAGTTGGAATATACAAAGGAGAATGGTCATCATGGCTTAACCACGAAGTTGCCAAAGCAACAACCACGGCCCCCAGGAACCACATGGTTCTCATGATCAAAGTACATAGAGGCCTTCGACAAGCGACTTATCACCGCCGATTTGGATTTCTGGTCCTTGGCGCACGCTATTAAAAGTAGTGAGGATTAATCGGTAAGGAAGCCCTAGAGGTATTTAGAAACAAAGGGCTTTGATGCTACGCGCATAAGGGCGTTTTAAAAATAGATTGGGGCTATACCGCGGGCCAATACCATAGATAAAGGACTAGAGAGTGACGAGTCCTTAAACCAAAAGCTAGAAATATTTCTAGCTCAATATGCCAAAAACCGCTGGGACAAAGCTATCACTGTTGTCTTCTCCGCAAGAATTAACAGGTATGAGTGATGTTGCAAGAAGCAATACTGCGGACCAGTATATAATAATTCACTATAGCAAACAGGTGCTCCTAGAGCCTGAGGTTCTGACGTAACTTGTTTTCCAGTGACCTTATATAATAGCAGATGGTACCCTACCGTTTTAGACACACTCTATAGGGTTTACTATAGGCCTCCTGAGCCACGAAGCTCTGATATAATCCAAACTTCCTCTTATACTGAGACAGATTATTGATTGGATAAAGGTGCGAGGGTGGCCCCAGGGAATTTTTATGTTTCGTGGTCAGATACTATAACTATATATATTTTCATATACACTTACAGAAACAGGCAACAATAATCAAAGTGGGAAAATGCGGGTACTAAGGCGCGATTTGTGGTATATAAGACTATCATACCCAATAATAGGGTACATAGCAGAAATTCACCTAAGAAGACCTGGTCGTGTTGCGATGAAGGGTGATTCCCATCCCATTTCGCACTGCTTCTCACCTTTCTTACCCGCGACCCTAAGTAGCGAATTTTCTAAGTTAATGTCACATTATATTTTTGTTCTGCACATAAACTGATACATACGACCATAGGGTGTGGAAAACAGGGCTTCCCGTCCGCTCAGCCGTACTTAAGCCACACGCCGGTGAGTTAGTAGTTGGGTGGGTGACCACCAGCGAATCCTCACTGTTGTATGTTTTTGTTTTTTATTCGTCACTTACTATATTTGTAACATACTCTCTCCGAATAGAAACATGCAGTGGCTGGCCACAACCAAAATTGTAGAAAATACATTCCGTTCTAATCAACGGCGTACAACATCTTTTTCAACCATATACTTAGGTGTTAAAACACCTCCACCTACCCTTTGTTCGACTTCGTGTCCTCAACCAGAGAAAAAACACATGCAGTTATCTTAATTTGGGGGGAGGGATAAGCCTGATGTTGAACTGATAGAGCAGTGTGATAGAATTCAAGGCAAACTCGTGCCGATTGCAGCTTATAGAAAGCTCTTGAAGCTTCTAGAGCAACGCCAGACTTGTTCTCACATAGACTCCACCTCGGTCTGCCCCGTAAGCTTCCTCTTGCCACCAATCCACCTCACTTCCCAGAGAATAATGTTGGTCCTCTTTGTCTCCTTGCCCGTTGTCTTGTCCTTGGTCGTCCATTTACTAAGAACCGCCACCACGCCGTCTGGTTTCTCCGGGTTCTCCCATTGGAGTATCACAGAAAATTCGTCTTGGGTCGATACACTCGAGCTGCGGGCGTATTGGAGACCTGCTTTGAAGTGGTCGTAATTGTAAACATTGTGGTTAATTCTGGCGATATGACTAGGTCAGATGTGTTTATCAAAATGTACAGCGCTAGGGAAGCGTACCTGACCACTAGGCTTGGATCCACTTGGTCATGGACAGCCCGGAGGGCAATCTCGTCGTTCGATTGGATGAACAAAGTATCGTTGATCTGTGTCACCCACTGACTGAGAGATTGTTGTTGAGCCGACATTTTATGTTGCTAGATGTTGTAAGCACATCGCCACGGCGAAGTTGTGTTCCAAGGTTGCACACCGACCGAAATGATTGTGTCTGAACTGGGGGGCTGAAGAACGTAGTTGAAGTTTATAAGGTGCAAGTGAGCCATATTTTATACCCATCAGTTTTTAAAATCCTAAATATTTTGTTTTGGGTCGCTTTGACCTGCAACCGTTCCCATTTCTTGAGGTCCGCCAACATCTGCGGATTTGCGGAGTTTCCAAAATCACACCATTGGGCAGTTATAAGATTTAATTTGGCCCTTTCCGTGATAGCTCCCAATGTCCGATAGTTAGCGGAGAATATCTTTTTTTCATACTGTCATACTCCGCAGTCACACCGACCGTGCGTAATTCTTTAAAAATGGCGAACGTGTTACCATATTAAGCAATTCAGAGACCTCGTGCCGCGAACAAAAGAGTTGATGCGCCACAATCTCCTCGTTACGCCGATAATCATGCTTGGGAGGTGCCTGGTTGAAGCGGAAACACGACTAGTGATCCCCCAAGTGCGGAAGCTGCCTGTGAGGCGAGATGTCGATCCTAGATGGCTGGCTTGTGTTCTATATTCCATAGGGAGCTAGCTATGGGAGGGAAGAGTTTATACGCTCCTGGATATACCTCAAGGCTGTGACAGTCAGCCTGTAAAATTTATCCTGTTCCTGTTGTGCAGTTCCTACCGTTAGCGCGAGCAATATCCTTTCCCTTGAGTGTGGAGTGTGAAGTGACAAACAACCGAAGGCTTCACTAATTTTAACCCGCCACAACATGTATATTTTGATTACAGATAGACTTCAAATTGAGCCGTTCTTTGCTTCCTCTAAACCATACCTAATAAAGTGGGTATGCCCTAGCCATTCCCCGGTGGCCTCTTTCCCCTTTAACATGGCCATTATTAGTACACCGAGCTCCTCTAAATCCTCTGGCTTCGCCTTTGCTATTGCCTCGTCCCAATGTGTCACCTGTACTTCGAGCCGCTCCCTCTCACTGTATGCTTTCCGCCAGCTAATTTCTGACGATGAATTCCAAAGCGCCTCTTGAGCCGTGAAGCTCATTCGCATGTCTGGAACTGTATCGTAGCCAAGTTTCAAGAATTCGTACACCCCTTTTAACATAAATGCAGTTATTACTGTCCGCCGGCTGCTCTCCTCGATCAGCCAATACTGCCAGTCTGTAAAAGTGCTTCCCGGCAGAAGTCGCGCTTCTGCTGGAGCCGGTGGAGAAGGCTGCACTTGATGCGTGCGTAACCTAAGCTGTGCCGCCCACATTATGAGAACTGGCTCGTCTGCTTCCGCTTGGGCTCTAAGGCGAATGTCACCGTCGAAAAGTCTTATGATCTGGTATAGAATCAGCGCTTGCAGCGCTTCAAGGAGATTCATCTTGGAGGCGAGGAGCGGATCGGTGTTGGCGATCAGCTGTTGCCGTCTGTGCTCCAAGTTGCGAAATACTAGCGGCTGATTCTCTGCGTTCTTCAAGCTATACAGAGCGCAAACGCTGAGCGCATCCTGTAAAGACGGTGGGTTTCTCGCTTGGAACAATAGACGGTGGATAAACATGGTTTTCCCTGATTCAGAAAATGTCTTCGGAACCACAGCTAACCTCTTTGCTACAAACTCCACGCGAGCCTGTGGAGTTGTATCCGATATCATCTGCCCGATATCGGTCGAGTTTTCCCGAGCGACGATATCATCGATGAGAGTAGAGCTGAGGAAATCGTCTTGCGGTATGCTCGCCACGTTGAAAAGATTATTACCGAAGTTGAAGAATGCATCATTCGTGTGGGGTGAGAGTGTTGCAGCTGACGCTAGCGCGGGACTCCGCTGTAGCTGTGAATCACTAGGTAGTTCTTCCGCAAAGGGCTCCGCAAAGGCAACATTCTCGTCTACATTTCTTCTGGCAGTTTGCCGCAGTCGTTCGGGATATTGGCCATTGTATTCGCAGTCAGTCTTCTTTGCAAGGCAGCGTTGGCATTTGGGTAGTCCTTTGTCACATTTTCGCTTGGACTGAACGCATGCAATACAAGACTTCTGCCGTGACGGGGGCATCGTAGCAAATATTTTTCCATCAGTATTAGAGCGGGAAGTTGCTTGACACCGTACGTCTGCGGAGTTGACGAAGTCCGCAGTCGTTGATGAGGTAATATTGCGGAGTTTGGCGCGGAATTTAAGCTTTCTCCGCTAGCGGGCGGAGATTGACCCCCACAAACACAGTGAGAGATCTGTTGTCCGCAAGGCCTATTGGTCTGACATCTGATGCTGCAATTCAACGTACATCCACATATATATGCGCTTATAAATGCACAATTTCAAATTGGAGACCGGAAATTTTAGGGGAGAAAGTAAAGGAGGCCGAAGGATTTAAAATAGAGTCGATGTCTATAAAGGTCACTACAGCTTCAATTTGTCGTCGTCTTGCCAAACACTGAAGTCTCATCTCCAAGTTTTCTACCTTCGGAATCTTGTCCTTCAGACTATATTATTCTCCATTACCTAGAATTTTGGATATCTAGCGTCGAATCAGGCATGCCTACCACCATCCTAATCACGGGTGGAAACCGCGGTATGTACGATCACCCTTCTTTCTTGTACCCTTCTCATCATTTCTACAGGACTTGGCAAAGGATTCGTAGCTACGTACCTATTGACTCCGAACACCACGGTGATAGCGACGGTCCGTGACCTATCCAAGTCCGAGTCACTGTCTACTCTTCCCAAGGCCGCGGGATCTAGCCTCTTTATTGTCAAGCTTGAGATATCGTCTGCAGACTCTATAGCAACCGCTATAGACACGTTGAAGACGCACAACATTGGTGCTCTCGATGTTGTCATTGCAAATGCTGGCATCTCTGGGCCGACCAAGAGTCTGGCTGAAGCACCTGTCTCTGAGCTTCAAAAGTACATTGACGTGAATGCATACGGCCCGTTCGAACTATTCAAAGCTGTGCTCTCTCTTCTACGCTCTTCCGGTGTAGAGATGAAGCCCAAATTTGTCTTGATCTCGAGCGCCGGAGGAAGTTTGACAGCGATGTATAACTTCAGTACGTGATGTCCTATTACAAAGTCGGTGTATCTTGTCAGATTAACTGTTTCTGAGGTGTAACGCCGACTTTGTACCTAATTAATTGCTTCGAAGGATTTCGCTGATTTTGTAACTCCACATTAAGTGCCTATCCCCGCGTATGGGGCGAGCAAGGCTCTAGCTAATTTCCTTTGCAAATGGCTGGCATTTGAAAATAAGGATGTGATTATTTGGGCACAAAATCCCGGGTGTGTATTTTTTATCTTCAAAACCCACCTCTTGGGAGTGAAAGCTGCTAATTATATTCCGTGGGTAGAAGCGTGGATACTGATATGACTCGGGATAGTCTCGAGCTCTCAAAGAGTTTAGGATTGGATCTGTCTTCAGTGAGCTTTACTTCCCCCGAAGAAAGTGCGCGTGCAATAAAGAACGTGGTATGTGATCGGGTGTAGAATGAGATGTGAATATAATTGAAGCGACTAACTGAGAACTTAATAGATTGAAAATGCGACTTCGAAGACAAGCGGGAAGTTTCTCGATCATGATGGCTCTGAGCTGGCCTGGTAGAAAGCTGAACAGTTAATATCGTAGGAAAATGTGCCCTAGGTTAGGGGGAATAGTCCTTCTGTTGATATAAGTAGTAAATGTCAATATTTCAAGGTCGTGGAAGGAAATCCAACGCTTGGGCAGAGTTTCTTGAGCTCTTTGCCTCCATTTTCACGGCCTCGCCAAGAAAATCTCAGTCAAGCAGGTAAAGCAAAGAAGAATTGGTATTCAACCATCTAAACAATGTAACGAGTACTTATAGCTCAAGTTATGTACACGGGAAGACATATAAGCCACACGCCGATGAGTTAGTTGTTGGATGGGTGACTCTCAACATAATTATCAAGTTCCTTTCATTCCGAAAGAATAATGACCAAAAAGTGTTTACTTTGTCTTAGGATTTCTGGGATAGCGGCTAGATGATCAAAGAATTGTAGGGAAGCTACCTTTGATGTCCAGCTTCGATCATAGTGTCACTCGTTAGGAAAAGTACAAAAAGAGATGTATTCCGCTGCCGTATTCGGAATATAATTAAAAGGTAAGGTTGGTCCAAAACATAGTGGAATTGCATTGATTTTCTACATTCGGCCGTCGTGTACTAGCCGATGACTCTTTAATGCGAAAATAAAATCGACCATCAAGTAAAACCAAAGCCTCAACAAATTCATTCGTCCTAGATGTCTTCCCCATTTCACCGCTTCAACATTCCTCCGTATGAGAAGTCCCCCCGGGGCCATAACAAACCTTCCACCTCCACAAGCTTAGAGCCTCCCAAGCTTCCATATCAAACAGACCCCTCATAACTAGCTGCCGCCCCAACGGTAGTAGTAAGCAGCCACTGTTTAGATAGGAGTAATGTCCACCCAAAACCTGGTATCGTCGGATTTATAAGCCGAGTTACTGTCAATCTGCTGCTGGATCCAATACACAGCATTCTTATAATCTATATATAAGGCACATTAGACCTCCTGCATGGCAGCATTAATCACCGGAATGGGAATAACTATACTGTTGATATCGGCTGTGTTAGGATTTGCCAGCCCGCTTGCGCCAAAACGGTGTCCCGCGAACCATAGGTCTATTCCGTAATAATTCTGGCAGTCCCAGCGAGAGGCAACATCTGCGTAGACGTTTTGGCTAGGTCTATTAGTGGATTCACCTTGTTGATACAGAATAATGGAAAGATTACTTGAGTAGAGCCCCGTTATTCCACGAGCTCTCCGGTTGGCCTGCCAGTCCATATCGGGTTGCACACACCCGAAGCATTCCCCAATTCTGCTTGAAAAGACCAAAATTTGCTGCGTCGTACGTCTTTCCATCACCGTAGGTGTAATCGGTAGTCAGAGTTTTGCTGTGCCCGTTAGTAGTTTGTATCTAAAAGTGCAAACTCTCTAGGGAAGAAGGTGTTTACGTTTCAAGCATAGCAATAGCAAGGTCCAGAGTATTACCACCTGCATTCAGGATGGTTTGCTTGTGTGATCCAATACCAGGTACATTCTCGGATCCGCGGTCTGCTCTCTTGTCGAGGGGGCTTGCGAGAGCTCCCAAGACAGACAGACAAGTAAGTATAAAAATGGTGGCTTTCATTGTTACACAAAGGGTGAAAAGAAGGTCGTCTTAACAGCTCGGTTGGAAAGGTAATTGTTGATATATCTTCCCGTGGGGATATGCCTTTTATAACCCGCCATATGCCTTGACTCGATCCTCGTAAGCACCGGTAATGCCCGTGCCATATCCATCATCCCGTTCCATTTCTGGACTCCGCATTCCGTTGTAAGTTTTTTACTTTTGATTTAATCCTATTATGTTAGCCACAATCGTTCTTCGTCAATTAAGAGTTGTGCCTTTCTCATCCCGTGCCATTTCTGGACTCCGCAATCCGGAGCCAGTTGCTTACTTCTCTCCTGATCTCACGGGGTTAGCAACAATCGTCCTTTAGTTACTTAAGTATTTTATTTTTACTGTAACAAGTTTATGGAGATTTGTGAAATCCCTCATGGGGTTAAGAAGCGGAAGGCCCGGCCCTTTAGGCACCGTTCGAGAAAGGATATTTTTAAATAGCGGGGAACTTTGTACCCTAGTTCTTTTTGTCAGCAAGAAATATTGTCCTTATTTTATACTGATTCTAAAGAAAAGCTAGGTTCTTTCTCTTAACACTATTAATATACAGTAGAATGAAAAGTCTGCTTGGGGGACGTGTCAAGAATAACTCTCGAGTAGCTAGTAAAGCAATGATGATGGATACAATTCGACCGGACGCTTTTAAAAAATTATCTCAGTATTAAGAGAACCCCGGTGACTTTGTGATGTTTGTGATGTGGATAGATACACCTAGGCCTAGTGAATAAGACTATATAGGAGTAATGCAGAATAATTCTACTTTTTACCTTATATAATGATCATGATGTAGTTATTGCAGCAAAGCAGAATAAAGAGAAAGGCGAAGAAAAAAAACCTCCAGATGCTTTGAATATTTAGATGTTTCTTCAAGAGATAGCCCCGAGGTAGTGCTTAGTAGAAGCCTTGTTTAATGTGAAATGAATGGAGAGCCTAGAAAGTGGATAAAATCCCACTTTCTGGCACCGCTCTAACCTAGGATATACTGACTACTATGGGCGACTAAGTATGCCATCGGAACTTTCTCGTTAGTTCCGTGGCATACTTCCAAGGTTAGTCGCCTGTAGACTGCGGCCGCTGCCATCTTAGTTTCGAACAACTAAATACAACCCGTTTTGACAACTTCACCAACAGCATGCACCACATAGTCGATGTTATCCTCATTCAGTCCACACACACTCATCCGGCCTGAGGGCAACAGATAGATATGAAACTCCTTTTGAAGTCGAGACACCTGCTTCTCCGTCAACCCCGTATAGCTGAACATCCCAATTTGTTTCTCAACATGTGACCAATCCCCCTGCGTCTCCTTCTCCAGCCGTTGCCTCAGCAAACCCCTCATCCTCTGGATACGTGAGCTCATTGTATTCAAGTCTACTTTCCACTGAGCCCTCAGACCCTGATCCCCAAGGACAGTCTCAACAATACTCGCCCCAAAGCGCGGTGGATTGGAATATTCCGCTCTTGAAATCAACATCAGTTCAGATAGTGCACCCTTTGCCGAAAGATGCTGTGGTACAACCAAATGTAGGGCCCCCACACGCTCGCCGTACAAACCAAAGTTCTTGGAGAACGACTGCGCGACACACAGACCAGGATGCGTCTCAGATGCGAGGACATTCTCTACGAAATGACGAACTGCCCACGCATCGCCATCGACATCGCCCGTCGCAAATCCCTGGTATGCACTGTCAAATACGGTGAAGAGCTTCTTCCGCTGGACGAGATCAGAGACCTCTATCCACTGGGTCTTTGACAAGTCCACACCAGTGGGGTTGTGCGCGCAGGCCTGCAGGATAATGACATCATTGCGTTCGGCATGATCCAAAGTATCCAGCATCCCGGTTATATCTACTTCCCTTGTGTCAGAGGAGTAGTATGGATACTCTACAACCGGAACCCCGGCCATCTCCCATATAGACTTGTGATTAACCCATGTTGGGGAGGGGATGAAAACGCGATTAGGATGGAGGTGGCGGGCCAGGAATGTGGCTGCGAGATGGTTTGCGCCTGTGCCGGAAACTGTTTGGATTGAGACTGCGTTGTCTTGGAGGCGGGATGCAATGGGGCCGAAAATGAGATCCCTTGCCAGATTAGTGAAGGTCGGCGAGCCTGCTATGCCCAGGTATTCGTGGGTGGTTTTGCTAAGGCGTTGCTTTGCCTATTTTCACGGTTAATGGCTGTTTTACTCTGCGGAGCTATTTTGGAAGTACCTCTTTGACGCTTGGCAGAACCCAAGGTTTTCCATTCTCGTTTCGATATGCTCCGGCGATCAGTGAGACCTTCTTTGGGTGAGGGTCTGCTTCAAAGTCGGCCATCAGACCGAACGCAATGTCTGCGGGGGCAATCTGGAGGTCAAGATATTGCTTTGCCATTTTTGAGCTTGGTCTTTGAAGCCGGTGGTCCCTGTTAACGTTGGGGTTGACTAGGTTGCACTCTAGAGTCGAAAAAGTGACTTGGTACTTTGGTGAATTTTGAGGGATAATTTATTAAAAAATAATGATTTTCGGACACTAATGTGCCGCTGCCATGTAGTTGGACAATGATTATAACGTTTTGGTGCGAAACGGCATAGTTACCAGTTGCCGAGTCATCTCAGGATGGTGATACTCGTCACTATTGACCAGCTTTGTCAAGAAATTGACGAAACAATAGAGTAATAAATGTCGGCAATTTCTGCTTAGACCGATTTGGTGTATTCAATTTCCATATTTAGGTACATATAAATAGATGACGCCGAATAAATTAAAGTGCGAGCATATCCACATCGGTGAAATAGCACCTTGCCGACATCCATTAGTGAGCGCTCAATACTTCGCTTTTGAAAATTAATATAAGCCACTTACCTTCGATAGTTGTTCCATATTCCTATTATCCACTCAATTACCGCGATTGACACAATGAACCAGTCCAGCATTTTGGAACGACTTTCAGCGCTCGACACCAACACGGTGTCTGATGCCTTGGATTTTCTCGGTCTCAAAGGAGCCACATACGGCTTACGACCACTCTGGGACTGCCCAAAGATTGTCGGACGCGCCAGTACAGTTAAATTGAGCCCGAAAACCGATGCTGCCCCCACCGCTCATCTACTCACCCCGGTCATAGATGCGGTAACTACAGACGATCGCATTCTCGTCATCTCCGGCGGCACCGATGGCGTCTCATGCTGGGGTGATATCATCGCCAATGCCTCGAAGGTGAGGCGCATTCGTGGAACCATCATCGATGGCATGAGTCGTGACATTGACGGCAGCCGTGACGTTAGCTATCCCCTATACGGCCGTGGTGTGACCATGATCAGCGCACGCAACCGCCTGGTCCAAGTTGAATCTGGGACACCGTTGCAGATGCGGGGCGTCACCGTCCACCAGGACGACTATGTGATTGCTGATCGCTGCGGGACAGTTTTCGTCCCTGCCAAGAGCATCGAAGAGGTCCTGGAATATGGCGAGCGGATCGATCGTCGTCAAACCCTTATGGTTCAGGCTGTTCGAGCTGGTCATCCAGTATCTGAGGTTATGCATGACACGCAATTTGAAGCTATTCGTGAGAGTGCATCATCAGCGACATTCGCGGCACCTGCGCCACCCCTGAAAGGAAACCCAAAGAAAGCGAGCCTTGAGGACCAAGAATTGGTAGCACTGTTTGCCGATTTAGACACCCCTGCGGTCTCTGATGCACTTGATAAACTGGGAATTTCTGGACAGGCGTTTGGTATTATGCCTTTGGCAAATTATAACAAGATTACTGTTGGGCCAGCCTTCACTGTACGTTACGTACCCGCCAGCGACCCGCCAGGAAGTGTTGGTGATTTTATCGACGATGTTGCTGTAGGTGATGTCGTAGTCATCGACAATGGTGGTCGCATGGATTGTACCGTTTGGGGAGATATCATGACTCAATACGCTGGCTTGCGGGGTATCGCCGGATCAGTTATTGACGGTGTGTGCCGAGACGTGAACCGTGCGATCAATGATGACTACCCGCTCTTTACTGCTGGGCGTTGGATGCGAACCGGTAAGGATCGGGTTCAAGTGGGAGGTGTTAACGAGTCGATTGGTATCGGCAAGGTTCGTGTCGAGCCTCGTGACATTGTTGTTGGCGATGCAAATGGTGTCGTCATTGTTCCTCGCGATCGAGTCCGTGAGGTGGCCGAAGTAGCACGAAAGGTTGAGAAAAGCGAAGCTGGTATTCGGGAAATGATCGCTGCCGGAGCCACAATCGCCGAGGCGCGAGAACAGCTCGGTTATCATACACTACAGCGTAAGGGATAAGGATTAGCTCAAGATTTCATTGGAGGCCTGTTTTTCTTTCTTTGCTGATGAAATCTGATAAATGTTGGAGGAATGTATTATGTTTATCACGTACATCAAACAACTATAACTTTTCACTTAAAAAAATTCTATGGTCATATAAGTTTACCATGTATATCGAAATACATTCGGAGATTATTCGCAAGTTGAGAACTTCCTAATCCCTATGATAGGCTAAAAGGTTTGTCTTATGTCAAGTCCAATCCAAGCCATATCCATTCTACACGTAAGCTGCTCTTTACCCGTTGAGACAAGCACACATCCAGGTTCTCTCATCTAGCATCTAAGCTGTCATGAGCGCGCAATTTCCAGCTCAGCTGTGTACCAGTTTTGCAGTGCCCGAATATCGTAGCTCATCGCTACAGTATCGAATACTTTCAGATGTTCCCTGCACAAAGTCCCGCTGTTCGATAATCGACAGACCCATTTACCATGCTTTCTAGCTGCTGCCACGATCTTTTCAATTGCATCGACAAACTCGGGCTCATCCCCCTTTGCAGGGAGATACCCAAGGACTGACAGAGCAAGGTCCTTTGGCCCAATAAAAATCATATCTTGACAAATATTAGCGAACTCTTTCTTAGGATTGGGGTCAGTCACTTACCGACACCTGGTACAGCACAGATAGCGTCAACATTCTCGACTCCCGCTTTTGATTCAATTTGAAGACAGGTGATAATCGTTTCGTTTGCTGTTTTCATGTATGTTGGGATATCGATATCGTGAGCGATGCCTGGAAATGCTGAGCCTTGCCCTCGAAGCCCTTGTGGAGGGAATTTTGAGTATGATACAACGGTTCTGGCTTCTTCGGCCGTGTTTATTTGAGGCACAACGATACCGCTTGTCACATTCTTAGTGGGATAATGGTATAGTAGTTGTTTTAACTCACTGAGCACCAGCATCTAAAGCTCTTTTAATCAAATCTGCATGGGTCATTCTCAAGCGAACAAGCGGCGACACCCCCAGCGCAGCGATAGCGGCAGTCGAGCTGTGCATGGAATCATCGCTAATATACCCATGCTCACAATCGATAATAATGCCCTTTATGATCATCAGTTCAGGTTTAATCGACGGAAGGGAATGAATGCTGACATCAACACCGGTCTGAGCCACAACTTGGGCTGTGCGAAAGGACGGAAGCCCCAAAAAGGTCATGATAGGCTTCGAGCCGGCTCGTAGAGCATTGAGCAGGCGTAACCAGGGGTTTTGAATCAAGGTCGTCATGGCTGATGAGTATGACATATTGGATTCACAGTGTTCTTCGACAGATCAATCAAAGGCCATAAAGCCGTTGTCTTGGGGTCGTCCTGAGAAGGCAACGCTGAGAAACAAAGCAAGAAGCAGCAGGGCTGGATGGCGCAATAGGCAGCAATATTGATATATCGAAACAAGTTGAAAATTATATTTGGAAAAAGTCGCACTAAGGCCATGGCCATCTGGCAATGGGAGGGGCTGATCGGTGTCGGGAAATCAAATTTATCCCGAGCAGACCTAAGGCTGGCCGCGAAACCAAATATCTAATCAAACATGATAATATCTGTCGTTTCAAGTCAAACTCACCTTTTTCGGCGACACAGTCAATATGCCGATCCGCCTATCAACATCATGTTTATCGCTCAGTGCGAAGACCCAACAGTGATTCAGCAATTGGTCCATAACACACGGCATGCTGCTATGTACTTCGTTGCAAAAAAGGTAATGATAAAAAACATACATCAGCATGTCTAAGGTGGCCACCAAGTCGTGCTACTACTAGCAGGTACCTTCTCGCAAATCAAGTACTTGGCTTCAGTATTATTTCGCATATATTAATGCTGTTTGATACAATTTGACGGCAAGGGGCTGAGAGAGTGACAGAAAGAGAGAAATTGGGGATATCTACATGGCAGTTCCGAGTTTTCCTTCGAATATCTATCCAAGTCTTTACGACTCTGACTCCTTAACGCCTGAAAGGGGCTTCAAGCACGAAAGATGCTTATCCTGATGCAGGACATCGCCCCCATTTTGATAAGCCCTGAGGACCTCAGAATTTCTGTCTTTGATTGTATTGACCATGTACTCGATTCCATCAGCAGCAAGCTCCTCTAGGGTTTTCTCATTGGCCTCCTTGGCTTCTTCCTGAATTATATGGAGTCGCTTCAGCCAAAACATGTATCTCCATGGCGAGAATCCAGCAGGAGATCGCTGTCCGAGCTCTGATTCAAGGAACTCCTCGCCACCCTTGCTAATAACGCTAGGGTAGTCGTTCCAATACACCTCTGACAATAAAAGGAGATTGTGGCTTGCTATTTTCAGCCAAGAAATAGCAGCTGGTAACAGATGAAAAACCTCAAGCTGCTTGATACCTCGGTTGGGGTCTTCCTCGTCTGACTCTTTCCCAGTGTGAAGTTCTTGACAGCTTTCAAAGACATTACGGAAGATCAGAAGAGCAATTCGGCACAGCCTATCTCTAGCGACACGAGCAGATGCAAGTTTGGCTAGGAATATTGCAAGGTTGAGACGGTGTGTTCCCGACATAGAAGCACTATTATTGACCCATAAATCGGTCATATCGCCAGCCAAGAAGGGTAAATCATTCCAAAGTGTACCGTCGACGGTTCTTGCAATATCAATTCCAGAGACTCCTCGTACAGGTCTAGTCAACGGCCCCATTCCTTGAATGCGGAGGATATCGAGGACTATACCCTCATGTTCAGGTGATTCGGAGGAGATGTTTCGGCCAAGCTCGTAGTACATATACCATAGCGAATGAATGTGGCCTTCGAGGGAATCGACTCCATCTCCAATATCGCAGTATCGGCTGGTAACGACCCAAGTCCGGTTACTGAAGGCCGCTTCTCGAATTTTTTTGAATTCACCCCGAGCGATAGACTGGCGTGTACTTTCCTGGTCACTACGAGCATGGTCGCCCGTTGTGACAGAAGGGGTGCCCCTAGGCAGAGAGCCCAGCAGAGAATCACGGAGGTGATGCATTGTAGGAAGCTGACAATATTGATTGGTGATTCAAACTAGAATTTGGGCAAGAGAAAGAAGACAAGTGAAGTGAAAGCGTTGATATAGTAGCGCCCCACAGGGACTTGAATCGTCCTGAGGGTCAACTTAAATTAGGGACAGACAGATTTCTCTTCGGATGGATTTTCTCGCCAGGGAGACCCCTGCTAGGCAGCAACTAGGTTCTAATAGGCTGACAGCCCAACCAATATCTGAATGTTTGGACCCAAGCTAAGACAGAAGTCCATATCGCTCATACACCTAACAGGTAATACGTAACAGGTGACAGGTCACAACCCCTGCGTTGATGGGAACATCAAGCTTATAGAAGTGATCATTGAAAGAAACAGCCCATCAATGCGGCAATGGATTAGTGTAAGAGAAAAAAATAAAGGGAATTGTATCATATCAATCCAACAGTTCAAAACCCCAGGAAAGTGCGGTTGCCAAACCTGGTGGAAGATTGTAGTGCAACTTCATAGGGGGATAAAGGTTGTCTCCCGGGCCTTTTATCATATGCATTTCCTCATAGTCCCGGTGGCCCTAGGTTGTGACCCTGAAATTACAGACCTGGGATCATGTCTTAGTTTCTAGGCGAGGATAGTCGGAATCCGGGTCGGCAAGAGGCACGACGGACTTTCCAAAGAACAAAAAAGATTTTTAAAAAAACGAAAACATACAACAGTGAGGATTCGCTGGTGGTCACCCACCCAACTACTAACTCACCGGCGTGTGGCTTAAGTACGGCTGAGCGGACGGGAAGCCCTGTTTTCCACACCCTATGGTCGTATGTGCTTGGTTATGTGTGGGAGAGAATCATAATATAAAATTGTAAAAGTAATTGATTATGTGAGTGCATATAAATAGGGTAAGAATGAGGATCCGTTGCGATTTAGCTCTATACATGTATATACATGTATCGGGTGGATCTAAAGTATTGACCATAAATCTAGTACCACGAGTCGAGACCCAGCTGCTTCAGATGAGCCGAACGCCCGTACAATTTTGAACCAGGACCCCCGGGGGCTTGTGTTGTAGATTGCATTTTCGATTTTGAGCTCCATTTCCAAACTATCACCTCTTAATATCTACGTATTTGAAAGCATAAACTACTAGTAAGAGCTAGGGTCGCAGATCGAGAGCTATATTGGCTTTGGGAAGGACAGGTTACAAGAGTTGGGACAGACCACATGGGAGGGAACAGACTGTGCAGTACAAAGGGACTGTATAGTACATAGGAATAAAGGAACCATAATTTGATATCTATGCATATCATGAGTGGAATTCTAAGAGGCAACATAAGATCTTTTATAGCCCGGTGGCAAAGTGAACCCAGGCCAGATTACAAGTTTGGCACCTACTCAGCCAACGCTGCCTGATTCTCTTTGGTATACAGCTGCGCATGAATGCTCTTGGCCCGCCGCTCATACGCCTTGTTAGACAACCCCTGCACTTTGTCACTTCGACTATCTTCCCCATCTCGATAGAGAAACAACAATGGAAGCGGATTATCACTCCACTTCTGTAACTTCCCGCGGTGCGTTTTCCACTCCGTCCCTAACCATGTCACAGCACCAAGCAGCCAAACAAGCAACGGCAAGGTTAACCACTGCCAATGGACGTGAACAATAATCACATTCACCTGTGTGTGGCCCAGTACCATGTTAGCCCCCTGCTCATTATCGATATACGCCTGGTCGCGGAACGACTTGGACATAGCATCAGCAACATTCCTCATTGCACAAACAAACCGGTCGTTCTCAATATCCGCGCAGCCTGTGACGTTCCCATACATAAAAGCCTGGATCACATCAGCTACCGCATATGAGAACCCGTATTGGTTTCCAGTTGGGACAAATGCTAGTTGCATCATGTCGGTCTGTGCCTTGCCAGAAAAAAGTGACTCCATGAAGAGCGAGATTGTACTGTGGCTACTCGGGAACAGAGTAAAATTCTGACCAGGTTGGATACCCAGGCTTGAATTCCAGTCCGGGAGGAGCGAGTACCCGTAGTTGCTCTTTGTCTTGTCCTTCCACGCCTCTGCTTTTGGCCACTCTGCGAGAGTGGTTTCGTTGTAGACGGAGCTATTAACATAGGCCCTGACACTGCGGACGACGGGTTCCAGGGAACATTCCGTCGCGACATATCTAGGATGATCGCGGATATATGAAGCTATATTCCAACCTTCTTTCGTTCTTGGTACTACTGCTTGGATGCGCTGTATAACTGGTAAGGTGGCATTGATGTACACGACGGGCTGAGACGAGGGTTGGACTTGTAAGGCAATTGCTGCCGCTTTATAACCGTCGGCATAATATGCAGATGCCCCATTTGGAAGTGAGACCGTGCAATTGTCATATGGAGCGTCGGGGCTGTCAATGTGTTCGCATGTTTTCTTGATGGAGGATGTAACGTCTGAGCAAAGGGCGCGCACTGCAAGGGAGGCAATGGGGTCCCAGGTGCAGTTGCCTGTTGGGCACATATACTGTGGGATGGCCCATGGCCTCCGTATATCCGTACTAAATATGGAGTTGTATATGTTGCCTTTGAATGTAGGCTCAATATAGAAGTCTGTTTATGTTAGTACTTCGTCCGGTATAGCAAACAGCCACGGATAGGATGAGAACGAACTCTCTGCGGCGGCTTGCAGCGGCCCAAGGCCACTATAATCTGTGGTATTTGCTAGACGAGAGATTCGTGATGCATCCACGACAAGATCGGGCGAGTAATTCACCAGATTTTGAATGAATGGGTCAAACCCAACTGCGAGCAGCATCGCAATGGCACCCAAGACCGCAAAATGACTATCCCATCAGTATTTGCACAACTGCACAGCTCCCACTATATGAAAACTTACCGCATCCTCAAAGCCCATAACAGCTCTGCACTCCCATAAATGCCTCTACTAGCGCCATCAAAAACCCTCAGGTCTGATAACGGGCGCTTTCTCTGCGCAAACCACACCCACTTGAGCTGCGACAGGCCAGCACTAATGGGGAATGCGATGCAGCCCTTTCCAACCGTGCTCAGCCACGAGAGCAGGGTGTTGAGCGAAATCCACCTCCAGCTGGGTTGCTGCTTTCCATCATACACACGCAGGATGACGATTATTGCGATCAGGATTGCAAGCGCTAAGACGAGCCCAAGTATATCCCATCCCCACCAGTGGTCTATGTTTGGGGGGCGTTGTGTAATTTGCTGTCTGCGGCTTTTTCCTGGGTTGGGGTCGAGGCTTTGGTGGACACTGGAGCAGAAGAGGGTTGTGATTCTGCATGAGGGTGCCCGCGCCCTACCTGCGTTGAAAATTGCAGTAGGGGGTTTTCTTGGTTATGGCCCTCCTTATTCCTATTTGACTCCATACCTGCTAGTTCATCAGTGGTTATGTGTTGAGAGAATATGGCAATTTCAAACGGATTTAAATATTTTCACCCTCCAGACTTAGTGGGCATCTCTACCCACTGGGCAGATGAGGCCGTGGGGCTGTGACAATTATTATTAGATCATGATGCCCAGAGTTAGTCGAAGTCTCAAAGATCTTTTGGGGCGGAAGGTTGATCTTTACCTAAAAGACCCCATTCCGGCTGGGGGTGGAGGAATATGAACATTAAACGAGGGGAGAGTACAGGGACAAAGCGCGTTAATGCAGGGTCTCTAAACACTTGGCAGGCAGAATTCAAGGCTGATTCAATACTGATGCTTGTATTTGGCCCAACGCTCGATCAAGTATCTGCGCGTCATGACAGATTATCACGGGCCAAACTGGAAGAACTATGCTCAATAAGATCAGTCCGTGTATGTTGTGGATAGAGAGAGAGTCATTATGCCAAGCACCCAATAGTATGTAACATCTATGGATGCCTTTTTGTAGTATATAATCTAATTTTAGGGGTTTTATAAAACCGATAAAATGTTAACTAGGGCGGGATAGAGAGTTACCTAAGCCAAGGGAATTAATCAAACACGTGGGCGGTAGACTGAAAAGCGCAACTTTGCAGAGCAAAGTTCGTAAAATTGGGATGCGCTATACCTAATTAGATAGTCTGGGCGCTATCTACCATGGTAAAAGTAACCCGGGCGCACGGGGATTACCGGAGTATAAATAAGTGGAGCATATTTTAACGGGGTTTGACTGCACCCGGTGCTGTTGGTGCCCAGGTGGGCCCCAGCGGATAGTTAACATTGTGCTCATCAGATCATAAATTGCAAAATTATGTATCCTGTATATGGCAACTCCATATACAAGATACTTACATCCAAAAATAGTCATAACACCAATTTCCTCAATCCTTAGACTAGTCACGGAGAATATAAAAAGGTATATAGAGTGTAAATAAAGTCTTAACCATATCTATCAATCTTAGTAAGAGCTATTTATTATGCTTGAAGTAAGAAAATAATTAAACTTTTATATGTGTATATGATCACGTCAAGTGTGGTTGTGCTGTATCTACCCCTCTTCAGACCCCTAGAATCTTTGTCCTAGGTCACAGCATCACCCGCTGCCTCAAAAACTCTGAGAATCCGAGAGTTCCTCTTCTTGATATTACTTAACATAATGTCACCTGCCTTCGCGGCATACTCTGCAAGTTCTGCAAGAAGCTTGTCATGTGTTTTTGACGCTTCCTAGGCAATCCAATGCAACCCACTTGCGCGTGTCAATCAATGAAACTCTTAGGCGAGTCGGCGGTGTATCTTCAGGTTACAAGGTTGAGCTAGTAATACAGCGGCTAGAGAGTTCTCAGGAATTAGGAAAGCTGTACATTATTCTGGGGTAGTTGGCTATACAGGACCACTTCAACCGAAACCGAAGGGTCATGGGTTGTTTTTTTGATATCTTTGTGTTTATCAGTGCCATCAAGATGGACCTTGGGTTTCACAGAGCGTAGTAGCACCGAATCTATAATGTATGCACATCCGTGATCAAATATGGTATTGAATAGTTGCTTGTAAAGCTTACTGGATGATTGAAGCATATGTCAATGCCCCGCCTAGAATTAGGTGAAAGCTCACCCTTTCTTGGCTTGCTCCGAAACCAGGCATCGTAGTCGCTTATCATTGAAACATTATCACCAGGGTCTGATACGAATTCAATTAATGATATGCAAAGGTGACCACGACTTCCATCCTATGTCTCCGCGTAGCTAGTGCTGTGACTGGTATAACCGCGAGCCAGTCACGGATTTTGTTTTCTATCCCCTTATACAGTTTACCTTGTTTTAGTGTAGTATAGCAGGGGAACAGAGAAAAGCAAAGGTTCGTCGTCGTCGATTCCAACATGTTGATACTGCTGGAGGAGACCTGTTCGGAGCATAAAGTTGACCACGTAGGGGATGGCCTGCGGGTTCGACACGATCTTGTCATAGTCTCGTTCCATAAATCCGATCCCGATCCCCTCCAATTGCTCCCACAATGCAACACACCTGGCATGTCGGTGGCTTTTTCAAATAAATCACGACTGAAAGCCCGCAGGATGAAGATGAATGGGTCGGTAGAGCTGAGCGACACTTGTTCTTCACTTGCCAGATGAAATAAACCCACGAACGATGGATCAGTGAGCTGCAGCACTTGATATAGACTTGGAAAGAGAGGCTAGTCGAATCGCTAGAATGAGAGTGGTAGTGGGCAGCAGAAAAGTAAACCATGGAATATAATTAACATCCTAGCAGAGGAAATCACATACGACCATAGGGTGTGGAAAACAGGGCTTCCCGTCCGCTCAGCCGTACTTAAGCCACACGCCGGTGAGTTAGTAGTTGGGTGGGTGACCACCAGCGAATCCTCACTGTTGTATGTTTTTCTTTTTTTCCACCTCTCTGTGGAGATGTAGTTAGTGAATGTGCTGGATTTTTTGGGCGGGTTGAGTGATGGCTTTCATTGGTGTCCACACGAGAACCTATTCCTGTGGATAGCACTCGGCGGCGTAAGCAACCAATATATACCCTACGCCGTTCACCAGCTTAGACCTACTGCCGCTTATATGGCCTTGTTATATTCATTTTAGGTCCTTTTAAATATATATGAGGGCGGTAAAAAAGCAGAGAAATAAGAGACCTTAAACTTTACTACATATAACCTTTGACTATATAGTTAATCAACTTTATAATAGTATGACCAACCATGAATCTTAAACCCCATTAAGATGAGGTTATATCCCTTTTTCAAGCCGGCGTTATCTTCAACTATATAATTAATTTGTTTATACTTGTAAAGTGAGAGTGGATCTAAATTAATGCCTGGCAATATGAACCAACGAGAGAGTCATGAACCGGTGGCATACTTAGTTGCCCGTAGGTATGAGTATGACACCTGAATCTTGATCTCGATCAAATTGCGTGTGACAGCTTCCATAGAGCGGCATAGTTCATTCGAACCAGGAGCAATAGTAACACGCACCTACTTCTCTTCTTTCCAATCACATGACATATCCAAGGGTCTGTAGACTGACACACCCAGCAGGAATCTCCAGCGAGCCGTTTGATCTCCGTTTTTGTGACAGTCGAACGACGTCAGATTTCAGTTGATGCCAACAACATGGTAGAGGAAGATTTCGTGTGCCTATTTGCAAGAGACCTAGCGGTATGAGGGCGACTTGGGGACGAACTGAGCTCAGAAGATTGTCCTCTACCGCCTGGCGAGGGTGGCAGTGGCATTTCCTCACGCTCAGGACCTGGTTCAGTTATGTTTTGGTCAGCTGCGTTTCATCGAGAGGGGCGTGTTTGGGGTCACCTACACCAGAGAAAGGGAGTTGGAATGTTTTGGTACACAGGTCGGTCCTTCCTCGAAGCAAGTCATGATGGCGAGGTAATCGCAGCTGAGCTGAGTGAGGGACAGAACCACGGCTCTGAGGCTGAATATAGCTAAGACAAAGTTCACGCTCATCTGTTAACGATGAACTCACATCAACTAGGCGTAGGGCGGCAAGAGATCACCCTGGGGTCGATGTACAAGAATGTAACTACACAGTAGTTCGAACTCCACTATGTCGCGGGAGAAGGTGCCTAGATAAGAGATCTAGACGGGTGTCCCTGTGGTCACGAGACGGCAACTGGATGGTCCACGTCGGCAAAGTATTGCCTTCTTAGAACCCTTTAACTTGTTCTTCCTTTACTTGGTATTTAGTCTGGAAAAAACCACTATGCAATTTTGGTATACAACCTAGTTCCTCGTTTCCCGTCAATCGCGAATCCATCTTCAGACAAGGCTAGGTCGGTACTCTCGTGTATCCGTTTGCCATTTGTTGACCGATGCAGGGAAGGCGTCCTGTCCTGAATCAGCCTCTCTGAGGTAGACTTGATCTGTCGAAATACAGGCTCTCGAACTGGGGATTGAGATTTCAATAGTGGCTAACATTTACAAGGTAAAATCGTGGGATAAATAATCAAACGAAAGAAAGAACGGGCAAAAAAGAAAAACATACAACAGTGAGGATTCGCTGGTGGTCACCCACCCAACTACTAACTCACCGGCGTGTGGCTTAAGTACGGCTGAGCGGACGGGAAGCCCTGTTTTCCACACCCTATGGTCGTATGTATCAGATTAGGTGTTAAATGAAATTATATACGCATCTAGATAGACATAAAGAGTAATAATGAGCGGGGTCACGCTTTACACCCCTAGAGCCCTAAAGACTTCTTACGGCTTACCTAGGTGAGAGGAGTCTAGCGTCAGCCGTATTCTCCCGCACAGACCACTGAAATGCCGTGAAACACGAACACGAAATCGACGTGACATCGATGACTCTATTAAATAGGCAGCCAAATCTATTCTTTGTCTCATTTCCTACACAATTACAATATGGCCAGAGACAACGAGAGCTATGAGAGCTACCCAAAAGTGACAGTGGAGGACACTCCGCACCAGGTATATAACAGAAGGGGCATATCCAAGAGGAATGGACTTTAACATATATCTTACCAGAATGGTGCGCATCGTGCGGTACTCCATTGGCTCGAAGTAAGTAATCGGCATCCCCATCCAGGTCAACATCAGACCAACTAATCTGATGTACTTACCTATTTGGAAGGTGCATCGCGACGAGGTAGACCCAGCAACACTCAACTACTTCTCTTTGCCGTGGGATTGGTCCGAGGCGAGTCAAACATGTGTTAAGGATTTATATATCGTACTGACGAAATATAGAACCACGATTATATTGTTATCCGAAAGTCAATCAGTCAGAATGTACTAGATATGCTTTATGAACACACAAGATACTTCAAAGAGAACGGTGAGATTCGGGGTGGTAGAGAGCGGTACCGCCAACAGGACGTGGATTTCGAGAATCCCGACCAAAATTCGAATTATCGGCCGCCTATGTGCGCATTGCGCGGGGTACCGCTGAGTTTTGATGTCGGACTCAAACCGTCCACTATCAAGCGGTCCGTGGATGGTTTCAGAGCTGACCCGTCCCACCGGGGACATGTCGGCCAAAGGCTTGACGTCGCTAGTTCGCGGATGCCAGGATATGGAAAATTGATTCTGTACCGAACCAATGTGACAGTCAATGAGGGACAGGACCCTCAGTTCTCATGGACGTGAGTTTTCAGATTTCCCAATCATCAGAAGATATAATATTCTCATCATATGATTGAGCATTAGCCATACGCAGACCGACACGAATAGTTTTAATGATTTCTTGGTATATACCTTATCTATTCATTGGACTACACATTTTTCACTAACAAGCTAGCGCTTTGCATCAAACGTTCCGAATCTAGCAGATGAGGACAGGGCTCTCATTGTGTCTCTCCTAGAGCGAGCCCAGCGAGATCCCCCTGGATTGAGCGAGCCACAGTATGTGATGCGCTGTGTTGGCTCTAATTCCACCCCAAACCGCACCGAAAGGTCAGCCATTTTCCTCCGTCTTCCTTACTATTCAACCCAAAAAATGGATGCAGCCCAATCCTTTCGAAAGTCTGCCTATTCTACGCGCAGCCTCCTGCAGTATTTTTACGACTTGGAGTCTACCCGGCATCGTGACCTGCAACAAGTAGTTCGAAAATCGGGAGTCTTTCCAAAGGGCCATGTTGTTCATGTCTCTGAATTATGGGCAGTGATCGTCAATTTTCGTTAGTAAACACCCTTTTGTATGAGCTAATTACGACATACTGACATCTGGTGACACCAGAATTCATTATAACTAGTGCACCGATACCACTGATGGATAGTGCAAGTCCCTCTTTGGAGATCATGAGCCCGCCGACATCCCAGTCATCACCTCCTTCCAATATTTGTGTCATCAATACCGACAAGCGTGTGTTCTTCTTTCCCGTTGAGCTCTGCAAGACGTTCTTTGTATGTCATATTTTTCCCCTTGTGGCATATTATTTAAGTCTCACAGTGTTGATGTTTATCGAACAGGAAATGAGAGATAGGATTTTCAGATACTGTCTAGCGGAGGGCCAAGGCCGCAATGATGACAACCGCGGGCATGGATTCTCCTGGGATTTTAACATGTTTACCCAAGACGATGTTCTGATCAAAGCAGAGGATTGGGCCAAACTGACAGCCTCGAGCACATCGACGCTTCTTCGCATTCGTATTGAGACTTTCGTACCGGACACCGCAGAGGAGCGCAGAGGTAAAGATAAAAAAGGAAAGAGGTTCATGTTCGAAGATGACAGGGAAAAAGAGGAGATGGAGAGAATGTTCGATGCGGCATCTCCTAAATCAGAGCGAAGTAGACAGAGCCTACCGGAAACAGATAGACAGGATCAATCTGCGCAAAATCTTGATTCATCCGAGACAGGTCAACAGGGTGAGTCTGAGAGAAATCGTGATTTGCCCGAGACAGATGAAGATGAACGGGGTCCGAACGAGACGGAAGAACCCACCGAGGATTACAAATCTGACTGGAACGGCGGGTATTTTGGTAAGGCTCACTATACCGGAGCAAGGCATCGCTTGCAGCGGCGCACCAGTGATGAGCATTTCTTCTATTCCGCGGGCATTGTGGTCAACCAAACACCTCGTGACAAAATCCCTGCTCCTTCGAATATTTACTTTGAACCAACCAAACCCACCCTCTCTTGGGATAAGGAGTCTGTTGATCAAGATATTCTTCCCAGGGCGGCAGATTTGGAAGACCGGAGTGATCATAGTCATCGTTCCAAGACATCTAAATCCTTACCCGGAAGTTCGTCTGCCTCCCAGACCTCTTCCCATGCTCATCCACCCACTATCAACTTGGAATTCCCTCCAGTCTTTACCTGGCGGACAAAGACAACCTCCTTGGTGGAAGAAAGCCTGACCTCAAAGCCAAACAGCCCTCTCGATAACCCTAGGTCGGATCATCTAAAGTCGAAGGTTCAGTCTCCAAATAACCCACCTGAGGTTTTGAGCGTGGACGAAGAAACAATGAAGAACCTCTTCGCAGATATCAATAATGAGCTGCTTGATCCTACCACTGGAGATAGTTCGTCAATCTATAAACAAGCGACGGAAAAGTCATACTTTGATATGGACCGGGCTATCACGCAGAGATATACCGTTTCTCTTCCCACATTGATCGCGGAGCATGCTGAGATTGTCCCTGACTTACCCTCGCCGGAAATGGTACCCTTGAGAAACATTGTCAGTAGGCTATGTCGACTGTTCAACTTCTTTGCCCCGCTTTCATACCCATGTACTGTCAGCGACAAGTTCTGGGGGGCGGTTCATGATCTTCTCACCGTGAGAAACACCCATTCCCTCTATCCCTACAACATCTAATGCCCAAATTCGCAGATCATCCCCCAGTATTGGGACACATCCTACCCGCAAGAGCTAGCCAATCAAGCAGGTCATCAACGGATGTCGAAGACCTTCCTTATAGCCAACCTCGGCCGTACTGAATACTACGACCTCCCTGAAGACGACAAGCTAGATGAATTGACCTTCATCGTGAGTGAATGCGAAAAATGCATGGCATCCCATCAATACTCCACTCGGTCAGATGCCCTCGATCATCTCCTTACGCACGTTTCCGTGATTTTCCCCGAACAACGCTCGTTAAGCAGCTCGCAATCACAGTGGGTGGTGGATTTTGAAGGTTATCTGACACACATTTGTCGGGGGGATGACCGAGTCATAATTAAAGAACTGGTAGACTTTTTGGAAAGTTTGGAGAAGATGGCAGCTCAGATCCAGCACGGAGTGTCAGCCAATGGGGAGTTTGACCGGAACACATACTTCATCCCGAAGAATTTGGTTGGTGCCTTCCAGGATCTCCTGATGCTAGTCGTGACCAGCGCACATCTCGTGAAGACCTATCACAAGAGGCGAGAAATTTACACAGGTTCCGACCCGTTGCCGACCTTCTCGATGCCCTCAGACTTAGATGTGACGGATGTTGGGGTAGAGGCAGAGATGTCTATGGAGAAAGCCATAACAGACATTATCATGATGACCTATACCGACGAGGTATCCGATGTTGTCACCTACGAAGCCGTGGGTCCCGCATTGGTCCTCGCTATTATCATGGGGGACATCCGCTGCAGAGACTCGCAAAGCAACCAGGTCAACTTAATCGAGATCTATCGTGAACACATCCGCAACCTGGTCGGTATCCCTTTCTTGGTCCCTGTTATTACTCTCAACTTTACTAATTTATCTCTATCTTCTCAGCAATTCAAAGCGAGTCAAAATCCCCAGCGACGTCTACTGCAGGAAATCTATCTCGTCCGTGAGGAGCTAGAAATAATCCAGAAGGCTTCCGAGAGACAGCAGCTCGTTCTCACAAACTACCTAAGCGTCATAGACCCACACTCTTTCACCATCACCACCGAGTCCCGGGTCTCGTCATTTGAGCTCGAGAAAAAGCGGTTACACAAGCTCATCCGCCAGCTTAATGCCGAGCTTAGAGAAATCTCACACCTCAACGTAAAGCTTGACTCCTTGGCCAACCAGACGCTCAGTGGGGTAGACGTGCAACAAGAAGACCAAGGAAAAGCTGTCCTTGTCTTTACCATCATGACGGTGGTGTTTACGCCGTTATCATTTGTGACCAGCTATCTCGGCATGAACACCGCTGACATCCGCGACATGAACAGCTCGCAGACGCTGTTTTGGGCCATCTCTGCTCCGCTGACAGTTGGGATTATTACAATCGTCTTGTTTGTTGCGTTTCAGGTAGATCGGATTCGAGAGGCTTTCGATGCTTTTTGGACGTATGATTCTACATTTGCGGCTAAATCTGGCTCGGCTGCTTTGTGCGGGAAAGGGTCGAGGAATCGCATTGAAGGGCCCTCGAGATTTTCAACGCCGAAGAATTGGGTTACGCGTGGCTGGCCTGTGGGGAGGAAGGCTGAGCTGGACGACTCAATAGGGGTTTAGCCGGCCTATGCCGGATCCATGTTATGCAAGCCGGTCGATCGTTGTGCGGAGTCTCAGTTGATGGATCACCATAGATCCTACTGGGACTCGATTTATTATTGATGCAAGGATCTAAGCCGAAATCAATATGCACAGAAGAAATGCATCACATGCTTGCTAGGCATACATTAATATACAGTAATCCAAAACAGTCCCGTCTTCGATGCTTTTTTTGGCAGGACAAGTGGAGAGATTTTTATTCAGCCACCTGGCCACAGAAAGAGACACGCCGGTCTTGGTACCAGCCACAAAAACAAATCCGCTGTCCATAAAGTACAATGCTCCAAAAACACAGGCTGCAGGATGCGGTATTAAAAGCAAGTAAAGAAAACAGGATCCTCTATGATATGTCGTTTAAGAATGATGAACCAAATCGGACACCCGAGAAGAGAGACTCAATGTGGCGATGTCGTTATGAAGAAAGAGGTGGAAGCGAGGATGAAATCGGGGGCGATCGAGTGTAGATAGGTTGATCGTGTTGGTGAATGGAGAGAGGAAATTTAAGCCAAGGCCTTCTGCTCAGATGGAGGAGGGGGAGGAAGCTATTAGACATTCGTGGTTAGCAGACACGTCTTAACCCAAACCCCAAACGGATTCATTCAAAAATCAAGGAGTCCATCGTACCTCGAGCTTTGTGTTATCAGCCATCATACGCTGGAAACCAATGCCGACACCCTCAATTACAGCAAGGAAGACAGCACACATAATAGCGGAGTTTCGGGCGGCCTTGTAACCACCACGGATGGCGAGGGAGCCGCCGGTGAAGAAACCAGCGATGATAGCATTATAAGGGTCTTCCTTCTTGCGAATTCCCTTGATTGAACAGTCGTATATACTGAAAAGTCCTCCCCAGCAGCCGAAGTTACCACCGAGGACGGGAGCACGCGCCTTGATAGCTGTGAGAGCACCTATCCGGCGCTCGCCGTAGGGACTATTGCGGAAACCCTTGACACCGTGCCAGACGGCACCACCGATGGCACCCATACAAAAGGCACCGCCGAAGTCGCTCAGGGCAACCCAGGGGCAGGGGTCGCGCGTGTGATCCATGATGTGTGAAAGAGGCGGGTTGAGCGTCGGTGATATAAAGGTAGATCGGCTGGTAATGAGCCGATTATGAAAGGCGCAAGGATAAAGGTCGTATACTAGCAAGTAAGCCCAGTGAGAGAAAGAAACCGGTGAAAGGCGTGAGGGTTGTAAAGGTCGAGGATTGACGAGCCCAGAGATGCGATAACAAGATAAGGGCGGGTCGACTTTTTCTTTCCCAGGTCGGGGTACACGTGACCACTGATGTTCGATCCGGTCGCCACCGAACCCTTGGATTTCTACGATGTCCCCCGTGTTTCTTATTACTTTTGGATTATCATTCGTTCGGGTTTGGAATCCCTTGGTTCCCTACCCGTGGGACGAGAATATCCCGGCCATTCATCCCTGCATGATGTCTCGAGGCCATCAGAAAATTTCTTCGTTCTTGCCCAATAATTTATGATACTACACGACTCTTTGGTTGTCATCCATGGATTGTTTTGGGAGGAGCCAACAGAGCCAATCAGCGATCATAGATCCCAACACCTCGGAACTATTCTGCCTTCTAAAGAATGTATTTATCCTGCTTTGTCTTAGAACTTGGTGTGTTAGTGGAGTAGAAGAGACAATGTGGAGAGCTCATCAGTACCATTTAGTTTGGCAGCTAGTAAGCCTAAGAGGGTCTTTGATGTCATGGGAAATTTAGCGTAGACATGTCCATAGATGGTTAGCGGATAGCAGCAGCAATACTATGCGCTTTACCTTTCGTGTGGTCCTATAATATGCCACATGATCTTGGACAAGCTGCTGCTTATGCTCTGAGTAAGATTCCGCTACGAGCTAAACTGGGATTTGGTGAGAGTGAACCTAGTGATGAGGCAGAGATGATTGGTGGGAATTATCTTAAGGAAACATTGAAACTTTGGTTGGCGTAGCTAATTGAGCAAGGGAAAAAAAGACCTCGGGCACAAATTTGAGCAGATATATATAAGAAACCCACACTATCTACTTTCACCGGTAGACGTGTACGGGGGCCCATGATATATTAGATGTAGGTGGCTGCCAAAGCTGATAGTTGGCATTTACATATATCTAGCAGTCTTCCATCATGCTCTCTGTACTCCACATAATTTTCACCTCATCTATATCACAAACATGTACTACGTACTACTTGCTCACCAATTGCACTCCATAACTCTCTTCAAAATATACCACAGTACATACGACCATAGGGTGTGGAAAACAGGGCTTCCCGTCCGCTCAGCCGTACTTAAGCCACACGCCGGTGAGTTAGTAGTTGGGTGGGTGACCACCAGCGAATCCTCACTGTTGTATGTTTTTGTTTTTTAAAAATCTTTTTTGTTCTTTGGAAGTCCCTCTTGCCGCCCTACTCTTCAGCCCCTTCACCCCATTTACCTGAGTATCCTGCCCGCCCCTGAGCAGCTATTCATGGTATTCGGCTGACATCTCCGATAAGAGTTTAGACCTCAGTTCCGGGTAGTTTGGAAATAATCCGTTGAATTATCAGTAGAACTGACTGTTCCGATTTTTAATAGTGACAATACGAGCGTTAGGGTTGGGGTGGCTTATAAGATGTATTAATTTGAACAGATGGAACTAATGTGCTCGCTGTCGCCGAGGCCTTGTTACACGAAGCGCGCGCGTTGACGAAGTGATGTGGTCGAAGCCTACTATTTGAAGATTGTGGATTATGTATTACAATGGGTATTTCATTATTTGTATCTTCATTGGTGCTTATATTGGGTCATTCATCTTTACTTGGGAGACTATTAATTAGGTCTAGATGAGTTCCACTTCTCATATTCTAGGATATGATTTATTATATAACTAACATCGCTATGTTACAGAAAGTGATGGGAAGTCGACAAGCATTGCAAACGAGTCAACTGTTTGCTGTGGTTGATGTTGTGAACATTCAAAGCTCAATTCGTGCCAATAAAACATGTGAAATAACCCTTAGCAATATTTGCAGATAGAACCCCGATACAAAGATATTACGCTCGTTATTCATGTCCAATGGGGTGCCTACATCATGCCCGCCATGTTATTGGCCTTTCAACAACCTCAGCCCTAGAAATGCATTATAGGTCCCTTATTTGTAGCCGTACGAGCTGAGCTCATGTACAAATGGATTTGAAGGGTTGGAAGCCGTATCTATCTCTTGCGGTGCCTTGTGGGTGCTTTTTTGGTAAGGGAGACTCTGTCTAGCGATAGACTCTTCCTTTACGGATAATTGCTGCGCTTTCTTTCGGAGGTATACGAACCATCCAATAAGACCCGCAATTATTGCGGTGGCCGCAACAGAGCCGATTACAGCTCCTGCAATCCAGCCTTGGCTCTGACTAGTCACGGTCTGCGAATCACCGGCTTGGGTGGCTGTGGTCGATGCGGCAACTGTAGGTGCAGCCGTTGTTGGGGAATTGTTTGAGGATGAGCCGGTTGTGGATGGTACTGTGGTAGATAGGACACTTGTGCGGGAAGATGTGGAAATAGTGGAAGATTCTGGGGATGCAGTCAGTTCATATGTTCGCTTTTTGGCTGTTGTATGTGGGTCCATACTTGAGCTAGTGGTTGATACTGCTAATTCGCGAAAGACAGTGAAGGCGACCCAATATTCTGCGCAGAAGATATTGCTCGCCGAAGGTGATGCGTATGGTGCTGATTGGAAGATGGTCATGGTACGACATACATTGCTAGGTACGAAAAGAAAGTAATAAGTCAGCCTCTTGCTTTACTTATTGGGATACTATTCCTTCCAAGTACTTACCATGAAGATGTTTTACCATCATCATAGGTGATACTATTGCCTATACAATCTGTGGCATAGCCGCAAGCACCTTTAGAGCAACCGCGCGCATAGTTCCCAGAGGTAGTCCAAGTCTCGGGGTCTGTTAATGCCTGGGCTGGAAAATAATAAGCTTAGTCCGGTTCTAAACTCTGCGTAGATCGATCGTAGGTGCGCACTCACTTGTTGAAGGTCCCATGTACCATCCGATAAAATGAGGGTCACTCTGTATCGAAGTATTCATAGCATTACTCTGGCCCATGGCACCATGAGATAAAAGCATGATACTCAGTAGCATAAACCATTTCGAAAATGGTGTGGATGAAGTCGACATCGTTGATCTGGAAGATCGTCTCTAAATCCGGAAATGGAATGTCGCGTGGAGCAAAGGGAAAGGGCGGCGGCCATAATTTATTCGGCCTGATACCCTGGATACAACTCACCAAGTTAGGCGCCAGACAACAGCCTCACGTATACGCGAACTTCTGGTTTCTATTTCTGCTGCATAGACTAACACTGCGATGCAATGGCTACCCTGCCATGCCCGCTCGGGCGAGAAGGGACGCTAATGCAAACGCCCCTAGTTGCTTTTTTTGCCAGTAGAACCAACACCAGGAATCAGTATTGCCTAACCGCTAGTATGAAACTCACACCTTTTTCTATATTTAATTTGTTATATTCGTTTGAAAGAATACTATATCTATTACCCGTGGCAACTATCACTGCAGGGTATAGCATCAGGCCAATCAGGGGACTACAATAACCGCCACTAAGACCCGGCAAATCAAACGGTGTATTCCGACCACCCAAGGCCACTTAATCGCAGACCCTAATGTATTCCCCCTGAGCAAATTCTGATATGTCTGAGCCAGTAGTGGATCAGGAACGGAGATCCCGGACGGGATTAACCACAATCGTCGAATCTAAGCGCTAAAGCTGATGCCATGATATGATACTCAAAGGTCTCACTTCTGCTCTTTCTTATTTTGTTTGTCTCCATTGTGTCCACCTTCTCTTATACTATATTCGACTTTCATTTACTCACTATTTTTTTTTGTTTTGCGGCCATCTCTTTCGCCTCTGCGCATCTGCCCTGAGGGGTCCCCACACCATGTTATCAATCACCAACTTGAACAATTCGCGCGCCTTGCGCCTGGTCGTTCCTATTGTCATAGTTTTCGCACTCGCGTACACTTTATATGCGGACTGGAAGCCTGTACAAAAGGTTATTCCGAGCTCGAACCCCTCCTCAGCCTCCTCAGGGGCCATTGTGACCGGCGACGCAAGTTCAGCTCCCCCAACTTCACAAATCCCTAAAGATCCTTCGCCCAGCAAATCCAAATTTCACCACTCAAACGCCAACACTTCAATTTCCAATATTCCGGATAAAGTCTGGCATTCTGCAAAAACAGATGACATATCGGAAAATCAACGCAAATGGGTGAACAGCTGGTCGAGCACCTCGCCCGAATGCCGCCAAGAATTGCTTACCGACCGATCCGGCGAGGCGTTTGTTCGCGCATACTACCAGGAGACGCGGCCAGATATTGTTGAAGTCATTGAAACCTTATCCATTCCAATTTTACGGGCAGATCTTCTTCGTTATTTGATTGTTCTCGCTGAGGGCGGGTACTGGAGTGATTTAGATGTCACTTTGGAGAAACCACTCTCTGACTGGGTCCCCACGGAGTACAAGGATCAAAATATCGATATGATTGTCGGTTTGGAATTCGACTTTGCTTATCGGGGCCCAGAAGCCGAGGTCGCATCTCAATTTTGCAACTGGGTGTTTGCAGCACAGCCGTCATCTCGCAACCTGCTTGTGATTGTTAACGCTGTCATCAATAAGTTGAAGGAGATTGCAAAGACTAACAATGTGTCTATCTCCGGCATCACATTGGAAATGCTCAAGGATGTGGTGAACGTGACTGGACCTAAGATCATGACGATTGCGATCTTAGAAAGTCTAGGACAATTGCTCAACAGGACGGTGGATGACCGCGACTTCTCGGGAATCAAACATCCAAAAATGGTCGGTGATGTCTTGATCATGCCCGGTGTTTCATTTGCGGCGGCCCAAAACGGATTCCCTACGGATCAAGGTGATGTACTTGTGACACACCATTACGAGGGCTCGTGGAAGCAGGCAGACGCAGAAGCCAAAGAAAGAAAAAAGCAAAAGGAGCAAGAAGAGCATGAGGCACAGAGTCACCAAAGATGAAACGAGGCACTGTAATAATAATCTGCTGTACAAATTGAACAAATGATGTCTATAATCACGTCTCATGAAGGTACTCGCGGAAAATATGTAACAGATGTGGGCATTTGCAGTCTGTAGGTATTCGGAAAATTATTAACTCCTGACTTTGTAGAACACATTTCAAACAGCATTACTGGAATCACGCGTCACAAGCAAGGAAAGCAGGGATAAGCGCCACTGATAGCATAGATAGAATAGCGGGGCGGCAAGCGATAGAGAATGGCTGGGGATTGTAGAAACAAGCCAGTCTTTCACTTCTCCAGACAGTCCGCATACCCACTACGCCGGTTTAGGTTTAAGAAGAAGCCCTAACTCTGAGTTCGCTGTCTACCATATGCAAGCACCCGCAGTATCTTTCCATTTTCTGTCCTCCAGGTCGTTCAGTCGATGACCTAACAGGAGAGCATTTCGAAGCCTCCAGGGAGGTATGTAAAGAATTCGTGGATATTTTCAAGGACGAAAAACGGTTTCTTCCTATCAACAGTGTCTATCCTTACAGGACCACACTCTTATAAAAAATGGTTGGGAAACCGGAAGCTTTTGGTATTTTTATGCTTTGGAGAGCCGGAATGGCGTATGCAACCTCTGCCGTCAACACTTTTATCCCATTTTCAAACCTTCGTGTCAAATTGTTTCGGATGTTTCTGAGGGTTGTATCTGAGGAGGGCTGGATTAGAGCGGCGAGCCGCTCATGCCCTAACCGTGGGCGCTAGATGACAACGACCTTAGACATGCTGTTTTATGTTTCATTTTTTCACAATCCTTTGTGGAGATGCAGTCAGTGTGCTATATTTATTTTTTGGGCCGGTTGAGTGAGGGTTTTGCATTGGCGTCAACACGAGAACCTATATACCTGTGGATACAGTAGTATTCGAACACACACTGGCTTTCTTTCCCAGCGCCTCACTCAGATCGTGCTAGGCTGAATTCGGCCAGTGAAGATCACTAGGTAGCTTAACAAATTATATTTTTTGCATAACTCATGTTTGCACTGTTTACAGTCAGTCCCACGGGAGTCCCACCGTAGTCCCATGAGACCAAATGGTGGAGGTTGGCAAGGTCTAGGCTCTTTTGGCGGATAGCGTAATAAAGCTAAAAGCTCGCGCCATGGGAGGGATTAAGAGCCAATAGAGCTTGATTTGCCAAATACGGAGAATCAAGACCAGATCATAATAGACCATAGCTGCTGCTCCAAGTACCATCACCAATAAAGGGCCTATGAGACCTTTCCACCTAAGAGCGGTGGGAGTCACAATAGATGATCCTAACTCTTCCATACCAGTTACCGAAGAATTTATCGAAGATCTGCGAGTTAACACACCCTCTACAGCCGATTATACGCCTCGAACGACGATCGAGGGGCAGTGCCCTTGAAATCACATTGAGATCCAGCTTTAGTCCTTGGAAAGAGGAGAGTAGAGGAGATCTAACCGTATCCGTATAGATCTGACGGATCTGTCGCCGATAGAAAGGGTCGCGCAAAAGTATTTGTAGAAGAACTATTTACTCTATGACAAGAATTACATAACCTAAGGCCGGCCCAGTACTTCCGTACAGCCACTGCTGATAGCAGCAATGCTTTATTTGTGGTTTCTGAGTACGAGGAAAAGAAGCTTGCGGCTGAAGGTTGACTTATAAAGGAGAAGAACCTACTCTGGATGGCATCTCGGGTACTAGACCGGGTAGAAGACAGAGGGATCCCTAGGTGCTTATAAGATACCCCTATTAGAACATTCATAAAACTATATTGGTCAAGACAAGATATATATCATCTCGAGAGAAATCTAATAGAAGTGCTATTGGAATGAGAGACTGATCTTGTACCTATGATAGAGCTAGGTAGAACATCTTGTAGTTGGTAATATGAGAGGATGTTGACAATAGGTTATTTTCAGCTATCTTATATTGAGTCACTTGGGAAGCTGAGAGCAAAAGACTTCTTTCGAGAAGGTTCCGCTCATAGGAGATTCCTCTTGAGAGGGAATCAGTCACAGAACGGCCCACTGAAGAGCACAGGCCATACAAAAGGTGGTACGCCATATCAGCTGGCCCTTAGTACTACCTCTTTCCTAGTCCAACAATAATAGGACTAGACTAGTCCTGAGATATTCAGAAGCTGCCAGCGAATGCGGACAACAGACCTAGACAGTCATGCTGTCCCAGTGAGCATTGATTTTATTAGCCCATCAGCCTACTGAAATAGTGGGTCCCGCAGTGACCCCCTATTCGATGGTCGTTGCCACAGCGCGTACGCGACTAATCTCGACTCTAAATTATGAAAATGTCTTCGAAAGTCTCGCAATAGAACTTGTAGCATTACAAGCGAGGCGACCATAGTCTAAAAGACACGTACCAGCCTTGCCGAGTGGCCTCTGCATGACACGCCTCACGTACACGGGAAGCCACATGTTCGCGAACACGTCGCGAGATGCCCCTGCACTTGCATGCATGAACGGTATCCCTGTTGCTTCCCCTCATCGGGAGGCTCAGTAAATTAGACCCGACATCATGTACAGAGCCCTTAAATCCCCAGCATTTTTGTGACCATAAATTGTCTTTCTTCTCTTGCACAGGCTTTAGGCTTATTAGTTTTTTCAACCCTTTCTATTACCTCAAACAAGTTTATCGCACTCACTCATTGCCATGTCTCCTACCGAGCCCTCGTCATTGAATCCAGGAAAGCCGGCTGCCTTGCCTGTTGTCAACAGTGGCAGCCTGGAAGGATTCATTAAATACATCGGTATACTGTCGTCAAGCTCCGAAACTCAATTTGCATCTGCCGTACTTGGCGAGATCAGTCAGCAGCGCGAGCGGATTCATTCTCAGGATGAAGAGCTGGATAGACTTCGAAAGGAGATTCTTGATATTAAAGAGAGAAATAGAACGACTATCGAAGATATGTTTGCTGCCAACGGGCATGAAAAGGCAAAGCAGAGAGACTCCGCTGCGTACATCGAGAATCTTCAAGCTGTTGTCAACGACAGGGAGAACAAGATTGCCGAATATTCGAAAATTCTCGGAAATACCCAGCAGAAAATAGCGAAGTTGGAGTCAACTTGCTCGCAGGAGATCGCTAAAGTCTCACAAGCGGCTAAGGACATCAGTGAATTGCAAACCAGTTTGAAAGAAAAAGATAAGACGATCGACCAAATGAAAGCAGCTGGATCGAAACTGAAATCAATGTTATTAACTGAGCAGAAACGGAGCGAAGACCTGGAAGCTACCAATGTATCCAGAAACAAGGAGCTTCAGGCAGTCAGAGCTCGCATTCAAACTTTGGAAGGCTTCGCCGTCCAATCCTCAGATATTGATGAAAAATTTGTGTAAGTCTTGTTTAGATGGTCGCAACCATTCACTATTGACTGTTCCCGTATGATAGATCAACTAGGTTCTCGAGTCTTTGGACCTCTGCTATAAAGGATCTATCTCCATTCTTAGAGCAAAACCTTTCGGAGGATGTTTTCAAGGTTCGTCCCCAGACACCTTTCATCAAAATTTTCATTAACAAATTTCGAAAGAAAAAGTATATCTGGGAGAAACTGAGAAAAGTGGACAATATTATTCTACCACCAAGCTTTCCTCTTATACCATCAAATTCCTTAGCGGCAAAATCGATACGATCTGCATTGATTTTGGCTGTTCTGTTTAGGGAAATTGACCGACGCATTTTTCAACCGATATACTTCCTTGCAGGAGGAAGCCATCTTCGTGAAGCTCTTGATCATCTTGCAGAGAGCAATACCGAAAAAGAGGCCTTTTGCCGTCGGATAATTCTCTCTATCAATCCTGGCGCCGAAAACGAAACTCTTGAAACTGAGATTCGAGCCGTGGTCCAGAGAATGTCCTCATATACGGGTGGCCTATTTTCTGAAGCGCAGCATGATCTGTTTTGTACGAAAATCAAGACGATAGCTCAGAATGCAGCTAAAGTTTGGCTTCCAATTCAGCGATCGCAACAGAAGTTTAAGACAGACTTCGATCTTTTTGATTCCGACGACGATGAATGGGATCACTTTCCTTCCGCTGGTGAAAATAAAACATTGGCGGCACAGGAGCTTCAGGGCCTTTATGTACTCAACATTTCCCCCTGCGTTTCTTTGGTGGAAGAAGACAACTGTGGTCCATTGACCAATATCATCCAACTCCGCAGCTCTCAGGAATTATACTTGGCAGCGCAGAATGAAGCCACTAAAACAGCAACCCCTGCTACCGCCAGAAGGTCTTCGACCCGCCCTAGGAGGCAATCTACCGCAGGATCGAATGGCAAGCCTTTTTTAGGCGAAAATCAAACCAAGGACTGACTGTTGGGTTGTGGAAAAGGCTTTGGAAGCGCTCATAGCTCCGAGGACTAGGAGTAGATGAGAGTTGTCGAGACTTACTAGTGATGGAATTCTATTCATATATATCTCGTCATAATCTTCCGATATTTTATACTTGCGTGAAAATTTATATCTAAGGACTACACTAAGCACACCTCAATATATCAGAGTAGTTGGGGGTTATGCTGGAATCGAACCTATCGGACTATGTCGTGTTCGTCTGCCAAAATTGATGCACATTTAGCTAAGCACAAAATACACAGTAAGCCCCGTACACACCATAGAGAGGTGGATATCCGCAGTAGCCTGGGCTTCGAGGGTTACAGTCCTGCTCACCGGGCTTCATGGGTAGACTCGACCTCAGAATGCGTTAAATTAGATTTCTCGAGTCTAACTGGAGCTATAAGATAAAATGTTTTATCAAGACTCTATAGGGAGGAAAGCCTCACTTCCGTCCCATTATTTTGTTGCACCCCTTGCGAAATACTTCAACAGTGACTTCCGCAGTGACCTTTAATTGGACGAGTGCACGACAGCGCCCTGTGGACACGAAGCTATGACTCAAAGCCAAGCAGGTGCCTGATTAGCCACTCACTATAAAGACGACAGAAATTTCTCCTCCAGTGAAGGGAGCTGGCGAAAACTGCTCTTGATCCAGCGATAATCCAAAGTGTTTGTGAGGAAGTCTTCAGTCTATGCTGTGAGGTTGTGTAGACTGGGGATTGCTCTGCGCCATCTCCTATTCTGGAATATTTTGGGTATGATGTCCCGCAGCCAAAAGACATGGAAATACAATGCCAGAAAATGGCAAACAGATGGAATCCATCTAACCTAACTTGGAACCTCTTCTACCCAGATGTGCTTTCGTATAACTATGATATCCTGCTGAATCAACTTGGCTCGTCTTTACCATCGGAAGCGGAAAACGACCTCAGCAATGATTCTTTCACTAGTTATGCAGCAGTGTTCATAATCCATGCTGAAACTCATCGTTTTGCGCTAAGAACAGGCTGGGCTTCCCTATTTGTCTTTTCTTACTATCGATTGCTACAATTGCTGGCGAATTTCACGCTTCATGAAGAACGGACTGAAGACATTGTTCGGCTACTGGCAATTGTATTCGAGAGCGCTGGGTACATGGAAAATTTGGAAAATATGTTGCGAGACTACATGGTCGGGATCGGAATGTGGAGATGATGATGCAAAATGCTAACTTCCGCAAATATTTGGAACGCAATCCGTCATTAGAACAAACGGTCTTTCGGCTATGTGGGAATGAAGATAGCTCACGCTTGGAAATTGAATTCGCTGCGATCTCTATTCTACCTTTCCGTACATTAGAAACCAATTTGTGAAACCAACATGTCGCTATGCCTATACAGCGAATGTCTGAGTGTGCCAGGCAGTAAGGTACAGTCCCCCAAATTCTCGTCGAATGTTCCTGGTTGAGGACTGCTCTCTTTGACTTCGCTTTCCACTAGTTGGGTATCAAGAATCTCCAATCTAACCTTGCCCAGAGGTTAATCCGGACCAAATTTAAGCTTACCTCAACATAAAATTTGTTGGTCTGTTTTGTCAACTATATAGAAGCCCATATTCAACTTGGTTAAATCTAAATTTCAAACTACAATAAATAATAATACCCTGTTTAAGCCTGGAAAATACAGGTGTCGGGGAAAAGTTCAAACGTGGTGGCTGTTGTAATAAGTGTGGCCCTGCTGAGAATAATCTTATGAGGGCGAATTGATAGTCAATAGTAGTTAAAGCTTCAAATAATGGAGTGATCTGTATTCAAGTTCATGGAAATATAGGTCTATGTTTACTATCCGTAGATAGATCTAACCATCCTCATCCAAGTGGTGACTCTGCTAAGATTTGTGCGCATAGCACTCCAGAAAACCCCTCGCAGACAAACTTTGCGCTTCTCTCAGATAATAGGGTTGTAGAAGCCGAAGACATTGTTTGGATCGTATTTAGCCTTGGTAGCTCGCAGTTTCTTCAACCGCCACGGCTCATCTCCATATATCTGTTCCAGAGGTTCATCACCGAAGGCATAGTTGACATAAATGTGCTGTTTTTGGTGAGGCTGACCATCGGCCCAAAGCTGCGTGATATTCTTTCCAATGGAGATTGCGTCTGCATCAAGGGAGCTATCGGGGTCGTAGGTAACAAGAACATCACTATAAGGGTGAGCCGAATGAATCAGAGTTTGAGTTAAGATGCTTACCATAGGATATTGTCATCGCGATGAGGGAAGGCAGTAGATTTTGAGTCGACAGCTTTCACCCCCTGAAGTGAATAAGCCTCGAAGACAACGATGGATTGGTTGTACAATGGCTGTGAAGTGGTGATTTCTCTATAGTAGTCGTAAATCTGACGAGTGGCAGTAATGTTGTGCTCAAGCAGACCAAATGGGAACTGCATATTGGTGTGTCCGTCTTGACACATTGGGCTGCTCATGCCAGTGCCGGTTGCATCGAGCACATCTGGATAGGCGTAGTATTCGCCGCTTGAGTATAGAGGGTTCAAGTCTTGGAATGGCTTCAGATATGGTGCTGCCTCTTCAGCTGTGCCGACATAATGGATAAAAAACTCCATAATAGGCTATAGAGGGTTATTAGTATTGAACATGAATGGGGGTGACTCAACGCTCACCTCCGTCGTACTGAATTCAGAAGCCCAAGTAAAGACACCATAGTTCATCAACTCCTTCGGCTGGCCGCCATTTTCTTGCTGGGAGTTGAGAACCTCGAAAACTGACTCAAGCTGATCCTGAGTGAAGACGAATTCGCTAATGTACCATTCATCAACAGTGCGTTTATGGATCTCAGCATGGAAACTAGTCACGATGCCAAAGTTGTGGCCGGCTCCACGCATCGCCCACCAGAGATCAGGATATGAGGTGTTAGAAACAGTTATGGCGGACCCATCAGCCAGAACAACGTTCATGGAAATCAATCCGTCAATGATCAACCCGTAGAATCCTTGGTAACGACCATGACCTCCGCCAAGTCCAGGGCCCATAACGCCCACACAAGCGCAACTTCCCGTTCCTATAATCATTAGACCAGCATTAATAACGGAGGTGATCAAAAATACCGGTAACAAAGCCTTGTTCCCATAGTGCATCGATGACTTGCCCGTCCCATACGCCTCCACCAAAGAAAGCCGACGCTTCATCGTCGGCGATCTCAATGTCAGTGAGTTGGGCCATCGAGATCTCAATACCATTTTTCAGTCTACCCAGAGTCTTGGTAGATCCATGGCCTCTATTGACAGCGAGAAAAGGGATTCCGTGTGAGTTGGCAAATTTGACCTGTAGTTAAATCATTTAACCAAGTCAATCTTTCAGCAAAATAAGTAGCAACATACGATGATGGGGATGTCCGACTCCTTCGAAGGCTCAACCACAACAAGGAAATCAGGCTGATAAGACGCCTGCCAGCGCTCCGTTGCATTGAACCATCGCGGATCGTTTTGAGCAAAGATTGAAGAATTGGCAGACAATTTTGGACCCAACTCAGTACTGATAGTTGCAGGTGTCAGACGGGACGAAGCACTTGACCGCTGCTCAATAACAAAAGAAGAATGAAGAGCCGCTGCAATTGTTGGCACAGCTGCTAGTGCTAAGGACAAAAAGAAACCGCGCATTGTGGCGATGAAGGATGTTTAGTTTCTCAAGTTGAGCTTGACATAAAAAATAAGGAGAGGAAGAGGCCAAACATATACCCCATTTCCTCTCCTGCTAAATACGGATCTAGGCAGCATGTAGTTCGACTTACTGTGAAAACTAGACCGAACCCTCGTCCGAAGCGGAGCTCCTGGTATCGAACCATCATCACCTGGGTCAATCGGACAATATCTAAGACACTGATCTAATTCAAGATCTCGATAATTGTTTCGTATATGGATTTAACGAGAACGCCAAGCGGGTCTAACTGGCTTACAATTGGTTGTTGGCTTCAGCCCCATTGCGCCCTGACATAATACCACGCGGGTCCCTGGTCGATAGCGTGTGTGCCTTGGAATTAGCCTCAAATTTACTTATTCTGCTTATCATAGAGTTGCGTAGTGTTAGAATGAGCTGTTATGTGGAAAAAAATGTGTATCACCATTATTTAGTAGTCCCAGCGTTACTACTGCTAGTTGGATAGTACAATCAGTGGACATACGTTTTTACATCCCTTATAGCCCATCTAGTTCATCGCTACTATATATCTATATCGCCTACCCAAAACGCGTAGTATGAATAAAGATACCACCTGGGCACATAATGGTGATTTTTCGCGAACCAATGGTGTATTCTTCATCCCTAGAACTTTAAAACAAACGCCTTTATCATACGCTATTATCAGCAAAGATAATTATAATATATGCTTTTCTGGCTTGCAGAATATTACATAATCGTAGGGGTGTGGGGCTAAGGGTGTAGAATGTCCACTTGGGCAGTCACTGGACTCGTATCCACTACCTAGGTAGGTATTCATGATCCACCATAGCTAAAACAGCCGACAAATCTCTAGTGGATAAGGGATGTCGAGCAGCTGAATTTCCTACCCGATCCCTGTACGGACTCGGATAGAAAATGAACCGACTAAGCTTGATTACCAGGTCTCAATGTCCGATTCAATCAGCAAATGTAGAAAAAGAAAAGACATAATGGACCTCCGGACTCGGTTGAAGATTAGACCGACTGAAGGAATTAAGCATGCTTACCCGTCCGCTCTGCGGGCCGAGTCCGATCCCTGCTAGACCCCACTTATCCGGCCAATAACAAAAAAGAGTTTTATTTGCAAGTTAATTTAACAGAAAACGCCTCGCTTCCATCTGAGTCTCTCCATTTGAGTCTCTTTAGGTTTATCAGTCGAGTGAAACACGAGATTGAATCCTTCAAAGTCAAGATACGGTATCCCCGAATGATCACAGCTAACGCTGCAAGCACAACGCCATCTTACTTTCCTCTGGAAAACGCCACCGCTGTGCTCGACTATAATCGGCGTTGATAGTGGTTCGCCTGTTTACTGGGTCACCTCGTGTAGGACTGGAAAGGAACTGAAGGTATCGACTACGTGTTATGAAATGAAGGAAAGGGATAAGGAAGATGTCTTTCTTGGCTATACAAACGGACATAGCACGAACATATCTGGATTGAGGTCACATGATCATAGGTGCTACAATGTGTCTGTCTACTAGTCTTGCGAATTAGATGATCTAGATAGTATAAACTGTTATCATTCAATAATATCCTCCGTCTATAGATGAATAGCATTTCATACGTCGTTTACAACGTTCACCTGGAAATGCTGAAGTATAAATCCGTCTGTGTTAGTGGATGTATGTATAGAATAAATACAGCCTGGCGGGTGCATTCAAATCAAAGTTGTCAGAATGTGTCTCATTAATCCATTCGCAACGGAATTGGATGCGAAATTTAAGATCGTTCAATACGCGCTGCGTGAAAAGGAAACGCACTTTAAACCGTGAATGATAAATTTTGTGTGGTCCCACCCTCCCACCGGCGCGCCATTGTCAATAACTTTCGTTGAACCCCGCACGTGAACTTGGTTTTGATGTCTGTGTGAAGGAAATGAGTAAAATGTTGTAGAATGCCGACGGAGTTGTCGAGAGGCACTTTCGCGCCGTTCAAGCCGGCATATACAGGGACCACGGATTCATTATTCAGATAGCTCACGATAGATGCATGATCCGGGGTAAGAATATCCAGGGCCACCGTAGTTTGTGTGTCCACGTTTCTCCGATTTTGGGCACCGTCCCCGTCGGCGCAAACGATGCCATTTGCCCAGGTGATCAGCGCTACTCGATATACAGCACCAGCCCACCAGGGTGGACGAGCACGCTCTGGCACGGAACGGATATGGCGCAACACTTGACCACAATGGAAATATGTCTGCCGTGGATTCTCTAAGTGATAGGCGTGTTTCGTGTGCAAAGGCTTTTTGCTAGCTCCTTCGGTATTACGACTGCTGCGTGCTAGAAGTTCTATCTCCGGGAAGCTCACAATCACATTGAGCATGATCAGATGATAGATAATCATGTTGGAAGCAGTTGCTAGCGTGGCCGTCTCATTTGGCTGGATCTTGGCCAGCTCGTACCACTTGTGGAGAAGTTCTTGAACGGTTTGCACTTGTACTGAAAGGAGAACAATCGACATATGCTGGGGTCCTTTGGGAGTACTGCCTCTGCCAGCAACAGTGCTCATGGTGGATCGCAGTTGAAACACTTGATCCTGAAGATGGCATAGCAAGAGTCGTAGTGTGATAGGGGAAATGTGTACCGTGGCGCTAAAATAGGTCGTTTCTGAGAACCAGACTATCCATTCACTGAGAGAAGGAGGGATGGTGACTTGACCCGAAGGCAATGGCATTTGTTCAATCCAATGCTTGGCGGATTGGGCCCGCCATGCAGCATCCATGCTTGGAATAGGTATGTTGAGGCTAGCGGAGGGGAAAAATGAGATAGATGGGGCATCTTGGAAGAGACAGATCTCGTGATCCAGGATTAGCCAGGCATGTGTGGTTCTAATTCCTCGTTAATTTATCCCTGTATTATTTAGCGCCGACAAAGATGATTTACCTGTTTGCTCTCTCTTGTTCTTTCCACGTCTCCCAGGACTGGGCGGCATCGTCAAAGGATTCTATGCGGGCCACCTGGGCTTGTCTATCGTCGTGTTGCTTTGCTTTCAAATGTATCTGAAGAGTTAGAAGGGCAACTTCAAACGGACTGGAATCGCCTTACCTCTAAGAACATTGATCTCTGATAGAATGCAGTCTATAAACCAGTTAATGGATGGCAGATCCTCTCATAGGGGCTGATCACGCCAAAAAGCTTACATCCATCTGCCACTTGTCGCCACTCCACGCGGAAACAAGAAGATTTAGAAGAGCGCACTGCGAGAACTCGTGATCTAAAGCCAAAATGACATTTCGTTCGGTGAGGTTTCTTAATGAAATGCGGCATATCTCGAGCAGCCCATGCGCCAGTTGCACGCATGCCTCGCCAGCTCCAGCCGTCATGCCGCCGCCGGCGAGCATGAGAAATATTCGCATGGTTGATAAGTTAATACATCTACCGTCCATATGCTCATTTAGTGACATCGTAGGTACAAAGGGGTAATATGGTTCGTAGCTGGTGAGGTAGGCCTTCAAAAGGCTATCTAACACGGTCGGAGAAGGCAACGTCATAATAGATGGTACGGAACATCCAGAAATTCTGTTGTCTTGACCTCGAAGCCCATAGAGCTCTTGAGCTCCGGTACAAAGCCACTGCAAAACAGCGATCAGGTTTTCTCTTGTACTGACAAGAAGAGATTCAACAGCGATGTGTGAATCAACTGCGGGACAATGCTGTATCGGTATATTTCCACCTCTGAGCAGAGAATCTAGACTTTTGACGTGGTTTGCGGCTGTGGGTGTGCACGCAGACGATGGCGTAATTGGGTTGCATTGAAAAAGTGGCCAGCCTTCCAGCGTATGTAACTGGTCATCATCGGGCAGACTGCCCTCCAGCGAAGGGAATAAAGATGGTGCCGGAAGGTAGTCATCCATGAGATCGTCTCCATCGTCATTTATCGACCTTTCCAGCATGCCCGGGGACATAGAAAACGCGAGATTCCATGAAGGCGTCCCGCTAAGGTCAGGTAACTGGGCTGCTGGTGACGGCACTCGGGTTGGAACGACGAAATCGAAATCGTCAGCCACCCCAAGTATCCCCTGCATAGGATGCGAAGAGAGAGAGAGATTGGGAGGGTAGCTTTCGTCTACGCGAGGTGCAGCCGCTAAGAATCGCGCCAACAACTCCGCTTGCTCTGCTTCCGACGTGTGCCCGGGGCGATTCCTAGCCCACTTATGAACGGCTGAATGGGACCAGTCCATATATAGCCCATTTCCCGTAGGATGATGTTGTGGGGTTGTCTTAGGACCTCCATCGGTGGTAGACGTGACTGGCTCGGATTCGACTGTGTAGGAGCCCTCGTTGGTGTTGGTGGGTGGCAGCGGTTTGGATTTATTATTCGCAGACAATCGACCTTGACCTCGCTGTGGGACTCGAGTTTGGCAGGAGAGCTTCTTCACCTTGCATCGCGAGCATGGTACCTAATTCTCCATGTCTTAGCATGGATTCATTGATATCCTGAAAAGTTGACCCTTGTACCTTTCTGTCGCATTTTGCTTTTGACCTAGCGCAGTGCACACATGCCAAGATTGAATCCACAGGAGCACATGTGGGGGGTGTCAACTGTGACATGATCAGAGATAATGGCCCTGTTTGTTATCAGGATGAGGTCCATCTGATAAGTTCCACGGGGGTGACACGCCTGGTTAAATAAAATGCAAGAGAGAGGCTTGGGAGATGGTGGGTCAGCTATCTAGGTAGCGGCTGGAATGTAATACTAATTGTACATAACTCATATCACTAACTGATCTAGCCCTCGAGGGCCATTGATGGTAATCGTATTCACCTAGGCAAGGCCCCCTGATTATGTAACTTTCTGCCGACACCTGGGGCGGGAATTGCTACAGACACGGCACGTTTTGCTAGTAGCACGGCACATTAGGTAATATTCCCTTTACATAATCAATTTTGACCGAGATCGTTACCATACATTACCACAGCAACTACATTACTTACTACTGTAGCAACTACATTCTATCTACTACTGCTTCATTACTATAAGAACCCGACCATGAATCAATTCTCTCTAGTCAATCTTATTGTGCTTTTCATCTTATTTACATGCTTTTCACACTCTGCAGGAGCGGATTGTATGGCCAATTTCTCCACAATTTGAGCACTTCGAGGGTGCTTTCTTCTTAGTGACCTTTTGGTTTGATGTTTTGATGTTTTGATCTGATATGTTCTCTTGAGCTGATCTGCGAGTTGGTGGTGGTAATAGAGGATCTAGTATTGGCAGATACATAGATGACTCATTACTAAGGCCAATCCTCCAAAATTGATGGATATCGCTTAGTGGGATTGGTTGATGTTTTGTTAATAAACTAGCGATTCGGTGGGCACACGGAAGGCCCATTGTCCTAGTGAATATATTAGTGCAGTTTGATAAAGGTGCTTCGGGGGTAGCTCTCTTAGCTATAGCAGCTTGATTAGAGATTAAAGATATTGAATATCGTGATGTTCTCTTTATAATATTCGAATAGAGAAAGTGGGAGCAGAAATTTAGTCTCTTAATCTTATCTTCTGTAAGATCAGATTCAAGTCGCTGATACTGAGCCTGTAAAGCATTATTAATTCTCTCAAAAACATGAAGCATATCACCTGAAGATCCCCCTATATACTTTTTTAAAAAAGCGTGAGACCCCTCCACTCTTGATGTAGCCCAGTTACCAAGATGAAGATATTGCCCTACCCAAGCCCTAATAAACATCTCTTTATAGGTTAGCCAAGTACTTTGAATATATCTAAGAGCATTAGGGGCAATTTGATTAAACTGCGTTGTGAACTTAGCTAATTGAGCATTATATTCATCAATATTTGATGAATTAATTAGCTCTTTCTATGACTTGATAAAAGCCTCAAATTCCTCATTTGAAGAGAAATATTGCTTTGTCTTTGCCAGCACATTCTTATTAATATGCCAAATGCATAGTAGATGTGGGCTTCTAGGACAGATAGATTTAATTGTACCTAATAAAGCAAGATCTCTGTCAGTGCAAAGAACTGGAGAAAAGGGTAAGGGGTCAAGCTATGAAAAAAAAGTCTGTAAAGTCCACTTATAGCTTTCTTCCTGCTCATTTTGCATAAAGCAGAAAGCAATACTATAGGATGAATTCGATGGCGAGAGACTAATAATATGTAAAAGAGGCATCTTATACCGATTCGTCTTGTAAGTACAGTCTAATAAAAAGACCCTATTATATTGATTAGCATACTTAATTGATTCAGGGTGAGCGAACATAAAAAATTGAATATGACCTTCTATATCTTGTTTAAATGCATATTTCCATTGATTCTGAATTAATATCTGTTGAAGAAGTTTAAGAGGTAAGTGATTCCTAAGCTTTTTCTGTCTTATACTACCTCTTATATTATAAATATCTTTTGGTCTTATTAAGATATCAGGTTGATCCTTTCTTAATAGACTTATAATATGCTGCGGTCGAGATCCAATATCTGATAGATGTTTAATAGTTTGATTTTGATCTTTAGTAAGCTGTGGACGCCTTGCCATAGGATGCCCTATCATATTATTAGTAGCTGCATGATTATGATTAGGATTTCTTACCTGGATTTCCCATTGATTAGTATCAACAAGCTTCTTTGCATAAAGGCGGAATGGGCAGTTCATCCGTCTAGTACTTGTCTTCCGGCGTTTTGCCCCTTCTGGGGCATCAATATGATCATGGTATATACCGCCTCTATCACAACCAAGACAAATATTCCTCTCCTTAGCGGAGTTGATGATAGTGATAGCATAACCATGAGATAGGGCATGCTGTCGTATCGAAGTAAGGAGTTGCTCTCTAGTCTCAAAGACTTGCTCAATTGGTGGCTCCATGATTAGGTGAAATCAAGTATCAATTGGATGAAGTAAGATCAATTGGATGAAGTAAGATCAATTGGATGAAGTAAGATCAATGAGAAGATAGAGTGGTTCTTATAGCAGAAGTAGATAGAATGTAGTTGCTACAGTAGTAAGTAATGTAGTTGCTGTGGTAATGTATGGTAACGATCTCGGTCAAAATTGATTATGTAAAGGGAATATTACCTAATGTGCCGTGCTACTAGCAAAACGTGCCGTGTCTGTAGCAATTCCCACCTGGGGCGGGTGCCCAGCATCTTACCTACATAGCGACATACATACAAATGTACGGAGTATATATGTAGTTATTGAAGCTTCGATTATGTACTCAAACTATTGAACGTCCAGTTGTGTACCTATCCTCTGCAACCAGTTAAAGAGCATATTTCAAATTCACCCAAAGCTTTATAAAATTGCTGCAATGATGCTAATCGAAATATACCCAGATACTTAGGTAATATCAATAACGTGTTAAAATACAGTATACTAAATATGGAAGGCGGTAATTACTGGCCACCCCATGAAACGCCACGGTAAAAGCCCCTCGAATCAAAGGCAATCGCCCCCGCATGACTTTAGCTGAATCTCACCCGAACCTAATGGTATCGCCCCTGTATGAAATCTCACTCGTATCCATGTGTGTTGTTTGGATTTGATTCTTCTTGTCGAACTCGGGGCCGATTACCACTAGGGTCGGGATATCATCGATTTATTGAAACAACGCGTAAAAACACCTTGGCAGCCCACTCACTGAATTAAGAAGTCGAGCAAGTTCTCGAGCCAAGTGAGATATTCACACACAACTGACTGAGCAAATACCTAAAGGGTTCAAGCTGTCCACGAAGGTAGCAGTATCCGAAAAACCAACCATCTATGCAACATGCCACCGTAGGCCCTCGGGGACAGCATCCTTTGAACCACCGAATTTGCGAGCATGCAGCAGAATGGGCGCCAAGTATGCAGAATATAAGATGACGGGATATTTTATTACGCGATGCGGCGCTCCAGCCGCTATCTCTCTTGAACATAACAACATTTGATTTTGCAAGATGTATTGAAAATAGTAGCATCCAGGTAGGGTGTTCAACTTGCTTAGTTAACGAGTACGTTCAGACAGACCAGAATTACGCCATTGGGCCTTTTTGTTTCTAGCTTTTGGAAGCCCGCCTATTGACATAGGACATTAATAGGCCCTGCGGGCGGATTCGCTTCTACAGAAACGCCCAGTAGCCTCGCATACCCGAAGGACCTGGAACATGAATCAACAATAAGACACGATCGGCGAGATATATCACAGAAATCACAGAAAAGGCTATCATGACCGACGAGTATACTTTTCTTTAGAACCCCTCTCTATCTGCATATGATTTGGTGAAAACAAGCAACGCCTGCCCGTGAGATTTTAGCAGAAAGGGACATAGGTCGGAATCATTTAAGGATGAAATTAGGTTTCAATCAGAAAGTTAGAATTCTACTGTAGATAGTAGATACCTCCCCCCCCTTATCTACTTAACCTCTTCTGTCTATATAGACTTTAGGTTATCTAGAAGTTTGAATAATAGCATATGGAGGATTGGGTGATCCCACAGTATTTTTAATTGATAAATAAACGTAGAGTGGTATCTACACGTCATAAGCCCGGGAATCATAATTCAAAAAATGAAACGTAAGCCGGAAACTAGCATACTCTTATACAAAAGTCCCAACAAGGTAGTCGGGATGAACAATGGCCTCTCGCGTGTAAGTCGATACTGGTCTTATCAGTGGCAAGCCTACACTTGATTGGGGGTTGACAGATTTAGGACGTTTCACTTGCATTCATACAGAATAGAGGGGTAGTCTCGTTCCACTAAGCCTCTTCTAGATATTCAACCTCTGTACGGGTATAACAACGAGTGTGCTGCATACATTTACCAAATTAGGAACCTTTTCACCCCTATGGGCTTGGTTAAGCCTCTGTATCTATCTATAAGCCATGCAAATCATCCCTCCACGCGTTCTTACCCTAAAGAATGCCTAACCAGGCAATTATATCCAAGGGAAATATTATGAGTTGGAAGATTGGACGGCTTTATCTAGATTGCAAGTGTGTAGATAGGTAGATATTGATTTAAATCATTTTCTTGGCCAAACGACACATGTGCATGCCCATATGCACATGCTTTAAGACGGCTTTACGCAATATTTAATGAGGACTGCATTATGTATCTAGTGAACGTTTACTATAAAAGTAGCCCAATATAGATAAAACCTGGGAAAATCTATTAATTCGATAGCACCTGTACCTGGCATGAAACCTTTGCCCAAAGACCTCGGAACACTGCCCCAGAATTGAGTGTAGATGTTGCTCTCACATGCCTCCCATTGCGCCATGAGTCTGGATCATCTTTGTGCGTCGCAGAAAAACTGCCACCAAAACAGCAATGCATCCTGCAGTGAGATTGAGAACCAGAGCATCCGTAATTGCATTCACAATAGCCTTCAAAACATCGGTTCTCAAAGTAGTATCCAGTGAGTCAAGGAGTGCCGCGTTTGCGCCAGAAATCATGGCCTGGATGGTGGTCTCACTTTCAGTCGGAAGGAGATTCTGAATCTGCACAGTTGCACGATTTAGGAAGAGAGTATTGGCAACGGAGAGAGCAATGGCTGAACCTCCCACCTGGGCACAGGTCATGAAGCCCACTGCCATGGGAATCTCCTCGGGTGGGACTAGAGATTGCGCCACAGAAAACCCAGCCTGTGAGAAGACTCCAGTTCCAATACCACCGATGACAAGGGCAGCATATATTTGACCCACGCTTGTTGTCAAAGTGGTAATTTTGAGCAGCACGCCACCGACAAGGACAAATATCCCACCAAGAAGATACCAGGGCATGTAATAACCCACCAAGCTCATCCCAACTCCATTCACAAGATTAAAAACGACCATTGGAATAATGAAGGGAAGTAGACGCACTCCTGCATCTAGAGCACCATCACCCTTCACAAATTGGAAGTAAAGAGGAATAAAGTAAATCGGAACAAACGAGGAGGTTCCAGCTGCAGCAGTCTCAATAAAGAGCAGGACCATCTCCTTGTTCCGTAAATATTGCATTGGAAAGATCCGCTTTTGGTATGTTGTCATAATGTTGAATCCTTGCTGAATGAAGAAGAGGATAAAGAGGACTCCAGAGCAGACAAACATGCCAATGATACGGCTGTCACTCCATTCATAAAGAACTCCACCAAAGGCAATAGCCATGATGCCTGATACATAGGCACCAATAAACATGATAGGGCCTAGCCAGTCGATCTGTGCCAGTCGGCCTTTGAGTGGGGTTCCTGGACGAGGGTCCACACTAGGGATCATAAAAAAGAACACCGGAGCAAAGAGACCTCCAATGCAAAGATTGATATAAAAGGACCAGCGCCAAGTTGCAGAGCTGTCTGTGCAAGCACCGCCGATAATGGGTCCAAGGCTAGGAGAATTGGTCAGCATAGTCAAAGTAAACAAGATATTACTATGTCGGTGTTGCATACACTGTGCCTGCTCCCCAGGTCAAGCCAACCATTCCAAGATACATTGGTCGTTCAGTAGGCGTAGTGAGCATCGAGAGGATGGTCATGACACCCAAGTACATACCAGCGCCTCCAAGACCACAGATTGCACGTCCCACGATCAGCGCATTCATGGTTGGTGCAGCACCACAGACTGCCGAGCCAACCTCAAAAATGACGGTCGTGACAATATACAACCATTTACAATTAAATTGACCATATGCCTTGCCCCTGAAATTTCATTAGTATAGAACTAATATAGGAGCGGGCTAGATCAGTACCAAATCAAGAGAGTACTCGCAGCGCCAAGCATAAAAGCCACAGAGAGCCATGGAAGCATCGCCAGGTCCTCAAACTGTTTGACAATCGCTGGTTGCACATCTGCTACAATCGTGTTGTCTAGTGCGAAGAGAAATACACAAGAAAATATCGAGAGGACTAGAAATACCCAAGTTGTATCAGCTGTTTCCGATCTATGTTTTATCTTTCCTATTCTTGATCCACTTACCAACTAGCACCCACTTGAATCCATGAACATCCCGTGGAGAAATTTGGGACCTCTCAATTATCTCCTCGGATACAAGCTCCTTCTCTGTACCCGACATATCTGAAGGCAAATCACCACTCCCGGATGAGTCGGCCCCCTGGGCAGTGATCGCAGTTGTTAACGACATTTTGGAAGTTCCAAGGTTTCAAATATGAAAGATCGTGTACATGAAGGAAGAGGTATTCTAACAATAAATACCAATAAAGCCTCCTTGGGTACTTAGATATTAAATAGAAGCGCACTTCCAATATCTACATAGTGGGATATCACGTGGTGATCTGCACCGGAATTAAAACCTTATCCCCGAACTAATCTGTCCGAGCGGACTCGGCCTGATTTCCATCCGACTCCGGTGACTATGAATCAGGAGACAAAGAAACCAGGCAAGAATGGCTGCTATAGGTTCATCGGCGAGGAATTCCTCCATCGGATATCAACCGAGAATGATCTCATGAAGTAAGGGGGTTCAGGCAGGTTCCATTACCTGAAATAAAAAAACATTCCGAAGAGGTTAGAGTCTGTTGAATTTCAACCTTCTGCTCGATCACAAACCACCATGAGTGCTTTACTCGGCCTTCTATTCACCAGGCTGACTTTGCCACCCTCCTCGGTTATCGAGGGGAAGACCATCCTCATCACCGGTGCAAACACTGGCCTTGGTCGGGAAGCTGCCAGACATGCGCTCGCTCTAGGCGCCGGTACGGTCATTTTGGGCGTTCGAACCCTAAGCAAGGGTGAAGATGCCAAAGCCGACATCGAAGCAAGCACCGGCTGTAACGACAAAGGAAAGGTTCTTGTATGGCCGATCGATCTCGAATCATTTGCTAGCGTCCAAGCCTTCGCAGCTCGAGTTCGGAAACATGTTGTCACAGAGGGCGGCCGACTAGACATAGCTATCATGAATGCAGGAATTGCGTCAGTCGAGTACGCTGTCACCCGTGATGGGTGGGAAAGAGGAATCCAGGTCAATGTTTTATCGACCGCGCTCCTCAGTTTAGAGCTATTGCCGCTACTGCTGCGAACTAAAGAGCGGGATCCATTAGCACAACCGCATCTGTCCCTTCTTACGAGCGATATCCACAAATCGATCAAGTTCCCCGAGCGGAATGAGAAGAGCATTCTTTCTACCTTGAATGGCGAGGAGCAGTGGAAGAAATCCCAGGCTGCAGGTGCTACCGAGCGCTACGGTGTCACCAAGCTTATGGATATCTTCATTACCATCGAGATAGCTCGACTTGTGCCCCGTGATGAGTCTGGGAACCCCCTTGTGATTGTTAATGCCGTGACGCCGGGATTTTGCAAATCGGATCTCCTCACTAGGGAAAAGGCGCCGTGGATTCTGAAGCTGATCCAAGCTTTGATTGCCAGGACGGTGGAAGAGGGTAGCAAAACATTGCTGCATGCAGTAAGCCAGGGCTTGGAAACTCACGGGAAGTGGTTGGAGAATCAGGCTATCACAGAGTAAGTTCATTCTGTTCAAGGACTGATAATTCACGTCACTGATATGTGTTTAGCCCGGGTGCTATTGTCACAAGCGAAGACGCACGGGTCGTGAGAGAGAAGGTTTGGGCAGAGATCACCGGTGTCTTGCATAATGTTGATCCCGAGGTTCGAACTGAGTACTAATCACGTAAGGTGGATTGCAATAAACCCATACGGAGGGACGTACGTGGAAGGAAGGGCGAGTGCGCATGAACAGTGTGGTACAGAGGAGGGAAAGATGCCAGGAGTAGACATCTACCTATGAACAAACCCAAGATTGTGAATCCCATTGTATCGTCTAATATCAATTTTACGTCTGTTGTCTTACTCGCTACGGGACCTTTGCCCACATCTTCTAAGGATCTGAGTTGGCACAATATGATAACAGCACCCTGTTAAGCATGGTTTCTATCTACTCTTTAGATTTAAGATGTAAATGAAACTTACTCTATTTCCCAGCGGCTTGACAGCCTTCTCGGTCAATCAGCGGTAGCAGCAACAACAGTCTCATCCATAAGAGCTTTCCAGTCTGTCTCTTGTGGTGACCATCCAATAGCCCTTAGGCGATCAGCTCTGCTGCGACAGCTTGCCCCCCATAGAAGACCAGCGTAGGGATGGATCTCAGTCGCCTGAGGAACACTCAACTCATCGATGGCGTCGGTGTCCAGCTTACCAAGCTGGTGGAGCTTCGTCGCCACAGCTCGAGCCTGCTCTCTGAAGCTCACTTCTCCAGTTTGAACAAAGTAATACCCATCCTTTCCATATTCTATATCGGAAGAGCCAGTGATAATCCTGTCCAGGGCGAAGACAATGGCGGAAGCGACATCCCGAACAGAGCACCAGCTCCACACATTCTCACCCTGCTCGACGACAAACCCCTTCCCACGTCCGAGAACTGTCTTAACGTATCCATGACCAAAAGAATCTTTCTTCCATGATCCGGACCCATTACCCATGATTTGGCATGAGCTCAGAATGATTGTGTTGACGCCGATTTCCTCCGGAGCTCGCAGGATGCTCTGGTCTAGTGTAGCATGTTCCCGAGTCGGCTCGAAGGACAGAATTTCAGCCTTGTCATCTAAATCGTTGTAGATGCGGGGTGCAGCATAGCCCAGGTTAAGACTGGATGGGTCAAGGAGACAGGTGATCCCGGAGACGTGGATCAACGTGCCCTTATCCGGCTTACTGGCTAACCCGGACAAAATGTTCTGAATTCCCGATTCATTATCCCCTGCAATATCGATGACAATATCTGCAGCATTTGCGGCAGTTGTCACAATATCCTTGGAGGAAATGTCACCAATAATTGTTGTTAAGGAGGGGTATGTCGATGTGATGGCGTCGGCTTGTTCTTTTGTTCTCACGAGAGCAGAGTATTCTGCGGCGGGAAACGTCTTTGACACCAAGTCAAGAGTTGTACCACCAAGATATCCCGTTGTACCGGTGATGAAAATCTTCTTTGGTTGCATTCTGGGTGTGCAGGGGGGAGGACGTAGAGGTGATTGAAAAATACGGTTGCTTGAGTTCTGCTTCACAGCTGAGCCCCGGAAGGTTGTGGCAGTGCTTTCAAGTATAGCAAAATATGTCAAAGAGTAAGCTGTATTTGAATTAACGAGACTGAGTCGAAAACAGGGATCGGGCGCCGCACCTGCGATGTAATCCGCGAACTGAGATTCGGGTGAAATGCAAACCGGAGGTCCGATATAATGCCAAGAAGTAAACATCAGCTCAAACAATGTAGTCCGATGTGAACACTCTCGACATAAATTCTGGGCTCCATTCTTATTTCCCTATTCAATAAGCGAGTTCGTAGGTTATCCAAAATGTCGTCCAAAGTCTATGCCGATATCTATGCCACCGAGGGCCCTTTTACCCAATTCCCAGGCACAGGTCTCCCCGACATCAAACGCTTCATCACCACTCACAACTCTCAAGGCGAAGGAGTTTTTCTTCCAGCCGATAATGGAGACCACCAGGCCTTGATGGCAAACGGCCGTGGCTGCCAAAACATCCTCTACACCACTCAGGGTGAAGCAGTCGATCTCAATGGCGATGTCGATATCGCCTTAGCAAAGAATAACACAGTAAGTTTACTGAAATCCCTAAAGTCCAGGAGAAACCTTTACTAAATATTCTTTTTCAGCCCGGTCTTCACGTTCCCGGTGGTACACTCGTGCGGATGATCGACTTCGCACCTGGCGTGGAGTCACCAATGCACCGTGCCATGTCGTTGGACTATGGCACAGTTATTGAAGGAGAATTCGAGGTTGAGTTGGACAGTGGTGAAAAGCGTATTATGCGACGAGGAGATGTCCTTGTTCAGCGTGCCACAGCTCACCGATGGCGCAACTTGTCACCCGATAAGCCCGGGCGCATGCTTTTTGTGTTGTTAGATTGCCAACCTATGGATCCCATTAACGGCAAGGAATTTGTGGTTGAACTAAATGAGCTTTCTCCTGATTTTGAAGACGATCATTAGATTTATTTCAACGTGGCACATATGACACATGCGTGCAATGATGGATAAAGAGAAGGAGCGCAAGCATGTTGACAGAGGATGATATTATCAGTGTCTCAAGTCCATAATTACCTTATATCTCAGGCTTGGCTAGGTTTGCTTTATGTACGTAGAGCTTTCTCTCACTCTTCTTTATTTTCCTCCTTATCATGATGCTGCCTCTAACCAAACTAAGTCTTTATGTTTTCTCTATTTTCTTTTCCCATTCTCTTTCTGTAGGTATTATAGCATGCTGAGTTTCGGTACCTCCATTGTGCTGTTGGTAGGAATTGATATCTACGAAGACAGGTGGTTAGATAAAATTAACTGAAAATTATCCATCTTATGTTACTTGATGGAGGAGCCAGGGTAAGGAATCTTAATGTGAAATTCTAGCTTCCAGCATGGATCTGAGAGAGAAGGAACCTGGTTAAGACAATCGCATCTAGGCGCTTTCTTGTGTTGCTTATGTCCAAAAAAGAATGGTATATTCTTAACTGTCATAATTGTCATTTGATGATCGACTTGCAGCCTCAAACTGATCGCAAAATAACTTCCAAGTGTCAAGAACTCGGAGTAACTTGTAACCTTCCTTGGAAAAATAGTAAGGCATGCATTCCATGGCGGACTCCAGGTTTACTAGCATCTTCAACATTCTGGCAATGATCCCTTGCATCGTAAGGACACTAAGCGACACGCTTTGTAACGCGTACCCACATCTCCTTCTGCATAAAGAGAGTAAAATTGCTGCTTTTCCATGGAGACCCAGGGTAAATGGGCTCAAAGTCGAATCTTCGGAGAAGCTTCAGGTTCATTAGCCAAGAAGCTCAATTTCTCAGGGATAGAAACCCAAACGAACCTCCACAAAGATCTTGTCCAATTCGACCATCACAATTGCTTTGCCAAGGCAGCCCCATCGACCGGTACCAAAAACCAGCTCCATGGTCCTCTCCATCTCATTTCTTTGTGTATCAGATGCTTCGATCCATCGTTCAGGCCGGAAAACATCAACGTCGGTTCCGAAGACCTCGTGACGTTGGATTCCCCATCCGCAATGGCCAATACCAGTACCCCCTGGAACAAATCGACCTTTGATTGTCTCCCCACCTGGGTTTACAATCTTAGTCAAGAGACCAGTAATGGGCGGATGGATTCGCAAGCCTTCTTTGATTACCGCTTGTACGTAGGGCATTTTACGAGATTCGGCGGATGTGATGGGACTGGAGATAGACCCATTTGCCTCTGCGTTTTGTATCTCTTGAACAAGAGTGTTATAGACTCGATGATTTGTCATGACATGTAGCATAGTTGCGCGAATAGCGGTGGCCGTCGTATCGGATCCAGCCAGACTTGTAGAATTAGTGACTTGTCACATCGGGTATGTGGGAAGAGTGATTGTTTGACCCTACATGGTAGTAAGAATCTCGGATTCAGCTTGACGTTGGTCGAGCCCGTTTCGGACAAAAGTTCCCAGCATGTCGTCTCGTATGATCTTTTGGGGACCGTACCGATCACCGACAACCTTCTTCGCTATTCTATCTGCCCATCAGTTTGAATTCGATGAGTGGAATGTAAGAGGTAGCATCTTACCCCATGAGCTTTCCTCGCCCAGCTTCATCTTTGGGAGTTGGCCCGATAAGGGTGACCAGTCCCGATCCAAAAACGAGATTTCCCAATGTGGGTGTCGACGAGCAGACGGTTGCGAGCGGTAATTCGCCTTGAATTATTTTCACAAAGTCATACATGTCTCTGTCTTCTGTGAGATACCCAAATGGATCACCAAGAGAAATACTGGTAATAACGTCCAAGGACCAATACTGAGCGGCTTGCGCCAAGTCAATTGGGCGAACCTCCTTCGCCGTGGAGATGTATTTCGTCTCTATCAAGTTAACAAGTGAAGCAATTTCGGCATCGATTTTGACACCAAGATCTCGATTTTCTTTTAGAGAATACTGTTTGTCATTGGCAGACTTATTAGCAGACATTTCACGTGTTTCAAAACGATCCAGTGCGTACCCCGGATTGCATCTTAACTCGTAATTTGTCGTGCTTCTCTAGGCTAGGTTCCGAGAAGACACTATGCACATAAGGATCAACCTTCAAGGATTCATACCAAGAAGATTTGTGGTGCTTGTATCTCGCTGCACTCATATAACGGATTATCTCCGGGTCGCTTGTCATGAGCCAGTTGGGTCCAATTCGAGTCAGGTCACCTTCACATTATCAGCGCTGAAATCCCCGAAGAATAAAATGGCGTAGTATTTTTCATAGGACAGACCGTATTTCTTATTGACTTCGTATAATCGCATATGCAATTCCCCGGTCGTGGTGGTTCGAAAGAGCCAAGCCTCCGTCAAGCCAGCTAGCCATGGTCCCTTGAAATCGCGAAGGCGATACCATGATCGGAAATAGCTATAGATTACCCCAACTATCGCAATTGCAGGGAGCAAAATGGGAAAGAGAGACAGAATCTTTGGGCTGTTGGTTTCCATCTTGAGAATATGCAGTTTAGGCTATATCTCTTAGCTCAATTTGTTGGAATGTGCTAATTTGGAAAGGGGACTACAGCTGCTATTTTTACGCAATCTGTTCGGCCTGGCAATATTACTCTCTATTGCTCCATCATGATGATTGGTCGGATCTGCCTCTTCCCATTATTGTCGGAGTTGGTCCACCCGGAGCGAATATCCGACCCCCGTTGCCAAGACGAGCGCTACATGCCGTTGGGTAAGCAAAAGGCAAGAAAACAAATTAAATTGATTGCTGCAATTAGTGGTAACACTAAACCAATTAGATGAGTTCAATCCCATCTTACGGACGCCTATCTATCATTCCATCATCCGTGTTTCATCTGTAAGGTGGTTCCCCCATCCACAAGCCACCCGACCCCCGTCACATAGCTAGATTTCGGGCCACTCAGAAACAAGACCACGTTGGACACCTCCTCGGGGTGAGCCAGGCGCCCCGCAGGAATACTAGCGGACAATGCTAGACGTATTTCGGGGTTTTCCTCGAAAGCCTTATCAATCATCGGGGTTTCTACCCACGATGGACAGACTGCATTGACACGGATACCATGAGGTGCATTGTCTAGAGCTTGGGTTGGTCAGCATGAAATATACAGTCTTCGGCTCTTGGGAATTAGTACCAGCCGTCTTCGTAATTCCGAGTACCGCATGCTTCGCCGCGGTGTACTGGACAATCTCGGGGAAGGCAACAACGGAGTTTGCTGAGGCGAGGTTGACGATACTCCCCCGACCGACGCTAAACGGCCCGGTCCGACCCGCCACGAGGCGTTCCTCCTGGGCCTTCATCGCTCCGCTTACAGCACGGACGCATAGCATGGTACCTTTGACATTGACGGACATCAGATTGTCGAACTCCGCCATGCAAGTTTCGGACACAGGTCGGGCGTTTTTGATTCCGAGCTGCAGTATGACACGCATTAGATTGAATTTTGCGGGGACCAAAAGACGAAACAGACGTAGCCGACTCACTCCAGCACTGTTGACGCTATAGTCAATACGGTTAAACTCTTTCAATGTCGTGGTGACCATACGTTGGACGCTTTCTTCATTTGATACGTCCACTTGTAGGGCGATAGCCTGGTAATCCAGGTTGCTGGCATGGGCCTTGCTCTCTTCGGCAGCCTCCGTTGCGGCCGTCAGATTGATGTCCGCAAAGGCGACACCTTTTGCTCCTTCACTAGCGAATGCCATGGCACAGTCGCGTCCTATTCCGCTTCCTTGAGATGGGTTAATTCTGCATTGATCTTGGAGTTGCCCATTCTGTACATACCCGCGCCAGTCACCAAGGCAAACCCATCTATGGACATTTTGTCTTATCTGTTCTTGAACTCCAATACTGATCTGGTAGTTAATCTCATAGAATACTTGGATTAATATATCTTGAAGCTGCAGTGCAAATGTGCTGCGGTAAGCATCTTCAACACCCTTCAGCCTTGCTTCACGGCCCCCCCGCTTCGGAGCACCGGATATCCGCCAGATGTAAACACGGACTCTCTTGTGCTTTCAATGGCACATCCATTGATTAATGCTTTACCTTATGTATCAAGATTACTGTAGTGAATAAAGATGACTTGATTTCATTTGAACTAGGGGTGTCTCGTATATGCAGCTGGCTCCACTCCGTTCCAATCTCAAATCAAGTTAGTTTTACTCCACCGGACTGCAACTCGACCAACTTTCCGAGTCTGAACAAACGACCAAAGAACCAATCCTAAATCTTAATTAGCTCGAACATGTGAGCTCAAATTACACCGAAATATAGGCACACACCCAAAATGTTCGTGGGAGAAAGGCATCGATGCACCGGATCATGCCTGACGATGCACCAAACCAGAACCAGGGTACTGGTGACTTTTTCAAAATCTCCTTCACCACCCCAGCTGCATACTGATCGGGGGTGATACCATCTGGGGTGCGGATTAGATTAAACTATTGCTACCATTCAAAAATGCGTGGATCTCACCTGGCTTTCGGTAGAGATGTGCCTGGAACGCGTCGTTCAGTGGATAATAAACCGAATCTATACGCCACTCTATTGAGATTACTGCTTCCTTTGATTGAAGATAACAGGTTGAACTTACCCTCTGGTAGGGATCTGCCGTGGTCATTTTTGAGAATGTTGGTGTGTACCTCACCGCTGATAATATTCACAACACGAACTCTGCGCAGGTCAGTACCACACGACGGCGAGGTAAGATAGGTTCCATACCCAAATGGACGCATCTCCACACGCAATGTATTGCCATAGTGATGCAGAGCGGCCTTGCTAGCATTGTAGGACGCCCCGTACACATAAGGGCACACACCTCCGATGGAACCGATGTTGACAATAACGCCTTTGGCCTCGATCAAAAATGGATGCATGTAGTGCACAATTCGCATGGGGCCGAAGACATTCACTTTGAACATTTTTTCGACTTCGGCTACTTTGGTGTCCGTTGCAGGCATGGTGTAGCCTACAAAACCATTGATGAGAAGGTTGAACCAACACGAATTTTTTTATAATCTGAAAACTCACAAATTCCGCTGCAGAAAACGGTTAGCTCGTTTAGATTTGAAGTTCAAAGCAGCACTGACGCATTATTCACAAGTATGTCCAGCCTCCCCCTTGTGAGCTGCTGGATCATTTTTTTGAGCTCCTCTACACTCTCATCCTTGGTGACATCAGTGCGGGTGACGTGCACACCCTTCGAAACAAGATGTTCATCATTCTCATGGGGGAGAAGAGTTGCGATAACTTCGATATCTAATAAATGGGGTTAGAATAAAGATATATGAGAGCACAAGAATTGAGTGAAATAATTACTTTCTTCCCTCAATCTAGAAGCAAGCGCATGGCCAATTCCACCAATCCCGCAGCTATAAAAGTCAGAAAATAGGTCAATAATACCTGCAACTGGGTTAGATTACCCAGTAACTAGTGCAAACTTTGTGAGCTGCATGTTGTTCTCGTAGAAGATGGATAGAGTAATGGCAAGGATTTATTCTTCCTATATTCATTCGTTTACGAGTATCAGTGCTCGTGTGCTAAACAGAATAGATCATGGTTTGATCCAAGGGGAGCATATCCAAGGGAAGCAATGGGTTGCAGCAAAAATTCCCCTTAGGCGGGCCTCGTCGTATCTGCCAAGCGTAAGATCGGACATCGACGCTCCTTATCAAACGGACATCCGACAGGGGATTGAGTGCTCAGCAGACAGTCTGATGTAAGCTTTGCCTGACGGAATCAGGGTCAGAACTGCTAGGCCGACTTCCCAGATGCGTGTTTGTGTTTCGGAAATCAGAGCTGGTCATGAATCTCAGAATCGGACTACCTTGATGGGTGGTTGAGTATAGGCATGATTCCGTCTCACCCCTGTAATAGATAAGCACCGGCGGTCTTCAAATACTCAAATGCTATATAGAGGGCACTGGAAGAGAGGAAGCTCAGACTGAACCGAGAACACCGAGTCAGATCCAACTTAAATAAACATTTGCGGGATATATCATACAAACAAATCATGTCGCCCTATATCGGAGGTGACAGTTCTTCTAGCGCCAGTGGAGCATCGACCCCTTCTGCCGTGGTCCAAGTCGATGACACCTCAAAGTATGAACCGATCGCCATTGTTGGAATGGGTATGTATTTCCATCTCAAAAAATCCAGTTGTTGTTGGAGCGTGGAGGTCAGGTGACCCCTCTCCGTTTGCTTTCTATCCCTCACACTTCCTCTTTCTCTGTCCTCCAAACACTTCGAAACACATCATTTTCTCTTTTTATGTGTTGCCAGACTAGTGCAATTTTCCCCTTTGCCAGCAATGTGTCGATGTGAACAACGACTGATTGCTGTCGTCGTTACTGTAGGAGATGCCAAGTGATCCCACCTGACATCCCCTTCAGTAGATAACTCCATTTCATTTCCCCCCTATTCTTTTTCCATGTCTATTCAGCCAGCTGTCATATTTCTCCGGTAGTAGCTGATTCCATTTCAAGGTTGTCGACTGCCAGGTGGCATTAAATCGCCCCAAGATCTCTGGAAGTTCCTGACCGAAGGGCGATCTGGTCAGTGTGATGTCCCGCCGTTGAGGTGGAACATTGATGGATTCTACCACCCCAACAGCAGCCGACCTGGAAGCATGAACACAAAAGGCGGATACTTCATTCAAGATGAGATTCGCCAATTTGACAATGGCTTCTTTGGGATCAACAATCTGGAAGCAACATTCATGGATCCTCAGCAGCGTAAGCTGCTAGAAGTCTGCTATGAATGCTTTGAGAGCGCAGGCGCTACCCTGGAGGGAATTTCCGCAGCTAACATCGGATGCTACGTTGGCAACTTCACTATTGATTATATTACCATGCAGGCGAAGGAGGCAGACTACTTCCATCGCTATAACGCTACCGGTATGGGAACGACCATTCTATCCAATCGAATAAGCCATGTCTTCAACCTCACGGGACCCAGGTATGCACGCTATTAAGCTTGGACATAATAATGCAAGTCTCTGATGATTTATTCTAGTGTGGTTCTTGACACAGCTTGCTCCTCTTCTCTGTATGCTGTACATATGGCTTGCGCCGCCATTGACGCCGGTGAATGTGACGCGGCTATTGCAGCTGGTGCAAATTTGGTCCAAGCGCCGGAACAGCACCTGGGCACAATGAAGGCAGGTGTACTTTCTGCCACGTCAACTTGTCATACATTCGACGCTTCGGCAGACGGGTATGGGCGTGCTGATGGAATCGGTGCGGTTTATCTCAAGAAGCTAAGCAAGGCTCTTGAAGATAATGACCCCATTCGAGGTATCATTCGTGGATCAGCGGTCAACTCCAACGGAAAGACCAACGGAATCACCCTCCCCAGTTCTGACGGGCAAGAAGCTGTTATTCGCAAGGCCTACGCAAAAGCCGGTCTAGAATATAAGTACAACGAAACAAGCTACGTTGAATGCCATGGAACTGGAACTGCCGTTGGAGATCCTATCGAATTAGAAGCCGTATCTCGAGTGTTCAAGAAACGGCCGGTTCAAGCTCCCCTGCATGTTGGCTCTGTCAAGACGAACCTCGGCCATTCAGAGGCGGCATCGGGATTCTCTAGCATTTTCAAAGTTGCAATGGCGCTCGAGAAGGGCGTTATCCCACCGACTATTGGCGTCAAGGAAATCAATCCTAAGATTAAGGTGCAGGAGTGGGGAATCAAGATCGTCACGGAATCGACAAAATGGCCAGCTAAAAATGATCTTTCTATTGAGAAGCCAACTTGTAGAGCTGGTGTCAACTCTTTTGGATATGGTGGTGCAAATAGCCATGCCATCTTAGAATCCGTTGAAAACTTTGTCCCCCTACGGAAGGGGCTCTCCTCCGAAGCTCTGTCAAACATGAAGTCGACCTTCATTCTTCCCGTTTCAGCCAGCTCGGTTGCATCACTTGAGGGCCAACTGAGCAATCTATCTTCGCTAGATTTTGAGCACGTCAACATTGTGGATTTGGCTTACACCCTCGGTGTCCGCCGGTCTAATCTCTCGTCCAGAGCATTCACGCTTGCTGGACAGAGTACTCTCCAGGAGAACCTAGCCTCAGAGAGCTTTGTTTTCCCCATTGATGGGGTAAGCTATACCAAGCTTCCTTTCGCTTTCGTCTTCACGGGCCAAGGTGCCCAGTGGGCTCAGATGGGTAAAGAGCTCATTGAGGAGGTTCCTTCTTTCCGCAAGACCTTGGTTGAACTTGACAATGCTCTGCAAAATCTTCCCCATGCTCCAAAATGGACTTTGAGACAGGCTCTCTTGGACCCGAAGGAGACATCTAAGATCAACCTTGTCACACGCTCCCAACCTGTCTGTACAGCGATTCAAATTGCCTTTATTCAACTCCTGCGTAAGTGGGGTGTTGAGCCCGAGGCCGTTATTGGACACTCATCCGGTGAGATTGCCGCTGCATATGCTGCTGGTCTTCTCAGTGCAACAGACGCGATTATCGTTGCCTACTACCGTGGTTATGTGGTTGGAAAGTCTCAACTGCAAATCAAGGGGGGGCATGGTGGCTGCGGGCATCGGGAAGGACCAAGCGCAGGATGAGATTGACAGCTTGGACCTGTCGAATGTGATCAAAGTCGCCTGTATCAATTCCCCTGAGAACGTTACTATCAGTGGAGATGGCGATGGAATCGACAAGATTGTGGCTCATTTGCAAGGGAAGGGCATCTTCGCCCGTAAGCTCAATACTAATGATCGTGCATACCACTCACATCACATGGTTCTACTTGGGCAAGAGTACGAAGATCTTCTTGTCGATAATCTGCCGCCTCCCCCGCCTTTCCAGCTGGATAGCAAAGTTCGATGGATCTCATCTGTGACTGGACAGGTTGTGACTGGAAAGATCCATCCTTCTTACTGGAGAGCTAATCTCGAGTCACCTGTCCGATTCAGTGATGCGGTTGAGGGTCTCATCAAGGGAACAAAATACCACCTGATTGAGCTTGGTCCCCACTCAGCTCTCGAACTGCCAATCAAGCAGACCATGACCAAGCTGAACGTTAAAGCCGGAAACTACAACTATTCGGCCGTACTTACCAGAAACAAGAATGCCGTCACTTGTCTGTTGAACACAGTCGGAAATCTCTACTTGCACGGCCATTCAATTGACTTCGCCCAAGTCAATTATGTAGAGACCGCTACAACCTCATCAGCGCGGAATACCTCAAAGTATCCCATGCACAAACAAGGGAAGGTTATGACAGATATGCAACCATACACCTGGACATATGACACTCTTCTGTGGAGTGAGGGCCGTGAAAGTACTGAGTACCGCGAGCGCAAGTACCCACACCACGACCTTCTGGGCTCGCAGAAGCCGGGAGGCAATGGACTCCAGACAATATGGAGGAACATCCTCAAAGCTGAAGACAACCCTTGGCTTCTTGATCACAAACTGGAGGACACTGTTGTCTTTCCGGGAGCGGGCTACATTGCAATGGGTATTGAGGCGATCTGTCAAGTCACTGGAAGGAAATCATCTGATCCTGGATCGGTCACTTTACGGCAGTTTCAAATTCTCAAAGCTCTGCCACTCTCCGCAGACTCAAATGCCCCGGGCGTCGAGATCTTCACTCATATTCACCCTATGGCTATCTCTGCTTCGTCAATTTCCAAGAAATGGTGGGAGTTCGAGATCAGCAGCTACAAGGATGGGACCACTACCACCCATGCAACTGGAAAGCTTAGTGTTACTGTGTCACAGGACCTGGTCAAGCCCACTCTTATCCAAGAAACCCTTGAACTTGAGGCCCTTGCAATTCGGAACTGGTACGGACAGTTCACCAAGGTTGGACTGAATTATGGCCCTAAATTCGCAGCCCTCGAAGAGATACAAACCCCGAGGGCCAGGGTTGGTAAACATTGCCGCGCAAAGACCCAGCTTTTGCAGGGTGGTGGAGAGGGTAATTCAGCTCAATCGACATATTTGGTTCATCCCATCACAATTGATGTGATGCTGCAAGCTGGTATCATCGCTAGTACGGGAGGTATCATCAAGAATCTTCGAGCCAATGTCCCAGTATCCATTGAAGAGGCTCATTTCCAAGCTCCCTCTACTCCACGAAAGGATTCTGTTTATATAGACGCGGAGACAGACAAAATTGGCTTTGCTTCGTACATGATCAACACTTGCCTTTATGATAACAACGACAGACCTTGCGTTATTCTAAAGAATGTTCGTGTGACTGGCTACCAGGGAGCTGCCCAGGTGACTGATGAGCTGGAGCGAGAGCCAATGCTTCGGCTCCTATGGAAGCCCGATATAACCACTCTGTCAAGTGATGGGCTAGCCCAGTACCTTTCTTCTTGTGCACAGGTGAGTAAAGTAGCCCCGAAATCATTCAAAGGCTAAATATTAACATACTTTACTTAGGTTGGCGTTGACCAATTTGCCGCTATGGTGGACGTTATCTCCCATAAGAATCCCAGACTGCAGATTCTGGACCTCACCAACTCGGACAACCTCACAGTAAAGTTCTTGGATGTTCTTCGTGCGGAGAAAACATTCAAAAGATTCCGATCATACGCCAGGGGCCAGTTTTCGGAAAATGACGAGCTTATCTTGGAGATTGTGGACGGTAAGCAGCCATTCTGTGAAGGCAAGCAGGCCAAGTCAAGTGGAAATGAGAAATACGATCTCGTGATTGTGGGGGAAACTCTAAATAATAACCAATATTCGCATTCTCTGGAACTTGTGGCCCCAAGTGGTATTGTTCTGAAACTGAACTCAAACGTGTCCGAGTCCTCAGATGAGCTGGTGACTGTCAGTGCGACCACAGCCACTGGGGAGATGCTAGAGATGTCTGCTTTTCCCTCTGATAAGAAGGCAGAACTTGGCTCAGCCAGTGTGCTGATTGTCGAAGAGACTGCGCAAGATTCATTCAACGATGCGCTGGCTCAATATCTCTCTCATGAAACAGGCTTGGTGGTAAAGCGTGTTCTTCTCCAAGACCTGACTGCCAGCATCATTACGCCAAAATCTCTTCTCATCTCCACTATTGAATTAACTCGGCCAGTTCTCTCAACCCTGACTGGAGAGGAGATGCAATTTGTCAAGCTTATCACAGACAACGCTCATAGTCTTCTGTGGCTTACTGGTGGTGGAAACATGGAAGGAACATTCCCAGATTTTGCCCTGATGTCGGGATTGTCCAGAGCCCTTATACTGGAACAGCCCTCTTTGCAGATAACAATGCTTGATCTTGATATTGTGGAGCCGTCATCACAGACACTGCAGAACATATCCGCCGTTCTAAGTGGGTCTGTTGAATCAATGAGCCCAGACTTCGAATATACCCAGAGAAATGGCCTCCTTCACATCAGTCGAATGTTGCCAGACGAGGAAATGAACCAGGCATTCCGAGACAAGCAGGGCCAAGTGCTGGCTCTCACTCCCTTGGGCGAGACTTCGCCAGCTCGCTTGACTATTGGAACTGTTGGTCAGTTTGACACACTTGCATTTAGCCGTGAAGCGCCAGACTTTTCACCTCTAAAGCCAGGGACTATCGAGATTGAAGTGAAGTCCGTTGGATTAAATGCCAAGGTACGCATAATTGATTGTTTTCTTCTTCTCCCTATCCCTGATCATCCATAACTTATTACATCCAGGACTTCTATGCCCTTGCTGGAAAGGTCAATACAAAAGAAGCCATGTGCAAATTAGAGTGCAGTGGTATAGTGACTCGGGTGGCTGACAGTGGTATTGAGCGACTCGTGGTCGGTGACCGAGTCGTCACAATGGGACCAGGTCACTTTTTGACACATGAGCGACTCCCGGAATGGGCGTGTCAAAAGTTGCAAGATGACGAAGAGTTTCACGTCATGACCATACTTCCCTTAGTATTTTCTACTGCTATCTATGCCCTGCATCATCGCGCCCATATCAAGGACGGAGAATCTGTGCTGATCCACTCGGCAGCAGGTGGCCTGGGTAATGCTGCCATTCAGATTGCGCAGCTTGCTAACGCGGAGATTTACGTGACTGTCAGCACCCAGGAGAAGAAAGACTATCTCGTGAGGACATTCAATCTGAAGCGGGAGCACATCTTCCATTCTCGGGACTCGTCGTTCCAACAGGCCATTCTCGCAGCTACTGGGGGCAGGGGTGTGGACATCGTTCTCAACTCTCTCACTGGTGATCTTCTTCATGATAGCTGGAGGGTCTGTGCTCCGTGGGGGCGGTTCATTGAGGTTGGAAAACAGGATATCGTCGATGCAGGAAAACTGGACATGGAAATGTTCCGACGCAACGTCACATTCTCCGCCTTCGATCTCAGCGAGCTTTCTGATGAGGATCAGCCAAAGCTTAATTGTATCGCTGCAAGGTTCGTATTCTCCAGTAAATCATTATTCTACTCTTTTTGACATACGATAGCCTGCTTGCCGAGACGTTGTCCCTCTACCGGCAGAAGAAGATCAGGGCTATCGAGCCTTTGAAGGTCTTTGATGTGTCCGAAATTACGCAGGCATATCGCTTCTTTGGACTTGGAAACCGCATTGGAAAGATTGCTATTTCTCTCGAGAACAAGGACTCACTTATCCCGGTAAGTGACACGGTGCCACTCAGTCCGTTTGAGCATAAAGACTGACGATTTAGACTATTCCTACGAAACACGATGCGAAATTCAGTCCAAACAAGACTTTCCTCATGATTGGCTGCCTTGGCGGGCTGGGTCGTAGTATTTCGAAATGGATGGTTAAGCGTGGTGCCAGGAAATTCGTCTTCGTTGGTCGCACTGGGACTGACCGAAAACCCGCACGGCAACTCGTGGAGGATTTGGAGGCAGAAGGTGCAGATATCACAGTTATTCGTGGAGACGTTGGCATCTTGGCCGATGTTCAGAGAGCTGTCGCTGCCATCAAAGGACCTGTTGGAGGTGTGATTCAAGCCGCAATGGGACTCAACGTTGGTTATCCAGTTTTCTCTTTCTGTCTTCACAAATACTAAATCCTTACAGGAAGCACTATGGACTACGATGTCTGTGGATTACTGGCACACCGGAATAGATCCCAAGCTGATTGGCTCGTGGAACCTCTACAATGCTCTCGAGGGCAGAACTGATGATCTTGACTTCTTCTTGATGACCAGTTCCGTGTCTGGCAGTGTGGGAACAGCCACAGAGGGCAACTACTGTGCAGCCAATTACTTCCTGGATATCTTTGCTCGCTTCCTGCGAAGCAAGGGTCTACCGGGCATTTCCATTGGCCTAGGCATGATTTCAGAAGTAGGATATTTGCATGAGAACCCTGAGATTGAAGCCCTTCTTCTACGAAAGGGTATTCAAGCTATTAATGAGGATGAGTTGCTGCAGATTATTGACATCACAATCTTCAACAAGGACAGCACACCATATGATACTATGGCATCCTGTCATGTACTTACTGGTCTGGAACCCTTGGGTCTCAAGAATCTTCAGAAGGCTGGATTCAGCGGTACCAACCCGACTCTTAACGACCCTCGCGCCAGCGTTCTTGCCGCTGTTCTGGACAGTGACAGCGACCGGGATTTGAAGCATGGATCCGGCATGCCGGCCGAGCTGGCCGCTGCTCTGGAGAATGGCAATGAAGAACTGTCTGTTCTTGAGGCTATCGTTCATCTTATCGTGAAGCGCTTCTCCAATCTCGTTCTCCAACAGGTTGACAAGATTGACCCTGCCAAGGCTTTGTCTACTTTCGGCATGGACAGTATGCTAGCAGCAGAGTTCCGAACCTGGTTCTACCAAGCCTTCAAAGTTGATGTTCCTTTCCTTACCTTGTTATCCGCAGAAACTACTCTCCACTCACTGGGTGGTCTTGTCCATGCAGTAGTTACTGAGAATCAGAATTAGTGTTCATACTTTTATCTGGGTATATAGTCGAATGAAGATTGCGCCTTAGGCGTTACAGCATCCTTTTTCTCTATTTGAAGTTACATTGGAGAATCACCCGAGTATCATCTTTATCCATCCTTGTTGTTATCTGGTCTGTCCTTACCGTTATATACGTCGGTGAGTTAGTAGTTGGGTGGGTGACACCAACGAACCTTCACTGTTGTATGTTTTTTTATTGCCCAATGAATTCAATTCTTTGCGGAAAACGTGGTCCCTAGCGCCAGCACCACAATACCTCGCTGGTGGTGCTCCAGTCAACGATAAATTTTGAAATTATGTACATCTTGTATGGCGTCCCCATAAAAATGGTACTTAGAATTAAAAATTTATAACATACATCTTCCTCCCCTGTATAGCCAGGAAGTTATAGGTCCATTTATATTATCTAAAATGGCCATGCCACAAAGATAAGCAAAAAAAACGCAATAAAAGATCAAAAACATACAACAGTGAGGATTCGCTGGTGGTCACCCACCCAACTACTAACTCACCGGCGTGTGGCTTAAGTACGGCTGAGCGGACGGGAAGCCCTGTTTTCCACACCCTATGGTCGTATGTACTACTCTGTTCTAGGATGCTAACTATATCCTATCGTTTACTTTTTGCTACCTATTACTATTCTTACTCTAGTGATTCAACTAGCTTCTCTTTTCAAGTCTATATCAAGTGCTACGGCTCGCTAATCCATAGTTCGTGGGTTTATTTCATCTGGCAAGTGAAGAACAAGCATCTCTGAGTCCTACCGACCCATTCATCTCCATCTTCGGCTTTCAGCCGCGATATATTTGAAAAAGCCAGGAGGAAAAGAACTCGGATGTGAACAGCAAAGATATTATATGAAATATAGCTAACTACGCATAAGTGGAAATACCTCATTTTTTCGTTCATGTTCTTCCTTCTCTTTAACCATCTTCTCACTTTGTCACAATTCAGCAACAGCACCTATCTTTCTCACGTTCTTACCTACAATCAATTCCTATTTTCATTAAACCATTTTAGCCAATGGCTAAGTAGGTCTCTATGGCTTCTGTAGTGGCTAAATTGTACTAACCTTATTAGTCGTTTCCCCGAGCCTACTTCGGCAGAACAGGGAATCCCAGTCCTTATCCCCCTATCTCCCTATTCTATATTAGAAGCCGAATGGAGCCCTGGTGGCTCTAGGCTCAGTGGGCTCAGAGAATTCATGAGCTGTTGTGTTCAAATCATTGTAATGATCATTTTTCGGCAATGAAGTTAACGTGAATATAAATCACTATATCAATATCGTGTAAAGATATCAGTCAAATTGCCCGCATTCTAAATTTTATATCTGATATTGGTTGATTACCTGATCAAGATCCCACTAATAGGACCCTTAGCGTTCCTAGAATCATACTTGGCCCCATGATACATGGCATGGTCCCTAGGCACAATAATTATTGCTCCCAGAGTAGGAATAATTTTCCCACAGGGCCTATAGTTCCGGGGAACGAGAGGTGGTAGAGAGTACGGGCGACTCCACCAAAGTGCTAGGGAGGTCGTGCTACTTCAAAGTGGCGGAAGGTAATACCGAACTGATCATATAAGAGGGTGGTCGAATTGGTACAGTATAAGCCCCATATATTCGTTCTTATATTCGTTCTTACCCTCCCATAAATTGAGGAGCTAAACCCCCAGTTTGCTCCAGGCCCAAGTATTACCTCGATATCTGTAGATTTAATGTATCTCATTTTGGCGCTTTACTGTACGAATCTATGAACAGGAAGTAAATGGTTAAATTGCGCGGCTGAAGTTTCTCCAAATCACTCTCAATCTGCAACTATTGAAATGAAACCAGTCTCGCTTGGGACAGGAAGTCCTCTAGACCTAAGCTTGCTAGCCCTTTTAGCTCTTTTCTTTGAGGACATATTTGCCCAATCCCCATACAGACTTAAGTCCGAACATGAGATCCTCGCTATGTAGCCCTGATCAGTAGCCTCTGGTAGTATTTCAGTATTAAACGTATCACCAGGTGACAAAGAAGCGCGCGACCAGCTGTCAGTATCAGCAGACACTTGAGGAACGATCCACTGTTCGCTACCTCCCTCAGCAGGAGACTCTTCCAGGACAGGCTCAAGCTCAGGCTCTGGTTCAGGCGCTTCGACGACAGGCTTTGGTACAGCCTCTTCGAAGGTGGGCTCAGGCTCAGGCTCTTCGAAGACGGGCTCTAGTACAGCCTCTTCAAAGGCAGGCTCTGGTACAGCCTCTTCGAAGGCAGGCTCTGGTACAGCCTCTTCAAAGATAGGCTCAGGCTCAGGCTCTTCGGGGACAGGTTCAGGATCCTCAGGGGATGGCCCTCGAAGAGGGGATTCTTCTGAAATGATGCCGTTCAGTATCTTTGCTAATGATTCCCAAAAGAATTAGTTCAGTCTGATTACCATATGTTGAATCTGTTGAAGATAATTTACCGTGCTGATCTTTCATAGAACATAAGCTAATAGATAGCATCTCGAGAATCATCTTCATCACTGCATTATCAAATTGATGGTCCTGGCCGAGAATATTGTAAAATGCGTGTAAGTCAAGCCCTGCAACTTCAGGCTTTGGTAGTCGCTGCAGGTTTCCTCGAATGTAACTTGGAAGCCAGGTTTCATCTACAGGAAGTCTTGAAAACACGTCCCTCACGACCCGCAGTATTTCAAGAATAGGAAGGTCCTCATCTAAGTGCTCCATCTTCTGCTTAGCAAGGATTTCAAGGTCAGTTAGGCCCCAAGTCCTTGATGCATAATAGACTAGAACGCTCCTCTTGTATTCTCTGGCGAGATCTGATACACCTTCATCAAGAGGCGAGCTGACTGTCTCGTAGCCGCCGGTGTATAAGAAGTGTAGCACGGTATGCCCGACATCTTCATTTACATTAGGCATGATGATAGTCGATGACCCAAGAGAGGAAGGGGTGAGCTTTGGGTAATTCCGAAGGAAATGAGCGGGAATGCCATATTGCTTGCTCCCTATAATGAAGGTGACGAGAGGGAACTCGTAGGGCCAGTAAATAGGTCAGAAAACGCTGATTCTGACTTATTCGAAGAACTCACGATGACAAAGGTCGATGGTAGTCAATTTTAGGAGAGACATCTGGGGTGAGGAGTCGCTTAGGCTCCTCATTCGAGTTGCGCTGCTTCGTTTTCTTTTTGCCATGTTTCAGTCTTCAACTTCGCCGGCTATCAAGTGACTCTCATAAAAATTTCCAGGAAATGTATCAAGAATTAAGATGAGAGGAGGCCTGACTACATCTTATATATGCGGAGGATGAGGGATAAGTAGGGTAATGCAAGTATGAGTTGTCCTGCAAAGTGGTCGAAACATGCCATCTGTGCCCTGAATGGCAATTTAGTGTCAAGGATTGAAATGCAGCATGAGTCAGTAGATGGCTTATTACATATCCCAGATGGTTGTCACTTCTGAGGAGTTTTCGGTTTTGGAAGACGAATCTGTGCCGCTCAATTCTAAGTAGGCTGGAAGCAAAATGCGATATCCCTGGTAATCCTGGACTCCTATCAGTTGCTGTCCTGTCAGAACCCTTCCATAATTTGGTACCGTATTACCGCTTCCAAGACGGATGGTGCTTCTAAGCTGTGAGAAGCGAATTCACGTGGTGCTATCCCATCCAATGGATTATGTCCAGGACACGTGTGGTTTTCGTTAGCGCTAATGTTCTATCTAGTGGCGTACTCACCACAATCCTATGGGTAGCTGAATTATCACTTTACAATTCACAAAACCACATCGCTCTTGGCATCACCTGCAGAGTCTTTCATCTATCTTTTCCTTATTCGCCAATCTCCAATTCGGCAAAGGACAGCCATACCCTAGAGGCTCTATGATAACTAGACAAAAGGTACACACAAGGTAAGGCCAGATCATGCAGGTATGTGTTGGCCAACTCATGCGGGGTAGGACACAATAATTGTACTGATACAAAGACCCGAGGAGCTCAGCCCAAAGCTCATTCTCCTTGGCTAATATAATACCACCAACGAAGCAAGGCAATAACGGGTTCTCTCTGGATCGCAGGCATTCCGCGTCCGGAGTTGACAGATTTTGAGAAGATCGGGCAATCTATTACGGAAGTGGAGCATTTGTCTTAAAATTGGATTGAATCGTCTAGCTCTACATTGCTGTCCCCAAATGCCCGCTTCTTTGATCTCCACCCTAAACCCCTCCAAAAAAAAGTTGCCGAAGACTCTGGGCCCATTTACATTGCTCAAACCGTGTTTCGTTATCCTGAAAATCCACTCCAACTACTTTTCCGTTCGCTGTACATTGGAAACCCGTCAAAATGCATTCACCAATTTGACTTGCTAACCGGATAACCGATCGAAAGAACATCATGGGTAACCGGCAAGTGAGCAAGTAATGAAAGTCACTATTTGCAAGCTCTGTTGCCGATTGAGCCCCCGGGCTGTCACTTGGATATAGTAGTGACAGTTGGAAGCATTCAGCTTGTTGACTGACGAGATAATTTAGTTTATGTCTAGCATATACTCTAGCATATACCCATAAATCCAATCCATCCTTTAGTTTGCTAATATTCGAACCCGTTCCCCGACTCCAAAGAAAAAGAAAAGAAAATACAAAAAGAAAGGAAAGACGAAAAAAAAGTTCTAAATCCGCTTCCCAAATGGCTCCCCCTTCGTCTTCCCTTCCGTATGCGGAGGCAGTTTTTCACGATACCCAAACTCCTGCTATTTAATATGAACTCGGTTGAATCTTTCATAGGTCTTTTCCTTCTTATTACGATCCACATTGGCTAAGCATTTGGTAACATCCTTTTCAATGGCATCCATGGTGCGGTTCTTGAACCACGCAGTTTGTCCCTCGTGGCTTTGTTTCGTGACGGGGGTGTATATGGCTGTGTGCCATACCTCTTCTGTCCCGGTCATGTTGTCGGTCTTGCTCTTCCAGGGGCAGCGGTAGGTGTAGCGGTAGTAGAGGAAGCCTGGTCCGCCGTGAGACATTGTTGTTCTTTGGTCTAGGTTGGTTATGGAGGAAATGTATACTCCTAAGTCCTTGAAGGAGACAATTTTACGCTATGTGAAATAAAGAAGTACAGGAGAAGAAACAGAAACGATATTGAGCAAGTTGATAAAAAGTAGAAGACGGTATTTGAGCCAAGGTGGGAAAGACTGGAGAAGTATACCCCTCATTTACTTCAAAAGTGAGGGGTAATCACAAGGCTGTGTTCGGAGCGCTACTCGACACGTCGCTGCCCAAATGAGATTTGTTGGGCAGCGACGTGTCGGGTATAGAAAATGAGATATATGGCAGCCGATAGCGCTCATATATCACTGACGAAATTCGTACCACTTCTCCGCCTAAAGCTTTAGGCTAGACTAAACTATTGGCTAGCCCGACCATTTTGAGCGAGGCTCAAACGCGGCCATTAGTCGGGTGGATGCCGCCCGGGTGAGAATTTAGTGAGCGCCGCTTTTGAGTCGCGCGGCAGGGAGTGAGCAGGCTGAGTTGATTATAGATGGGAAGGTGGGCCAGGTGAGATCTTCCCTGACGCGCGATTCGCGCGACCACTCGAGCCGAGTGACCATGATCAAAATTAACCTTGTAATAATTAGACAATCACATACCCTTCAAGCATTAGCCATCTTAGCACCTATACATATCCACAAAGCAATCTGTAATCAATGGTCTTGTCACATCAAATGCGTGCCTGATTTGTTGTTTATCTAAGCGCGATCGCTACATTCAGCCATAAAGTAGTTAAGTATATCCTAGGATAGGAGGACTTGGAATTATACGAACACGTATCTATACATCCAGTTTAGTTCTTCGTACTCAATCATATATATTTACTTATAAATACCGTTTCGACGTTAGAGACTGTTACTGAATAAAAATCAATAGGATTAAGGGTCGGCCCGTTAGCAAGGTACTACTAGTGACCCTCTTTCGTCCTACTAGTTGTGTAGATCATAATTTTGGATCGCTTGCCGCTAGTATAACTAGTATAGGGTACAGCTGAATACTAAGGTTAAATAGAGGCTTGTGTAATATTTCAATAGTATCTTTTTTTTCTCTCTGAGTAAAAATTCACTTCAAGTCAAATAGAGACAACCTTATTTCCTACTCAAATAAGGCAGCCAATCAAAATTGATTAAAACTTATATATGCATACATAAGCATAAGACGTCCGATCTAGCGTCTTCGCTCGGTTCTTGAAATCTCCTCCTATCAAGGACTACGACTTCCTTAGAAATAACGCCATAAAGAGGAATCTCGATCAAGCCGGGCAAGGCGGCTAATCCAAGGTATGATGTATTGGTTGTCAATCTCATCGCTTTACTATCTATCTATCTATCACAACCCATAAACATGGGTGGAAAAACAAAAACATACAACAGTGAGGATTCGCTGGTGGTCACCCACCCAACTACTAACTCACCGGCGTGTGGCTTAAGTACGGCTGAGCGGACGGGAAGCCCTGTTTTCCACACCCTATGGTCGTATGTGCCTTCTTGTTCTATAATACTAACTATATACTATACTTTAATTTTCGCTCATTATTACTATTCTTATTCTAGCGGTTCAACTGACCAGCTTCCCGATCACAGGCAAAGAAAGAAGACAACAGCGATATAATACACCATGTTATCAAAATTTAGGGTAGTCTTGGCGGAGCCACATTGACAGAATTATTGCCGGGGTAGACCAGTGTGCCGGTTGCGGTCACCCTTTAATTTGTTTTTCTTTAACTTGGCTCGGCTATTTAGTCTGGCTATATCTAAAACTTTTTAGTCCAAGGTCTTGATTCACTAGCCTCTTGTTCTTCGTCCTGCCTTAAGGCAACATACCTGCCATGTCGGTGGCTTTTTCAAATACATCGCGGCTGAAAGCCCACAGGATGAAGGTGAATGGGTCTGTAGGGTTGAGAGATACTTCTTCTTCACTTTCCAGATGAAATAAACTCACGAACGATGAATCAGCGAGCTGCAGCACTTGATATAGACTTGGAAAGAGAAGCTTGTTCTTCACTTGTGAGAAGAAGTAAAGTCACGATGTCCTATGCTCTACCGGACCCACCTTAATTGTTCACTCAGATTTAGTCACAGCTCACTGGTATGAGTGTTATGATACTTTATATCAGCCACGTGTGTGGTATGGCCAGTCTCACTTCAAACTCGAACTTTGTTGCGTCTAGTAGCCATTGCCTAGTATAAAACAAAGTTATACCACATCGTCGATTTGACTGTTTGGCAACTTTACCCATGCCCAAATATGCTGCCAATGGTACACACAATATTAACCAACAATGCTACAGTTACAGCACCAGTATCCGAGTGTCATCGACTGGGCCCAATTCCCAGCGCTAAGGCATCGATTAATTGAACTGCACGCTACAAACCTCCAAATCGACCAAATATTCGTGAATATCGTGAGCAGCCGTGTGGTAGAAGCCTGTCTAGCAGGGCAGATTTGGTCTTCGGTGCCCCTCAAACAAAAGTGTATGTAGATGTTGTCGAAGGTGCAGCTGTTATGGGCAATAAAAATGTCTACCCATATACCGTACTTCCAGCTGCAGATATGGAGTCTCTATGCTTTATCCCTAAGTATGCTCAAGCGGTATTCAAACTTTTGAATATGGACTTCTAAATATAAGCTCGATCCATCGTTCTTTGGGACTTATCCTGAACTGTTCGACCCTGAGAATGATATTGTAGCAAAGGGTGTGTCTATAAGGCCAAGTAGCCAAACAAGCTTGCCCTGTCTAAGTTGTTTGGATGACTTGACCTTCCCGACGTACCGGAGCTTTATGGAATTTCATACTCTCGCGCCTCATTGACTGGGCCTCGGGGTAATCGAATAAATTCGATCTATATGCTGGGTAGCGATAATGCGGAATCCAATCGACTAGGGCTTTATGATACATATTGAGATGAAAGGGAAAGGGAACTTGCGTGCAAGGAAACGTTCTATCAGATTGTTCGTAGCCAATCGATGTAGTTGACATTCGGGTCATAGTAATGTCCATAGTTCGTTGACTAACCATCCCACCACGGTCATTGGGGAATTCCATATACCAGATGAGTCACTAGATCCTGTTGGTAAACTAAAAGAAGCTAGTTGAATCGCTAGAATGAGAATGGTAATGGGCGGCGAAAAGCAAATCATAGGATATGGTTGGTTTCCTAGCACTGAAGGGTACATACGACCATAGGGTGTGGAAAACAGGGCTTCCCGTCCGCTCAGCCGTACTTAAGCCACACGCCGGTGAGTTAGTAGTTGGGTGGGTGACCACCAGCGAATCCTCACTGTTGTATGTTTTTGTTTTTCCACCCATGTTTATGGGTTGTGATAGATAGATAGATAGTAAAGCGACGAGATAGACAACCAACACATGCCTTGGATTGGCCGCCTTGCCCGATTTGATCGAGGTTCATCTTTATGGCATTATTTCCAAGGAAGTCGTAGTCCTTGATAGGAGGAGATTTCAAGAACCGGGCGAAGACTAACAAAAAAATGAGAGCTTTGTTTGAATGGCAGAGAGATAGCAATCGATTTTCCTAAGCCAAAAGATACCCAAAGAAGAGCAGCAGAATCTGCAGCTTTTTACTCAAATTGACACCAGCGAGAATCTTCTCACTCAAACTGCAGGTATTCGCTACGCCATAGATCAATATATCCGCAAAATTACGATAGCATGGCCAATAGTCTGGCTGTTTTATTCGGACATTGGCAAAATCGACAACACCAATGGATCTCCGGAGTAGTGATCAGTTAAATAGCGTGATTCCTTGATGTTTCTTTCCAGATGGATGGTAGCTGAAATTTGATGGGTTTCCTGGGTCTTACTGCGAGTTTTGAGCAGAGGATTTAGCTATATATCCTCAGTCTTTGGAGAACGCTTGTAAGATGGATATTGACGAGATTCACTTATTTTAATACGATTCATTTACCCAGACCCCCTGCCAAGTAGAAACCATGAATTGAGGTACAAGTGTGATCGCCACTGGCTATCTATGAGAAAGATGCAGTCATTTGTAGTCTTAGTAGCTTTCTTCATGAATATTAATCAGCTTAAATAACTATTAGACTACCCCTGTTGAAGAGGGATTCCCGACAGATCAATTACACAAATGGAGCGAAACATATCACCATTCAGGGCTATCCATATATGTCGTCCTGACTAACAGGCTCAACAGAAAAAACAAGGGCTTCATAAGATCGCATCTAACTATTTCTTTATGTACTTGGAGCGTAGCGTCGCAGTAATCAAACCTCCTAGTCCCCCAAGAGTTGCAGCCTTAGTTATCGCAATCAGTGACAGGTCTAAATAAAAATAACGACGACACCAGTTTCGGATCTCAACTGTCATAAGCGAGTCGATTGGTATTGTGGCGAGCTGCACGGAGTCTTTCCCACGGGCAAAAGTCGAGTATTGCTGCAGGTTCTTGACGATCTCCGCCATTATCTGTTCCTTCCAAGCTGGCCCATCTAGAGTATCCGGGTCATTTTCGAGAAGGGAGACCATATATCGAAGGCTGGTGGCAAGTTTGGAGGCATCAGTAGTTGCTTCTGGGTCGAAGTCAAGATGCGAATAAGCTCGGAAACGTGCATCTTGCCCCCAAAGCGGCCGAACAGTGGCATCAGCAAGGGATTTTGTGCTGCTCATGCCAACAATCAGGTTGTTTGGTATCTGCAGCGAATTCGAGGAATTCGAGGTTCTTTCAACATCGTCACTGAATATCGCAAGCTCAAATGCATCCAGAACCTCTTGTTCGCTTAGCAACCTCACAGAGCCTGAACGCATTCGCTCTCGAAGCGTTGGATCTTGTGTCGCGAGGAATCCTACATCGTCGACTCCTCCGAGATTCACAACAGCGGCCGGTAGCCGGTTTTGTAACCGATACTGGGCAAATGACGACACAAAAGCATTGGCTGATGAGTAATTGACTTGGCCAGCGTTGCCCATAACGCCGGTTATGGAACCGCAAACAACGAAGAATTGGAGATCGGCATCGTTCCCATCCAGCGCGTTATGAAGGTTCCAGGTTCCGGTTACCTTTGAAGAAAGAACTTCCTGCCAATTCTTGTGAGACATATCTGGAATGAAGGTGTCCTTTGGGGGTCAGTAATTTTAGTCGAATAACTTGGCGCATACGGGAGTATGAGACTTACTCGAACTACCATAGAGAGCTGAAGAATTCCTCCAACCGGGCAAGGGCAAGCGTGTATGGCAGCTTGAACCTGTTTTTGGATCGCCACGTCACATTTTATCATAGTCACTGTAGAGCCCTGCAACTCCAGCTCACGACGAAATGACTGGTCCTGACTAGTGGCTCCTGCTGATCGGGACAAGAAGACCAAGTTTCGCGCACCACGTTCTACCATCCAAGTTGCTATCGCTCGTCCAATACCCCCTAGACCCCCGACTAGGATATAGGATAGACTAGGGGAGAACTTTGACCTGCAACGCGACTTGGCAATTAACCCTCGCTCGGATATTTCTGGCATCCTAACGAGAAGTTTGCCCATATGAATTCCCTGCTGAAGCTGACGGAATGCCTCAGGTGCATCGGTGCTGGAGAAAATACTCAATGGACGAATTGGGGTGATTTTCCCTGCCTCGTAAAGGTCTCTAACTTGGCGGAAGAGTCTTTTTCCCAAAAGTCAGTCACATATTTATCTTCCTTGCTGCGAGAAAGGCCAATATTGCGTACCTTGTAACTGTTCCTGCCTTTTCTGCGAGTCGAATCAAATCAACACCAAAGAATGCCCGATTGCCCCCAAATGCTTCCAATGGCAAGGTTCCATGCTCTAGAAAGTCTCGCTTTCCGATCTCTATCATCTTGCCGAATTCTGCGACGCATTTCCATGAAGCGTGGAGAAGATCACCAGAAAGGCAATTTAGCACAATATCAACACCCTGACCTTCAGTCTCCTTCATGAGGTTGGGATAGAAGGAGGTGTCCCGAGAGCTGAAAATGTGACATCGAGGAATCCCGAAATTATTCATCAAATACTGTACCTTTGTCTCGCTGCCCACAGTTGCATAGATCTAAAGAATAATTTGTTAGTTATTGGGCTTCCAATATCTATAGTCGCATCATACCTTTGCCCCAATTACCTGACAAAGTTGAATTGCAGCAAGGCCTACTCCTCCACATGCTGCATGAATCAAAACAGACTGAAGACAGGTTAACTAAAAGTAAAATAACGGGTGTCTGACGTACCTGTCCTTTCTCCAATCTCCCAATGTCCATTATACAATACATCGCTGTGGTGTAAACCACAGGCAGAGATGCAGCATCTTCCAACGAAATCGACGGTGGCATATGTATACACCGGGAGGTAGATACTACCACACGTGTGCGGAACATCCCAGGCTGCATTATCATGACTCGATCGCCCTTCTTGAACTCGGTTACTCCGGTGCCACATCTTTGCACAATCCCACTAGCGTCAATTCCCATTTCATCTTTGTTTGCCATAAAGCCCATTGAAATCATCACATCCTATGTTGTTTAGCATCTTCACATATCTGGCCATCAAGATTTAGGACTCACTCGGAAGTTAAGCCCGACAAACTTGACCTCAACTTCGATCTCATCTGCCTCGGGCAAGTCAAGCTCATGCTCTTGCCAAGACAGTGAGTCTAGAGTTCCGTAGGAGGCAATGTCCAGCTTCATGGGTACATCGATGTTAGGGGAGTATAGCAATCTATCCGAAAGGGAGCTCCATCGCATTCGCGGAATGTAGACACAGCCATCGTGGAGGGCAAATTCATAGTCAACATCATCCAAACCAGTTTGATCCTCTTGCCTAAAGAATTTTGTCGATACTTTGAGTAGTGCTTCTGCGGCAAAGCTATCAAAGTTGTCCACTTGAAATGTACCAAATTGGATTTCCTGTTCTTGCCGTGCGGTACGGGAAACTCCCATTACAAGGGAAAAGTTTGGATTAGCACATTTTATCTCAACCGAGTTGGTGACCCATAGGATCTGGGGGGTGGAGTTCATAAGCTGCTGGAACAGCATCCAGTCTTCCTCGCTCATATCATAGAAGAACGGACTCTCAAAATCCAGGAATGAGATCACTCGTTGCCCGTGAGGTATCGCTTCTCCTTTGGTACATCGTTTCATGGTGTGGCCGTTTCCGATGAAGTGATTTTCAACTTCCATCAGCCATGGGTATAGATGCATCTCACTCGGACAAAGAAGATATACAGTGTTCCCTTGCAGATAGTTCCTGGGTGGAATGCGTGCGATCATGTTGCGATAGATACGATATGGCGCTTTGCCATCATCACCCTTTGTCTCAACCCCGCCGAAACCAGCCTGTCGAAGTTTTCTATCCCACACCTCAGTTGACATATACTTGGCATCGATATCAACATCAAATGATTGGATTTGGGAGGGGTTCTTGAAGCAAGTTAATAATTTTTTCTGTCAAGATAGGCTCTGTGGCTGCTTACTGATAGATAGCGTATCACCGGTAGTTCTAGATTATGTCAAAAGCCTGGTCAATCTATAGGTACTTCACCGAGAAAACAAATCAGCTTACCGGGGCAGTGTTCGTGGATTAGAACTCGTCCACCAGCAGTCAGAAGCTTTCCGATACTGTGCAGTGCTGGTGTCACACCAGAAACCCGAGCGCCGATCTTGATTATTGTTAGTTATCACCACTTACGCGTCAATTACGGATTTCCCACATTGATTGCAATGACAAGGTCATAGTCACCGCTATTAAACTCTTGCTGAAGGGGATCTGTATCGAGATCCAACGACTTGAAATCTACTAGGTTGTTGTCTTTGAATCGATCTTTCAGAACGGCATCAATATCAGGTGTCGTTGCCAACGTGTACTGCGCACAGAGGACCTTTCCGTCGGAAGTAAGCCATTGAAGCACAGAAGAAGTGAATGACCCGGTCTCGTCGCCAACCGCAAGGATACGAAGGTTTGGTTGGGCGTGGCAAAGGAGAGAGAACCATCCGAATAGGTCACTGAGAGACTCGATCCAGTCGTGGAGTTTCTGTAGTTGCTTGACCTTTCTTGAGGCTAACGAGGAGCAATTTGACCCTTCAACAAGAGATACCATCTCTCTCACTGTCACCTGACTGAGCTCGGAGATGAAGCCCAATCCCTCAGCCTGAAGCTGCTTATCTAGTGTCAGCCTCTGTGCCCGCAGACTGTCACTGTCCATTTGGGTCCATGATTGCGCTTCGGGCACAAAAGATATACCCTCTCTGTTCCACTTCATGATTTGATTTGACAACCAATGTTTGTAGCCCTGAAGGTGTTCTGAGAATGGTTCTACTTTGGCAATGTTTTGATGCACGCAAATCATAGACAGCACAGAAGCCCTACCCAACAATCCAACTGTGTTGCCCCTGTCCGTTTCAGAAGGTAGCTGAAGGTGACCAGGGAGGAGATCAAGATCCGGACGCCACTCTGGCTCTGAGAGCAAAGGAATTCCAGATGTCTCGTCCTCGAGACTTTGGTCCAATTGAGCTAGAGTCACCCCATTCATTGCGAGTACCATGTTTGTACCATCACTCATCGAGATGCTGCATTTGGCCTGAGTTCCGGCAAAGCTTTCTCTGGTGACTTCAACCTTCATTACATCACTATTTTGACCAAGAGAAATTTGATCGATGAATATCGGGATGAACAGTTTTGTCAGATACCTTGCCCTTCCTTTGCAGGCTGCGACGCTGAATAATTGCAAGCACTGGTCAATAACAGTCGGGTGGATAGCATGGCGGTTGTCGCTTCCTTTGAATATTCCACTAACCGCGGCGCTGGCTGTGAAGCTGGTAATATCTGCTGTAATCTCCTCTAGGCCTTGAAAGTGTGGCCCGTATTGTAGCCCGACCTTTGCGAGCGAGCTGTACCAGGATTTTGTATTCACAGGCCGTTGAAACCGATGCGTTTCTGGAACGTCAATCTTTAAATTCTCGGCACCTGCCACCACTTGGCCAGTAGTATGCTTGGTCCAATTGTTTCCATCGTAACATGCAATGGTGAATTCGAACCATTTAGAGTCAAGTCGGTCATTTATCCGCAATGGCCGCATTGTAGTGACAATTTCGACATCATGGCCCTCGGTAGTTGGCACAACGAGCGGAACCGTGATTTGTAGGTTGCGAATTGTGCATTCTTGGGTGTTGAACAACTGGCGTATTGCTTCGTTAATCATTCCAATATAGCCTGCGCAGGGAAACACGACATCCCCGAGCACTTGATGATCGCTAAGCCACGGGACGGCCCTGGCCTTCAACAAATTTCTCCAAGCGGGCTCAATATCACTAGCTTCCAACATGCGAGAACCTAGCAGCTCATGATGGGGATATTTGCGGAATCTCCAATTTTGACTTAGGCGACTTTCTTTCCAATCAATGCTTTGTCTATCCCAACGATAGATGGGGAGGTCGTGGAGAACATTTCCCGTGCCGTTTATTGCTCTGAAGTCGACGGGGTGTCCGTGACAATACAGTTCCCCTAATGTTGTCAAGATGGATTGTGTTTGAGCTGCCTTTTTTATAAGCGTAGGGAGGTAATAAGCCTGAATTGATTGATGTGACACGATCTGACGGATGGGTCCGGCAAGGGTAGAGTGAGTCCCGATTTCCACGAACACGGTCGTCCGATCCTTTTGCTGATCAATCAAAGTCTTGACTGCCGTAGAAAATAGAACCGGTGATTCTAGACTTCTACGCCAGTAAGTGGCATCTAGCTGATACGGGTCCGTTATCATAGTGCCTGTCACTGTAGAATAAAGAGGAAGCATCGTGTCATAGTGAGCAATGTGAGAGGCAATGGCCGATTCAAAAAGTACACCTGCATTCATCATACACGCTGCACTCTATTAGTATCCAGAATATTGTCCACAGAGGGAAACTCACGGGAATGATAAGCAACTTCGACAGGCAGCTCTCGAACAAAGGTTTCTGGCATTGTTTCGATGATGCGATCAATGACTTTTCTCAACTGTGACCTAGGTCCTGAAATATTAACGCTCTGAGGACTATTCTCACACGCGATAACCACCCCGTCAATCAAATATTGGTTCACGGTTTCCTTTCCGAGACCAATAACGCTCATTCCTCCAGCCTGTGAGGTGGATTCATTGCATCTTCCGCGGAGATGTGCGATGATGATAGCCGCACGCATCGAAATTGCCTTCGCTGCATATGCAGCAATAACCTCACCACTAGAGTATCCAACCACTGCCGATGGGAAAATTCCCCAGCTAGCTAGTAAGTTGACCAAGGCGATCTGGACCGCGGCACACAATGTCTGAGAGTACTCAGTCTTATCGACGCAGCTAGAAACATCGGGTTTCAAAAGTTCACCTAGGTGGTATTTTATTAGTCCTAAACAGGATCAAGACACCGAGAGTGATATGACATGGGCTGGTACCTTCAATGCTCCATGATGGTGGGGACTCGAGCTCTTGCAATATCTGGTCCAGAGCGCGGATATCGCGCTGGAAGGCATCAAAGTGGCCCATCAGCCCCGTTCCCATACCCGCCCATTGAGCACCCTGTCCAGTGAATGCAAATACCACACGCGGAACTCCCGTAATTGCTGGTGGGGTCGATTGATTTTCATATATGCCACTCTTACCGTCAGTGATCAGGTATCCTCGATAGGACAGATGATCGCGGCAAGCCCCAAGAGTGTATGCGACATCGTGTGTCGTATGTGGTTTCCTCTTCAAGTACTCTTGTATTCCTGCAAGCCGTGAGATGAGGGCCGGGGTGCTTTGCGCCGATGCGGGGAGAATATAAGGGATTGACTGCCTGTCAATAATCTTTCTATTGACATCATCGACAGCAGGACCTGCTTCCAAGATTGCCTGTATATTTTGTTAGCAAAGCAATCAATTGGGTGTAGTCATGCTCACATGGGCGTTGCTCCCTCCAATGCCAAAACAGTTCACACTGACACGTTTCTCGCGATCGCGAGGCCATGGAATGGGCTCAGTGGGGACCTGGAGCCCGCCCTTTTCGAACGGAACTAGGTGACATTTAGAGATTTGATTTCATGAGGAGTTGTTGAGTTCTTACTCTTGGGGTTGGGACGCGTAAAATGAAGATTTGGGGGGATTGTAGAATGTTCCAAGGATAACACGGCTTTGATAATAGCGGTCAACCCCGACGCACCTTCACCGTGTCCAACGTTTGATTTCACCTAAACGGAGACATTAACACAAAACCAAAATATGCCATCAGTAGTAGCTGCCTCTTACAGATCCGATGAACACACCCTTCCCTTCAAAGACCCGAGCAATGGCAGTTGTCTCCACGACATCCCCAACTTGTGTGCCAGTTCCATGGCACTCCACAAAAGCTGTTTGCGAGATATCACGGATATGAGCCCTTGAATAAGCCTCTCGAAGGAGCCGCTCTTGGCTTTTTATATCGGGTGCGAATATCTTTGCTGACCTTCCGTCATAATTTGCGGATGTCGCCCGAATGATGGCCCGGATATTGTCACCATTTGCAATTGCTTGATCTAGAGGTTTGATAAAAATGGCATTCACCGCTTCTCCACGGCTGTAGCCGTTTGCACTTGCATCAAAAACTTTGCAGTAGCCGTCTGGGGAGAGAACCATGCTCTCAGACATGTTTACGCTTGTAGAAGGAGTCAACAGCATGTTGGCTCCTGCCACCACGGCTGAGGAGCAGCTTCCGCTGTAAAGAGCCTGGCAAGCTTCATGCAATGCAACAAGTGAGGATGAACAGGCAGTGAGAATGGTTGCACTGCGATCTGATATTAGGTACTAATAGTCATTATGATTAATGAGGACAAATACCTGGGCCCTTTCAAGTCAAACTCGTAGGAAATTCGATTTGCCAAAGTGAATCCTCCGTTCGCAAACGAATGCACACGGGGAATATGTTGGGGCTCTTTGGCTGTCAGTTCATGCCAGTCCTCTCCAAAAACTCCCACGTAGCATCCGATCTTTTTTCCTCGCCACTTAGTTTGTCCTGCGTTCTCCATGCATTCCCAAACCACCTCCATGAGTGACATTTGCTGTGGATCGAGTTCACTGGTGTTAAACCCCGGTATTTCTGCAAAAAATGAGTTGTCCGAACCCTGCATGTACTCGTCGTTGAGAAAATATCCCCGTCTTGTCTTCACTGACTGGGGTTTATCGGGATGATAGAAGGCGTCGATGTTATAGCGACTCTTTGGGACATCAGAAGAACAGTCCCGTTTACTGATAAGAAGATCCCAGAACTCGTCCCCCGTTCGAACTTCTCCTGGAAGTCGCATCCCCATGCCGACGATAGCGATGGGAGGGACGGCAGGTGCTGAAACGAAGCCATCTTTACCGAATTCCGAAGTCCCAGCATGGTCTTTCTGTCTGTCGTTGGAATTTTCCATTGGTTTCCCTTTAGCAATATTACCTACTACCGATGGAACTTGATGCCTGATTCCGTCTGGTTTGGTTAGACCGGTCGTGGTCATTGTTCTTTTCCTTTCGATGTCGCAGTGTAAAATCCAATTTTCAGATTCCAGATCTGAGAGAGCATATCACTGGGATTGCGATCTCGCGGTAGTCACATTGCATAACTTCAGCTCTCATATTTTCACCCCTTGCGTAGCCCATGTAAGGCGGAAAGATCGCGTCGCACAATATGTGCCTAGGTGGCTAGTACGGAGCACGTAACACAGGAATAGTTAGCCGCTTATGAGGCATCTATCCTTGAGAACAAAAAACTATAACCATCTGATGTATTCGGCCTAATATGATGTTAGGGATATTACATGTAAAAGCACACCGACATTTGGTGGGGGTATCTTTTTGATTCTCTTTTAGATGAATTGGAAGGCAGTAAAAAGCAAACCCCGCATAGAGGAACCTGTTGTATAAAACGAGGGAGTTACAGGCCAGGGGGCCGAATGCGTTGGTAGAGTGCTTGGTGTAAAGTAAATATGCCTCGACACGTCCATATCTCGATGTCTGGTTTGCCTGCCTCCAATCTAGCATTCATCTACCTTGTTTTTGTCTGTAGAGAATCAATCCTTCTTCTCTCCAAATTCCTCTCATGTTATATTGCGATGATGCATGCATTTCAGCAAGATATAAGTATCGATAGATCTCCCGGGGGAATACAATAAATGTAACCCCGGGAGCAACATTCCTCCCTATAGGATCTCAGTCAGCCATCACCTCCACCAGCATTCCCTTCAGCTGTATACGTAGAACTCCATCAATGCTCACAAGTATTTAAATTGTCGTATCTGCTCTAGCTTTCTTTGTTCCACTCTACTCCATCATCACCTCCGCTTCAAGTCCATCCTTCTCAACATCTCCACCATCATGTTGTGGACTAAAGTCAACATGCTCCTTGTGAGCGGCCTCTGTGCACTGTCACAGGTTTCAGGCGCGGCAAATGTTGCACAGCATATTGAATACATGGATGCCATGACCGGGAAGATCGGAGCTGCGAGAGACTCCCTCAATAACTATAGTGGAGGTATCCCATCCGCCCTTGGTGTTGCCAGATCCCTGATGATTGCGCAAACCTACACTCGAAATGCTCGCGAGAAACTAGCGGAAGAGGATAAAATGACACCCGAAGAAGGCGACCGGTACTATGATTCTTATTCGCAAATGGTCCCTGTTCTGCTCGATGCTATCCACTCCGCTCAACACAAGGTGTGTTTCCCGCGGTTCCCCAAACTGCTAATCTTTGATTGGAAATGCTCATACTTATTGGACATTCATGTAGGCCCCCCTTTTCAAAAATTCCGGATTGGGTCCCGAAGCTCGTACATATCTGGGCAATCTGCACAACGAAAAGAGACTTTTTGAGTCCCAAGTCAAGGCCAAGGTCCCAGAGGAAACCTTTCGCAAGGCTCAGCCTTCCGTTGATGAGATCAGCACTGCATTCGACGAGGCAGATCGGGCATTCCAGTGATTGGCGTTAGGAGGGATAAACTAGGTTAGGCCTCAATGGTGAACTTTGCTTTCAAGTTTCTCTCCGATCGATTATCCCCATACTGTTGTATTCTCTACGGTGTTTGTCAATTAATTGCCCCTTCTTACACCCACATTAATTACAGAGTCATTCTACCTAACCATGCCATACACTGGAGAGTCCGTCTAAATCTAAATCCCTAAGCATCCATCAATCAATTGGTGGACTCTAGTATGAAAAATAATACTTTCAAGGCTCCTCTTCCTTTCCTCTTCCCTAGAACATATATTATTCAGGGTAGCCATATTTCGTTTTTCTTCGTAATATAATATCGACGGTAACACTGCCGCTTTTTACTATCGGGCGGGCTCCCTAGTGAGTTAGTCACCTAAGTGACCGGGCCAGGCGGAGCTGTGATATACATAAATGGCCCAACCATCCTGTGAAAATATCATTCAACCTTGAAATTAACCATATCCTACTTCGCGCTGAACGATATCTCTAGGGCTCTTAAAATGCACCATCTATTGTATCAAGTTCAAACTTACTTTGCGGTCCTTGCAGAACTTACAATTATTAGCAAGCGTCTTATCTATGTTGTAGAAGATGGAAGAAATATGTTCTCAGTATCTTTATTGGCAAATTTATCCCAAAGACCAACAATTGTATATAAATCCTGCACAAAGACACTAAAATAAAAAAAAGTCAACGCAAGAGAAACAATAGAAGAAAAAAACAAGGGACAAATCCGAGAGTGAAAAAGACCGAAGAATGGATAACTAGTGTCCACGTCGATGTCCATGAACCGGGCATTCATCGTCAGGTCCCGGTCCATAGTCCTCAACACGATTGTGTGGATAGCAGTGCATGAAATGGTTGTAGGTCCCCCGTTCGAGCAGTCTCTTGCGTTCAAGTCTAAGCATCAGGTAACAAGCCCAGAGTTGGCAGCTCTGTAGTGGGATCTTCTCAGCCTCGATCTCGACAATGTCTCTGTCTAGTCTATCAATCTTACCCAGAAACTCTGTGTGTTCGACAGACCGGCTATCAAATCTCATGTTAGGTTCGATAGAAAATGTGCGATCACCCCTACACCCAGTGCTATGGAACCGGGTGCAACGCTCAGAACCTGCACGTTTCATAGAAATCATCCAATGAATGGTGACACCGTCAGACGCCGGATAACAAATTTGAACGTAAAGTTCATACTCGTCGCGGTCCCTTCGTCTTTCACGAGGTGTGCTGTGTGTGTGTCCCTGGGGAATGATGGCTAGCTCTCGACTAGACTGGGGACGGACGACTAATTCTCGACTAGAGTGGGGATTCATGGTTATACCTAGTCCTCGGTTAGACATGGCTGCGATATGGAAGGTTGCTAGGGATTGATGCCTGTAAAATTATGTGAGTAGAGTTCTAGGGTAATGGAAGGAGTATATTGATGATGGTTTGAGTGTGAAGATTGTCTGCTGTGATCATTGAGTTTATTCCGAGCGAGACTTCATCATTTTTATAGGCATCCTCGAGTCCATCGAGTTGTGGTTTTACAATGGGTCTGTAGAAATCCTTTGTTAAGTGCAGATTAGCAAAGCCTTTAATCTTCATTGTCCGAATTCTTTTACAAAGGCTTGCTATGATGTCTTTGATTAGCCTAAAATAGCTAACATTATATCTTCCAAATCAGATGATGTCGTGTCTTCATTGTTAAAAGGGTTGAAGGAATCTCTTTCTTACGACATAGAAAAAAATCAAAACAGTTAACAATGACAAAATTTTGGAACACATCATTGTCACAAAGAAGGCATATGTATTATGTTGGCTCTAAGAAAAAGGGTCGATAGGGTTTGGTGGGGGTAACACTTCGAGGGCATAGAAATATTATCTGCGTGCTTCTGAAAATAGTGCATAGGTCAACGATCGTGATGTTTTATAGATCTAGGTTCGGTCTGGGTGAGCGTTGTACTAGAGAGTTTAAAGCGCCAGCCTTCCCTTGGTGATCATCGAGTCCTGATCAAAGTTAGGTAAAGTCGGAAAGTCCGCCAAACTTCAGATTGAATAAGGAAATTCAAGGTATCTACACTAGGCGCATGCAAGAAATACAAGTTTCGCGTCCGCGTTACTACTGTTATTAAGACTCTCGAAGGTATTTTTTCATGGGAGACACCACCGCATCAACATCGAATGCTGATTTTGACACACCAAATAAACGTCATCTTCAGTATCGAATGGTTCTTTCAAAGCTTTGATTACTGCTTGGGGCCATTTAGGCAAAAAATCCCCTCCTACAGGGTAGCTCTTTTCCTTCGGGGGTGTTATGTTCAATACAATGATATACCACGGCTGGCAGTTACATAGAATTCCCTGGGAGTACATGGCGTTGCGCTACCTCAACCTAGGTATGCCGAGTACAGGGCCCCACAGGCCTGTTCCTCTCGGTGACGGCATCATCGGTTACGATCAAGGCATCACTGGTAGCCCGAGCGGGAGCAGGAACACTGAAAGAAGACCGGGAGTGTAAGCCGTATATACTATTCTTGTTCCCCTTGGCTGAACCATTTGGTTCATTGGCCAAGAGTTCTAAATCTTGAACAGCCGACGCGGGTGGAGTGTCATATATCAGTCTAGGACACTTCCCTTCTTCATCAAGCAAAGGCATTTTCATTTCTCAGTGCCCATCGGGGCATTGAGAATTGTGGGTAATTAATTTGGATGGCCAGAGTAAACCAGGTGGGATGTACGGAATAGCGGGGGAGGGCAAGCGTTGGTTGTAAGTCAGAGGGAATGCGATGTTATGGGTTTGGCAGGAGATCAGTCGAAGGTAATAATTCTTGTCAATATACCCTCTTCTTGAATGTCTTGTTTTTCGATCATTGACTGGACATGGACATGGCAAAGGTGAGAAACCTGACACGAAACAATGCCTAAGCGCCAACCCCTCTTAGCATCATCCGCAAACCTCGCCCAAACGTTCCAAATCCCCCAACTCCAAGTTTCCACCGTCTCAACTTCTTCAATTATCGTCACACAAAATGAGCGGATTTGAGGTTGGCGGGGTCGTTCTAGATGCCCTTCCACTCATTATCACCGCGGTTGATAAATATAAAGCGACCGCGGGTATCCTCAAGAATTTCCGACACAAAGAATCACACATTCAGAAACTAATTCAGGCCCTCGAGAATCAGAAGTTTTGTGTTGAGAGTGAGCTGGTCATTGTCTGGAATGGGGCCTTTAGCAAGGAAGACTTTGCACCCATTCCTCCAACCTCCAACGATTTCAAAAGTCTAATGGTTGCGCTGGCCATTCAGAAACACCTAGGTCCCGGGTATCAGCACTTTATTGCGGCTCTTTCACGATGCGAGGAAGCATTAGTCGAAATAGCGACACACCTTCACGGTTTAGCATCAGATGGACAGGTATGGGCTTTGAAGGAGTTCGTTGACAGCATCTCTGACTCTCATGTAGGGTCTTTCTGTGCTTATTCAAGCTAACCCACCTCAGCCGAATGAGTCTTACGAGTTCACATAAAAGATCAAGTTCGCTTTGAAGAAAGACGACTTGGAGAGACACGTCAAAGGTCTCTAGAACGCAACCAATAATTTGTCACGAATCAGAGAATACAGTCGCTTACGAACCCCGGTCACTCTTCAATCCACTTCCTCGGCAGCAAATAAAATCATGTCTTCCTTCGATGCGATCCGAAGCCATGCGCCCCCCCCTCCCCCGACTGTACACCACAATATCAACCGCTTACGCAGAAACATGTCACCCGGAACATGAGGCACATCTTTTCCTCCAAATTAGAGCCACGTCACTGTTTGCCAAAGGCCCAGAGCCGACAAAGTCACCCGTGACTTTTACAATATCGTTTGACCAGGTTGGCCCCGATGATAGATGTACCCCATCCTGGGCCACTAAAGTAAAATCATAGAAGGAGACATATTCACTCCTCAGTCTAGGTAAGCGTGCTTGCCTCAATATAAGTCTAGGTGAGCATTTCTGACCAGGGAAACAGCGATGTCATTCTACCTACTCGAGGTGTCACTACGATCATCCGAAGCTTGTCGACTAACCCTCGTCGCGTATCCTATCGACTTGACGCCCAAATACATCAACACAGCAGGTCAACTACTTTGACCAACTCTTCTAGCTCTAGTCAACAACCTTCTCCGCCACAGGTCATCCAGGATCTATGCCTGCATATTTCCAAGGGAATGGAGCTACAGGATTTACATTTGTCCAAGGATGGACAGCTCTGTTACCACCAAAGCCCTGAGTGCACAGTTAGGACACAACTTGGCACAATGGCCAGCACTATTCATTCCCGGGACGAGCTTCTTCAGGCTACATCTACCATAAAGCTGTATTCCAACTCGAGAATTGCTTTATCCTTCAAGATAGCCTCATGGATACTGCAGTTAAATGACACGAAATGGTACCGTCGCCCTATAACCAGCGACATGATCTACCTCTTATGCGAGAATTCGGGAACACCAGGATCAGAGCATCGCCCCTTTATCAGCCGTAAGTTTACTACCTGTTTGGAGGAATCATCCGCCCTCAGCGCCAAACGAGCAATGCTTGAACTCGGTATCATATTGCTGGAGCTATGGAAGAACCAGACATTTACCTCATACGCTACTCAATCCCGGAACCCATATCAAACCCTGGGAGCTCGGTATGACCTGGCGCGTAATTGGCTGGATGCCAATATGAACGAAATTCTTCCGATTTACTACGATGTAGTTACCAGATGCATTGAGTGCACATTTGCAACTAGCGGTGCAGGCTATAAATGGGGTGACACGGGGTTCCGGAAATCAGTTTGTGACTACGTCGTCAAACCACTTGGGAAACTGGTACACCCGAGTCTCGGTGAATAGAAACTTGATATATGCATACAAATAGAATATTCATATTGGATATATTCTTGCTATGGAAAAAGGCCATTCTGCTTGTGAATCACTCCGTAATTTTCACTTCGGTGGACAGGGATAGGCAACACCTATCATCGAGGCCGGCTCGAAACAAAACTCGCTCATCCGAGGAGAATAAATCCCATCTGAGAATAACCTGAAATAGCCCGAAAATAATTGCTATGAGTTGATTCAGATGTGGGGCGGATGCCCAGCTAACTTCGATCCTATGGTTGATGCAGGCGGTGCACCCCTTTGAGTATCAAGAACATTGCGGGTCAGACAAAAATCCCCCCCTGTCTACTCTAGAGACATCTTTGCTTTTTCTATGGCCCAGCTGCAGAATGATGTCCTACACCTTGAAAGAATGTACGATGTACGATGGACGTGGTACAGATCCACGTGGATCCTAGGGACCTTAAATTATTACGTCATTGTTCTACCTCGCCTGGGCAATGTGGCGATATACCCTACGATCCGTAACAGCGCCATGCAAACTCCCGGGACAAGTTTTCTCGCCAGATTCAAATTCATTATCCTTCAAATCACTTCTCCTACTCTGCCACAGGACACCAATCATAGTTTCCATCCACGTTGTTTCCCCACCACGAGGGGAATGGGTGCGAAGTTCCACCAGCACCGAAAACAGCAAACGAGAGGACGAAGAGAACCGTCAGACTGGCGCCATCAAAGGCTCCCGTAATCAGGTATGAGTATTCACTGAAAACCCGGGGTTTGTAGTTTCGGAGATAATACTGCACGTAGAAGCCAGCGGTGATCCAGGTGAAGATGACGCAGGTCTGACTTTGGTTGTAGGGAATAAAACCAGCGTATTGGATGTACTGTGGTAGATTGATTTCCGCAACGTCAAAGCTTCCAATTTTGGGCACAAACTAAAGGTCAAACTGCCATTAGCTTCAAGTGTATTCAGGAAGGGCCGTGGGATTACTTACGTGATAAATGATACGGTGAATAACCACAGCAGCGGCGCCAACGGCCAAACCAATAGGTACTGCCCCGTATGGGGTCCCAACCTTGTAGATATAGGGAGCCAGGGCCCATGATGCGGCATTGGTGTTATAAGATTGGATACCTGCACCACTCCAGGAGGAGTTTCCATTTCCATCGGTGAGAAGCTCTCGATTGCTTGACACAATAGAGATCATAATGGCGTAGTTGATGAAGCCACCAAGAATTGTACCATATATCTGTGTTATGAACATCACACGTGGAGGGATTTTAACTAAGATATAAGTTAAGGACATAACTCTTGTAACCAAAACAACGACGGGGAAACTCACGGTATTCGCCCATCTTCAGATCCGAGGAAAGGTTAACCGCATTTGCAATCACGTTATGCGACCAAGCAGCGAAGTACATGTTACCGACCGGGCGTCCAGGAAGGATGAGCCCAGCCAGCATCTTTGACAAATTGTTGGTAGCAATACCATTTCCGTACCGAGAAAGGAGGATGATACTCTATACCACGGCCACAGTCAGCGTCGTTGGATGAAGATTAGTGTCTAAGACTACACTCACAAAGGGGGCGATAATGCATCCTATTATCAGTGAGATAACGTATGCCCAGGGCGACAAGGTGATATTCTCTTTCACGGTCACAATGATACCGAGAATAAAGCTCACAACAAGTACGGCGATATACCACCACCATGGAGCCTCTTTATAATGCTTGGCCATATGAGAATGGTGTCGATCATCATATATACCCACTCTCGCACTTTTATAAGCCCGCATAATATCCTTGCCCCAAAAAAGGATGCAATGAACGATTAGGGCACCCATTGCTGCGTTGGCCATAAACATCGCGAATGCGAACGATCCAGTAAGCCTCGGCAATCCGTTTTCAAACAGGGCGGCCTCATCGAGGACACCACCGGGGAAAACGGTTTCGATAGGGTATGCGGTGCCGTTGTTCATAAGCATTTTCGTTGACATGAAGGGAAGCTCTCGCGAATTCCAGCCATTGCCATAATAGATACCTATCATAATGATGAAACAAGAAAAGAGTCCAGCGGCCTGATGAATCTGGAGTTTGAGAGGGAGCGAAGTTTGGAAAGATGTGAGCTGGTTATGTTAGACAACTTGCCAGATAAATGTGTAGGGGGGGGTAGCCATCTCTCACATATTGCCAATCAAAAGAAAATGAGAATAGGCCAAGACCCTGATTGTTCGTGGATCCACCAAAGATATTGTTGAGTATGGCACCAGTTTCACCGGTGGCCTTTTGTGCAGCAAGACACTATAATAAAGCCTGAAGTCAATAACTTTTATTCGATGAAATTCCCCGAATCAGACCGTTTCATCTGGTCGCATCAACACAAAATTGAATATGACGTACCGGAATAGAAACAGAGTTCAGCCACGGGAAGATATAGGCAGGAATGATCTCGTATATCGACATTCCGGTGAATGCATACCAGAAATACCGAAGGGGTTTCGAGTTTTTGACCTCCTGCCAATGAAGTCCCTGGATAGTCTTGACGGTAGGTAGATTACTCCAGTAGACGGCCTCGGGGTGCCAGACAGCAATAGGACGCAGAATTCCGCAGATTCCATATCCAAACAGGCCGATAGAGATCATACTCAAGATCACAGTAACCGCGCTAATGGGGAGATCATAGAATAGATCCTGTGCTGCAAAGACCTGTGAGGTAGATGAAGCATTTGAGGCTGAGGTAGCAGTGATGGAACAGATTGCGTGCTCTTTCAGACTCCATTCCCCGTTATTAAAGAATTTGGCCACCGTGATCCACAGAGGTAGCTTTCCTTGATTACCCTTCGCTCTCCAGCGAGCTTCCAATTTATCGCCACGGGGAAGGAATTTAGCCCAGCCATTGCCGACAAAGTAGGCGATGAGCACGATGAAGGTCCCTTGAATCGTGACAGAGGTCGGTTTGAACTATGTATTGAGTTATTAGTATTGATCCGGATGATAGATGGATTGGAAGTTACCGAGTAAATCTGGTTCATCACAGCTTGGAAACAAGCAAGACCGGAGGCAAGTAAAATACTCCGAAATGTTAAGGAATTGTCAAAGTCATCTCGAAGAAACAGCATATGAAGAGCCACATCAGCACCAGTAACGATAATTGCACTCGAATCGCCGAGGTCATTTTCATGGATTGAGTGCTCATCTTTGGTAGCGAGGACAGTAGCAGGGGTCTTTTCACCGATGGCTTCCTGGCTCACCACCGAGATGTCACTGGTCTCTGTAGGTGACTCAGGCATACTTGGGGGCATGTATCATGTATATGATGCTCTGTTCCAAAACGCTGGGGTATTGCTGTAAAGTTGATCGCCAAGTTCTTTTTCCTAGGACATGCGGACATTCTTATAATCCAATTTTGGAGAAAATACAATCTTATCGGAACGCTGGAACGACTGTTTTATGATACCATGCAGCCCTAAAATGAGCCAGGGCGCTTGAGGCGACAGAACATTGTTTTGTCTCACACCACAATATAAAATAATCAAGCACTGCTATGTTTTTAAGAAAACCCGATTTGGCCCTGATGGTAACATTTCCCCTAAGATGTTAACATACTAGCCCTAGAGAGCTCGGACCCTTTATTTTCTATTGGGTTCTTTAACACCCGCATAATGTTGCAAATGTTAAGAGTCTTCTCAGGGCTCGGTATTTGTCATAATATCTGTCAAATATTACCACTATCGAAGCAGAATACAAAAGGCATACCTTATCTCATTGAGCGTCTTGCGTATGCAGAGCGACTTGGCGCTCTCTAGATAAGGGACAAGGACAAGGTTAAGAGTAAGGTCTGCCCACTTGAAGGTAGGCCGTTGATGCTAATTTGCCCAAAGTTTGGCACTAGACTATCGCGTCCCTTGTCCGAACTCCGTGTTCTTTTAGCCAATGCACGTCAAGCCAAACCCAGATTACGTGGGAAAACCCCTGCTTTGATCAGCTGGTAGCCACTTGGCAATCGGAATTCCGACGGAACACCCACGCTAGAATCGCCTCTCCGTAGCTAGCGTTGCATTTTCCCGCTTTCGTCCGGGCACGTGCGGAGATTGAATGTTCGTCCTGCCTTCTTTTTATTTTGCTTTGATTTTTCGGCTCTCAGCCGGGGCCCTATGCATTTGGTACAACAGGAAAATCATCATCCGTTGGTTTCTCTTTCGCTCTCTTCATCTCCCCCTCGTTCCTTCTCTCCGGTTTGTCCCCGAGCCAATAGTACCTCGTTTTCTCCCTCAGTCGACTGGTAGTTTTAATCCCGGCTCTCTCTCTCTCTCTCTGAATGTAATTGGAATGAATTTCACGTGGGGCCCTGTCAAATTCACAGTCAAATAATGAGAAGGGCTATAAACATATTTCTTATTTGGTCAATTTATCAAACCAAACATGTGTTCCCGAATTAATTAATCATATAGGCTAAATACATTTAGCTTTGATCAAGGGTCCACGGATCCTGCTAAGCACTAGACCAACCGTTTAGGTTACATTTGGCGAAACTCTGAAACACAGCGGAGAGCAAGGCTTTTCTGCCTAAGGCAAATAAATATACAACACGTGCCTGATAAGAAGCCACCTTTGACAACTAGCAATTATTTGAATACCTTCATTTCACTTCGAGTTTGCCGCAAAATGACTAGCTTGTATACAGAGATAACCCCAGCAGCGGTCAGGAATGCCAAGGTATTGGCCTCATAGTCGTCGTATCGCTTTTCCTAAATGTTGACTATGGAATCAGGGCTTACACCTTATCACCTGCTTGACTCCCAACGGGAAAAAGTCCAAATTCTTCTTGAGGAGTTGAAGAATATTTACGGACTAGAATGGACAACTTCTTTGATAGATATCGACACCGATGAGCAGAAGAAACCATGGTTTCTAATGCTCAACCCCAATGGTAGATTAGTCCAGAGCGTGGGATTATGTGATTGCTTACCTGATTCATAGGGAAAATCCCCGTGCTCATTGACAACACCGGACAAGAGCCTTTCCCCATCATAGAGTCATCAGCGGAGCTACTCTATCTTGTCGAGACAGTAGATAAAGACCATCACTTCAGCTTTTCCGACGCCAAGGAGCAGTCCCAGATGATGCAATGGGTTGTCTTCTGGCATGCTTCGGGTCAGCCTAATCAAGGTCAACTGAACCACTTTGGAAGATTTGCTTCTGAACGGATACCTTGTGAGTAGATATGTACACCGTATATTTATACAGCCCGTGGGGAGCAAGCATTCCATTAATTAATTGATACTACAGATGCCATCGAGAGATTCAAGGCCGAGACCCTCCGAGTTTACAACGTACTTGAGCTACATCTTTCCGGGCGCCTGACTAGTCAGCCTCGACAATACCTTGCTGGAAATGGTCTTGGCAAATTTAGTATTGCTGATATTAATGCATATCCCTGGGTCCGGGGGTGGAAACGTAGCAAAATTTCAGAAGAGGAGATGGACAGTTACCCCCATGTGAAGGAATGGATAGGTCGGATTGAATCCAGACCAGGTGTACAGAGGGGGACGGGTGACATTTATGATGAGGATGTTCACCCTGAATTACTCATTAGTACTGCGAATGAATAGGTGAATTAAGTGTCTAAGTAGCCTAGTTTGGTATGAAACAAAGTATGGTTTAAAGAACGGTCTTCCCAGACCTGCTTCTCCAGGGGCCAATGATATTTGCAATTTAAGCACATAATGATAGTTATGCATATCTTAAAACAAAGTTTCCAGCGGTCGCAGGGCTTCCATTGTGGGTCTATTATACTCCCAGCCATCGTTCCCAATAGCCTGTGTTCGTATATCTTCGAGTTCAACATAAGCACCAAATCAGCGACTTGTTTGCCTATATAACTACCCTCAATATCTTCTGCGGATAATCAAATAGGGCACAACATGTTTAAGTTCTTTTCTCGGTGGTCTAGTTCCTCTCCATATATATTTGCACGAAAGGTTTGCTAGTCGAATATGTATATATATTGCCGTCGCCCTAAATAACAGGAATACGAAAGTTGTCAGATCGTCATCGTGTTCTATGGTGTCTATGGCTCTAACTAGAATCGGATTGAATTCCCTCGCTGTAGCTTCGTAAAACCTCTAGCGACTTAGCAGCATATCATACCTGCTACAGCGCTAAGTCATGGTATATTCAGTGGTATATCCAATGGAACTGCCACGAGGAAGCACATGGTATTTCTAACATGATGGTGGTTTCTGATTTTCCCTGAATTCCTAAAGATACCTTAATATTGGATGCTACACATGATCTAGTGGCTGAAAGGTCGGTTGGGTCCATCAGTAGGGTAAGATATAAGGGTCGTAACAATAATTAATGCTTGTTTTAACCTTTGAATACATACTGCATCCGATCGGTCTATCCTGGTTTAAGACAGAAGTGATATAGAATAGAAGGGGACAGTTCGGTTGAATCAGGCAATCTCGAGCACCCTCGTGGCTGGTGTGGCAACATACGCGTTCCAAAACCACGGAAGGGATTGACCGATCCAATGGTTGGTCAATCTAGTCCAAATTAGGTTAGGACATATAAGCAACTTGCATTAGCGTACTTTAATTTTATCTAAGCCAATAACATTTAGGCTTGGCATAAGCACCCTGCATTTTTAAAGAGCATGTCGCCGCCATGATCGCCCAGCACATCCATTCTCCATATCATCAAATATGGCGTCCGACAGTCAACGAATTGAACTGATCCGAATGTCACAACAGGAAGCTATCCGGAAACCAGAGGATGATTGGACTGGTATTATAGACCGGACCGAACGGAGAAAGTTACAGAATCGTCTCAACCAAAGAACATATCGTACGCTTCCTCCTTCCTCCGATCGCACTATATCATAACCGCTGACATGACCAGGGATGCGACGTCAGAACCGAAACACAGATGGCAAAGGGCACCCCCACAGCAACGAAGCCGTAGTTGTACCATCTAGCTCCACTCCTATTCGGGTCGACCGAGGTGAAACGGGATTTACCTGCACTATTGCACCGCCACAAGTGTACTCATTGATGCGTCAATTCGAGTCTTTAGCCCTGGAAAGCTTCATTCGCAACTCCCCCGACATCGACCACCTCCTCTCCCTCCCTAGGCTAAATATCCAGCGTGCAATCATAGAGAACACACGCTCGATTGGAATGACAATGGAGTGGATGCAAGATGATGATGCTATCTCCATTTTCAACACTCCAATACCTAGCTTCTCGGTGTCAGCAATACCCCCGAGTCTTCGGCCAACAGAATCCCAACAGCGCATCCCTCACCACCCCTGGCTAGATTTCTTCCCTTTTCACAATATGCGTGACAATCTGATAGCCCTTCAAGAGGTTATCGATGATGAGGATTTGTGTCATGATTTGATGGCATTCTGGGATACGAGAAACACAGGGGCTACTTTGTTAGTGTGGGGTCCTTCATGGGATCCAGAAAACTGGGAAGTCACGCCGGCTTTCCTATTGAAGTGGGGATTTCTGCTTAAAGGTTGTGAAGAGTTAGTGATGAATACTAATCGGTGGAGAGCAAAGAGGGGCGAGAAGCCGTTCGATTGGAAAACAACATTAGCTTTGATATACCGATCGCCTAGTGAATAGGCGACTATACCCCTGAAACGCTTGGACCCAGCAAGCATGTTTCGTTTCTTCAGTGGCCCTGAAGTTTTACATACTTCGATATTGTTCAAATCAAGTTGCTGGTATCGACTGTATGCAATTTATTTGACCTAGACAGTTTTGGATTATCACCCTAGTTCCATTTGTCGTCACTTGTTCACGCAAACAAGCCCAGAGAGACAGGTGCCGATCTCATTTGATCTTCTTGCATCTCCTGGATCAGTGGATTCTGCGGGTAATCCTCCAAATCGAGATCAAGGTATCCATTATGAGCCCACTTTCTTCCTGAAACAAACAACGAATGCCCGTTAATGTTGACGTCGCTGAGGATCCTCAAGAGGCATTGACCTGCATCTTCCGCCTTTGCAAACTCAACTCCCACGTTGGATACATGGTTGAAAACTTCTTCCGATAGAATATTCGTTTTCACATACCTGGTGCTTTGTTAGCAATAGAAGTATGTGGTAGTGAACGAGATTGAAGCTCACCATGGAGAGATTATGTTGACCCGACTGCCGTAGAAATGGGCGGTCCTTCTCAACGAGTGCATAATTCCACGCGCGGCCCATTTGCTCGCACTGTACTGAGGGCCCCGTGGGCAGTCCAGGAAAGCTGCACCAGATCCGATCAAAACCAAAGAACAATCCTCTTGTTTTTGTGATGCTTCCGTGCCATTCTGCCGAATGAAATAATGTGCGGCTAACTTGGCCGTATAGAGAGTACCCCTGATGTTGACGTCAATGACGCTCAAATTGGGCTCTTCTGGCTCCTGATCGTCACCAGAGTACAAAAATACTTCGTCCTCGCGATAAATACCCGCGTTGGCTATGACATGGGAAATCCTCCCCGTGGGAGAGAAGAGGGTGGCTTGGCGAAAGAGGTTAATTTGATCACTCCACTTGGTGACATCGCAGCGAATGAATTTAGTCCTTTTGAGACGATACGTGAGCGTGAAGCGCAGATATGAGCATTCGACTATGTACATACCCAGAGAGTTCTTCTTCCAACTTGCTTCCTTTTTCAACGTCAGCGTCAGCGATGCAGACTTTAACGCTAATTATGTTGTTAGCTAACGCTTCGTTTCTCTGACACCGTCTCATACTCTGCGGCAACCAGAGCCCGAACATAGGCTTCTCCCAAACCGTTGGCACCTGTTTTCTAATCAGTATATGTTCCATGTTCAATAGAAAGTTGCAATAAACGACATACCTCCAGTTACAATTGCCGTTTTCCCCTTGAGGTTCTCCACATTGATTGGCTTGTTGCAATCAACAGGTCCTGCGTGTGTGTATTGTTGCATTGTGCCGATAGTTTGAATGTATATTGATAGATACCGAAGTTGGAAATGTTGGGAATCGGGAAGATTTTATAACCTCGAGGTTTCACATATTGTTTCTTTGGCCATCAGATATGAGCACACAAGTCCGGTTCCAATGCAAGTTGCTTACATCCCAGGTTCAACACTCGGACCCCGCTATGCACTCTGATTCGCCAAGTCGCTGTGTTTTTCGCATTCAAACTGCTGGAAAGAAAAGTGGACCTGTCCGGAAAGATCCACATAAACACCCCACTAAGTCCAGATTCAGTTAGGAAGTGTAAGCATAATCTCCAGCCCCTTGCGAAGTCGAGGAGCACATGTTGCCCGAATAAAACATATTTCGAACCAATTTGAAGGCAGCTTCGTCATTCAAGAGCGAAAGGGTCGAGGCCTATCATGAGACTCTCTGTATGGCCTGAGAGGACGGATGCCCATATCGGTATATACCAATAGCTGGGAACCAACTATCCGCACTCGCACTGGAGGACCGAGACTGACCCCGATCGGCTGAAGTAGTATCGTCATACCTGACCTGTCCGTAGAGGATGATTATGGAGCACAATCAAGATGACAAACTGAGAGGCAGATGCCGTCACTGAGGCAATTACTACGCTGCAGAATGCCAAAACTGAGCACAGCTTTCCGACTAGCCTTTGCGGAAAGCGAAGGGCCTACAATAGATTGTTTCAGCATTTCATTGGTGCTGATTGTAATTGAGTCTAAATTTCTGTCCAAGACAGTGCATTTATCCCGAGTTTTTTTACGGTAGGGTAAAGGAGAGAAGAAAAATTTGTATGGAATACAAATAAATAGAAGCTAACTAGATATCAAATACCATCCTGCTTTCCCCTCTTCCAATATACAACCCACATTCTCCCTGACTTACTACCGCCAACTGAATTGCCTCAACAAACAGAATTCACCAAAACAGGCCCTAGTTACACCAATCAGTGAGAGTGAGAGGAGTAGTTTAGATCTTTCAGCTCGGGTTTCCACTCACTCACTCTAGGTGAGACTAATTTGGAAGAAGTGAGTGAATTTAGCGAATGGAATCAGGTCCACACGGTCATAAAGGTCAGTGTGACCAGCGCGAGGAACCCAAAACAGCTCCTTCGGCTCACCCGCGCGGGCATAAGCATTTTCACTGAACTCGCGCGAGTGTGCCTGGTCACCGGAGACGAAAAGCATTGGACGAGGCGAGATTGTTTCGATATCGTTGAATGGGTAAAAGTTCATGAACTTCGTGTTGGTCGAAAGCGTCGGGTGCGTCGTAAGATTCGCAGTCGTGCCCTTAGGCGTGAATTCACCACGGTAGGTACGATAGTAGTCATAGAACTCACGGTCCACCGCAGTCGAATTCACTGTGAGTACATTCGGAGTCCCGCCCGTGACCTCAATTCTGCCACCCTCCGCCTCGATCCAGCGCTGCCGAGCCGCCCCAGCGATGATCTCCTTGCGCGCAGCGACGCTTTGCGCCTTCCGTAGTCCGTCCCTGTTGACAGCGCCCATATCATACATTGTCGATGTTGCGATGGCTTTGATGCGCGGGTCGATCTTCGCTGCACTGATCAGGAAGGAGCCGCTGCCACAGATACCGAGACCCCCAATTCGCTCGCGATCCACGTTGGTGAGATTCTGCGAACCAAGGTAGTCGACTGCTGCGCTGAATGCATCGGCGTACAGTTCGGCGGACACAGCATTCCGCGGTCTACCCTGGCTCCCACCCCAGAATGGCATGTCAATTGACACCGTAACGAAACCCTGTTCGGCCAATTTTGTGGCATAAAGGTTCGCGCTCTGCTCCTTCACTGCACCCATTGGGTGGCCGACGATAACGGCCGGGGCGGAGACACTGCGGTCGAGATTATTGGGGGTGAAGAGGTTACCCGCGATAATTGTCTGGTACTGGCTTGCGAAAGCGATCTTGTGAATCGTCACATTATCACTGCGGTAGAAATTGTCTGCTCCGTATGACATGTTCTGTGCCATGGCTGACATGGTATTAGCCATTTCCATGCCAAATGTGGCAACGCTGTTTCCAACGATCTTCATGTTGTTGCTGTTTGCTATTCAAGTCTGTGCCAGAGAAGAGGAAAATGTTTGAGTATGGAATATTTCCAGCTAGGACGTGACGTGCCTATGCTTTTATATTTCACGCGGACTGGTACATTGTGACCTTCGGGGGAAAACCAAGACAGGCCTCGTCATGCCAAGAGACATCATTGGTGATGCCTGGGGTGATTTCATCTGAGAATCTAGTTAGATAGAAATAGGAATAATTAAACCTTCCAATGTATATCTGCAGTTTTGGCCAAAATGCGGTGCCACATCCAGTCTTATCTCCGGTGCTTACAGTGGGTATGCCAATTATCATTCCCACCTTGAAATGGTTGCGTGGTTGTGCCCTTGGGTGAAGATAGATTTGAAGATTAGTGGAGAAATGCCAAGTATCTCACTAATGCAAGTTGCTTATGTTCCTTTCTAACCCTAGCGAATCAGGGCTCACCACTAGGTGACGATCATTCTAAGCCCCCTTGTCTTGGCGACTTTCTACAGCCATTATGTCAATAATCTAAGTTGCTCAAGAAAGCACCACTCCACTTGGAAGATTTATCTACGGGCTTGCTCACAAATCCTGACGACCAAGGATAAGCGCGATCAATGAAGTACGTATAAGAGGAGCACTGGTTATCTTGATCCTCGAGGTTGGTCCAACCTTGATAAAAACCAAGATGCATTCTGGTTATAACAACTATCCCGATTGTTTCCGGAACTAGTGCATCTACTAAACGTCAATAATCACTGCGGCAATGTTTGGTTGAAACGACCGATTCTACCTCCGTAGAAAATTTTCGGCTGCCTTTCATTTTCATCGGCCGCTATCTTATTTCGGTCACTGTCAGAATCTGTCTTTTATGGGCCAAATATGTACTCTTCAGGTACGCCCCCATTGATCTAAAGCAGTTTGACAAATCCACTCCATAGACCCTTGGAGGTGAAAATTCCACGAGGATCCACCGCCTTCTGGATCTCCTTGAGTCTTTGGAAGTTCTCTTCACCATAACCGGGGAACACCGAGCTGGCTTGCTGGGCCGATGCGTAGTTGATATATTTATACCGGTTCGCCACACCCAGATCCTGGGCCGCCGACTCAATCCTGCGAATGGCATTTGCGGTCATCTTGTTAACTGCTGCATCATCGGCTGCATCCGACCAGGCTGTGGAGAGCAAAATAACTAGAGAACGTGTTAGTAGTCATATTAGAAAACCTTCCCGAACTAGACGTTTTATAAATACATACTAAAGAGAGGTTCGTCACGCTCGAGATCAATACCAAGAGCATTACCGCCTCTTTGCTTCATGGCCGCGATGGCAGTCCTTTGCATCGGATAGCTAATGAAATTGGTCCTTATGCCGGGCACGGCCTTGATAGCTTCCACCTCCTGTCGGAATATCTCGAGACCTTGTGAGAGCAGGGGGCGGGATGGCGCCACGGTCAAGGTAGCGAATAAGTTTCTGTCACATAAGAATGAATGAATAAACAAAAGGTTAAAGATAAGCCCTTACCGAGTTGTACCCATTGAAATAGAGCCATTCGACACACTGCTCATGGATCGTATGCTCGTAGACCTGCTCAATGTAGGGATCTGGTCAATTTCGCGGAAGACCGGCGGGTTCTCAATTGGCTTCGCGTAGCGCTGAGTGCCCATCAATGTGAAGTCTTCACTGCCTGAGGAGTAGCCATAGTATAGATCATAGCCCATGTCGACGTCATTGGTGAGATCTCTATCTGTGAATAAGTCGTAGATCTTGTCCAGTACTTGCTCGGTTTGATTTGGAGAGTAGGATGTCTGTCCGGTGAAGACGGGGCCTTGGGCAAATGTGCGGACCGTGAAGGCCGTAACAATGGCGAAGTTATTGCCTCCTCCCCGAAGAGCGAAATAAAGATCCTTATTATGAGTCTCGGAGGCGGTAGTAATCGTACCATTGGCGAGGACGACCTAGAAATAACAACTTTAGCAATGAATCCATTGTTCGGGTTGCTGTAGATCAAAACGCACCTCATATTCGAAAACGTTATCCAACGCCCATCCGTACTTGTTTGAGAATGGGGATGTTCCTCCACCGAGTGTGAATCCACCAAGACCCACACTGGCGACTCTCCCACCAACATAGGACAAATTGTGAGATTCCAGAGCCTGATACGCTTGGATGCTAGTTGCACCACCACCAATACGTGCCTTGGTGCCATTATCCAGGACCTCAACCTGTGTCAAGAGGTCTAGATCCACAGTAACACCCCCCACAGAATTGGAATCTCCCGCATTCCGAGAGTGGCCGCCACCCTTTACTGAAAAGTAGCACCAGTGATCAACGAGGACGTTCAATAATTTGGCTACATCGGAGGCATTGCTCGGCTCAATGCGACAGGATGGGTGAACCTCCTGCTGTTTCGCATCTCAGATCACGAAATTATCGTCAGGAGGGTAGTGGACCGCAGATCCGAAGATTGTGGAGAGTTGGGCACACTACAGATAGTTAAAATCGGAAGACGAAGAACTTTTGACAAACATACTGCTTGCTGACAGTTTGCAGAGGGTGTTGTAGTGGGTTTGATAGTTTCTCCTGCGTTTGCCACAGCAAGGAGAGAAACCAACCAAGCAGTAGTTTGCAGCATTGGAACGCGGCACACGTGAAGATAAAACAAGGGACTTGCGGTAACCAGAAAAGCTTTGTGGCTTTATGTTCTATACAATCGATCAGGGGAGACCTGAGTCTTTATATATCATTTTTTGCTCAAACAAAAGATCTTCACAACCAAGAATGATAACGTCGGCCAAGTCAAGAGCCGGTGCAATTATTGATGCCGGCGGAATCCGAGGTAAACCTCATCCGATGCCAAGGTGATATGCATATTTATCGCAATGTTATCACCTGGAAAATTGAAAGGGGCACCACTCTGTGCAAGGGCATAATATAGCAGCGCCGTAGCCTGAAGGTGCTGACAATGTACACATGGATCCATGGATGTCCACGGGCAAACTTCGGATATATACTATTCCTAATATGGATAAGCGTAATGCAGGTTGATGACAAAGTGGGGTTAGTGGATGTATATAATTGGTTCAACCATGTGGGGCAGTTCCAGGGTTTCCGTACATTTGTAATTTAGGTATTCTACCCGGGCCTTTGGCTTTCTTCACTCTTCACGCTATCCCTACTTCTTACGGCATCCCTTTACTAGTGTCCCCAGCTTCCTGTCATCAAGGCGCATACGGAGCACGACATTGCAGAAATGAAGCGGTCCATGGAGCAACCCTCTAAAAAGCGGATCGCTTTACGGCCGTTCTCCGAGCGCCTCTCCGCATGGCCGGAAGAGGATTGGTCGGGTATAACTGACCCAAAAACACGCCGAAGACTGCAAAATCGCCTAAATCAAAGAGCTCGACGTAAGTATCATTCCCACCCTATAGGATAGCAAGTATCTAATTAACCCTGCATACAGGTCTACAGAACAAAGAATCGGGAAAGCCCTCTGAAGACAGAAATAACCAACATGACGTCAACTCTCCAACTGCTAAGCAAATTGCAGTGACACGGCAGACAAATAAACAAACATCAGCAACACATATCACAACGGACGTAACCTCACTCATTTCCTTGGAGGAAATCGAGAATGTGCACATTCTACACTCACATTCAACAGCGACAAAAGCTACGATGCAACGTTTAGAGATGGCGGCGCGCCAACATCAGATGTTGGGGTCTCCACGCACCGATCTTCTACTCCACCTTATTCAGTTCAATTTCACCAGAGCACTCATGGAAAACACAATGATCTTGGGTCTCACGTCGGATCAGCTACACGACGATGCCATTTCGCAATTTAATAGCATTGGCCCGTGGCAATATGACTATGAGAACTACCTTCCGCCCAGTCTACAGCCCACCCAGATTCAACGGTCTCTCCCACATCACCCCTGGTTAGACCTGCTTCCTATCCCCCGCCTGAGGGATAATTTGATCCTAGCTGGGGACTTCGAGGAGGAAACCCAGCTGTGCATCGATATGAAGGGGGGTGAAAATGCGCGATCGGGAAGAACTGGTATTATTGTTTGGAGCGACCCCTGGGATCCAGCGGGGTGGGAGGTTACGGAGTCTTTTGCTCGTGCTTGGGGCTGGGTTATTAAAGACTGTCATGACTTGGCACGTTCTACAAACCGGTGGCGGGCGATGCGGAATGAAAGGCCCCTGTTTCGTATGAGCTGATCTGGGGGATGTGTACGGAGTACCTGTCTGATATTTAACTGAATAATTATGGATCCGAGAAGACTGGCGCTAATTGTCGATCAATGCAGTTTGATGACATGTGTGGGGACAAATGGAGGGACCAGAGCGTACAACATAGGGGTCGACAGGTTTCTATGACGTAGTAATTCATGGGTAATACCCGCAACGCCACCTTGGCTAAAAACTAGAAGATGGTGGAGGAAATGCGGGAATCAACTTCCGCATATCATCGTGGGCATTATATAAAAACGGGCTTCCATTCGTCTTGTATTTCAATGAGTTCCTTTGATTCTTAACAAGGTAATACGACAACCTCGTACTAAAATGAATGTGAGCTGGGATACTCCGTTCGATCAAACACTAGCTACCAACAAGTCTCGGGCCTGCCCCCCCAAATTAATACACAATACACTAGACTAGCTTGGAATAACACGACGTCCCCCCATAAGCCCAATAATACACATCTCAGTTGTGGCCAATCACCTTTTTAGGCTCATATAGGTCATCAATGCTCTTTAATTCTTCGGGGGTAAGCTCGAAGGAAATAGCACGCACTGCTTCATCAACTCTCTCCTTCTTACTCATACCCAGAATTGGAGCTGTGATGAAGGGCTTGGATAAGGACCACGCAATTGCCACAGTTGCCATGGATACACCATGTTGCTTGGCAATCTTCTCGACCTGTTCATTGACATTTTTGTCCGCCTCTGTAGTGGACTGGCCAAGGAAACCTTGACCCTGCCCCTCCCCGCGCGTAGTAGTAGAGAAGTCACGCCAGGGCCGGGCCAAGAAACCCATGGCAACGGGGCTCCAGGGGATGCCACCCATTCCGAATTTGGCACAAGCAGGGTACATCTCCTGTTCCTCTTCTCGGTAGATGGCATTGTGAAGGTTCTGCATTGAGATGAACTCAGTCCAGCCATGAATGCGGGCGGTATACTGGTACTCAAGGAGCTGATGGGCCCACATAGACGAAGCGCCAATATACCTCACCTTTCCAGACTTGACGACATCATGAAGGGCTTCCATCGTTTCCTTAACCGGTGTTCTGGGATCGAAGCGATGAATTTGTAGCAAGTCGACGTAGGGTAGGTCTAGCCTCTTCAGACTTGCATCGATACTCTCGAAGATATGTTTTCGGCTCAAACCGTATTGATTAACGTATCCAGAGTTGTCCTTTTCATCATCCGTCATCGCCATCGGTTGTTCGACACCGCGGCCGACGGGTGCCCACAGTTTGGTTGCGATGACGAGGTTCTCACGGCGCCAATTGTATTTCTTGATTGCCTTGCCTAGGATTTCCTCGGAGAGACCGCTGGAATAGGCATTTGCTGTGTCGAAGAAGTTGAGACCGGACTCATAGCAGTGATTAAGTACGGGAAGTGCTTCTTCTTCCGGAATTGACCACTTGAAACGACCGTTTGGATTTCCAAAACTCATGCACCCCACGCCAATCGGGGCGATACGAAGGCCACTAGTACCGAGTTGCACGTATTTCATGTTGGTCTGTTCAAGGAGAGTGGGGTGAAAAGAAAGATTGTTCGGTTTGGTGTCCCCATCCCTGGGGACTAAGCAGGGTTTTGTACCTTTTGGACGGAGTTAATGGATAAACAACCTCTCTAACTCCTTGTGGGCGGAGTTAGTAGATAAGCAGTCTCTCTAACTCATCGGGAAAGCTTGAAATGAAATCGCGCTAGACGCTTCATGCGACATGATGACAGATCGCACCTCATTGGTCACATTTTCAATTTAGTGGAGCCTGAGTGATTGTTGGTGCTAAATGTATCCAGTCACATTGCAGTGAGGTAGATGTGCGAGGGCATATGTCATGATTTCAGAAAAGCATTTGATACTCAATTCGCTTGGAGGGACCAGTGAGCCACCTCCTAAGGCCCTGACAGTCCAATTAAATAAGCCTTCTATGGACAATCGAGTGCGTGTTGAGAAGACACCGTCCCTCGAAGTCAAAATACGCATCCGTCTGTGTAAAGATCAAGCACACGGGTTAAGGATTCCAAACTTTATGTTGTCTAAAAGGTTCATGGGCCATATCGTAGGACCTAGATTCCCAGAAAGGGTATGTTTTTTTGAGTTGTTGGCGCGAGAGATGTGAGATGTCATCGGAGCTATAGATAATCCAATGGAGCGGGATACAAGGCCCCGGAATGTTGCCTCTCTCGCCTACATTTCACCAATTGATCCTATACGTATGATTGATTTTATGTCATATTCCTCTAGTACGATATGGTGTGAAGCATGTAAGCAATACCTACCAGCACAACTGCTTTGCAGCCGGCAACTTTGAACCCAATTTCTCGCTGATCAACGACTAGAGCTCCGCAAAGTCCATAAAGCCCATAGCCCAGCCCAACCCGCAAATGGGCTGGACTTTGAGCCCTACCTTTGGGCCCACCGGTGGGCTATGGGCCTAAATACACTACTGCGGGTTAATAGACCCCATCCTCGGGCGAACCCAGCCCCACAGCTCCACAGCGGAGAGTGAGTCCAGCCCATACGCCATTACATAGCGATTTTCCGGGCTCCATCTCCACTTCCAGCCCTAAGACCTTAATCAATTGCATGCATCTACGACAGATTCAAAGGCACCTTGCCTAGCGCCGTCACGTTTGCCTAGGACGCGCGCAACAGTGTGCTTTCCAGTTTCAAGGAGGGCAGCCGCGATGAGCGATCCAATGATGCCCCCAGCCTAACGGTATTTGTTAGTGTTGTTGTACGTGGTGTTATTGAGGTGTTTACTTACGCCAATAATGGCGAGTTTCTCGAAGGCGTTCTTGAAGCTGACGGGCTGCTCTTTGGCATACTTGGGAATTTTAGTTTCGGTTATTGTTGAGAAATATATCAAGTCGCAATTGTGGTCGAAGTGGTCGAGGTTTTGTGTAGCTGGTGTGGACTTGCTTGTGATTGTCTGATATAATTTTCGTATATGATTCACTCTCACTTATAGCCTGGTACATACGACCATAGGGTGTGGAAAACAGGGCTTCCCGTCCGCTCAGCCGTACTTAAGCCACACGCCGGTGAGTTAGTAGTTGGGTGGGTGACCACCAGCGAATCCTCACTGTTGTATGTTTTTCTCATTTTTTATTGCTTTTTATGTTTGAAGTTAGCGTTCCGCAAGGCCCATTCGTTTGGCGCCCATAAGGCCCCATCAAAGCCCATTAAGGGGTGGTTTACCTAGCACCTTATAATCGCTGTATTCTAACCTTCTATTTATTATATAAGTAAGGTTTGGATTTTTGGAATTTATAGTACTGATGGCTATATAAATATATATTTCAAATTTGAATAAAATCCAATCAGGAGAGGTCGAGATGCTGCGGGAAAAAAAAATGGATATTAATATTAACACTCGATATATATATCTAGGATCTAGACGGGATGGGAGTACTACTACTTTCTAGGTGAACTTCTATAATTTATAAATTATCTATAGAACGCGCTTTCTAGCGTTTTTAAACGTGATATAGAGAGACAACTAGTAACTGATTATAAATAAGTTAAACTAATAAAATATTACCTTTAGTATAAGGCTTAGAAACGGGGGTAAAACGAAGGGTAATTTTGAGATCCCAAAAAGGGGGTTCAACTCCTGAATTCTCGGCATATTTGTACTGTTTGGGGCCTACTTCGGGGCCCATTCCTCAGCGGGCTTCTCCTGGCTTATCGCCCACCGGTAGGCCGAAGGCAGAGCCCAAAGCCCAGCCCATTTGCGGATTGGGCTGGGCCAGGCTGTAGGCTTTGCAGAGCTCTATTTGAAGTTATGTCTATCATTTCCTCCTACGGAGTAGTTCTATTTGGTTTGTTCACAAGTCCCCCTTGCCGTCTTACTCCTCAGCCCCCTGGATGCTCTGAACACCACACCACTATCCTGCACGCCCCTGGACCGCTGACGTGTGCGGACGACTAAGTGTGCCACCGGGGCACAACCCTCTCATTGGTTAATATTGCTAGGCAGTATTTTAGATCCGCCCGTGGACTCTCACTTTATTATCGAAGGTTTTATGGAGTACATGGAATGGAGCTCTCTTTCACAGAATATGTTTTCTTTACCACCTTCGTATATACCTAAAAAAAAGTATCCAAAAGACCAATCAAAAAGACCAACAAAAAGATATAAGGCCGTATAAGCGGCCGACTATTCTTAGAATTACTATGTTGTATATTGAAAGTATATATGTATAAAAATAAAAGAGAAGTTGAGATTAGCATACGGAGTATAGTTAACTAGATTAAAATTAACATGTACATATGCTTCGAGGGAGCGTTCATGTAATATCCAATGAGAGAGTTGTGCCCCGGTGGCATCCTAAGTCGCCCGTAGACGTGTCTTTCCCTCTCATACTGTTTTTCTTTCTCTTACAGGAGCACAGTTTACGGCTCAATTGACGGCAATACTAATAACAAATACTAAACTACTAGTCAATGACTTTGATATTCTTACTAGTATAGAGTAGCTCCACAATTGCGACACATTCATTAGAACACCGAAACGATCCCGCAGTGTAAGTACCACCGTTATAGATGTTTTTTTCTAGCCGTGAAATGGTGAAACGGCCACTAAAGACTTGACGCACCAGTGACACGGTAGACTCTTTTTCATTAGATTTATCCTCGGTCGGTCTTGATGTTCTTCATAACTATTCCTAAGTTCAAGATGCCATCCAAAATAGGCTAGCGTACCTTATGGTACAGTATACGATGTTATGCGACTATGCGAGACCGCGAGACCCTACTCGCTACTTCGGGCTCGTTACTTCGTTCAACAATGACTCTAGGCAAGGTTATATAACTCCGAGTCAGACATCCTCGGGATATTTCTAGTCGATGTGTGTCAACAAGGCAACAATAAATTTAAATAACTGGAGTACGGATACCCGAAATAAAATAGAAACTAGCACTTTCTCAACACACGCGTTCCTTCCTCGCCCTCCCATGTCATCCCCATACTTTTCCAAAGTCCTCATCTTCGGCGCCACTGGTGAAGTCGGCTCCGCCGCTGCCCTCGAGGCCCACGCCCGCGGCGCCCGCGTTACCATAGCCATGCGAGACGTCGCCAAACCCAATGAGTGGATCCCCTCCGAACAGGAGCGTGCTGTTGGCTTACAGCGAATCACCGCCGACCTAACCAATCCTGAGACCGTGACACGCGCCGTGCACCAGACTGGAGCCCAGGCGGTCTTCATATACGCGGTACGCTCCAGCGACTTGATGCGTGGCGCCATCACCGCGCTCCGGGACGCTGGAATTCAGCACGTCGTATTCCTATCAACCGGGCAGGTGAAAACCGCGGGGACCACCAAGGGTGATATCCGCTCCATCAAGTCCGACCACTTTATCCCCTGGCAGCACGCACAGATTGAGATAGCGCTGGAGGAGATCGGTCTTCCGCACACAGCACTGCGAGCGGGCTTTTTCGCCAGCAATCCCCTACGGATCTATCTCGATAAGTCTGTGGAGCCGAAACAGGTTAATCTGCTAGCGCCAGATGTGCTGCATGATCCTATCGACCCCGCGGATATCGGCAGGGTAGCTGGTACCATACTAGTCAACCCGCGACAGTATGCTGACGGCTACCAAGCTACGAACGAGTCAACTCCTCGTAAGGATGTCATCTATCTCAACGGGCCAGCACTATTATCGCAGACTGAGCAGTGGGATATCATCAACCGGGAGCTTGTTGCGGTTAGGAAGTCACCGGTCAAGGTCAGCCACGTCACCGTCGAGCAGTACCTCAAGAACATGGCTGCGCTGCATGTCCCAGATGTGGTGGCCAAGTCTCTAGCTAAGTCTATGGTAGAGACAAGGGCTCTGTATGCGGTCGAGGACTTCGAGAAGGAGAGAGGCAATGTCGGGCTGATAACCGACCGGGAGGCGACGAGGTTTGAGGATTTTGTGAAGAGGGAGATTCCACGATACTTGTAGTACTGAGACTGAAGTAGTCCTGGCAGTAATTGTCCGGGATGAAGTGGAGGGGTTACGCGTGACTGGCATTCATTATTGTAGCGATACAGCAGCAAGTTCCATGACAGACGACTCATCTTTTAATTTGATTTCCTTTTCTCGAGCTCGTCAACTTACGGAATTACATACCATGAGCCATACCACACATTGTCGCATTGCCATATTTCTGTCAATTTTGTTCAAGTTTTGCGATCTGTTATCTCGATTCTGCAAGTTCGTTCCATATACACCGGGTTTCAGACCGCGAGAGATAGCTTTCCATTTCCATTTTAGTGCTTACCCCTTTCCGCTTTTTGCTTTCTAGGCGTCACCTCAGTAGCCTGAGCAACCTAGGAAAGTCATCGTTGCTTTTTTAGGGGATCCAGGGCACCCTGCACTCTTGACCGTTGTCCCCTTAACGAAAGACTGGTGTCATCAATTTGGCGGTCGATCCTAGTTGTTATACCTCTTCCTATTAAATATACAGTAGGGCCACATTATTGGATTCACTATTCTACGCCTATACTACTATTTAACCTCGCCGAGCTCTATATAGTTACGGGAAATATCCAACCCTCTGTTTTTAGTTCTATAATATCTACTTGAGATATGAAAAACGATCTATAAACTTTCGATTTAATAGGCGAAAAACGACATTCACAACGTATATTTCCAAAGTCCCATCAGGAAATCTTCCGAGAGGGTGCCATTCATAATGCATATTGAACTCTAGATCGGGTAAGCGGCCACGGCATACTATTTAACCATCCGTATTTATTGACTCCTTAGGTTTCTTAATGATATAGGGAGGGTTCTAGATAGCCATGAGATCGGAAAAGGATCTCCTGCTCCCGAAATCAACTTAATCAAAGCCTTCGTCCGTTGGTACATGCTTCCGCAAGAGGAAGTGCTCGCATAGGCCCACTCCCAATGGGATTTTCTGGCCCCACCTTTCTCTCCCTACATGTACTTAGAAATTTTAGTTGAATGCACTCTTTTTGCTCAAAGAACTGGCTGGTAACATAGACGATGTACAGCCTTTATTGGGCCCTCTAGGAAATTGTATCTTGGGCGAGGTATTAATGGTTCCAAGGTTAATATCTTCCCTACAGTCGAGATGAGTCGGTGTAATAAGTTCTTCCGATTGTAAATCGATAAAGATCCTTACAATATGGAGACATAGTCACCTGACCGTGAACCCCGCTAGCATATGAACAAGTTTCGACTTCGTATTTATCCAAATTGATCTTATCGCGGTCGCCAATAGAAGTACAATTGGATCTACTACTTGGCCCGCAGCGGCAGAATAAGCGACCATCGTGAACAGAACAAAAGGTTCACGTCGAATGACTGGAACATGTTCGCTCCACCAGGTTCCCCAGATGTCTTAACACTGGCAACATTCGCCTACCAAGTCTATGACACCTACAAAGGCGCTCCAAAGAGATTCAAAGATCTCACAGGCGACATCAAAGGACTTGAGATTCTCCTCCGGAAACTTGGGAACAGACTTGCTCTCCAACAAGTGGATGCTACCGGCCAAGAAGATTATTACGGGACTTTATTATCGTCTGATGAAGTTGCGGGCTTAGAACAGCTTGTCAAACAAGCTGGAAAGATGTTAGAAGAGTTGCAGCAGAAACAAGGATATGCATCAGCTCCAAGAGGATTGAGTCGATTTAGGTGGTCGCAGGGAGAAGTGGACTCTGTGAGGTCGAGAATTACGTCTCTTTGTGCGATTATTGGAGCATTCAATAGTAGTTTGGCACTTCCTAATATTGCGTCAAGAGTTCCCGTGTGAGTCCCATCATAGTCATATCAACCGCAGTGTCCTGAAAGCATTTCCCTTTTGACAATGAATTACTGACTGAAAGTAGGGTCGACAAGCAACAAGAAATCTTGGATAAGTTAGATAAATTCCTTCTGAGTCTCAACAAGAATAGCCTCTCATCTACTATCTCCATGACCGATTCGAGCGTCCGAACCCTTTCTGAAACTGAAAACGAGGTGAACCCAGAATGGCCCAAGCTGGTCCGTCGAATGACCGAGTACGGTATATCCGAAACAGAAGCAAAGCAGAATCAAGATCTCATTCTGAAATGGACAGCTCGTGCATCTAAACCTGCGAGTTTACCTCCTGTCAAGCAATCACCAACTACCAACTCTCTTATGGGAAGTATAGGTGCCGACTTAGGTTTAGGAGCGCACAAAGAAGAAATTGAAGTCATCTCAGCCGTATACGGATCCAAAATTGTCACAGACATTATGAGACACATTATCAATGGACACTTAGGTCTAAAGCTGACCAGAATGCCTTTCTCGGCCACGAATGAGACATTCGGTGGAGATCCTTGGCCGAACTACATTAAGGCTTTCTCAATGGTCTGGCGAAAAGTGATTCGTCTCGAGTATGGAAACCTTTATTCAGCTCCTCAGAAACTGTTCGCTGAGGAAGGTGAGCTGCTTACCATCGATCTCGCAGCTCCACTGCCTTTCCACGAGAGTTCGGAAACAAATAAGCGGGGTTCAATCTATATTTTGAATGCAAGCTGGCACAACCTCGATGTCACGGAACATGTCGCATCGATAACGGCGAATGATCCTCGACCGGATATCATGGCATCGACTCATGAATTCTTCGCAATAGATCCGTGCTACGGACACAAGAAGGTCATGTCCGTGACATGGACGTACTCGGATACCGCGGCGGCACTATCACATTGCGAGGTGAGAACTGTAACTGAGAATTCTTCGACCCAAATCCCTCCATTCCTGGACATTATTTGTGCGAACTGGGGTGGGCTGGACATTACGAATCTTGTTCGAGCGAAAATCACACCTCAGCAGACATTACACTTTGACACGAAGAACGTCTGGGCCTTTGCGTCTCCCGATCCGCTACCTGGATGGCAAAAGACAATTTCGATACTGTATCAGTATGGTTCTTTGGAACCGATGCAAATGCTGGTTACAGGTGAAGACTCTAGCTATGCCATGATCGACCCGGGGGATCGAATGAGACGGAATTTCTTTTTTTCGAAGAGTATAGAGGTCACATCAGATATCAAAGTGGTGGCTGCTGTGTGGGGATTGCAGCCTGTTTCTGAGAAAGTGTTCGGCAGGGCTGTGACAGAGAGGAAGAAAGTCCCTTGTAGTAATGACTTCTTTGGGAGGGATGGATGGGGTGGGAGGCAAAAGACTCTTCAGGTATTCTTGCAGAATGAGCATACGGGGGAGTGTGTTTGTGTGAGTGAGAAGGAGGGAAATTTCCTTGAGATGCCAACTGTTTGGCCAGAACATTAAACAGCCTCGAAGATATTTGGTCTTGTAAATACCTGACTTCCTATGCTCTGATTAGTTTGAAAGCTTATAGAGTTCTATTCTATCTACATATATGTACATTATACATATCCTATGAAAGGTTTATTCCCCTTGCCGCATTGCAAACTACTAGCACTACGTTGATCACCAACAAACATGATGAACCACGTACAGCCTTGGCTACAACACATCAAGACAATCTTGAAGGGAGCTCAAGATCAATGCCCGGAAATAATGAGGCAATGTCACTATCACCATCTTCCCGAGGCCGGTTCGGAAGGAAGTCAATGAAGGGGCTAAGCGTTTCGGTGCCAAGTAGGCCCTGGAAAGCACCTGGAGCCGTCATGCTATTCGGACCCGAGGAAAACGCAGTCAACGAGGGCTTAGGCGTTGGCATGGTACACATTGTGGGTTGTGACGTTGCGTACCAAGCGTTGGTTTTCGGTGTCTCGGGATAATGGGACATAAATTCTGCAGGGGGCGGGCACGGGATAGGGTCATAACACGGAGCCTTCCGGTGAGCCTGTACTGGCCGTCCCCGATCTGTCCGCTGTATCTCTCTCACATAGCGGGCCTTGGCTATGAGCCGCCGTATCGGCCGCCAGAGGGCGAGACGGTTCTCGTCTTCTTGATCTCCGCTGGTTTTCCATGCGTCATACACGGTCGTGACGCAGTCCCACGCGCGGTCGCATTCGGGAGAGTGAGGCCGGGCGCATAATTCGGAAAGTACAAATGCCATTCCGCCCCACTGGATGTGTGTTGTTGAGTACCAGGTCCATTTCGTAATGTCTTTGTTTGTTAGAAGCATGCCCGAAACTTCTAATAACTCAATGGAAGTTCGGAACAGCTCATCACGCATGTTGTTGTCTAACTGTCCAGTGCTGGCAGGTATTCTGGGGAATAAACTGCCCTTGGGGCTTTTGTCGTCTGCCTGGTTCTCGGATGACGCCACAGAGTATTGTGTTGTGAGCCAGAAGCGTGCCAGGATGACTCGGGCTACCGCTGAAGATAGGAATTGGAATGGCACAGAGGAATCACAGATGCGCAGATATTTGTTGCGGAAGCTTGCCTCTAGGTTCTGGATTAAGACTCGGCATTTCTTGGCAGGTTCTTCAGAATCATCTGCTATTTCAGCATTTCTGCTACCAGGATGTCTGGGCTGCTTCTGCTTTGTAAGACCTAGCTTCCAACCTGTCTGTATGGCTTCACACCGGACAAGGGAAAGCGTCATATCTGTCGCACGGTCCCACCGCTCAGCTGGAGCCTCTACCATGTCAGGCGATAAGTCAGCATCGTTGACGTGGAGGGGTGGCTTGGTGTCTGAGGAAAAGTGCTGCGCGATAGGCTCGTTGCAGTGATACTCGGATGAGCGGCTGTCGATGATGCAAATTTGCCACCATAGGCGTCTACGTAGCTCTGTCTCGAACGGTTTGAGCTTGAACGCCGTCCCATCACGGTGCAGACCCATGGTTCGCGCAATGTGGTAGACGAGCGATGTCAGCGACCAAGCAGCACGCGAGTTGTCCTCGTTAGGTAATGCGGATAGGAAGAGCACTGCCGCCTGTAGCATCGTCATTCTCTGGGTATTGAGTAGGTTACCACGAGCGAGTGCTTGTTGTACGGCCAGCCGGTACCTCTCTAGGGCAGCTTCACGCGTCTCATGAAGGATGACAAGACACTGTTCCGGAGTAAGACTAATCACGGCCGAGTAGTGAATAGCAAAGATGAGGGTCTCAGTGTGCTTGTCAAGAGAGTCAAGAGAAGCAATGGCGTCCCAGTAGACGTGCGTCAACGTAGGCATGTGGAAAATGCGGACTAGTGGCGCAACATTCTCCGTGAATGCGGCGAAAAGCGTGACAGCCTGGGTCAAGGGGGGTGGAGATGCTGGAGGGAAGAGGCAGTGGCTCCATAGCCGAAGATGGCGGCATTCAGCCCCAGCTGAGAGGAAGCACGGCTGGCGGCAGTGCTGGTAGTGGATGAAGAATGCGAGGAATATGTTGACGGCGCCGGTTCGGGGGCCTCATCTTCGCTCGCGGGCTCAAATACAAGGTCACGGAGTTCCTCAACCTAACATTGCTGCATTAATATATAAGACGCGAATTTAAACCACGGAGAGAAGGACTCCAAGAGTACCTCATTGGATAATGTGACCCAAAGGGCATTGTTCACGTAGTAGCTTTTAGACTCATCAACCTTAAGACGACTAAAGTCTAGATCAAATGGATGGGTCTCGTTCGCTTCTCGGACGTGAAAGTCTTGTTGAGCCTGATGACTCTGCTGGGCTTAGGTTTCGTTGTCAGCAGCTGGTTGACAAGAGCGTTGGTTTTATAGACCGTACTAGCTGCATCAAACTGGTTGATGATGCTCTCAAGGCGGGACAGACGTTCCGGGAGCCGAGGGTCCACACCGCGCCTTGGCCTCTTAGGCGCCCTGCCCCGACCGGGTGGGTAGACACATTTACCTTCGGACCGCAGGCAGTTGGAGCATCGTGGGACCTGACGGTCGCATTTGACTCTGCGCTGACGACACAAGTTGCAGGTCCGCACTTGCATGTGTGGGGGTGACAGACCTAGTGCAGGTGAGGAGGTTTCAGGCATTGTGGCCATATCGTTGGAGTTGGTAGCTGAACAGAAAACTCCTCGTTATCCCGAGGGACTCTCAAGATAGATACTACACACTCAAGGTAGGGAGTGTGAGCAGGATGTAGAACTGGAAGTGAAGGAGAGCTGGAGAAGTAGGTGGGGTGGGGTGCGGCCAAGCTTCTGATGCTCCCGGGCCGCGAGCTCGGAACTCGGGACCCGCATAGCTTATGCGACGCACGTGTACCACGTGGTGCAACACTATGCGAGACCGAATAGCCCATCTTCAATATCGGTGATATTGGTGCCCCCAAATCCGAATCTTGTGAGGGAGAAAATATTAAAGTCAACTGAAATCTTGCAAATATGTTTAACCAACATCAACCGAGTATACAAGGGCCTTCCTACATTTTAAAGTCCCAAAGCTGCATCTGTTACTTGATCTATACACTTGGCCAACTCCTTTTCTCCAACCAGTACGCAAGAAGATAGGGTACCTGATACTGAAAATGAGCGAACATCTACCATCCGATTTCGCCCCAGATGGGAACGAGGACTTGAAAAGTTCCGCCATAGGGGATGGGAGCTTCTTCCAGGCGACGAGCATTGTGGGCTTTGATGGGGATATGGATGGGTTGAATCCCCAGAACTGGCCCATGAGTAAAAAGGTCTACACCACGGCATTATGGGCACTGACGACGTGTTGGATCACCTTCGCGTCCGCTATCTACTCGTCTGGTACGGCACAAATCAGCCAAGAGTTTCACGTTTCGTACAACGTGGCCAACGCAGGTACTAGCCTACTCATATTTGGCTTTGCTATTGGTCCCATGCTTTGGGCGCCGTTGTGTGAGATGTATGGGCGAAAATGGCCTGCTTTAGCGGTACGTTCTCCAACCATGCCACCTCCCTCTCAATTATCATCTAACGCGAAACTTTTTGGATCTTACAACAGCCTTACTTTGTGAGCGCTGTCTTTGCCTTCGGCACTGCGACGGCTAAGGATATCCAGACAATCCTCATCACACGCTTCTTCGCCGGTGTGTTTGGCAGCTCTCCCATATCTATCACTGGCGGCTCTATCGTTGATATCTGGAGCCCCCGACAGCGCGGAACGCCCATGGTGTGCTATGGTATTACCATCGCCGCTGCACCGACCCTTGGGCCCATTATCGGCGGGGCCTTAATAGAAACCGGGTGTAGATGGCGCTGGACTGAATATCTGACAGGGATTGTCATGATGGTCCAATTTCTCCTAGACGTCCTCTGGCTGGACGAAAGCCATGCCGATGTGCTACTAGCTCGGAAGGCGGATGGACTGCGACGAGCTACGGGGAATTTTGTACTTCACACCAAGGTCAGTGGTTTGTCGACTCGCCCCGTCTCCATTGTTAGCCTAACCAATGGACCCATCTTGCTCACTTTGCCTACCTATAGTGGGAAGAGACGAGGCCAACCTTCGGAGACCTCCTCAGCATCTATCTCGTCCGCCCTTTTCAGATGCTCCTTGATCCGATTTGCCTGTTGTTGACTATTTATACATCATTTGTCTATGGTAAGCCAACCTAACCACCACCACCGCCACAACCAAGCCCTACTCAGAATACAAATGGATAAATGCATGCAAAGAGAGACTTCTGACTCTGTGGGCAGCTATACTTTACGCTAGCTTGGAAAGCTTCGCCCTAGAATACGGCCAGATTCGGGGCTGGGGCCCTGTCGTCTCCCAGCTGCCATTCCTAGCCCTCCTACTTGGGTGCCTGGTCGCCGCCGCTGGCAACATCTACAACAACATCTACTACGGGAAGAAGCTGGTCATGAATAATTTCAAACCAGTGCCGGAAGCGAGACTGCCACCTATGATGTACGGTGGCTTTGCTTTCTCTGTGGGTCTATTTTTATTCGGATGTAAGTTTCAGTCCCGCTAGAGTTGGTATATGTGCCCTTTATCTGCTGCGCGAGATTAACCGCCGTATTAATAGGGACCACCTCCGGGCATGTTTCAAATCCGTGGCCATCTATCATCGGCGTATTTCTAACCGGTGTTGGCTTCACCACAATCTTCCAGTCATCTCTCCAGTACCTTGTTGACACCTTCACCCGCTATAGTGCCAGCGCCATCGCTGCCAACACCTTTGTCCGATCAATGGCGGCCGGGGCTTTCCCACTCTTCGTCTGGCCCATGTATAAAAAGCTTGGTGTCGACTGGGGGAGCACTATCTTTGCATGTGTTAGCGTGCTCCTCCTGCCAGCCCCTTTCCTCTTCTTTAAGTGGGGTAACCGGATCAGGGCCTATGGCGAGTTCAGTAAGGCCTCCGCATACTAGCCTAGTACCGCCCCACCATTATATCTAGGGCAAATATGCTCCCGGGAACCTTGCAATGTATCCATGTCCAGCAATCCGCCCCCACGTTACATCGGGAGAAATGGGGTGATTACTAGGCATGGGTATGTCGTTGCCAGCGCAGCGCCGCAACTGAGCGATACGAAGGAGCCTAGGGGGCTACCCGAGGTTCTCTCACATGATTTACCAGGAATATTCGCAAATAATTTTAGAAATGAGTTTCAGTGGCGTCCATGACTTGCAGATAAAGAAGTAGGGCTTATTGACAGAATCTGGCAGTACGTCAATGGTATGGACAAAATCAGATATATTGAAATATCTAAATAACTAAAATTTTAGGATTGGAATTCTCAGGTAAATTTCCACAGACATGCACTTTTGTATGGGATCTGCCATTTGGCTGTCCCGCGTTTTCCGGGTAAAATACCCTGTGTTCGACCATGTTTTCAGCACGTTGTCGAGATTTGCAACGATCACAAGGATTAGATTACTACACACACACACACACACACACACACACACACACACCCCCCTCCCGCTTGTAACATTAGTTTCGTACATATGTACTCTATCGACCTGGAGCCCAGTGCGGTTCAAGTGGTCGCTCACACATCCATTCATCCACCTTTGTCCTTCAAAAGTGCAATTTACTTCACGGGCCTCAACATGCCTCCATCTAGTCACCTTTCCATGCGGGCCTCGTGTGATCGCTGCCGGTTCCACAAGCTCAAGTGCGTTCTCAGCTCCGAAGAAAGTCCCAGCAGACATGAGTGTGCACGATGCATCCGGGCCAAGGTCAAATGCGTGTACAGCCCGAGGGCGCCAGCAAGACGCCGGAAGATCGTAGTTTCTGAGAAGACCTCTCAGACTTTTAGCTGTGAGGGTTTTGGCCCTCCCACGCCGTTGACTGACTCTCCTAGTACTGGGGAGGAAGACTTTGGCGATGCGGCTCTCTCACGTATGAGCCCCCCCAGAAATCCGGGCCATGTGTAGTATCCCGCCTCACTCAGACAGCCATGCCTACTCATTGTTTACCTTCGACAGTCCCGCACTGGATCAGCCAGTAGTGCCAGCATTGAGTACTGCAGGGCAGGTTGTCTCCGACACAGCACTACACGAATCCCTCTTCGGCTCGCATACACCACAGTCTGTCCTACAGCAAGTCGGCCAAGATCTCAGGTTTGGCCTATCGACCACCCACCCACCATCCATGTGCGAGAGTCAACAGCTACAGGCCCACATCCACCTCGTAAAACCCCCCACCACCACAGCCACTCGAATCTCGAATCTTGTGGCCGAAATCCATAAGACACTAGCCTTACTACCGGATAACTGCCGCGGTAGCAGATATCCCAACTTCAACTTGCGCGAGTACCCAGTCGGTACCGTTTTGCACCTAGCCCAGGACCTCATTGACATCGTCTCCAAGTTTAAACCCGCCTCTGAGGCACCCACAACACCAGATATATCCACCTCCCTCACAACATTGGCACATTACACGACAGCATCGTCGACTGGTGGCGACTCGGCCATCTCAACCTTGCTCAATCAAGAATTCTACCCGGACCTCATATCTCCTGACCCGACGCTCTCATCCACATCTTGTGTCCATGACAACGTCATGGACACCCCAACCAAGCTCCTGGCTATGGGCTGCTACTTCTCCCTAAGGCGACTCTATTACGTAGTATTCACGCATTTTGAAGGTTATCTAAGCACGAAGCAGCAAGCGCCATCCTCTCGTGGACAACTGGCGGATAATTTAGCCAAGGGGAGGGAGCTTCAGGTCGGCGAGCTGCTCTCTACGGATGAGATGTGTAGCAGTATTAAGACGGCGGTCAGGCTTATGTTAGAAGTACTGCAGTGTGCAGATAACGTTCTCAGCATCCTTGAAGTTGTGGGCACTGAATTTGATGGGCTGGGAAGCAAAGTACAGTCTCTTGAGGGGATGTTGAGGGAGAGAATGTGATGGGCTATTGATTGATTGGGTTTTATCTAACAAAGAGTGTGGCTAAATGCTAAGCAATCCACGCCCCCTGTATTATATAAGTATGCGAGGGACGAAGGGGAAAGGAAGAGAGAAGGCCTATCTCGCCCAACCTACAAATCAACGGGTCGAACAGCCCATGCCTCACAAAGCCGCAGGAGTTCAACTGTGTTCTCCAGGAAATCACCGGTTCCTACATTAACGAGGTCCGTCGACGCCAGCCCCATGGGCCCTACCACCTTGATTGATGGTCAGCATGAGACGTCTCCAAATTTGATGCTGCGCGTCAGCTCGTTACCGAGGGTGAGGCTGTTGAGATTCTCACCCTAATTGACTCTCCTAACCCCATCGGTCTCGGCAAGCTTCCAAAGCGCATGTACGACTTCCTAGAGAACTTGGGCATCTTCGGTGCCTTCGAGATGGGCGCGGAGACTAAGGCCCCGCTGGACTAGCTCTTCCTGCACTTTTGCATCTTCATCGAGGCACTGGACAGCTACATTCCTCAGCCTTTCAAGTCCGGCTCGGCGCCTAGAATAACCATCGTCTGGGCCAGGGACGGAGTGTGTAAGAATCCGGACGACTCACGCCCCGAATCACAGTCTGACAATCCTCGTGGCATAAACTGGCTTCTGGATAATAGGAGTGACTTTGGACCAAATGGGTGGGCCGATTTCATCAGATCTTCTATTAATTCTCATCAATAGGGCTTGGCAAGTGCTTCAGCACTGTAAGCAATGCAAACGCTAGCAAAAGTCTAACCTGCACAAGTTATGTATAAAATAACCCTGTTTTTTTTTTTGGCTATCTCTAATACCATGAGAATAATCTTCAAATTGGGTGCTGTGTCGATCGCTTGGTGCAACCTTCTTTGTAGGGAATTGTTACAAATACACATTCTGATTGGCTACTTAGTATTACCGGATTCGGAATGCAGATCAAGGATCGACGCGTCATTTCGAAGGTTTACACAGGAACTTTATATTGTGAATTATATATAGTGTATGAGATGTTTATGAAATAGTTATCGACATCCTTTAGCCAAACAATTTTGAAATCTTAATAACATCTAATTTGCAGAATCCTAGACTATATTTCCCATCAAATTTAGGCAAGATGCCTCAAGGTTCGTCACTCTCTCGTCAATCTTCCGTCCCCAGATATTAACCAGAGATTCGATGGTAGACAATCAACAGCCTACCGAGCACAAGACGCCCTTCTTCGAGAACATCCTCCACCACCACGACCACCATAACAAGCATGGCAACGAGGGCCAGACTGCCGAGGACAAGTCACAGGACAGCGAGGGCGGGCTGCGTTCCGAACTGAAGAAGGACGAGGAAAGCCTCAAGCAATACTTTAAAGAGGATAAGCAGCTCGAAGAAGAGGGTCAAACCTATGGAGGCTTGATGTAGTTTTCTTACCTCTCCTCGGCGCTATTTCTTTTCTTATGACTCTATGCCTCCACGAACAATCAAGGAATATTACTAGGAAACTTGGTTATCATCAGTATCCGACCACTTATTCCTTGGCTAAAATTAAAATAAACGCGACGCTTCGCAACTGCATGCGCTAATGTCCGTGCATTGATGATAAAAGTGAATCTGGTGACCAACCGTCATCCATTAAGGCCGTACTGTTCTTGTTGTTCCCAAGACAGTAAAGCAAATTAAGGAGACATTTTTCGACTCCCTGGCGCGCTTCCAAACTCAATGTACCAAGAACCTGGACTAGGTCCGTAACATAATTCACCTTGAACTCCCCTTCCTCAAAGAGCCTTGTCAAGCTTTCATGTAAGATAGAGCGCAAGTTGTGGATTGAACTTTCCCACAGGTGTCGGGAATATCGTAAGGATATCTCTAATTGGTTGAGCATATTTAGTCCAGTCGAAGTTGTCGAGTCCCCATCAGACATGATGGAAATTGACTCTTGTACTAGGACACTGATAGAAAACAAACACCCGAGCATTTCGTCTTCACCCTCTATGATGTGAGTATCATGAGCGGAAGATATAGTAGAGAGCTGAAACTTATCACGCAAAAGTCCGACTGCGGCATGAGTAAAGGGGAAAGAAGGAAGTCCTCTAGTGTAAACAGACCCCATGAATGTTCTCATGTCTTGAATGAATGATATTAACCAAAGGCAGCGGACCTTTTGAATATCGCAAGACGAGGTTTGTTGCATAATGGGGGTTGAAGAAAGAGGAGGAGAGATTCGTTCGAGGTTGTTCGTGGACTCGAGCCATGATGGCCGCGACATTAGCGAAACACTAGAAGTTATCAGTATCGTAAATTTATCCATACTTGCCGCAGACTGTACCCACAGATAAACCACAAGTTCCAAGCGCCAGTTCCCGTGGAGCGCCTCAACTCCACCTTTGGCTTCAATCATTCTTTGTAGGCCTCTACGGTGGATTTTCCAATCTTCCTCTGTGCCCCAGTATCGCTGTGTAAACGTGATCAGCCAGTTTCTCACAGAAATACTCGCACTTGGTTAACATACCTCAAACGTGAGCAGGCGAACAACAGCAGCAAAAGAGTCGTCACTTAACTCCTTCTCAGGATCACTAAGCCAGAGGCGTAGTATCCTGACAGCCTCGATCTTATATTTCAGGGCATCGGAAGAAGCTGACCCCCGTCGCGGGGGAGTGCCAGCGTATAGATGCGATAGGTGCGCAGCTGAATGCGCCATAATGCAATTGAAAGACGAAGCATTCGAAAGATCCAGCGGGAACCAAACATCCCTCATCGGATTAAACTTGGTAACATCCAGATCTTCGAACATCATAGCTGCATGGGTGCCAATCCCTACGATATTATCAGTAAATTTTCTACCGAAGGTAATACATCAAATCCTCAGTCATAATACGTACAGTGATGCAAAAGCTTCTGATGTTGGCTCGTCAGGTGAACAGGACACGTTTGGAACGGGTCAGGCTTCGAGCTCGATAGCGCATAACTCACACCACACAACACCTAAGCGGGAATGCTAGAATATTTCTCTCCATTGCTGGCCACGTTCATATTCCAGTTCTGTTGCAACCCTGAAAAGCTAGTCGCATCTTCTGGTGGTAAAACAGCTTCATTAATGCCGCTCTTTGGGAGGAGAGGCAAAGTTCGCGATAACCTCTTTTGGTGATGTGTCTTCACCTTCTGATTTTGCTGATGTCGCCGCTTCCAGTGCTCCTTCATAGCATGGCTCCGAGCCTCCGATTGGGCATTCCCCGTCACAAATGTGAACTGCGGTGTTCCACTCGAGGAGCTGGAGTCCCGTGGAGACATTGTTCGTTTATAGTCATAAGGAGGTGATGTTGAGACAGTGAAGCGGACGAATTGAAATTTGGGAAGGGATATGGAGATCACATGATGGAGCTCTACCCAGAACACTCAGACTTGGTGCGATTCGGAAATCTCTCCTGGTGGTCTACACGCCACATCGTTTGGCTTCATGTGGGGTAATACCACAAAGATTTATCCAATAGAAACACCTGGGGATTTGCCACAAATGATATCCACGGGTGTCTTTTTACGGAACCATGGACCTGAGCTGTAGCCCCACGCCTCGGTCCGTGCCCAGTGTATCAGCGGTGTCAGAAAACCCCAACTTTTATATAAATGATGATGAACTATCATTGCTGTCTTATTTTCCATTTATAATCCGAAAACAAAATATCAAAATCATCCATTGGCATTTTCCTCTAAAGACGTAATCAAGTATAGTAGGACAGCAGAAATACTAGAGAAACATATTGATCTCATCAATATTATGCGGCAGCCGTGATTGATGCTTCGGTACGCTCTTGCAATCTCAACCCGAGGTCCTTGTTGACACGACTAAAAAGGCCTATATTCAGTGTTAGACTTGCACTGCAGCGGACGGGTCTCCTCGAAGGTAACCCCTCCAGTAGGGTACTTACTATAGACAGCTTGACGCAATTCGGGGTACTGAATAGTCTTGACGCTGGATACAAGATTGCCAATAAGCCTATCTTGGTGACCAGGGTCGCGACCAATAACCTCCCACAATGCTGCGGGCTGGACAAAGTCCGCGTCAGTGATCTCGCTGGAATAGGCCGAAACCTCTCCCGCCCACTTTTCATGATCAGTGTGCAGGTACAATGCTCCAGGGTTTGATCCTTTCACGTCTTGGTAGAACTTGGTGGGTTTAATTGAAGAGCCAACATAATTAGGATCTCCGCCATAGTTGTGATCAAATCGCATTCTTCCGTCCCTCTGGAAAGGACAGTAGACTTGGGCCTTGGCAGCGTTGGTTGGGAGTTGCTGGTAGTTCACCCCGAGTCTGTAACGGGCCGCGTCGGGGTATGCAAAGAGTCGTGCTTGTAGCACTTAATACGCAAGCAAGTTAGCCTCGAGAATTTCTAGGAGAGGAATTAATGGGCTCTCTCTGCTTACCTGGATCAGCGGACGCTGCGAATCCCGGGACCATCGTTGATGGCGAAAATGCAGCTTGCTCAATATCCGCAAAATAATTTTGCGGCTGTTTGTGTTTAGCCACTGCAACTTTGTGCTGGAGAACAGTCAAAGACTTACATTGCGGTTCATAGTAAGACGGCCAATCTGCTGTAGAGGGAAATCCTTGTGCGACCAGACCTTGGTTATATCGAAGATATTTACTTCATATTTCTCAGCCTCTTCAGGGGTCATCAGCTGGACGTAGACATTCCAGACAGGATAATCGCCTTTTTCGATGGCCTCAAACATGTCCTGAATCATATAGTCAGGGTTCTCTCCGGCAATCTTGGTAGCTTCTTCGCGGGTGAAATTCTGTATTCCTTGCTGCGTTTTGACGTGGATTTTGGCGTATTTAAACGAGCCATCCTAGACATGGCTTAGTGAGATAATATTTTATCTTGTAATCATCGTCTCTTACTGCCTTGGTGAACTTATATGTATGTCCACTGTATGAATTCATATAGCGAGGTGATTTCGGAGTGCCACGGTCGCTGAATAGAACCATAAGTTGATGTATGCCTTCAGGGTTACCGACATGGAAGCTAAACTAGATTAGAGTCATTCACCAATTGTAGTTCGAGAAAGAGACATACTCCCAGAACTGCGAAATTCATTAGATTCGCTCATGGCCGGTTCAAAGAAGAAGGACTTACCATGCTTGCATCAGGAAGATGGGTTTGGGGGTGCCGCTTGTGGGATCGGTTCATCGACGGGAACTTGATCGGGTCGCGAACGAAAAAAACAGGCTGATATGTGAATGAGAGTTGGAATCGGTTAAAAACATTATCCGGATAACGACCGAGCATACCGTATTGTTGAAAACCCAATCAAGGTTTCCCTCGTCTGTGTAAAGCTTCATTGACCATCCGTGCACATCGCGAACGGTATCAGCAGATCCTGACTCGCCCCCAACGGTTGACACGCGCTGAAGCACGGGTGTTTTCTTTCCGACTTTGTTGAGAAAGCTGGCGCAGGTAAAGTCGGAGCAATCGCGGGTAGCTTCGAATTCGCCATAAGACCTATGCAAGAGCGTCAATCGGTGAAAGTTTTCAGGGGGAGCCTTACCAGCTTACCCAACAGCTTTGGCATGAACGACTCTATTCAAGGTTCCAATGTCAGTATACTGTAGAGACCTCAAATTAACCGATGAATCTGACAATGGCACTTACCGCTCCGGGATTCTCTCGCGCGAGAAATGAGCCAAGGTCTCAATAAGCTGAGTATCCTGAAGCAATCCGAGCCCGCCGCCTTTTCTATCCCGCATCATAACAGCCGTCTTGTTGCTGGGAAAGGGGCAGCCTAAGAATAGTCAGACATAGGAAAATAAATCCAATATTGAAAATGTCTTGTACCTTCGGCCAAAGTGTAATATTTGTTGTCGCCCATGCTGAATGACAATTGGGGTGATGGTAATAGGTTCAGATGAGACAGAAGAATTGTATGCTCGATTACTGAGTTGTGTTCGCTCGAGTGTTGGAGTTTATATATGTAGTCTCGGGGGAAAGCTCGCTTTTCGATTTGAAATGGCTTTGAATTCAAATTGGTTCTTAGTATTACGCTTAGACTTATTGGAGCTTTGCCGTCGACAGCTAAGAAGGGTCCACCGTCAATGACCCCTCGTTTCAACACATATATCCCTCTTTGTAGGAGATGACGCAGGAATGCAGTGATGGCATCCAATAGTTAAGCCCTAAATTTTATGTAAGAAGTCGGTGAGGTCCAACTACCTACCTACATACGTGAGTAAGTAGCAACCTTAAAGCGAGGGAAAAGGTCTGATTGGTTGAATACCACTTCCAAATTTGGTTAGAGAAGATCCCGAGGTCCGCACGAAAGCCCAGATCCGTGGACCCACTACCTATCCTTGACCCTTGGAAGTCTTAAAAGCTTATTTGGGCTTAGCGTAGGTATCGTCGTCCTCATGCAACTAAATCCTTCAATTGAGATGGATTCCCTGCAAAGCCAACTATGCTGTACCTAGAAATGGATGCAGCAGATGTCATGCCGAGGTAACCCAGCGGGTCCATTGGTGACACTGTTCTCCGCGTGCCCCTCATTGACGGAAGCTGAGACAGCCCACTACGTGCTTCCAAATAGCCAACCACATGGTACAGAGATTTTTAAATATAGTCTTTGCTTTGTAGATCTCCCCGAAATATTACCCTCTCGGCCGGCCAGATACGTATTACCAGTTCAATTAATCCAGTTGCAGAAGTCTTGACGTGTTTATGATGAGTGGCACGGGCGAGAGTGCAAGGGTATGCTTGTTGTCAGACTCAGAGCCGATTCGACTCATCCCATACACCCCAATATGGAAAGATTATCAGACCAATGGGAAATTATTAGTCAAGTCCGGATCTCTGAATATGTGGAACTGCTACTTTGCTCCTTGCATCCAAGTCTATGACGGTCATTTGGGGGTCAAAACTACCTAGGATCCGAGTCTTTTATACCGGAAACCCTATCTCCTCAATTATAAAAGGCTTGTAGAATTCGTCCCCTATGGACTGAGAAAGCCATCCATTTTGAAACCTTTAATCACTTACACTATCTTACCATTTTCCTCCCTTCATGATGTCTGTCCAGGACAATGCCAGATTCGACTTCATTATCGTTGGTGGCGGTACTGCCGGCAATGTTGTGGCCGGCCGCCTGGCTGAGAACCCCAACGCAAAAATCTTAATTGTTGAAGCTGGGGTTGGCAACTCGAAAGACATCGAGGATATCAGAACGCCTTCAAACGCTATGGAACTTCGGAACAGCCAGTATGACTGGGCCTACAAGTCAACCATAGTCAAGCGAGAAGACTATGAACGGGTTGAGAAGCCCAACACGCGCGGCAAGGCCCTTGGTGGCAGTTCGTCCCTGAACTACTTTACCTGGGTTCCAGGATCCAAGGGGACATTTGATATGTGGGAGGAGTATGGTGGAAAGGAGTGGACTTGGGACCCGCTCGTTCCCTACCTGCGCAAGAGTGCGACCTACCATGATGATGAGAAGGCATATGCGTCAGAACTGAAAAAGATCGGTGAAAACGGTCCGATCCTGATTTCCCACTCCGAACTTATTCCAGAGATGCAACATTTCCGTGACCTCCTCACCACTGCGTGGAAGTCCACTGGTCAGCCAATCACCGAGAACATCTTCGACGGTGAAATGCTTGGCCTGACCCATAGTGTCAACAGTATTTACAAGGGTCGTCGCTCTGGTAGTTTCCTTTTTGTCGACAAGCCAAACATCACCGTCCTTCCCCAGGTGCACTCAAAGAAGCTTATTATCGACAACGCCGACAAGACCTGCAAGGGTGTGACTGTTATCACTGGCTCCGGACAAGAACTAAACCTCTACGCTACCCGTGAGGTTATCGTCTCCCAGGGTGTCTTCGAGTCTCCTAAGCTCCTGATGCTTAGTGGTATCGGGCCTAGCGCAGAGCTTAAGAAGCATGGTATCCCGGTGGTCGTCGATAACCCCCACGTTGGTCAGCATCTCCTGGACCACCCTGGTGTTCCTTTCGTCCTTCGCGTCAAGGATGGCTTCGGTATGGACGACTACATCCTGCGCAAGGGAACCCCCCATAACAACCAGGCCATCCAAGCCTACCAGAACAATCACGGCGGTCCATTAGGCTCCGGCTTCCTTGAGATGGTCGGATTCCCCCGGATCGACAAGTACTTGGAAAATGACCCCCTGTACCGCCAGGCTAAGGCCTCAAACGGAAATAAAGACCCATTTTGTCCGTACGGCCAGCCTCACTTTGAGCTCGACTTCGTCTGTCTTTTCGGTAGCGCATTCCAGTGGCACTACCCCACACCAAGCAAGGGTAACTACATAACCGTCATGGTTGATCTTGTCCGCCCTGTCTCCGACCCGGGTGAGGTCACCCTCAACAGCGCCGACCCACTGCAGCAACCCAACATCAACTTAAACTACTTCAACAACGACCTCGATATCATCGCCCTCCGCGAGGGTATCAGATATACCTACGATGTCCTGAAGAACGGCGCTGGCTTCAAGGATATTATTGAGGACGAGTACCCCTGGGAGATGCCTCTACACGACGACAAGCTCATGAAGATGACTGTGTTGGACCGCTCCCAGACCTCATTCCACCCTTGTGGCACTGCTCGCCTGTCTAAAAACATCCAGCAGGGTGTGGTTGATCCCGGCCTCAAGGTCCACGGCCTCAAGAACCTCCGTGTGATTGACGCATCCGTTATCCCAGTAATTCCCGACTGCAGAATCCAGAACTCTGTTTACATGGTTGGTGAGAAGGGTGCAGATGCCATCAAGCGTGACCACGGCGACTTCTACAAATAAGCTAGGTAACGGAGATAGGCTGAGATTTTAGCCTAAAAGTCTGATATGATGTGATTTTGACTCATGAAATTGTCCGTAACGAGTTAGTTTAGTGAATATTATTTGAGTCCAACTAAATTGGAATGCAGTACAGAGTATTCTATGCCTCTCAAAATATAAGAAGTCTACATCCCACAAATAGCCTTGATCAAGAAGGCCTTTCAAGAATTATGTATCGATTTTAAAGGATATTGAGAATCGTATTCATACGAACATGGCCACGTTTGATTGTTACATCTTAAAACTTATGGTGAACAGGACTTCAGGAAGTCAGATAACTTTCCAGAAACATAATGAGATGAGACAATTAATCGGCTGTCGGTTTTCAAAACCCTGGTTTGTTGTCCATTACATGAATAGATTGCAAACTACTATCATTGGTTTGCATATCGACAAAGTCCAACCAAGATATCGAAACCAATATCCGCCAACAACAACCCAAATGTACCGAGTCTTCGACCAACGTGTCTTGCAGCGATATGAGGAACTCCTGGGCTAGCTGTTCCAAGTAAGTCTTCTTGGGTCTTTCAATCTATTTTTTGGATACATACATTGACCTTAGGAATGCTTCAGTCTCTAGGGCTCTCAAGTCCCTTATCAGTCTCTTATTACGCCCCAAGCAGCATAACTACCAGTTGTAGTTTCCCTTTTTAGGCCTTCGGGAAACGCACATCAACCTAATACAATAGTCACTAGATGTCTTGCGCGCAAGTACAAAAAGTCACCCAATCACTGTCAAAACCGGCAAGACAGCTTTCTAATTATGATTCAAATGGTCCCTAAAAATTCCAGTTACGATCTACTTCTTACCGCTGGGGAGCCCTATTTCTTTGTATTGCTCGTCGGATTTGCATTCATGTGGATACTATATAGTCCAGCCGAGAAGGCTAGTACGGCGCACGACGGAGTGTCATTCTTATCTCCTACTAATTGATTCTCGATGAATTGGTCTTATTATTCTCCCCAAAATGTAGTCTGATACATACGACCATAGGGTGTGGAAAACAGGGCTTCCCGTCCGCTCAGCCGTACTTAAGCCACACGCCGGTGAGTTAGTAGTTGGGTGGGTGACCACCAGCGAATCCTCACTGTTGTATGTTTTTGATTTTTTTTTCGTCAGGAAACTCCCTCTTGCTGCTTTAATATTTACCCCCTTCAGCCCATCACCTGAACAACGTTATTTTTGCACCTGAATATCCTGCATACCCCTGAAGCGCTAACGTGTCCTGCCCCTCCTCATGCTAACATCTTCGAAGTCAATGCGTTGTTGCGATCACGACGGTCTAGTCCTCCCGTTGGTAGGCCTTTGGTTTTACTTTCACGTGATCAGCTGTGCAGCGTGTGAGATACTATTAGGATCGCATGGTTGTTATTGGCTAGATCTAAGTGTGGTATAATATGACAAAATTACATAATGCACTTCCAAGCGAAGACACTCACTTGCCTGAGTGTCTTGGCGAGTTCTTCTGCCTGAGGCACCCAGATTTATAAGCCCTGCTAGCCGCAGGGGATCACGTGGCTAGTGACAGGGATCAGAGCAGAACGTAAGGGATCGTCTTCGTCTTCGTCTTCGTCTTCGTCTTCGTCTTCGTCTTCGTTTCGTCAGTCGTACTGGAAAATCCTCAGCATCTCTGCCTCATGTGGATTCTCCGGTTTACGTGATGGATTCATCGATATTTTTCACTGGCTCGAACTCCGGGCTACAAATTGCACATAACAATGGACAGACCAATGCGCATTTTCACTTGCCCCAAGGTAAAGACACCTGGATTCTCAAAAACAACCCATTTCTGATAATGTGAATAAAGCTCTAGAAGAGAGACCACAGCCTTCTGCCATGATTCCGTTTGGGCGTGATCCTGATTTCGTAGACCCAGGATCTCTTGTAGACCGGGTACATGAGCTAAGCTCCGAGCCTTCAGCGAGACTGGCACTAGTTGGCCTCGGCGGTGTCGGGTAAATAGAACACACTTAATGAGGGCTCACATTTTTCTAATAAGGATTTAGAAAATCTCAGATTGCCATCGAATACGCATACTGGATCCGAGAGCAGTCACCTGGAACTTGGGTTTTTTGGGTTCACGCGAGTGACATTGTGCGATACGAAGAGGGCCTCCGTGATATCGCAGAGCATGTCAAAATTCCGCGCCGTCAGGACCCAGCTGCCAATATATTTCAGCTTGTCGGTAGTTGGCTCCAGGACCGAAAAGAACCATGGCTTCTTATTCTTGACAATATTGACGATGATGAATTTCTTCACAAGCCAGCCTTCGAGAAGTCCAGATCAGCCCGTCACAATGAACGAGCTGATGTACTCAGTGAACAAGGAGGTCGTTCCGATAAATCGCCCCTTGATTTTCTACCAAGGGCACCGCATGGGTCCATTATAATCACGACTCGTAGCAAGCACATTGCGATGAACCTTGTTAATGAATGCGATATAATGACAATTGAGCCTTCGGAGACTCATGCATTTGCTTTACTTCAGAAAAAGCTTCAAAACAAAGTCGTCGCAGATGCATTGAGTCTACAAAGTCTTGCTCGGGAACTTGACTGGATAGCATTGGCTATTGTTCAAGCAGCAACTTTCATTGCAAGGCACTCTCCTCGATTTTCTGTGCAAAAATACCTTGAAATGTTTCAAGAGAGCAACAAAGCAAGAGCGAGCCTTTTGAAGCGCCAAACAAGACTGTTACATCGTGGTCGGAGAACCGATAATTCCATAATAGTAACACTGCAAATATCCTTTGAATCAATTCGAAGAGAGAATCCACAAGCCACAAATCTTCTCTCCTTGATGAGCTTTTTTGATCGACAAGGGATCCCGGATTTTCTACTACACACATTAGTCCATGAAGATGGTGACGAAGAGGCTAAGAGCGATACTGATGAGGGTTATACGCCATTTGGACCTGCTTATCAGAAAGGGAAAAATATCAATCAGGTCCTAGAAGACAGCAATAGCAGCATTGAAGGCAAAGCTGCATTCAGTCTTTCTCAATTAAAATTTGAAGACAGCATCGCCACGCTCAAAGACTACTCTCTCATTTCCATCGATCCTGAGACGCTTACATTCGCGATGCATGGTCTTGTGCAACTTTCGATCCAGGAGTGGCTGAACACACAAGAAGAGCTTGACTATTGGAAAGAGAAGTTTATACGCAATCTGTATCTTGAATTTCCAAAATTCACCAACTTCGACAACATGACAAGATCTCGAGCCTTGCTCCCACACATTCAGTCAGCATTATTACACGGTCCAGACTCAAACAATCGATTAAGATGGGCTAGGCTTATTCGCCATGCCTCTGATTATGTGCTCTCCTGCGAAAAACCAAATGAAGCGAAACGCATGACCGTTATTTCACGGAAGGAAACCGAGAATCTTCTTGGATGGAGACATCCAGAGACAATAATTGCCTCCGCCTTCGAAGTGAAAGCATTAATGAAATGCGAGGACACAAAGTCTGCGGAGGAGCGATGTCTCCAAACAATCGAAGCATGTAAGAATTTTCATCTGGAGACGGGCTACACAGTCTATCTTACGTTTCGAAAGCTTCTCGCCGAAATACACCATCGACAAGGACCTCATCGATGGGCTGAGTCTGAATCTGAATATGAAGAACTCTTGGCGATTTGGGAGCAGAAGAAACCGGACAATGAAGAGGCTATTACCTCTATCAAGGCAGCTCTAGCCGGACTATATCAAGATCAAAATCGTCTTGACAAAGCGGAGATTCTACTTCGACAATTGTTAAACTCACACAAATCAGTTCAAACAGATCGCCGTCAGGACCTGGGCTACCACATGGAGAGCTTGGCATCTCTTTATGGACAACAAGGGCGGTATGAAGATGCTATCACACTTTTGGCACAGGTGCTTGTACTCCAGGAAAGTCAATTTGGACGAGATCATCCGCGAACACTCTCGAGTATGAGAAGTTTTGCATGCGCAATGGAAGGCCAAAGTCACACCTGGGAAGCGATGGAATTCATGCAGGAGGTCTTTGAAAAGCAAAAGATGGTTCTTGGACTAGATCATGGGGAAACAACGCACACCGCATATCTACTGGTCGACTTACTCGTTAAAAATGACAAGCTAGAAGCCGCTGCATGTCTAGCCAAAAGCTTTATCAGCATTCTTGAACCAGATGCCAATTCTGCCCACGTCTTCTCAGTTAGACTTGTGCATATATATTTAGCACAAGGTCAGAGAGAGAAAGCTAGAGAGATGATCACCGACTCACTTAGAAGAAAGAGACAGCTTTACGGTGAAGAGCATGATCAAGTGATCGATGCCCAGCTTAATTTGGCATTATGGCACGAGAAGCAAGGTCAACTTCGTGAGGCCGAGACTCTCTATCACCATATATATCAGGTTCGCCAGCGAACTCTTGGTAGCGAAGACCCAAAGACACTCGAAATTCTTCAACGGCTTGTAGATCTTTATTTGATGCATGGTGGCCTAGTCAGCTCTAAGTCACTGTGGTCGATGCTAAATCAACTCTGCAAATCAAGAGAAACTATTCTTGGGAGAGAGGACCCTCAGACTCTTCTGAATCTATTCGCACTGTCACTGGAGTTTAATGCACAGGAGAAGCCATATGATGCTGCTATCTTGCAGCAGGAAATTCTTCAAATATGCATGAAATCTGGAAGTAAGTTTGATATGCTACCAGATCTACTTGAAGCATTGGTGGCTAGCTGGGATCAACTCGGTCGTGACGAGGATGCTGCATGTCTGAGAGAACAACTCGAGATCATACCGGAGAACATGTCCCCTAGGGAAATTACTACGCATCTCAGGTCCTCAGAAGTGTTGACAGGTATTTTGGAAAGGTTCTCCCTGGTTGTCCAATCGTTTGAGGGCGTGGATTGAACCTGAAAAGCAATTTGAACTGAGGAAGAGGAGGTGGATAGCTTTCTTTTCTCATTTCCTTCTCCAGAATCGATATTATCAGTCTAACGCCGATTTCTCCTTTTCCCTTTCTATCAAGATTCAGTATCGTGACATAGCCTACCAAACATCTGAAAACATTAGTCATAGATAACGCACACAAGCGCCATGATGACACACGACTCGTAATGAAGCATCAAAGGTCACTTGAAGCTAATTTTAAGCTTCATCAAGTGTTTTCATTTTCAGGGTTTATTCAAGCACGCGAAATAGCTCCAGAATCGCTCTGACGACGGGGCTCATTACAGTCTATAGGACGCCAATAAGTCCTTTTTCTGTGCAATTTTGGAAAGAATTCCTATATTAGAGTATATATAGAGCGATTGAACTGTTAAATAAATAGTATTGTTATCTAAGTCACTAGTTAATATTTATTACCATATAGGTAGATACTAGCGCTTATGCACATTGTCGACATTGCGCTTTTTCGCCTTGGTGCTATTGCCACAATTTCGTTATATCCGGCTAAAACCGACCACTTTTAAAATTTTACATAAACAATATTAGGAATAGAGGAATAATCGAGTCATTTTAAAAACTACAGCCCTTAATTTTCCAAATAGTTCAACATTCTGGGCACAAATTTTTTAAGAAATCCGATATTTGAAGCGCTTTCAAAATTGAGAGCATTAAAAATTAGAAGGCCATAACATTATCCGCTCTTCAGTATTATAAGGCCAAATTTTGCTACAATGCCTCTATTCCATGAAGATACGTTTCATGAAAGGCAGAGCTGCTCCAGGGATTTTACTTCCGCTCACAAGCTCTAAATCAGTTGAGATGCCACCGGCGCGCTCGGCTGGAACTGGCGCAAAACGATATTGAAGGTGACCGTTCTACGAAATTGCAGCGTGGATCAGCGCGATTTATGCCATCTCGGGCTAAACTGAAGGTGTCAGGACCCACATATTGGGATGGCCTGATATCATGTATCCTGGCAAGTTGTCTTTTAGTTCTGGGTGTGCTTTGTGGTCGACCACGAGCTTCTATAGCTGTAAGCTTTTGTGTAATTTCCTCTGCGAACTCAGCCTGGATTAGGGCACCCTCGTGTATATAATTTGACCATTGAATGATTCGATTAATATCAATATTAGCTATTTCCTTTGGATTATTTAATAGCTTAATCGATCTTGCGAGTTGGCCGATATAGCTTTTGAACGGTTGTAGGTAGTGAGGTGACTGATGATGATGGTGGTTCGGGAGTAGTGGTATCCCATATTTGAAGGATTGGCTCAATTTCGTCACTTAATTCAGCCTGAAGTGAACCAATAATGATATTAGGATCGAAAAGGATATATTCCACAGTCTCGGAACGCTCCGCAGATGGTTCTCGGACGTAAAGCCTGACCGCGGATATTAGTCATGTCTTCCAAAAATTGCTACTTAGCTATATTTAGCGGAGTGAAGGGGCAACGACGACCACTTGACTAGACAAAAGCAGATTTCGAGGCCACCAAACTAGTGTGCAAGGCTGCCGGGGCTATTTTGTCCAGAGATTACGTATTCGGGATGAGATGTAATCAAGCCTTTACGATTGGAGTTTCAACATTATTTTATCGTCCGGACCACGGTTTTCCATGGGCGTTAACGCATTGGCCTAGCCGTAGAGGGTCTTAGCTACACCAAAGATAATACGCTGACCCGGCGTTCTAAATGCCATCAGAAGTGGCTAAATCTTCACCTGAATCATAATCAGGTGAGCGAACATCTGTCCGGACTATCCTAAAGAGGACTGAATAGAGGAGCGAATCGCCAGCGCCCACACCCAATTCGTGGGCGCTAGATGATCACAACCCAAGACAAGCTGTTGTATCTTTATTTTGCTCTTCCAGTCTTTCATCCGCGTGGAGAGAGTTCCCTTGCCGCCCTACGGGACTTTTTAGCCCGGCCCTCGCTCGAGTCCTGTCAAACCTTTTATTCTGTTACTAATAAGCCCACAGATACTCATAGGGCTATCGTGCCTTTCCCCTGCTACGATATGGTTTTCGCGTATGTGTTCGCATCCATGACCTTCTAATCCACCCTTGATCACATTACATGTCTAGATCTAGCGAGGATATTGATGAATTAAACGACAACTATCCCGTAACGTACATTTCGCGACTTTTGTATTACAATAACAAGACTAACCTTTTAAGAGTGACGAATGTAGAAACAGTTTCTAATGTCAAATTATACAGACTGGCCTTATGACCCCAATGAATAAGAATGTAAAACTGTGTATCATCATCCTTGAACCCTTCAAAGTCTTGTCCCATGTCTTCATCATTGTCGCTCAAAGAGCCGAGCGACACCTCCACAATCTCGGAGAAGTCGTCATCAGAGCCTCTGTTGTCGGAAGATATTACACAATGACTATTCTTTTCCAGACGGGCATTCTGCACGTCTTTTTTCTCCTAAAACGGAACTCCAATTTCTTCGTTCAAATGGTAAAAATCCGCTCTACCGGAGCTGTACAGCGATTTCATCTCGAATAGCCATGCCTCACATTTGCAGATATTCCAGGATTGATAGAAGGGTAACACGGGACGCTCGATATCGCATCTAAAGGAATCAAAAAATTACCACCATTTTTGAAGTCAATGCTAAGCCCTCTGCAGTTGCGGCATCAAACAAGGTATAGAGCCCGACAACAAAGTGAACCTCATGACCATCTTCTAACTGATGCTGCAACCATTCCCGTACTTCAGAATTCCTACAAATATTGTCAAACCAGATTGCTGGCTTTCTGAGCGTATAAACACGCCCTCATCGTACGTTAAGATGAAGTCCGGCTCTCTTAGAACGTTCAGATGTCCAACTTAAAAGTTAAAGCCAGGTTCTAGGGATATGAAAATAACCAAGGAGATTGAATTAATAGAAGTGGCCCTGTTAAACAACACAAGCCCGAACATACTTGATGAGCCAATACTGAAACAGTGTTGGAGGAACTTCTGTGGCATGACTTAGTTCACTTCTCATGCTATGGTCACTCAAATGTGATTGATCCCTCAAACAGCGCTCTGTGGCTCTCATTCCGCAAGAACTCCAATGAGGTTTCTTCCCTCGCTGTCCGCGATCTAGCGGCCTTAGACCATGAAAAGGCCCAAATTGCCTATCTTTCTGCGTGCTCAACAGCTGAAAACTCTTCGCCAGAGCTCATAGGTGAGGTAATACATATCGCAAGTGCTTTTCAAACAGCCGGCTTTCCTCACGTCATTGGAATTCTTTAGGAAATGGGTGATAACGCAGCTGCTGAAATCAGCCCACAATTCTACAAGAACTTGATTGAGCAAGCAACTGATGGTCAATGGCCACGCAAAGATGTTGCTTGTGCGATTCACGATGCATTGCAAAAATATAGAACAACCAGGTCTGAAGATGTGATCTCATGGTCCTCTCCTATCCACATGGGAGCAAATGAATGATGAAAAGATGACTCTTCTCGCATTTGATTCCTGGAAGCTGCGTGGCATCTCTCCTTTTTTGTTACATTCAAATTAAAACGCGTGCTGAAAGCCATGTCAAAATCATATATTGACATAAAGGTAAGGGGAATGGAATTGCTTCAAAGAATTTTATTTAGACTGTTGATAATTGTACACCAATTTTAATATTTATACACATCAATATGGCTACTTCTGCGCTACGCCATGTTTGTTCACCTCTTTGGTTGAAAGACCCATCTTCCTCTTCAATTCTCCCTTAATATACTGATACCATATGAGCTTTTCCCCTTTGCAATTCAAACTTTGCAATTCAAAGGGAACATATAGCGAATCAAACCTCATTGATGATAGAGCTGAGAGTGGTAAGAGTGCAAATTCTCTTGGAAGCTGCCACGTGCTACTCACTTATCAAAGAGAACCAAGGTGCGATGGTAATACCTCTCCGTCCGTGGAAGAATCTCCCGTTTGATTTCATCGCTGTAGTGCTCCGCGAAGTCCACGACAAATCCTGCGTAGTTCGACCTTGGATCTCATACTCAGCAAGTATTTTGCCTCAGGGTGAGTCAGATGAGGTGAGGAGAAAAAGGGAGGAGCGAGGGGATGGTAGTCGCTTACTGCGCTTTGATTAAAAGGCGGAAAGCTATATTTCGCTGGACGGGAATATTAAGGTGGGAGAAATCTGGTCGGACGGCCCTGAAGAGAGCTGAATAGGGCGGCGTGCCGCTTTCACCCGAACTGTGGGCGCTAGGTGAACACCACCATAGAAATACTGTTGTATGTTTTTGTCATTTTTTTGGTCTATCTTAAGGCTACTGGCCTGTCGCCTAGCCAGCTGCTTCTTTATAAGATGGAATGTTAAGCGGAATATTAGTAGATCGAACCAAAGATCAGCCAAATAGTATCCAAGCCATGAGCTGTGCACGACCTTATGGAAGCTCTTATTGTATTACCTACTAACTACAGTCTATATTCCAGACTACTTACACCTAGTTTAAGCTTACTAGCCGCTCTAATATCTAGGTACTCAACTAGTGAGATCCGCCGGCCACTACTCCGAGCATTTACCCATGAAACCCAAAAGGTCATAACCAAGCCAATTCATGGAATTCCGAGGTTTTTTTTTTTTTTGTTTCATATCAAGTTAAGGAACATCGACGAGAGATAATATGAAACATATGCTCAATTGGACAGAGTTCACTCTCTATTGCCCACGCAAGTCAATCACCACTGATCAGGATCCGCATCGGCAAACACAGTCCCAGCAGCAATTTCATCATACCAAACCGACCTAGTGCCCTGAGTGCCCTTCATCCCCTTATCATCATGCCACCCATTAGCATAAAGGCCAACGCGGAACTGGAAAGCCCGATCATCGTCAATGGTAGTCGCAATATCCCTCTTATCCAACAGCTTATTTCCATCCAACCACAGCTTGTATTGACCAGTGCCATCCGACTTCCAAGTAGCCTGGATCTCGACCTTATGCCAAACGCCCGCACTGATCGTTGCCAAGCTAGGGAAAGTCACAGTCTTCTGCGAGCAGATACTACCCTGTTTGACGCGCGTGTAGAGCTGGTCACCGACAAGCCACACCATGCTAGAAGGCATGTAATCATCACAGCCAGTATCGCTGAAATCGGCAATGAATTGGGCGATGTTGTATGATTGGGCCGGGGAGAATTGCCAGTTTTCCTGTAGGCGGAAGGCGAAGCCGTAGAAACCCGTGTCGCCGCGTTTGTAGACGTTGTTTTTGACTACTTCTGAGTGGTACCGGCCTGTGTAGCTGGAGTCGTAGATTTGGGTCATTTTTAGAGCCGTTGGGCCTTGGTAGACGACGTTTGTCACTTGTTGCACGGTGCCGGAGTGTTCCTTGTTGGTCGAGTCCCAGCCGGAGGTTGTGCCTGTGTTGCTGAAGATTTGGGTGGCCTGGGCTGTTAGGCTGAGCGCTAGCAGTGCTGCCGAGGAGAGTTTGCCAAACATTTTGGTAGAAGATGGAGGGTTGATTGTTGTGGTAGACTAATTTGTAGCGGATTTAATAGGTTTTATAAACAGATTGGACTTTCCGGGACTCCCTCTGTAAGCAATAAATTGAGCAAAATATGCCGATGTGCTAGTGAAGTTCATTGGACTGTTGTCAGTGAGGTTTGAGATGTTCGTAAGCTTTCCCTAAAATGGAACTCAGCTGGAGCAGCCATTATCTTGGATTTATGCTACTACAGCCAGTTTTATCCATAGTAGGTAGTAGTTAAGTAGTAGCCGAGACCCTAACCCGCAATCCTGCAGATTATGCAAGGTGGTCAGCTTTTGATTGGCCAGCCCCCACAGGGTTACATTTTCAGTGCAAAATGCTGACAAAAGTGAGCTGACGTCTAACTTTTATAGGAAAGTGCTATGGGTTGCAAGTGTCAAAGTAGATGAAAGTAGATGAAAGTGGGTAGACCTAGCGAGACTTGGCCTTAGTTCAGGCACGAGCTGTTTGCCTTCTTCAGGGAGCTCATGATCAATGGCATCGGCTAATGCCTCCTAATCGACTAGTAGCGGTACTATAGGTTCTACCTGTTTATCTACGCACGTAGAGGTTACTACTTTAGCCAGGATAATTTAAGTATTCTTATTTAAGCTTCTAAGCTAAGTATTCTCGGGGACATATACTTAGACGCAGATAGCCTTTGACGTATTAAAGATAAAATAGAGTCTATGTACTTTACGATATCTGCGTTTTACTATAAATCATTTGGTATATATATTGTAGTTATTATTAGATACTTGACCTTAAATTAATGACATAGTCGTTTAATTTAAGGCTAGGAAAATCTTGATCCACGCTACACACGTATGTTGTGTACATAACGTTGGCCTCGTATTCATGGACAACAAAGCGTTCCAGTCTGCCCTTGTACGGCTTCATGGTATTTTCTATCTTAGGCCCCATTACCGCCGCATCTCTCATTATACTTATATTCGACGATGACGACAACCGGGCACCACGGGATTCACGACGAGGCAACGGAGAGTCGTTCTACGATATTAGGGGCTGTGCAAATGTAACCTTAGATGGGGCGGATAGAGGGGCATGCGGTATCGAAGAGACATGCCGGAACTTTGCAGATGCTATGGAGGCCGGGTAAATGAGTGACGCCCAACGAGCAAGGTGCTCTAGCAGAGAGGCCGACCTAGACAGCTTCGTACCTAGGGGAGGAGTAGGATCATCAACACGATGTTGTATCCTCTCAGTGGTTACGCTTCCGGGTGACAGACATTGCAAGCTGGCTGCCGATCGTGCGGCATCTCTGGTAAAAGAATGAATGGGGGCAGTGCGGGGGGCTGAAAGCAAATGCGGAGTAGTTGGTGGGGGCCAGAGTAAAAGAAATGGGGTGGCGATGAGTGCAAGATAGCGAGGCAGAATAATGGGAAAGTGAGAGAAAGGGAGGAAAAGCAGCGAATAATCGTTTATGTAGGGCATTGAAGGTGAGTATTGGGACGATAAATCCCCAAAGCCAAAGCTAACCGGATGCAGTATTTGGCAGGTCCGCCGTTTACAACTATACAGGTTAAAAATGATAATGTATGTACCTAGGTAGCTATATTATATATTTAGCTTATTTATTATGTTTAACACCCAATTGGGTACCTACGGGTTTAGGTTTTCTAGTATGTATAACTCCCAGGGCCAAAACCCCAGGTTAGGTCCACCTGGGCAAGGTTTGGCCCTAAAACCTAACCCCAAAGTTGGGGCCGCCCCTAAGTTTACCTAATACTGTCATGCCGCATCTAATGGCCAATACCAGACTGCGACTGCGTAAGCTATTACTCACATTTATTGAATTGCACCTGGGTTGATGATGGATATGCCAACAATTAGCTTGGCAGTCCATGTGGAGTTGAAGACACTTGCGCTCAATACTCTGCATGTTTCTTGGACATCATTGACATATGTGGTTAGTTCAAGGCATACTGATCTATTTTAGAAAATTCACAGATCGACTCTACAACATACTACTATGGGTGGTCTAGAAAAATAGCACATTCAAAGCCTATAAATACTCGCCTAAACCTCTCAAATCAGACTAGTATTGCAACCCATCCACCTTCCACAACATCGAAAAGCCTCATTCAACTACCTGCTAGCAAATATGAAAGTCTTCACATCAATCTTTGTGCTAATGGCATTCGCTACCTCCCAGGCAATTGCCGCACCTGCAGGTAAGCCCCCGTCTCACTTTCAATCAAGTCCATTATTATGAGGCTATATTAATCAATTACAGCCACAGCTGCAGACCTGGAGACGCGTGCCGACTATTGCGTTGATATCGAAGTATGCCACGGCTACAACTTTGAGGGTGGCTGCTATCAAGAATGCAAGAGGCCTGGCGAGCCATACGATATCAGAAAGGAATGGCAGAAAAATGCCGGCTCGTTCAAAATTGGGACCCCGGGCTATAACTGTGCGATTGGATCGTGAGTTACCACCCAGGTCTGCTAAAAATAGGAGCTAATATATGTCAAGAATCAATGGAATCACGGACCCAGTAGACTACCCTGGGATCGGGAGACTTCAGGATGACTGGATCAACAACATTGAAGGATATCAGTGCACCAAAGTCTAAGGTATGGTGTCCTTCAAACATGACACATGCTGCCGAGGGGCTTAGAGGCTACGTCAACTGGCGAGGAAATGCTATTGGTAGATGGGTTGGCGAGGGAAGTTCAAATTGACTATACTACTGGTAACATGTCGTGATCTCTGGCTGCTAGTCAGTATGGGATTCACATTTCAATATTTCAATATGTATCTCGGACAGTTGGAGAATAACATGATTTCCCGTGGAAAGCCAGCAGGTCCACCAGGAAGTAATCGTGGGCTGAGAATCAATTCCAATATGGACACCAATCCCATGTAGTGATTGAACACTGAATAGTGTTCAAAGTCAGTGCCTCCATCCAGTTGCTCTCAATTCTTCGCTCACGAACGTGACCTGGTAGGGTTCTTCTGCCGTTCCCTCGCCGGGATAGTCGTGTGCGATCATCTCTACTGACACTGTAGCCGACTGGGCTATCCTTTTAGTTTATAGTATATTTTCTGTTGGGCCATTGAAGCTTATACAAGATGAACTGGGGATCTTGCATGATGAGAGTGGAGTATATACTCCGTAAGGCACGGGCCGAAAGACCTTAAAGCTGTTATTAGATAATTGTCCGAAGGTCGAGTACGTACCGGTAGATTTGTGAGTTATGCTTCGGGTCATTCGTATCCGAATTTCAGCATAAAATGAACCAGGGGAAAGATCATAACCCGTTAGGTCCGGTTAGGTCCGTTAACCCCCAGGAGATTGCTAGAGGTCTGACCATATTTGGTTTTTTGGGTATTTTCTTGCGTATTATGTGAAACTCAAACCCGACTTCTTTGTTTCGACATCAGCCTAGCAGGGATGTTTCCAACCATCCTTAGAAAAATGCTTGTGTCCGATACGCTTACCCGCATGGAGGGTTGTGGCGTTAAGCTGGACATCGATCATACCACGGACTTACCAGTCTACAAGCAAGAGAGAGCCATATATGCACTCCGATCTCAGATATAAAATTTCCGCCCCAGCCTAACTGAATCCTTTCTGGTAGATTCATACAATCACCATATCAAGGACCCATCCACTTCACATTCACCACCACAAAGATGAACCGGTCACTCTGGCAACATGAGGCAGGCGTGCCAGGAATCATCCGAGATAGTCCGATCCCCTCTCAAATTGCCGACGAAGAGATCGTGGTCAAAGTCCACGCCTGGGCGATGAACCCAGCGGATGCCATGGTCCAGGACATTGCCCTGCCGTTTATTAAATATCCCCTCATTCTAGGAGAGGACATCACCGGCACCGTGGAAAGTGTCGGATCCGTAGCCGCTACTAAATTCCAACCCGGTGATCGCATTCTTGGCTTGGCTCTCGGCGCAGCCGTGGCAAAGCCCGAACAGGGCGCCTTTCAGGACTACGTGATCCTAGATTACAATATGGCGTGCAAAATCCCAGATACTCTATCTTTCACCGATGCATCCGTCTTCCCACTCTGCATCGCGACTGCTGCGCAAGGATTATTTTCCAAGGAATATCTCGGTCTACCGTTCCCCTCGACTACCACCGCCCCAAACAGCACGGGCAAGTCCATCCTCATCTGGGGTGGCAGCTCAGGTGTCGGCAGCAATGCGACCCAGCTCTGCAAGGCGGCCGGCTTTGAGGTTGTCACAACCTGCTCTGCCCGTAACGCTGGGTACGTCAAAGACCTTGGTGCGGATAAGGTCTTCGACTACACCGACAAGGACGCCATTGACCAGGTCGCCACGGAGCTGGACAAGGGCGAGTGCATTGGTATTCTTCAAGCGGCAGGTGAGCCTAGCCCATCCTGCCAGGTCGCACACAAGTCCAAGCAAACACTGCGTGTAGCTGCCACCAACCCTGTCCCCGAAGGTGCCGCCTTAGAGGGTGTTGAGGCTAAGATGATCTTTGCCTCTGGGGGTGCTGTCATCTACCATGAGACCAACCCGGCTACTTTTGCGGGCTATCTACCCGAAGCATTGGCCAATGGCACCTACAAGGTTGCCCCTGCTCCGGAGACTGTTCCAACAAAGGGACTTGAGGGAATCCAGGAGGCTTTGGATGTCCTGAAGAAGGGTGTGTCGGCGAAGAAGTTGGTGACACTGGCGAACTAGATTGTTAAAATCCCTCTTTGTGCTTTGGTCCTATCTATTCAAGTCTGCTATTCTGGTCGGATAGCACCATTGTGGATCCGGGTACCTGTCCTTGGTGTGAGGGTTCTTTGGCTCAAAGTGTGACTAGCGAATCGGAGGATTTGAAATAGTTTATTGTGTACACACCTTCCGACGGTAGTCCGATATGTGCTTCATACCTCCGAATGAGGGTAGGAGATAATAGTCCATTCGGGATGTATGAAGAAAGATGATATTTCTCCATTGCATCTCAGTAGAAAGTACCATCTATATTCACATATAAGTGTCACCTTTAGGCCTTTTCAATTCGAGAAAACAGCATCTTTGTCATGGAATCGGCATACAACGAAACTGGGAAACTTCTCTCTGCGTCCTTGCACTCGTTCAAGTTGTTCGAATATGCAGCAATAAATATTGTCACCACCAGTATCCTTCTCATCACTACATTACTTATGTTCACATTTTACGCCGCCCTTCCAAAGCCAATTCCAGGTTTTCCCTATACACAAAAATCAAGATGGTCCCCATTTGGCGACGCAGTCGATTTTGTCAACTACACAAAACAAACAGGAGAAGTTTTCAGATGGTTCGCCACGAAAAGCCGAGAACTCCAAAGAAAGAAAGAGTTGTGACCAAAACAATATGCCTGTAAGAAGAAATGAGTATGGGAGGGGAAGGATACGTCAGCGGTTTCAGGGGTGTGTAGGATATTCAGGTGAACGGGCTGAATGTGGGCTGAAGAGCAGGGCGGCAAGAGGGACTTCCCAAAGAACAAAAAAGATTTAAAAAACAAAAACATACAACAGTGAGGATTCGCTGGTGGTCACCCACCCAACTACTAACTCACCGGCGTGTGGCTTAAGTACGGCTGAGCGGACGGGAAGCCCTGTTTTCCACACCCTATGGTCGTATGTGCTTGGTTATGTGTGGGAGAGAATCATAATATAAAATTATAGAAGCAATTGGTGTGTGAGTGAGATGCCCAGGTGGTGATGAGGGTGAGTGCGTACAATGTCATATAGATGGAAACTCAGGCTACCTTGGTAAGCGCCTAGGAGGTACACCTAAGTATTATGTGAGACATTTAACCGCTAGGGCAAAAGATCATAACAAAAATGGGAAGTTCTGATCATCACTGCAGCTATATGTATCAAGCCCTAAGATCTACTAGGAACCACATCAGTATATATACAATACGTATAAAATCAATACCTCGATATATCGTGTTGTACTCCTACCCCACAGATCATATCCGTAGCAAGCTGGTAATATATATCTACTCCAAGTGCCGGGTTATAGTATACAGATATGGGGTGTCCATCACCAGAAATTCCACATGGGGGGATATGAGCCTGGCTCACAATGTATAAATAAAACACCAATTATAACACCCCTTAGAAAGATGAGACCAGAAGAAAACCAAAATGTACCAAGCCTAGCCCCGAAAGTCACAAACCATAACCTAATTCGACTTCCCTGAAAACGAAACCAGAGCATGATAAGACTCCGTCAAAGGCCACAACCCCTGAGCAAAACCAACGGCTCCAGCAACAAGAAGCACATAATAAGCAACCGTCCACCCAATACCCAATTCACCACTATTACCACTGACCCCAATTTTGACATTAGCATCATCAGAATCCTCTTTACCCCGAGTCATAGGAGGACTAATAGTCTCAACCGCCTCAACGCGTCCCCAGAACCGCGGCAATCCACACCAGTTACAGAAACTATGGATGAGAACAACGGACAGCAACGAGCCGGTCCGCAAATACACGAAGGTCGCATACCAGCCGAAGATAGTCGTGTAGCCGAACTGGAAGAGCGACCGCAGCAGCGCGGCTACAGCCGGCGTGTCCGGGTGGGTGAGACCGAACTCGTAGAAGTGATGCACGTGCGCGATACCGAAATACAGCGGCGCCAGGAACACGATTCGGCCCGGCGACGTGTGTGCTAGCAAATGTAGCGGGACCATCGCGGATCGGAACATGACTTCTTCGGTAAAGGGGCCCTGAGTGATATTAGATATGCTTTTTGATATAAAAAAAAGGGACAGAAAAGAAAAAGCAAAGAAAAGAAAAGAAGGGAAAAAAGAGGAAAAAGGAAGTGCTTACCGCAACATAATTCCTCCAACCAATCCAGCCACCCAGGCACTCGGAGAGGCTACTACGACGGAACCAGAACTTCCATTCACCCTCGACAATGCCACGCTCGAAGAGCGGACCGAGGAATAGAATGGCGGTTAGGAGAAGACTCCGCAGTGTCTCTAGCAGGCCGACGGGCCACCAGCCGAGGAGTCTGACACCGGCACCGAGGGAGGAATTATCTCCCTCAACGATGAGCCAGAGGACTAGAACGGAGCTCACGATACATGACCCCGTGACGGCGCGGATTCGGGCACGGATCACGGACGGGGCATCGCGACTGAGACTTGGGGATGGGCGGGTTGTTGGAGAGAGATAGAATGGCACCACGTAGAGTAGTGTGAGAAGGACCTGTATGGGAGTTAGATATGATTTAGAGAGATGTATGTTTTTTTTTTTTTCTTCTTCTTTCTTCTTTCTTCTTTTCTGGTGTTTCTAGGAGTTCTACATACAGATAGAAAAGCGACCGTGTGCTCTGACAGGGCAGGTTCATCTGGTTTCGTGTTAGTGATAATTCTTTTTTTAGTTTTACCCCTGACTTACCCTGCTTGGAGTATAGACTCCTGAGTTGAGCCATTATCCCTACGGGGGCCATGATCCGAGGAGGTTCAAGTTGCTATTTATGGATTTTCAGAGGAGAGAGGAAAAGGAAGGGGAAGTGTTCTTTGTTCCTGATACGGTACAATTATACAGATGATGATTGGATAGAGATGTTATAATACAGTATGGTATTGTCATCATACACTATGAACTGAGACAGGGGGATATCAATGTCAATTTCCTGCGATTGTTCTTTTTCTTTTCTTCTTTTCTTCTTTTTGACATCAAACATCCATTTCATTCTATATATACACTTATACAAGTATAAACAGTTCACGAAATGACCAGGGTTCCTGGAAAAAGCAAAACCGGATTCGAACGGGTGGACCGTGCAAAAAGAAAAAAAAAAAACAGGATGTGAGCTCTCTCATCCCAGCCCCCTTGAGTCTCTTCTCATCAAATGTGAGTCAATGCGAGGGATCGTGGACAGTTATTCTCCGATCACGAGGAACCGAATATCTATTGGCAATGAACATCTCATTATTGTTCTGTTCTGCGTGTTCTGCCCATTTCTGCCAGGGAGATGCGCTATCAACTAGTGGCAGTTCATCACGGCCAACGCACACTGGCTCCACCTAACACAAGCGATTAAATAAGGAAAGGTGTTTCAAGGAGTCAAGTGTGGCTCTGGCCGGATACTCCGCAATAAATAACATTAAATATGGATTTGATATATATCAAAGATAATAGCCCATGTGCCGAGGATTACCTTGTATAGAAAATATCAACACAACAACCAGAACAACCAGAACAACCAGAATCAAGAACCAAAAAAAGACAAAACCAATTGAATTGCTTCAATTCCAATTGTCCACTTGCAGGAGTACTTTTGTTCGAGGCCAATCGTTAAGAGCCACACCTGTCAATCCCCTGCATCCCCCACGGGTCTAAGATCTCACTTGCTTAGACGCTCACCGCTGGCCAAAATTCCTCCCTTCCCAAGTGTCTCACGTTCTCTGCTTCTGCTTTTCTCTGCTCGTCGTGTGCTTTTTTGTCCCTTTTTGTTGTTTTGAAACGTTTTAATGATTGTTTTTCCGCCAGTCACTCTTTTAATGGCTTTGGATGTTTGAAACGAACTAATCTCTGACGAACCTCTGCAACGTCTACCCACGCTCTTTTTCGATGAACATCAGCCTATAGATTCCTTGATATCCAAGGGCCACATTCCTTACCTCGAACATTCGAATACTCGGGAAAAACAAAACAATCCACTCTTTTGACACCTTGTTTACACATTTGGCTTCGACAATTGCCTTCGCCTTCGCTTTTGCTTTTCGATCTTTGCAATCAATGCTCTAAGTGTCTCCAAATAATGTCTGTTCCCGTTCGGTCGACCTCGCCACGCGCGCGAAGGGCATTACACGAGCGGACTCCCTCTCACTCAAATGAAAGATCGCCAACCCGCTCATTGCGCATGGTTCCCGATGAAAACCTCGATATGTACACCGCGACTCCATTCCCGACCAAGCCCGAGCAGATCCTGTTGCCGCTCCCAGGGAGACAACAACAATACATATCAGACACCGGTTTCAGCTATTCAGACCACCTCGGACCATCCACCTCAGCGTATTCCCCACCGACTTTCAGCCAACCCACACCTAACAGCCCCAGAGATCACTCAATCGGTAGCTGGGATGTATCCTCCACCGTGGATACCGGTAACTCGCCTCCGCAATTGTGGGATGATGATCCATCCTCAAGCAAGTCATCGCTGCCAGACGGTTCGGGGAAAGCACCAGACTATGGGTCCGAGAGTTCAGAAGCCGAGTTCTCCGACGACGATATGATGGTCTTGCCGACGACCACCCCAACCATAAAAGCCGTAATCTCCGAGCCATCCATGTCGCCAAAGTCCTCTGCCGAGTCCGTAACGGACTACTCCAGCCCCATCCTCGAACAAATCGGGGCCCCGTCAAGTCCCAACTTTGTTATGCTGGATAACTCGAGCATGAACTTCCACCGTCCGGGTACAGCATCCTCGGAGTCAGACCCACGAACGAACTCACTCTCTTCATATAACTCCCGAGGAACCGTCGTCAGACACGTCGGCTCTGCACCCTGGTTCCAAAATGCCTTTCAACCAGCCTCATCCGAGCAATCCTATGGATCCCCGTCATTCCATTCCAGCCCGCCCACTCAGTCAATAGCCTCATTCCACTCGAGTCCGCTCGCCCAATCCATAGCCTCGTTCCACTCGTCATCCAGGGCACCATCAGGCAGCCATTCCCAATCAGCAAGATCATCTTCTCGCAGTCTCCGCTCCGCTTCTGACTTGCAGGCAGCCATCGACAATGGAGTTCCTATTCAATACCCACGTATTCGCGCGCCATCATCTTCAAGCTCCCGCGCCGGTACATCAGCTCCATCAGAACGCGACTTCACCCCTGGTCCTGCCTCTGGACGTTGCAACCCCCACCTGGCATCGGGTCGCTGGAACCCGCATCTATCAACAGTCTCCTCCATCTGGTCCGCCGATGAATTAACCAACCTCGCTGGCGAACCAGACACAGACTCGGACCGCGAAATGGCAGAGCCCACTCCACCGCCACAAGCAGCCCTGGCAACGGAAACCACCAGATCCTCCGTCTGGCTCGTCGACCCGTCAAACGACAGCGAAGACGAACGCCTCGACAGCCTAACCAAACTCCCCACCCGTCCAATCTTCTCCCAAAGCCTCTCCTCGGGCTCAAAACGGAGCAACAGCACCCGCAGCCTCCAACGCCCAGGAACCGGTTCAAGCACAATCCTTAATATCCTCCCAACATGGGCAAAAGTCTACTACCTCCGCGAACCAATGGGTCTAAACTCAACTCTCTCAATGATAGACGCTAGTCGTCCACCATCAACTAGACCCGGAACTTCAAACTCCAGCGTCTTCAGCTTAGTCCCAGGACCCCTCAATATCCCCCGTCCCCGCTCCCCAGAACATACCCGTCCTCCCTCCCCACAACGCAACCCCCAACCAATCCCCCAACGCCGGCTGGACAGCGACCCCCGCGATCCACGCGCCCACTGGGTCCCATCCCCGCAACCTGAAGACGGCGAGTTTACCGGCAGCCACCTCCACCGTCTCCGACACAGTTGGTCACCACATCTCGTGCCCGACCGACGTGTTGTACAACAGTCGACAAGTCGGTGGCGTCCGCCATCGCTCGACTCGCGCTACGAGCCTGTCCTCGGCCGTCGAAATATACAGGTCTATTCATTCTGTCTGGGATTCATTTTCCCACCTGCCTGGTGTGTGGCAGCGTTCCTGCCCCTGCCGCCTAAACCCAAGGTTCCGCAGATGATTGAGTTCGAGGCTGGGTCGGATGTTGGTAATGCGCTCGAGGCTCAATGTGTCAATTTGCAGCAACGGAGGAGGGACAATGCGCGTTGGTGGAGGAATCTTAATCGATGGATGATTTCTCTGGGTGTGATTATTCTGGTTATTATTATTGTGCTGGCTGTTATTGGCACTACCTCGGGTTTTTAGGGTTATTTACAGCGATCTTTTTCTTTTTACGCTCTTACGACTTGGACTTCCTTTCACCATTTGACACTTATCTTTGATGCTTTTCTTTTCTTTTTCTTCGGGATTGAGTTCCCTCAAACCAGTCGACTGGTTTCTTTTTCTCCTTGCTCTTCACTGATCCTGCAGACACTGTCTCCTTACAGCGATCTTTTTCTCTTCTTTTGATTATTGACTATTCAGCCTCCCCCTTTCTTCTTCTTCTTCTTCTTCTTCTTCTTCTTCTTCTTCTTCTTCTTCTTCTTCTTCTTCTTCTTCTCCTTTTCATTCTTTCTCTTCTCAGCCTGCACATTTCTGAACGACTCCACGACTTCAACGCACATAAATATCCTCTTTTCTGTTTTACATTTTTCTCGTTTCAACATTGGCCTACTGACTGGCTTCATATGTTTGCTGGAATTGCGTTTCTATGCATGGCGACTGCCTTGGTTTGCATTGCTATACGTCCGTGTAATGGATATATGTTTCTTGTTGTTATTTTGCTTTTTACTTGACTTCAAAGGTTGAATCTGGTTTTTTACCACACTCATACGCATATACTCATTCTCTGCTACTTTACTCTTCTCTTTAGCATTCAATGTTGTATCACCATTCACTTATGATATATACTCAACTCCACTGAAAGTAACTGTAATCGAATCAAAGCTTGCTATGCCAAGCGCAACCCATCTATAGACATCTCAGACCCAGTCGAGACCAATCTCGACCAAGTCACCACTATTAAATAGAATAAACACGAAACACTCCTAATTATTGTTTTATAAAGCCGATCCAACGGCTATTCCACCCACCCTTTATCCAATGAACTCACCACTCACTCAGACCAAAACTGACAACTCCCACCTACAACTTCCGGCCAATCTTCTGCTCAACAGCAGCCTTCAACTCCTCACCAGTAGGCATCTTAACCGTACTTCCCCGTCTACCACGGGACTCAATCTCGGCTTTGATCTCAGCAACAGCCTCGTCAAAGTCACGCTCGGGATCATTCGGCAAGCCGAGGACAGGTGGGCGCACGGACTCGGTGCTAGCAGTGCGAGCGACGTGGGGACGGTTGCGGCTCTTCAGCTTCGAGACGAGGTATTTTCTAAGCGGAGAGAAGGAGGCGAAGGCGACTAGGGAGACGGCGCAGTTGACGATGCCGTAGAAGTAGACGCGAGACCAGACGGTGACGGACTTGTCGAAGTTGAGGATGATGAACGGGATGACGGTGAAGGAGAGGGTCAACTGTGTTGCTAGCCAGCTGAGGATGTCGTAGTAGCGCTTGTTTGCAGTTGGCTTGGTGCCGTCCGGTGTGAGGAAGAAGGGGCGCACGTAGCGGCGGAAGTCTATTATGTGGTTAGTTATGGGAAGAGGGTTGCTCGATGGAGATGTTCTGGGTGCTTACTCTTTGCCACGGTCTGAACGAATGAGCCTAACACAAAAGTCATGTAGTATCCTGGGTGGAAACCGTGCCAGAGGGCACTGGTAGCAAAAGTGGCCATGCTGGCGCGGAAGCCGGGCTTCTTGCCCTTGGGCGTGACCCGGAGGTAGATGTAATTCCGCAACCAGTGGTTGGTGTTCTTGTTCCAGTTGCCCAGGTATGCGTGCGAGTTTTGCGCAGTCTCCATGGCCCACGGATCGACGTTCTGCAGTCGGTTCCAGAAAACCTTGCCTGTCTTCGGGTCGAAGCTGTTGTATCCCATGCCGGATAGAATACAGGCACCCTCGGTCAGAGCCCAGACACCGTAGTACTTGGTGCGAGCAGTGAAACCAAGCATGTGTACGGTGAGAATGCGACGCAGGAAGGAATACTGCAAGAACTCGTCTGAAAGTACAAAGTCGGTGGTAAAGTATGAGTTCAGCTGGATGAACGCCAAGATCCAGACCAGTCCGGCGGCGGCCTTCATTGCAGCAGGTCTTCCACTGCGAGGGATCTTGCGCTTCTTTCTGGTGGGTGGCACCTTGGATGGGTCAGTGCCTGGGGGTACTTCGAAGAGCGTAGTGTCGATCCAGCGGCGGTAGTCCACATATTCAAAGGAAGGACCAGCGAAGAGAGAAGGGAAGAAAAAGACGTAGCCCAGATAGTCTACAATACTTGGGAACTTCGTAATAGCAGAGTACTTCTGCGCGTCCGAGAGTTGGTCCTTGGGCAGACGGCCGTCATGAACATTCCAGCAGAAGGAGGTAAGTTTCATGACCATGACCATCTGCGCTCCAGTAATGTCAACGGCCGATTTGTCGTCCGCTCTCTGACGCTCGATGTGGTTAATTGACATGTGACCCATCAGATAAACGAATCCAATCCAGGGCATCAATGATCCGTCCACGTAGTAGGCAATCGCATAGGTGGCTGCGGCACTGTATAGTAGGGTTCGTAGACCATCCCAGAGGTCGAAGAGTCCAACAATATAGAACAGCGACACAGCGATAATGAAGACATTCTTTTTCCAGGGTTGGCCATCGGGAATACGTTTGAGGAGGGCCGCCAGTGGGTAGGAGAGGAGGAACGAGCCGATCAGCTTGACTGGAGCTGGGGGTCAGAAATTGCTAGTAAAGTCGGGGGCTTATGGAAATGGAAGATCGTACGCTCATCAGTCGATGCGCCAGTCAGTTGAGCGGGCACCTCAAATACTGCGGGGGAGAAGTGTTAGTTGGACCGAGGAGCTTGGGAGAGTATGAGGTAGACATACTCTGATCTACATAAGGCAACATATTGTTGACCTTGTAGAGGAGAAAACAGACAAAACAAGAAGAAGAATCAGAAGAAACAGACAAGAGTGAAGAAAAGAAAAAAAAGAAAGAAGAAACTCCCCAAAAAAAGAGGTGAAGAAGGGAAAAAAAGAAAAACAGCTTGTCATGTGGAAAGTGGAAATTCCACCCCCAACAACTCTTCCCGCCCTCTCCACATTCAACCCCTCGATCTTCAACAGCTTCAACAGCTCCAACAGCTTCAATCAGGAGCTAAAATAATACGTTGAGAACTTACTTCCTGAAATCTCACCCACCATGGACGTCGTCGCGACTGCCTCGGGGTACATCTCCAAGATGGTCACCGTGGGTGAGGCCGCAGGAGCGTCGTCATCCAAGATGAAGATCTTGCTTCTTGATAGTGAGACAGTGGGTGATTTTACCTAGCTAGCAATATACTCATATAGATCGCTAATTACTATCGTGATAGGTCCCTATTGTTTCGACCGCAATTACCCAATCCGCCCTCCTCAATCATGAGGTCTACCTCATTGACCGCTTAGACAATGCTGCGCGCGAGAAGATGCGACATCTACGATGCCTGTGCTTTGTGCGCCCATCACCCACATCTATTCAGTTTTTGATCGACGAGCTTCGAGAACCCAAATATGGCGAATATTACATCTATCTTAGCAACATTATCCGCAAATCCGCCCTCGAGCGGCTTGCAGAAGCGGACAGCCACGAGGTCGTCCAGTTGGTCCAGGAACAGTTCGCCGATTTCCTCGTAATCAACCCGGACCTCTGCTCTTTAGGGATGGGTTTCCCATTGCAACGGATCTGGAGCCATTCGCCGGACTTATGGAACCCGGATTCACTACAAAGAGCCACAGAGGGGGTCCTGGCCCTGCTTCTCGCCTTGAAGAAGAATCCACTTATTCGCTACGAGAAGAACAGTCTATTGGCCCGGAAATTAGCGACGGAGGTCCGATACCACATCACGCAGGAGGAGCAGCTATTTAACTTCCGCCGGACGGATACACCGCCTATCCTGCTCGTTCTTGACCGCCGCGATGATCCCATCACCCCGTTGCTGACTCAATGGACATACCAGGCGATGGTACATGAGATGCTTGGCATCAACAATGGCCGCGTGGATCTGCAGGATGTGCCAGATATCCGACCAGAACTGAAAGAGATTGTCCTGGCTCAGGATCAGGACCCATTCTTCAAGAAGAATATGTACCAGAACTTTGGTGATCTGGGCCAGAACATTAAGGAATATGTGGAGCAGTATCAAACCAAAACGCAAAGCACTGCGAATATCGAATCCATTGCAGACATGAAACGTTTTGTGGAGGATTATCCCGAATTCCGCAAGCTGGCAGGTAATGTGAGCAAGCACGTTACCCTGGTGGGCGAACTCAGTCGGCGTGTCGGTGAGGATACTCTCCTCGATGTGAGCGAGTTGGAGCAGAGCCTGGCATGCAATGATAACCACTCCAATGATCTTAGGGTATGTTTCAATTGTCAAAACTGATTATGCTTTGCTCACGAACTTACTCTTCTCCAGTCACTACAACGAATCATTGGGTTGCCAAATGTCCCCTCAGATAATAAGCTGCGTCTGGTGGCACTCTACGCCCTTCGCTATGAGAAGCAACCGAACAACGCGTTGCCAATCCTCCTTGATCTTCTTGTCACAGCAGGCGAAGTCCCATCTAACCGCGTAAATATTATCCCCAAGCTCCTCGCCTATCACCACTCTCTCCAAGCTCCACCAGTCGCAGGCGGGTTCTCCGATCTTTTCGAATCAACCTCCTTCTTTTCCGGCGCAAGCAGCCGCTTTAAGGGCCTTAAAGGTGTCGAGAACGTTTACACGCAACACTCCCCGCGACTGGAAGTGACTCTTCAAAATCTCATCAAAGGCCGCCTGAAGGAACTGCAGTACCCCTTCCTCGAGGGTAGTGGACACACGCGGGACAAGCCGCAAGATATCATCATCTTTATGGTTGGTGGCACCACATATGAGGAGGCCAAAATGGTAGCGCAGGTTAATGCCAGCTCCCCGGGTGTGCGAGTCGTTCTCGGCGGCACATCCATTCACAATAGTGCAACTTTCTTGGAAGAGGTTGACGATGCAGTGGGCAATTGGCCCGAACCAGGACCCTCGACAGCTGCGGGACGGCTACGACGGGAGGTGGGACGATAATTGTGTTTTAGAGTGTATATGGGTAATGGAATAACATTAGATCAAGTAAATCTGGCAAATGAGAGTCAATTTTACAGGAAATCGAAAAGAAAATAGCTGACGGCAACGTATTAAGGCAACTTATTTCGCATTTGTCGCTGTCGCCTTCCGTAGAGAGCAAAGACCCCAAAATGCGGAGAGATTCATCTTCCTCTTTTCTCCCCACATCTGACACACATCAATGGAGCAAACATCCCCAAAAGGAGGGCCCTCCTCACCACCACCCCGCGAACCAAGACTCCATCTCCCTTCAACAACCGATCCACCGGGCCCCCAGAATCCCGCCAAACCTCTCGTATGGCTGGTATACATCCCCATCCCCCCACCAACAAAAACCCCACCCTCAAACACAAACTCACACACATACTCCCCAGATCTTCGGCGCAACCGGGCACATGGGTCGCTCCCTAGTAAAAACCGCCCTCAGCAATAACGACCTAGTAGCAGCCGTCGGACGCACCTACGAGAATAGCCCGGCAGCAATGAAAGAGCTCGAATCCCCCAACTGCATCGGCCTCCTCTGCGACGTACGAGCACGCGAGACCGTAAAACGCGTAATCGACCAAACAATATCCCACTTCGGCCGAATCGACATAATCGCCAATTGCTCCGGCTACGGCGTCATCGGCGCCTGCGAAGACCAAGACGAATTCGACATCCGAAACCAATTCGAAACAAACTTCACAGGAACACTGAACATGATCCAGCTATCTTTACCACATTTCCGTCAGCGGCGCGCAGGCAGATATCTCATCTTCAGCTCGACGTCTGGTGCCCTCGGCGTGCCGGGACTTGGTCCATACTGTGCTTCCAAATATGCCGTTGAGGGCTTGATGGAGAGTATGTTGTACGAGGTGGATAGTTTTAATATTAAGGGTACGCTCGTTGAACCGGGTCATATGCGTCGTGATGATATTGCGGATTTGGTTTCCCCGCAGGCGCCGAACCCTTCGGAACATCAGCTTTCGGCGCCTTTGCCGCTTTACGGGCATTTCTTGGTTAAGCCGCCCAGTGAGCCGTATAATACGACTACGTCGCCCGCGGCACATGCAAGGCGCATGCTTATGTGGCTTGGTGATAAGCAGCCGGCTAGTGCAGTCAAGGCCGCGCATTTGGTTTGGCAGCTTGGGCATTGCTCTTATCCGCCTCTGAGGTTGATTTTGGGTACGTATGCGGTTGAGAGTGTGCGGGATCGGTTGAAGTGTATTATTGAGGAAATTGAGGATTGGAAATATCTTAGTTTCCCCACGGGTGATACGCAGCTGCCGGTTAGGAGTGAGCGGGAGAGGTCTTCGTTTCAGGAGGGGGCTGAAGGGGCGAGTGGATTGGGTAATGGGTGATTCTGTTGGAATTTATCAATGTCTTATATGTTATGTGATACCCCCAATATGATACCCAAACCTGATCAAGGAGCTTTTTTCAGATAGCCGACCTGCATATTCCTATAGGGGGTGACGCGAATCTCACAGCTAGAGGTGATTGTAACGTTGGAGTCTTTGTACCAAAAGAATCGTGAAGTATACAGGCAAGGGTATGACGAAGGAAATGATTGAAATTGGCAGAGGAGCGATGGTATATTTGGGTACCTTATTTGTTTTCCAAAACAGAAAATAACCAAGTGAGAAGAGAAAGCTCTATACAATACCTATCACAAATAATATACATGTCTATCCAAGGTGGTAGTACAAATCCCACATCTAATGGGAAATCAGAAAACAACATTAACAAGTTTACCCCCCCTTAACAACAATAACCCGCCGTCTCTTTTCCCAATCATTCTTCTCCTTCAGCCACGACTTCCCCTCAGCAGTCTCCAACACTCGACTAACAATCCAATCCTGTTCTTCCTGCGAAGGGGCATTCTTGCCCTGCGGCGCTGTCGTTGACCCCATGCGCGGGATTGTTACCGCACAGCGTAGTTTTCCGTTGATCTGCACGGCGACTGTTTGGCCACCGCGAGAGGAGAGGGTTTCGGCTTGGTCCGGTGTGAGGAGGGTGCTTGGCCAGGGTGATGAAAGGATTGATGGTACTGGTGCTGTAGAGGTGTTTGTGGTTGTGTGTAGCACTTCCCATGATTCAGAGGCCAAGGCTGGGGCGATGGGGGCTAGTAGACGGAGGAGGGATGAGATGGATAGGTATAGGATGAGAGGGGAGGAGGCGGGGGTTGAGGCAAGAGTGTTGGTCAGCTTGGTTAGGTCTGAGATGACTGTGTTCAGACCGTAGGGGTTGCTTTCGATGCAGGTCGTGACGGATGCGATGGTGTTGTGGGTGGCTAGGACTGCGTCTGCGTCGGAGTCGCTTAGGTCCTGGAGTGATGATGGGAGGGGAGCGACGTGAGTAGTGGATGATTTCAGATCTGCTTCCGAGACGGAGAATGATGCCTCCGTCAGAGTCTGCTGGGCGTCTTGGACGAGTTTCCAGAGTCGGTTGAACCAGCGCTCGACGCCGACGACCTTGGTTTCATCCCATTCTAGAACCTCACTGACTGGTGCGGAGAACAGGATGTGTGCGCGAGTAGCGTCGGCGCCGTACTTTGATGTGGTGGTGGTAGGATCCACACCGTTGTACTTGCTCTTGGACATCTTTTCAAAGGAGATGTTAGGGGCAACTTGGGTTCCCTTTATCAAAGGCTTGTCTGGATTGGTTAGGTCAACTTCCCCCGGGAGAAGGAAGCGGCCGGTCGAGGGTTCAGTGAAAGTCTTTCCGTGGACCATGCCCTGGCTGAGAAGCACTTTGAACGGTTCTGCGGGTGCAGTAGAGTTCTTATTTGGGCTCAGCTCAGACTGAGAGAGGAATTTGTAGATAAATCGAGCGTAGAGAAGATGCAGGATGGCATGTTCAACTCCACCGATGTACACATCTACCGGCTGCATCACCGCAGGAGAGAATGGGGATGCCTTGTTGGCAGAGTCCAAGAACCGCAAGAAATACCAGGATGAGTCCACGAAGGTGTCCATGGTATCTGTGTCGCGTCGAGCGGGACCATTGCAACTGGGGCATGTTGTGTGCAGCCATTCTTCTGAGGATTCCAGGGGGTTTCCCTTCTTTCCCTTGAGCCACTCTCCTTCGATCTTCGGCAGCTGCACTGGAAGGTCCTTGTCAGGCACCGGCACAGGACCACAGTCCCCGCAGTGGATAATGGGAATGGGCGCACCCCAGTATCGCTGACGACTGATCAACCAATCCCGCAGACGCCAGCTCTCGACGAAAGCAGCCTGGCCGACCTGCTCCAGGTCATTGACAATCAATTTTGATGCCTCCTTGGAGTGTAATCCTTGGTACTTTCCGCAGCGCGAGGTCAGGAATCCCTCTTGAGTGAAAGCCTTTGTTTCTGATGGGACAACACTGCCGTTTTCCTCGCTGCCACTTGGCTCAGCCTCGATAACAATAGGGATCGAGTCGGGATTGACATTTTCCTTGAAGAACATCATGTCTCTGGTATCATGGCCCGGAACACCCATGACTGCTCCCTCGCCATAATCGCTAAGGACGTAAGGAGCCACGAAGACAGGAAGCTTCCTGAGCAAGTGGGGGGTTTCTGTATCGATCTTGCACAACGGATGAGACACCTCAATGTCGGGCAGCCGGTATCCTGCTTTGGAGTCCGGTGCAAGCGATGATGCGTCACTCAGGAATTTGCGAAGCGCCTCGTCTTTCTCCGCGGCCTTCAACACAATAGGATGATTCAACGAGAGTGCCAAATATTCCACACCATACAAAGTGTCTGGCCGGGTAGTGAATACATTCACATCGACTTGGTCATCCCGTCCGATGGTCACAGGGAATGTGACCTTGGCACCATAAGACTTCCCAAGCCAATTGCGTTGCATCGACAGGACACGCTCCGGCCACCCCCCGGCAAGAGAATCAAGGTCTTTCAGAAGTGCTTCCTTGAAATCAGTAATCTTAAAGAACCACTGCTTCAGGTTCAACTTCTCAACCTTAGCCCCAGACCTCCAGGAGAATCCATTGGCATCAACCTGGACAAAAAATTAGATCAAATCAAAAGTCACCCTCTGATCCCGACTCACCTGCTCATTTGCCAAAACAGTCTTATCGACAGGATCGTAATTAACCAACGCCTCCGCCTGATATGCCAAATTCTTTTGATACAACATCAAAAAGATGCGCTGAGTATGCTCATAGAAATCCGGGGAGCACGTAGCCAGTTCCTATCCATAAGTATCAATTAGCCATCCATCCCAACCAACCCGCCGAATCCAAGTAATCAACACAAACATACCCGATCCCAATCGAACTCGGCCGAAATGCACCTCAATTGCTCCTTCATTTTCGAAATATTCGCGTATGTCCACACCGCAGGATCAATCCCCCTCTCGATCGCCGCGTTCTCCGCCGGCAGTCCAAATGCGTCCCACCCCATAGGATGGAGCACGTCATGTCCGCGCATTTTATAGAACCGTGAGATCACATCGGAGATCGTGTATACGCGCAAATGGCCCATGTGCAGCGTCCCGGACGGGTATGGGAACATGGATAGGATGTAGGATTTGGGTTTCGCTGTTGCATTGGGTGTTGGGCGCGGCGCTGCGCGATCGCTTTCCCATTTTGCCTGCCATTTTTTGTCGAGTGCTGGCAGGTCCAGTCGGCGGGCTGAGGTGCTGGATAGTCGGGTTAGGGTATAGACTGGTGAGAGGGCTCGCAAGGTTGGACGCGCATGAATGCGGCCAGGCGCGATGGCGCTGGTTAATCGGAGTCGGGAGAGGGATTGCATGGCTGGCTGATCATTATGTGGCTGATATATTTGGAGATCGGAGTATTAATTGGAGTAATTGACCATGTCTGCGATTTGAAGGTGTGACTTGTTCCAATTGCGCATCTTCAAAACTTCCCCGGAGCCCGGGTAGCTTTAGCCCCGATTTGGACTAGCGCATCAGCACTTATACTTCCAAGGTTTGCACAATCTTTCGAGAAGTCTTGATGCCGAGGTCCTTTGTGATAATTGTAGGGAATTGATCTTTTGACAATGTTTTTCATGTTCAATGGATATACATATCCCGTATTGGAAATCACTATGTATCATACACTCTACTCTTTCCGATTCCTAGGTCTAAGTCTATATTCTCAAAATATCACCACTCCTATCAATGCCACCGCGGAAATGATCCGTAACTACTTTCCCGCCGAGAATAGTCTCCTCGACAAGCCCCTCCACATGCTTGGGCTCAATGCGGCCGTACCAAATCCCCTTACCCGCCAGCGGGTGAGGCTCTGAAGAAGTTCCCACCGTCATCTTCGGCGGGATATAGACAATCACATTGCCTGCATATTTATGTCCCCCAACATGGCTGATCAACCCGATATTAGCGTGGTTGGGGCCATCCACCGTGGTCCCATCACTGCCCGCGGAAGTGAATCCTCGCGCTTGCAACACGCGCTTGAACTCGCTTTCTAAGGCCGGGGCCATGACACCACAGCGCATGTCACGACCTCCATGTCCGCATATTAACACAGTCGGGGAGTGGCTGATGTCGATTACTCCCGGGAAGTTTGATGCTAGGTCCGGAGATCGGGTCATGTCTGCTTGTTTGGCTGGGGGAGAGAGGGAGTGCATGTCGTGGAGTCGTTCGGGGAGAAGATATGCGCGTACGAAGGTCGTTAGATCGGTTGTTTGGTCGGGAGATGAGGTCTTGTTCACGGGTATTGAGGGGATGTATTTGAAGCTGGGGAAGAGGAATGCCGAGGCAGAGGCGGGAGAGGAGCTTGCAGCTGGCGCAATAGACGAATTCGTAACCAAGACATTATTGAAAGGCTAAAGTGAGGAGAGCTCGTATCAGCAAGAGTTCGCGCATTCATTATCGGGCTATATGATCCACTTACATCAAGATATGGCCCGCCACGACCCAAAAGACTCTTCAATCCTCTCACGAGGTTGCCCCAGCCTTTGTTTTCGCCATCATTCTCAATGCGACTCGTCCAGTCCGGTTGTCCTGTGCAGATGAGAAGCTGCTGCGCGTAGGCAACCATCGTTCCGTTCAAGGCTTGTTCATGATCGATCGGTAACCCCTCCGGCAGGGCGGGCGTGGGTGGACAATTGCAGCTTGGTTCCGGACATATCTTGGTAACAGGGAAGGGAGGAGGGATTTCCAGGCGCACGCGGTGTCTGCTGCTACGCTGAGGGGTACTGGACAATAGGCGGATGATTTGGTAGTTGCGATAGGTTCGCCCGCTCCGGGCGCGCGTGAGCGATTGCGCGAGTATTGGTTGCATCAAAAGTTATGGCCTTGGATTATGGCCTTTGATAAATCGGTAGAAAGGGGATAAATTCAAAGGACACAATGTCCAGAAAATAAAAGAGAGGTGAATCTTGAAATGTCCGAGTGCCGAGTCCGAGAAATCGGATATTCGGAGATTATCAATCGCCGCCGTTGATTCGTTGGATCTGTAGATCTAAACAATTCCAATGTTATTCGACTATCTACTATAACATTTACAACATAGTTATTGTCGCAATATTCCCAATCGTCCTCATTATCACTGCCAATCAGAATCCCTTCCACAAATCGACCAACAAATTTTAATAATCTCGCGTTCGAGGAATATAATGAGCCCCCCAGAGTTGGTAAATCTCAGCATTAACGCAATTTATGGCGAACGACAACGACCGAGACGGATCAATCATTGGAATTGGAGTTCAGATCCTGGATTAATATATCAGTGGACACTTAGGGTGTTTAAGTTGAAACCCGCTAAGACAAATGCAAACTCCATCCGGGTTGATTTCGCTAGAAAAGGAAATCATCAGTCACTAGTAGAAAGGGCCTCAGTAATACTCGGGTATAATTGCTGTGAGATTAAAGTTGCAGCTCGATCTCCTTTTTTGAAGAAGAATGTGACAACAGCAGCCACAGTAGCGCCTGTGGAAGATCCCATGATCCCGATAAAAGGACCATGTCTCTCAAGAATATCAGAGAACAATGTTGGCATTTGAACCTGAATCTTTGGTAAATGAGCTTCCCTGATTTTCCATGGTATCTAATGATTCTGGCAGGCTGGTGTGCGCTGAGCATATATCTACTCGCGCAAGCAGACCCGCTTGGTTCCTTCGTTGTCTTGGACGATCCCAATTGAGGGTATCAAAATAAAATATGGTTCGATGGCAAGTCTTTGCAGGTCCTAAGTCTTCAGTTATGAAGGTCGTGTGTTGCAACCTCATGCCAGCTGAGGAACATGGTCTTCCTGCGGTTCAGGTTGCCCCAGGACAATTGTGCGGGATATTCAGCGCATACATGTTCGGAAGACGACCCTGTACTCACACAGAAATACCACAAGAAGGGTGATTATAATGAGCCTATGGTTCTCCTGTAAATGGCGAGGTTTTGTATGAAGTCTTTGCTGAGGTGGAGGCAGTTCACCAGTTGGTTGGCGGATCTGGCTCATTCGGGCTCGTCCGGGGCTGACTATGAATGTGTCAAATAGGACAGAGATGTCAATATGTGGTTATGTATGATTTTCGACGGGTTGAAGATTGTAAACTCTCTGGATTCTAAATGAAATCACTTCACGATTCCATATTGCTGGCGATAGCACGCGGAAACGGAAGTCCGAAGGTGACGAATCGAATTGAATGACCCCCGCACTGATCATGCGACAATACGATATGCGCCAAAGCCCCGAGCGGACCGTCACATCATGTCTGCAACTTCCAGCCAAATTTCATGCTGATTGTTTTGATCGGTTGCATGGATCGAAATTCGAGTAGGTAATTTTGGGATCGACGGTTGGTTGGAACGGTAGCTAGTATATCGTTCGTTGGCATTTCGCGAAAGTACAATGATGTACAGTCTTGTCTTCCTGCGACCGAAGGGTGGGTGTAACTATAACATCAGTCGTATCGAATATCTTCGAATAATTTTCGACAATCCAGAGATAATTGATCTGTGTTAGTTTCCCAAGACCCAACGTAGTACACCACGTCGCAGCAATTGAATCCAATGCCCGACCGGGGAGCAATCCGAATCAAAACATGCAATGCAGTTGTCTCTTGATCTGCAATCCGGTACTAACTGCGAGCAAACGCGTAGCGAAAAGAGAAACGATCAAGGTCTCCGACCCAGGAGAATTAAAAAAAAATCCACTCATCCTGCTTGATTCTGGATGGGGTCATGGTTTCCGTGTGTCTACAAAGTATGATCTGATCCGGAACGCCAGTGGACCTAGGATCTCCAAAACCTCCTCGCGAGGAGGCAATGTACATCATCCGTAGCCTCTGTAGGGAAGTAGCGGGGCCGGAGTTGGAGAAGGTAACATAGAGGCCGAATTTCGGCAGAAGAGCGGAAATTGTTCGGCATGGCTTCCGTAGGATGGATATGGGGTTCTGGGGGAAGTTGGGGTGTTTTAGTACCTTGTGAGAAAGAATTTCCATCAGCCTGCAGGTTGGAGATGCTGATTATTGTAACAATTGGGGGGATCAATTGGGGATGATACTGTATGAGTTGTATAGTTGTAGTTGGTCTGGTTTGGATTTACCCCTCATTATGTCAGCTCATTCTGTCAGTTACCCCGCAGCGGGGTAACACAGCTTTTTGGTGGGCTGACGGGTTGGGGATTAAGGGAGTAGGGGGGCTGGGAGATGAGAATAGTAGGAGAAGACTATTATAGTAAGGAGATAGAAATATTATATTGCTACTATGTAGTTTATGTATAAATGTACGCGATTGTATACTACAATGCTAGAAAAGTATCCCCGCACGTTCATCCCTTGAGAGAGCTTTCTAAGGTTAAACAATGTATTGGAATAGTACATAGTAATGTAATCATGTAGTATTATAGTGATAGGGACATAGTACTCCGTGCATTATGCTCTATACATGTGGATACATGGCAAGCTATGTGAGTCCAAATATGATTGGTTAAATTTATAAATGGTTGACACACCCGTGGAAATGTACAACCTGTTTCCTGTCCCTCGTGCGGAGAGATCTCCAAGTGGATTTCCAGTCCAGTCCGGCTTCTCCGTTGCGGCGTCCGACTTACCTTTGAGGGGATACACAAGGTGTTTGTAGAGAGAGAGGGGGATATATAACCAGCTCCATTTGCTGTTCGGTTTCATTCTTCTCACTCTATCCAACTATCATCCATCCGACTCTACTCTACCATTTTCTACCCTTCTTGTAAGTATATCTTTTACTATTTTCCCTCTCCTTCAATAGCCAAATCACATCTCTTGGCCTGCAAGGTTCCCCACTTCTCCTGGCTTAGAGCTTCCATGTTTTGTCCAGCGCCGCTTTTGGGCATTGACCTCATCAACTATCGACTACATATATATATGGATATAACAGACCACTGACTATTTTTCTCTAGCAACTTCTTGAAAATATTTCATAATCCTTCACAATGGTATTTATCCGCTCTCTTTCCCGTCAATTGCGACGGCCCTTCCTCTTGAGCTCTCTCAAGCCAACCGTTGCCTCCAACCCATTCACTCGGGTTTCACCTTTGGCTGGCTCTATTTCCGGTGCACGTACACTAACCGCGACTTCGAATCTTCAGGGCAAAGTTCTTTTGGTTCTCTACGATGTAAGTCATCCTCAACCCATACTATACATACTTCGATCGCTGACTCTGTGATATAGGGTGGTGAGCACTCCCAGCAGCAGCCTAAGCTGCTCGGTACCACCGAGAACGAGCTCGGCATCCGCAAGTGGCTCGAGGACCAGGGTCACACCCTGGTAACCACCTCCGACAAGGAGGGCGAGAACTCCACCTTTGACAAGGAGCTCGTCGACGCTGAAGTCATCATCACCACTCCGTTCGTTCTCCATCCCCGCACTTTCTAAAACTCGCCACTAATAACAAAACAGCTTCCACCCCGGTTACCTCACTGCTGAGCGTCTCGCCAAGGCCAAGAAGCTCAAGCTCGCCGTCACTGCCGGTATTGGTTCCGATCACGTTGACCTGAACGCCGCCAACACCACCAACGGCGGTATCACCGTTGCTGAGGTCACTGGCTCTAACGTCGTCTCCGTCGCTGAGCACGTCGTCATGACCATCCTCCTCCTCGTCCGCAACTTCGTCCCTGCCCACGAACAGATCAAGAACGGCGACTGGAACGTCGCTGCCGTCGCCAAGAACGAGTTCGACCTCGAGGGTAAGGTCGTCGGTACCGTCGCTGTCGGCCGTATCGGTGAGCGTGTCCTCCGCCGTCTCAAGCCCTTCGACTGCAAGGAGCTTCTCTACTACGACTACCAACCCCTCTCTGCCGAGGCTGAGAAGGAGATCGGTTGCCGTCGTGTTGAGAATCTCGAGGAGATGCTCGCCCAGTGTGACGTTGTCACCATCAACTGCCCCCTGCACGAGAAGACCCGCGGTCTCTTCAACAAGGACCTCATTTCTAAGATGAAGCCCGGTGCTTGGCTCGTCAACACCGCTCGCGGTGCCATCGTTGTCAAGGAGGATGTCGCTGAGGCCCTCAAGTCTGGCCACCTCCGCGGATACGGTGGTGATGTCTGGTTCCCCCAGCCCGCCCCCAAGGATCACCCTCTCCGCTACGCCGAGCACCCCTGGGGTGGCGGTAACGCTATGGTTCCCCACATGTCTGGTACCTCCATCGATGCGCAGGTCCGCTACGCCAACGGTACCAAGAACATTCTCGAAAGCTACTTCTCCGGCCGTGAGGACTACCGTCCTGAGGACTTGATTGTCCACAAGGGTGACTATGCCACCAAGGCCTACGGTCAGCGCAAGTAGAGAAAGTCCTTGTATGACGCAGTGTGAAGTATTCTCTTGCTGAATGACTTCTTTTTATATTTCATGTTTATATGTTCATAACAGTCCCATTGCTCAGAGCATGGGCGATGCTCAAAAAGGTAGCATCTTTTACGATACCAATGAAAAATATTTATAACCTTTACTTCTTTTCCACTTTTGACTGACTTAAATTTGAGATTTCTGTACTACATATGGAGTACGACGCAGAGTTGTGCATGATGATCGGTGGAGCTATGTCGATCTCACCAGATTGAGTCCAGCCCTTCGGTGGAGTCTAGAACGTGTAGGGTTGATATCTTTTTTTAGCCATTCTTCACGGCTAAGTATGATTGATAGCAATAGAGTCGAAATATGGGTTGTATATAATTTATATCAATTTCTAATAACTCAAGTCTATCTAAATGCAATTCCAAAAACGAAAGGCAAAACAACTCTATTCACAAAGTAGCCACGCTCGAAACCAAACACACAAACCCAGGCCATATAGGCTTTCCAAAACATCCCTAGACAAAAACCCCAACCCCGAGAATGCAGATATGTACATACAAACGCGATCTTCAACAAACTCAAAGCCTCCCTCCCCGTCCATGTCCACTCCGCTCACTCCCCTCTGAATCCGAATCACTATCATCCATAAACCCCTCTTCCAAATCCCGACTTAACCGACTCTCGGTATCAGCCAGGTTATCACGTCTCTGTTGTTCCAGTGTACCTCGCCTCACAGAATCCATATCCATCCCGACCAAGGCCTCCCCTTCCTCGTCGTCAATACTCTCCGTATCATGGTCGGCTATGTGTGCCCCCCATCGCCATCGAGAGGGAAGGAAGAAGTGCATTACTTTATCGGCTATGCGGTCACGTAGGGATAGTGTGTGTGCGGATATACTGTGTAGCGGGAGGTATTGCGAGTAGCGCTGATGATAACGGCGGAAGAAGGGGATTATCACGCAGGAGGCGAGGATATAAATTGATAGTGCGATTGCGGCTGGGATGAGGATTGTCTATTTGTGTAGGTTATTTGTTAGTTTGGGTTCCTTTTAATCTTAGTCGTGGACACAGTGGGTGCCTGGGGATGATGGTGGTGTGTGTGGTATGCGCGTCGAGATAGGGGGATTATGCGCGCACCTTAGCAAAGACACTTGTTGACCCCATGTTGGGTGCTGGAACACTAGGCTTTGCACCTAAGATAGGGTGGTAGAGTGGTGAGGTTTGAGGGTTGAAGGATTGCGGAGGTCCGGGGGTCCCACGGTTCCGAAGAGCACGCGTGGCAGAGGATCGGCAGATCGACAAGCGGCTCGGGATCTCAGTGTCGTCACTTTTGTCTTTGAATATGCTTTTATATATATCAAATCACTCCCTTCTTACTTAAATAGTAACTTAGAGAGAACTAGACTACAAGGTACACATATGTAATTAACCATCTTAACTATATTGTGACCTAATCCAAAGGCATTCTAATAGTATGATATTGGAAGGTCTATGCCGATGTTGGACAGCGAGTTTGCCTAGTCCCAGGGGCCGCTGCACCAGGGCTATTAAAGAGTATCGCGAACAGTTGCTGATAAATTCGAAGAGTCCTCTTGTTTTGCCTCTTTCTTATCCAGTCCCTCTGCTCATCACTTGCTAATATGAATAATCAACCGCAGGTAGAGCATCTGGGCAACTGTGACCCTGTTTATACCCAGCATGATATATTCTCTTTAGTAAATTCCTCATTAATTTTGGTCTATCCCTTTTCTTCCTCTTTGGATTTCACCGCAAATTGTTCAAATTTGAACTCCTTGGTTACACCCTGTTCTACCATATATATCTCACCATCTTCATTCTATTCACGGAACAACGAGGTGATTATTCTTCAAATGACACTCGATAGTTGACAATATGGGTAGATGCCGAACTTTCACCAATGGATGTTTCATTACATTTTCACACCTTGAAACTCCGTTCATTCCAAGTCCATGCTTTGGTAGACTTCCAGAGCCCCAGAGCTCCAGTATAAGCTTACGTGATCTTAACAATCACGTGCGCGGTCGGGGAGTTTCTCCGGGGCAAGCCCCCTAATATCAATAGACTGATTAGAAGAACGCTCGGGCTTTGATCCTGGCGTCAAACTGGACTTGACATTTGCAAAAAGCTTGCATGTTAATTTCCTTTTCTCCTATTTTGCTTTCCTTGTGGGGTGAGTGCCGTGAAGAAATATCCCTTACCCCTCAGTCTCACGCGACTCCGCCGTCGCAACGGGTATACTAACTAGCCAGGGAGGGACAAAACAGAGAGCCACTTTCGCCCAATTTGAATGTCATCGCCTTCTCCCATATCCCTTGCGATCGACAGCGCCTTATCGCAAAACCGCACATCCTCATTTAATACCGTTTCTGAGAGTATTGGAGGGGCCCTTATGCTGCGCACTGCCTCATCTTAGTGACGCCCGCCAAAATGCCAAGTTCACAAGCCGACAAATCCAGGCAAACATCGAGTGGAAAGTCATTCTTCGGCCGAAAATTGTACAAAGAGAAACCGACCGAGGAACGGTACGATAGTTATGCTGGTTCCTACGATAGCCTGGCACCTCCGCCAAGCGCCGCCGGCTCACGCTCGTCCCGCCATTCAAAGCGGTCTTCGATTCAATCGGTCGACTTGACCCATGATTTGGACCCAAGCAGTATCGCACACACCTCAGGTGTCATCACCTCCATCCCTTTTGAAAGCCTCCCTACCGATACTAGGACCCCGATTCCAATCGACAACATGGCCCGCCCTGGCTCATCGCGCCATGAGCCTTCGCCCCACCATCTGGGTAAAACTGGAGGTGATTTCCATCAATATCCGACTGTAACCTCTACGTCTGCGCCAAATGGGTACGCCTCGCATCCTTCTGGCCCTCGTCCGCCCCCGCACGGCTCAAACAATACCTTGACCAGCAGCAACTCCGGCGATAGAGGTACCAGACAACAACAGCAACAATGGGGACGACCAGGCAGCTCCGCAGCGAACAGTGGGCCTAACTACAACTCCTCGTCTATTGATTCGTCCTCCAACTCCCGCACATCCCTCGACCAAGCCAGCATCTACTCCTCCGTTTCTTCTAACACACGCGGTTCGAGCTACTTCTCCTCGGACAATTCCTCTCGCACCCTCACAACCTCGCATTCTAGTGATCGTACTGCTCTTCTCCCCAGCTCCAGTTCGGGACGCTTGTCAAATGCGGGGTCATCCTACCAGAACTCTGTACCCGCCGCCGTCCCCCGGCCACAAGATAACTACCTTACTCGACCGAGAGATGACCGCATTGTGGACCAGCTGTTTCTAGAGCTGATGCAGAAGCGAGGATGGCAAAATCTTCCCGAACAGGCCAAACGGCAGATGCTGTCATACCCCGCTTCAAAGAAATGGACATTGGTACACCAGGATCGCTTGACAGAGTTGCAAGGAGAGCAAAAAAGACGACAAAATGCGCGGCAAACCCATGGCCACGACGGTCTGTCTGGTTTGCTCGAACGTGCCGACGAAGAAGGTAGCCCGGAGTGGTATGTGAAGAAGGTGATGGATGATACCATTACATCCAAGCAGCTTGCTAGTTTAAGTGTCAGCTTGCGGACACAGCCAATCAGGTATGTAATGCCTCTTTTCTCGATATCGTACATATCACTAATAACCACACAGCTGGGTGAAAGCCTTTGTTGAAGCCCAAGGTCAAATTGCTTTAACAAATGTTCTCTTGAAGATCAACAGAAGAAAAGCCTCTGGTCCTGTCCCGGCTCCCCCGACAGGCGATAAGGATCTAGACCGGGAATACGATATTGCCAAATGTTTGAAAGGTCTCATGAACAACAAGTATGGCGCAGACGACGCTCTAGAGCATCAAAATGTGCTAGTTGCGCTCGTCAGCTCATTATCATCGCCACGCCTGAATACTCGCAAACTTGTCAGCGAAGTCCTCACTTTCTTGTGCCACTGGGGTGATGGACAAGGCCACCAAAAGGTTCTGCAATCTATGGACAAGGTCAAACATGATCACAACGAAACTGGTCGCTTCGATGCTTGGATGCGTATTGTTGAGGTCACCATCGACGGCCGTGGAAAGATGGGAAGTTTGGTCGGTGCCAGCGAAGAGTACCGCAGCGGAGGCATTGGCATGGAGAATCTCCTTATGGAGTACGCGGTCTCAACCATGATCCTCATCAATATGCTGGTGGATGGAGCAGAAACGGACCTCCAGCTGCGTTGCCACATTCGCGCCCAATTTACATCATGTGGAATCAAGCGTCTGTTGACGAAGATGGAGGGATTCCAGTATGAGGTTATCGATAAGCAAATCGAGCGTTTCCGCGAGAATGAGGCTATCGATTATGAGGATCTCCTCCAGCGGGAGGGCAGCAGTATGAAGGATAGCATTGAGGGCGAAGTCAAGGACATGAGCGATCCCATGCAAATTGTCGATGCAATCACATCCAAGATCAACGGCAGCCGGTCCCATGACTACTTCCTCTCGGCTATGCAGCATATGCTCCTCATTCGGGAGAACTCCGGCGAGGAAGGGCTGCGCATGTTCCAGCTGGTTGACGCCATGCTGAGCTACGTGGCCATGGACCGGAGGCTGCCCGACCTTGATCTTCGGCAGGGTCTGACCTTCACTGTGCAGAGTCTGCTAGACCGGCTGCACACGGATGCTGAGGCAAGACAGGTCTATGACGAGTCTCTTGAGGCCCGGCAGATTGCTGAAGCTGCCATTGCTGAGCGAGATGAGATGCGAGCGCAGGTTGAGCTCGGCGCAGAAGGCTTGGTTTTGAAATTGCAAAAGCAAATTGATGAACAGGCCGGTATTATCGAGCTGCAACAAAGACAAAATGAATCCTTCAAGGCCGAGGTTGCAGAAGTACAACGACTGCGTGCTCAGGAATTGCAGCGTAATGAGCTGGAAACCCGAGAACTATACCTCATGCTTCGAGATGCCCAGGATATCGCCGCTGCCAATGCCCGAAAGGCCAACAACCCTGAGACGGTGGAGGCAGATCCATCCCAGATGCCCGGTATCATGGACCGTGAACGACTCATGGAACGTCTGGAACGTCAACTCGAGCGGACTAAGACCCAGTTCAAGCTGGAGGGTAAGGTCTGGGGTCAGCATGGACCGTCTGATCGACTCCGTGAGCTGCGCGAGAAGATGGAAGGCGAGGGTGATGACAGTGATGACTTTGCTGAAACTACCCGCCGCAACCTCGACCCTGGTGCTTTGGGGTCTGTTTACCGCAAGCGCAGCCATCTCCCTACGATGGGCTCGACTCTGGAAGATGAGGAGGACATCCCACTAGATAGCAATGGCGAGCCAATGTACGAGAGGCCTCGTTTGGTGGAAATGCATCGTCCGCGTTTGGACCCTACCCAGGCTACCGGCTTCCTAGGCGAGCTTACTTCCAAGCTTCCCAGGTATGACGCTGAAGATCCCAATGCCGTTGAAGGGGAACAGGTGCCTAGGCCAGCAGACGATGAAGCTGCTACGAAGGCCATGCCACCTCCTCCCCCCTCCTCCAGGGGGCAAGATTGTTCCGCCGCCGGGAGTTATGGCTCTTCCCCCACCTCCGCCGCCAGGAGGCAAGATCCTTCCACCTCCACCTCCACCAGGGGGCTTCGCTCTTCCACCACCGCCTCCCCCGGGTGGAAAAGTTGGTCTGCCTCCTCCCCCACCGCCTGGCGGAATGGCTCTCCCACCGCCGCCTCCGCCAGGTGGTGCCAAGGGTATTCCTGGATTGCCGCCTCCACCTCCGCCCCCCGGTGGAAGGGTCGGATTGCCTCCGCCGCCGCCTCCAGGTGGTGGTGGAATGGTTCCACCCCCTCCCCCTATTCCTGGAGCCAAGGGGTTGATGATTCCCCCGCCCCCACCACCCAGCGCCGCCTTAGGTTCAGGCTGGAGACCGGCATACATGGTTGGAGATGTTTCGCCGTCTACAATCCACATGCCGTCCATTCGACCTAAGAAGAAGCTCAAGGCTTTGCATTGGGACAAGGTCGATACTCCTCAGGTGACTGTTTGGGCTGGTCACGCACCGACTCCTGAGCAGAAGGAAGAGAAATATACCGAGCTTGCCAAGAAGGGTGTCTTGGACGAGGTTGAGCGATTGTTCATGGCCAAAGAAACGAAGATATTTGGAGCCAGCACTGGTGCGAAGCAGCGCACTGCCAAGAAACAGATTATCTCGAACGATCTATCCAAGAACTTCCAGATTGCTCTGTCCAAGTTCTCTCAATACCCGGCCGAGGAGGTGACTCGCATGATCATCCACTGTGACAAGGATATTCTGGACAACAGTGTTGTTATGGACTTCTTGCAAAGA